CACGATGAAGAGGATGTGTTGACAACAAACGGCCACTTGCGGCCGTACCGGTCGGCCGCAAGCCCAAAGATGATGGAGCCGATCGAGCGCAGCATGAGCGTGACCGAGATCCCCCACGTAATGTCCGTGTTGCTCTTGCCAAACTCCTTGGCGAGATCCGAGAGCGTCATCGAGACGGTGAAGAAATCAAAGGCGTCCCACGTCCAGGCGGCAAAGCCAACACCAAAGTTGAGCCACTGGAGCCGGTCGAGCGTCTTGAGGAGCGCGATGGGGTTGGGAACCGGTGCCATGGGCGGCTTGAGCGACGAGACGCGCGTGCCGAGGTACTCTTTGGCTGTCATCTTGGGCTGCGCGGCCTTGAAGGGCACGACGTCGGGGCTGCCCGTCGGTGTCTGGACGACCGCATAGTTGTTCGTAGGTGTCGATGCCATGAACAAGGCAAATGGAAAATGAGGAAACGAAGAAGAGGTTTTTCGTATTTTGGTACATAGCGGGGCGGTCGCTAAGTCTTCTACCGATTTGGCTTTGTGTCAAAGACAGGCTGATGGGCTGTATCTGGATCTGTATGACCTTGATCGGTTGCACAGTGGACGAATGTATGGCGTTTCCATGATACGACCAACGTCCAGGCGGCACCTAATTGAAGTTCGCAGCGGCTGGTACGTCCCTTCCTCATCGAAAGCGTTATTGCAGGAGAGAACCCTGTACATTCTTGAAGTCGCACGTATTGAGCTGCTGTCGACGCACTGTCGCCTGTCCCGACGATGCCAGGCAAGGCAAGGCATGTGGCGCCCGGCGAGCGGTGAGAGAGATACAGTAGACCGAGTCTTTTGAACTGAGTGGGCTGAAGACCCACAAGTATATGTTCCCTATAATACAAACCGTCAAGTCGAACAGAACACGGGACGGTCTTCAAGGTCGGAGCAACCATCGCACCTGTGCCGGGACGTTGTCACTTTCGCAAAAGATGACGCGCGCCTCGTCGTGCAACCTTTTCCCTCTCCTCGATGAAATGTGAAGTCACAAACGTTCGGTGGGCTTCCTTGTCGCTGTCTTTGCGACGAGACTAGTGTCCCTGCAAGTTATAGCTACTACTGCGCGGTCTCTGGGCACGAATCTCGGCGAGATGATCTGTGATGGCGTCGAAGACAAGAAGTTAGTAGCAACGCCACCCACACATGATCCACATCCGATTGGATCATGGGTCAGTCCCACCCATCACAATTGACATCGGACAGAACCAGATGTTGCTGCGGTGCATTCCAGCCGCACACGCTGCCACGCCCTTGAAGGCGACGGTGATCACGTATACCGGCGATGATGCGCCCTTTTGGCATCTTCCAGAGTACTTGCGAGTACACCCACCAACGATATCGCCGCCCAAATGGTTCTAGGGCGAACCTTCGGCGCGTCCGTACGACTACTGCCTCTACACACATGGCCGGATCACTCGTCCTGATGCATCTGATTTGGAACAGCCTCCATGAGATGTAGCCGTCTACTACACTCGCTGCACCTCAACGCACCCTGGTACTCGTTTTTGAGGCGACGACCAAGGTCCCTTGATGATGACGAAAAGGGTGGCGGCTGCGTCGCGCTTTCGTGACGCCTGTGGCTGCATCTGGTCTGTCGGTGCTTGGCACTTGGTTCACATCGTCGGACGATGCGCCCTAGCTACTACGCAATGTCCATGGCGGCTACTGTGGTCCAAGGTGCTCTTCATGGCGCGTTTCTCATCAATCTGAAGAGAACGAGAGAATCTTCATACTACTGTGTTGCTACAGCCAACCTCGACGGCGCCTGCAACTACCATGCATGCTACTATGGCAAGCTCGTTGCCTTTAGCGAAGTTCTTGATGTCGCCTTGAAATGGACAATGATTCAACTATTTGTTGAGCGTCTGTCGCTATGCAGGATACGCGAGGCGTCGACGTTAGCGACGTCCCGAAACGACCGACACGACCATAGCGCCAACACGACACGCGTTCTTCTTGCCCGTGCTCCGTGCAGCCAAGTGTAGAGAACAGACTTGTCCCGCAGACAATATTGCATCGAGAGGTCGTTTGTGCAAACGATTTCGTCATTTGGCGCGCATTCTGCACCCCACAACGTCGCTAATCATGCACGCGTGTCTCTCGACTCACATATCAACTTCAACTAGCTAATTCTTTCGAACAATACTGAGCGAATCAGTCAGTGAGCTGATCAGCCGCATCTTTGCTTCAACCAGAGGCAGAGAAAGCGTCGGTGTCTCCAGAAAGACCTCATCTTTGCTTGCTCATTTTCCATTTGCCTTGTTCATGGCATCGACTCCCAAGAACGACTATGCGGTCGTCCAGACACCGACGGGCAGCCCCGACGTCGTGCCCTTCAAGGCCGCGCAGCCCAAGATGACTGCCAAAGAGTACCTCGGCACGCGCGTCTCGTCGCTCAAGCCGCCCATGGCACCGGTTCCCAACCCCATCGCGCTCCTCAAGACGCTCGACCGGCTCCAGTGGCTCAACTTTGGTGTTGGCTTTGCCGCCTGGACGTGGGACGCCTTTGATTTCTTCACCGTCTCGATGACGCTCTCGGATCTCGCCAAGGAGTTTGGCAAGAGCAACACGGACATTACGTGGGGGATCTCGGTCACGCTCATGCTGCGCTCGATCGGCTCCATCATCTTTGGGCTTGCGGCCGACCGGTACGGCCGCAAGTGGCCGTTTGTTGTCAACAACATCCTCTTCATCGTGCTCGAGCTCGCGACGGGCTTTTGCAACACGTTCACGCAGTTTATGTGGGTGCGCGCGTTCTACGGCATTGCCATGGGCGGTATGTGGGGCAACGCGGCGGCGACGGCCCTCGAAGATGCACCGGCGCCTGCCCGCGGTCTCATCTCTGGTATCCTTCAGCAAGGCTACGCATTCGGGTACCTCCTCGCGGTCGTCTTTGCCCGTGTGTTTGTCAACACGACGAGCCATGGATGGCGTCCGCTCTTTTGGTTTGGCGCATGTCCACCAATCCTCATCATTCTCTTCCGCATGATGTTGCCCGAAACGAAAGCGTTCACAGAGCGCCACCTTCGTCGCGCGGATGGAGCCTCGTCGACGTTTGTGTCGGAAGGCAAGCTCGTGCTTCAGCGTCAGTGGGTCCTTCTCTCCTACCTCGTGCTGCTCATGGCCGGTATGAACTTTCTCTCGCACGGTTCGCAAGATCTATACCCAACGATGCTCAAGAACACGCTCTTGTTCAGCGCGAACGAGGTCACGGTGACGCAGGTGGTTGCCAACGTCGGTGCCATCTCGGGCGGCACGTTCATGGGCTACTACTCGCAGGTGTTTGGCCGTCGCTTTAGCATCCTCGCGTGTGTCGTCGGTGCGTCTTGCGTCTTGTACCCGTACTGCTTTACGACGAGTCATGGTATCACCGCCGCCGCCTTCTTCATGCAGTTCTTCGTCCAGGGTGCGTGGGGTGTGATCCCGATCCACCTCATGGAGCTCGCGCCGCCGTCGTACTCGACGTTCATCGTCGGCACCTCGTACCAGCTCGGCAACCTCATCTCGTCGACCGCGTCGACGATCGAGGCGTCGCTCAGCGAAGTGTACCCGCTGCCGCAGACGGAGGCCGGCGTGGAGCGCTACGACTATGCCAAGGTGATTGCGGCGTTGCTGGCGATCGTGCTTGCGGTGTTGGCGCTGCTGACGCTCCTTGGGCCCGAGAAGCGCGGTCAAGAGTTTGATCACGACGAGACCCTTGACGAGCCGGTCGGTGGTGACGACGAACGCGACCTCGAAAAACCCAAGATGTAAGCGCATGGGCGAGAACTCAATTTTGTGGATGTCAATATCGTGTATTTTGGAAATGAATCCTGTATTTTTGGATGCATGGCGACTTTTTTCATGGCGTGCAGGGTGGTGTGCAGAGGTGACGAGTTGTGGTGCAGGGCGGGCTACTCATGGGTTGGTAGCATTTCATGTGATGTTGTGATAGTTTGCTACGGTGTAGAGTGGTGCAGTGACTTGGTGCAGGGACACAGAGCTCTGAAGGCATTGACGTATTACCGCCCTTGAGACCTCTGGTTTTATCCCGAGGCCGGAAAGTTCCTGGCTCCGCTCCGTGTGTGACAGTGCCCTCCGTGCAGCGACGGGATACCACAGTGGTCTGCCGAACAGCTGGTTGAGCCAGCACTTGGTCTGTCCCCTAGACGGTCAGCGGCCGATCTGCCCCTCGGCCTGTCACGTGTGAGGACTCATGCAAACTGGTCCCGCCACGTACACAAGCATCAGTAGGGTGCAGCAAAGAGCAAGACTGATCAATTTGAACTCAACGATGACCGCGCCCGCCACGAGAGGCATGCCGATTCGCGGCTCGTCAATTCAACAACACGCAAGGTCTCTTCAGTCCATTCCGAACTAACCGAATCATTAAGACCACAAGTAGTACAGTAAATCAAGCATCCATTTACCAATGACCGCGCATGTGTTTTCTGCGCGTGTCTGTCCTCGTACGACAAGTGGTGGAGAATGAAGACAAGCGCAGAAAGCACTGGGACCCACGAGAGGTCGGTGGCAAATTGATGATTGATTTACTTTTTAAAGGGCGAGCTTACCCTAGGGTGCCCCGTTTATGTCAACTTGACATAAACGGGGCACCCTAGGGTAAGCGGTGTTGACATTGTCAACACCTCGGACAGGACACCCGTATTGTCATTGGGCATCTTTTGGCTACATCAGAACTTGTGGCAGCGAAGATGTTTGCGCTAACCAAGCACAGTTGTTGCTGTCGCCATGGTCCAACCTCCTGCTCCAACGTTACAAAAACCGGTCCAGGCGATCTGGTGCCGAGAGCTTCGAGCTTGCGGACAGGGATGCTGCTGTGCGTCAACGATGTCGAAGCCGCCGAGGCTGTCGAGGTTGCATACATGTATAAAAGAGAGGCGGTTACTGAAGAAGGGCGTGGATCCACTCCAAGAACGCGGCCTTCTCCTGCGTCGCAATGTACTGCGCGCTCGCCTTCTCCAAGAGCGCAAAGCGGCGGTCGTCGGCGGCGACCACGAGCTCCTTGAGGCGCTTGCGCTGAGCGTCGGTCAAGTCGGCTTCGATCGCGGCAATCGCACCGACGATCGCGTCGACGCCGGCGGAGGCCGCTGTCGTCATCGAGTGCTCGACCTTGGCGCGCTTGGCGACGCCTGTCGACCCAAAGCCACCGTCACCGCGCGCAGTGTCGGAGAGCTCGTCGACTTCCTGCACGTCGGCTTGCGCGACAATGCGCTCGAGGATGAGCTGCGCGATGCGGTCGCCGGCCTTGACGTGGAAATCTTCGTTGGCGTGGTTGAAGAGGACGACGCCGACGTTGCCGCGGTAGTCCTCGTCAATGACGCCGGCGCCGACGTCGAGGTGGTTCTTCCACGAGAGCCCCGAGCGCGGCGCGACGCGGGCGTAGCAGCCCGACGGGATCGCGATCGCAATGTCCGTCTTGACGAGCGCCTTGCCATGCGCCGGAATCACGCACTCGTACGCGCTAGCGAGGTCGAAGCCAGCGGCCAGCGCCGACCCGCGCGCCGGCAGCACCGCGGTCGCCGACAGCTTCTTCACGAGCAGCGTCTCCCGGCCCATGACTATAAATGGAGCCGATCCACCGGATCATTCCGGATACACAATGCATATCCGGATGCGGGCAGCGCGCCACACCCGCGGGTGACGCTGACGGGCCGCCAGCTAGTGGCGGATCTTAAACTGGTCGGCGCGCTTTCACACGGTCTTGTTGGGGCTAGGAAGTTGCCTGCGATGTCGCTGTTCCTTAGACGCCATCCAAGCCTGCGACGGCGCAACCTTGGGCGCCGCGGACGCAAAGCTCCGCGTTGCTACAGCATCAGCCCATCAAATCCGGTACCGGTGATGCCATGCTTCGTATCACTTCAACATGTTGTGTGCGACTCTTGGTGGCATGTGCCAAGCTGCGTGATTCGCGCCATGGGGTCGATAGCAACAAGGGTCAATAAACAGACCCTTGATAGCAATTGCTGATAAAGGCGTTATTGTGGCTTTAACCAGTCCGTGCCAACGAGACGTGGCAGCTCCAGGGCACGGGAAGCAGCGTAAAAGAGATTGCAACGATGACGACACAGTCCTCATTGGAACTTGATGTAAACCGAATTGGCTTGGGAAATGTGCGTGTTTTTGCTCGTTAACTGCACAATGCTCTAACATTTCAAGCCTCGGGTCGCTCATGCCATGTTGCTCTCGCATCATACACTACGCGTCATGGAGAGGTACGAAAAGTGCTCGACCTGAGCCTTGTCACCTTCAACTATATTTACCGCATTGGGTATGAGCCAGCAGGGTATAGGCAACACGAATTCAACCCGGATACACAGCCGTGTCGTTCGCGTTGGCCCATGGGTATCACAAGTAGGTCCTGTCGGGCGCCATTGAGCGTCGTGGCGCTCGTGGAGAGCATCGTAAGATCGTGCTGCTGATGTGACCGGAACATGATTGGTCAATTTCTGAATTATTTAAGCCAATGACATGTCGTGTATCACGAGCCATGGGGTCACCTCTGATCTCTAGATGCTCGGTCGCCCACAGTGCGTCCAGAAACGAAATCGCCGCCACTTGGCCTGGTGGTTTTCAATCCTTTGGAGGGCACAGCAAGCTAATTACCGTCGGCGTGCGAGGATTACAGCGCGAGCAGTTGACATTTTTGTAATAATGGCACAAGCCATATTATGCGTTTATATGTGACTAAATATGGCGTGCACAGGGACACCCGCGTTGCCGAGGACAACCGAGACGACGCACGCTACACAAATGCTAGCGCATCGCACTGGGCTCTATGCAACGCGTCAACTGTTGAGAAAGACTTTCGATGATTGAGAAAGGAGATGCTCGACTCCACCCTGGCGATGGGACTGACGACGGGCTCGGCGCAGAGTTGCGCGCTTTTGTTCACACACACTGTTGCTAGTACTACTACGTCATTACTACAGTGTACCTGGCTCGCAAATTCTGGCTCGCGAGATCTGTCGGTGACTATAGTATCCTGGGAGCCCAGTAGAGACGTGCTCCAAAATAACTCGCGACGAACGACGACGCCAACAAATGAAACTCGTGCCATTCAAGTGCTCCCAGTAAACTCTGTAGCAGGCCACCACCACCACCTTGCCGACGACGAAAGTCCTTGCCATGATGGACGGTCAAGTGGCGGTTCCAAAGACATCGACTGTGCGGATTTCTTTTTCTGAATGCTACGCAGTACGTAGCGGGTGGACCGGTCGATTTGATTTGAATGACCGACTTTGCAATAAAGATGCGCGTCCAAGTGCAGTAGCGCAACAGCAGTGAAAGAAACGCTGATGGGATATCGTATCGGCGGCTGCAATACGGGACAATGACAGCACCCCGCGAAATGGCATCTCTCTGTCGCATGCGCCGCCACACGGCATTCTCGCATCGAGTAGCCAACTCGGTGCTTCAACGTCGGACCGTGCACCAAGGCTCTGTCGATCTAGTATGCAGTATCTGGCCGACAAGGCACAAAACGTACTAGCATATATAATTGTCTATTTGTACAATATAAGAACCGAATGATTCTTGGTGTCTTCTACCCTAACCCTATATGTCGGTTGCCCATTTAGTCGACTTCAAAGGCTTCCGACGACGTGTGCGACATGGCGCTGCCGCGCGTCGCGACTTCTTGTTGCGTCTGCGTCGTCTTCTGCAAGAGACCCTGGAGCATCACCGCCATGTCCTTGTCCTTGGCCGTCGTCTCGGTCGGTACTTCGATCGTAGCCGCCGCTTTGGCCTCGGTGACCGTGGTCTTCTCGGCCACCGGTGCCGCCGCCGTCTTGCTATGGTACTTGTGCGAGTCAATGTGGCTCGCGGCCGCGATCGCCAAGCGCTCAATGGTGTCGATTTGCGCACTTGAGAACGTCCGCACCTCGGTGTCCATGATGAAGACCGTGCCGAGCACAAGGTGCGAGACAGGCGACAGAATCGGTGCCGCGAGGTACGAACGGACGGCGTGCGGGCCGGTCACGAGCGGGTTCTGGTCAAACCGCGCATCAAGACGCGTGTCGTTGACCGCAAGGGGCGCTTTGATGCGGAGCACGTGGGCGCAGAACGCTTGGTTGCGCGGCACATCGGCGATGCGCCAGCCCGTCGACGCTTTAAAGTACTGGTGGTCGTGGTCGATAAAACTCACGGCCGCCAACGGCGCCTCGAGCCGCTGCGCCGCGAGGTCGCAAATGATGTCGAGCACGTCGTCTTGCTTGCCATCGAGAATGTCAAAGTTGAAGAGCTCGTCGAGGCGCTGCTTCTCAAACGCAACCGTCGGCGGCTTGGGCCACGCAAAGTCCCAGTCAAAGTCCAGCGGGTAGCCGTACGTCATGTCGTGCTGGAGGTGGAGCACCATCGAGGTGGGCTTGGTCGGCGAGCTCGATGCCGCCTTGGCCTCGGCCACGAGCAGCGGCTGCGGCAGCGCCGGCTGCAGCACGAGCGTGTTGCGGGTCTCGGCCGAGGTCGGCGACCCCTTCTCGCTCTCGAGGAGCTTGATCGGACCGTGGGTGCCCTTGCCGAGAATGTCCGAGTACCGAATCGACGTTGGCCGCGTCTCGGTCTTACGCGCCGTATCGACAAAGTTGTTGCCAAAGTGCTCGTAGTCCCACGCTTTCGGCGTCAGGTGGATGTAGCTCTGGCGCAGAATTGCTCCGTTCTCGGCGCGGATCGTCGGACCATGCGCCGGGTGCGGCACGAGTGCGTGGTGCAACTGCCGGTGCTTCCCGTGCGACGACGTCCGAAGGAGCGACCCGCGCGGCACGCAGTCGTGCGTCGTGTCCATCGGGTGGACTTGGTGGCGGTCGGCAATGCTCGAGCCCGCCGGTGGCAGCGTACACGCGACGATGCACGCAAAGCAGACGCGCGTCTTGGTGAAGCCCGTCACGTCCAGAACGACCGACTGCTTCTTTTGCGTGCAGCTGCTGCAGACAACTTCACCACACTAATCGAGACAGGACAACATGAGCCGAACAGTTCCAACACATTGGGTAGACGTACGACGCGGCAGTTCTTCTTGTGACGAAAGAGGCCAAAGCGCCGCTTGCAGAGGTAGCAGACACTGCGCGTCGCGTTCGGCACCCACGTGTACTGCGGGCGGAGCTGCTCGACAAAGATCGGGTGGCCAGTCTTGAGTGGCATGGTCGTCCGGATATAAATACACAAGTGCGCGGGACGCGGCAAGTAAGTTAATGAGTCGGTGGTCACTTGCCACGCGCTTGGTGGCGGGTATAAATCCGCTGGTGTCACGACCACAAACCCACGCGCCTCCCAGATCGTTCCATCACCCAGATGGCCCTTTCCAGGTGTTAGAACGAGAAAATGGTATTATAACACCATGCGACACCGAGGTTGCCGTTCAGTCAGTGTTATAATTGTTAGATACGCGTGGCGGCCCCATAGAAACGAACGCGATGCAAGTTTTTTGCAACGCACCCAAGCAGGATTCTTGAAGCGCCTTGCGACACCGCCGTCGAGTCACTGGCCTCCCGCTCATGGGGTCGGAAAAATGGGTTGATCCGCAGCGCAGTACCCTTGAAGAAGCCCTGGCGACAGCTTTTGCCTTGCAGAATGTTCAGACAGCGCGCTGTCGCCACTCACCTTAAGCGTATATGCTCAGAGTACCCTTCCAGTACTCGGCGAGGGCTTGGCACATGGTGGCACTGTAAACCAATGCGATGCTGTGATCTGAAGTTCCCGATCGAACGAGCCTAATCGAACGTGTCGTCGAGATAGGACAGACGACGATGGTACTACGGTGTGCCACACACAATACTCGGCGTCAGGTAGCTTTGGGACACGACGACACCGCGCGCATTGTACTGCATCATCATCCTGTCTTCATCGCATCGCAGAGAACGACTCTGGGAAAGTCCAGCGACGTCAAGGTTGGTGGTGGTGGCGGTGGTGGTGCCAGCCGAACGAGAACGACCGCCACCGCCACGCCAAGACCGGCTCCTTGGGTAAGAGCCACACGGTTCAAAAGCGGTGGCCGCGATCGATCGAGTTGTCAGTCGAGTTGCCGCAAGTGGCCAGCGACGGCGTGAGCAACTTATGCAAAGCAACAGGCCACAACCACGTTGCCGCCATCGCGGCAGGCCAGCAACCATTGCCAGCTACTGTACTTTGCCAGCTACGCGATGCGATCGGCCATCATCACGTCGGAACGTCGCCGCAACTCGGGAACGTGCGCCCACAGCATGGGTGCATTTAGCACGGTTACCGTTTGAAGCGGACACTGCCTCCAGGTTTGCAACGCATTAACGTCAGCGCATGCACGAGGACAACCTCATACACGTGTGTCGTCGGACGAATTCTGGTGTTATGGTGTTAGGGCGAGTGAGTTAAGCCCTCGACGAGTGATTAGAGCCCACGCTGGTGGTAATATGGCGAGTGATTAGAGCCCATAGCGAGTGATTAGAGCCCACGCTGGCTCAACGTAGCAATGTGGTCGACTTGTATGCGCGTCTGCGTTGTCATGTCTTGGATGGCTTGGAGACGCCCGGCGGTCGTGACCTCGTCGCTCTCGATCCGCAGCATGACAGCGTGGGCCACCTGGTCGAGCAGTCGCAGCGCCTCGCCGCAGTCAAGCAGTGTCCGCGGCGCAGTGTCCATCACAAAGACGGTCCCGATGACAAGCGACGTGGACGGTGACCGAAGTGGCACGGACGCGTAAAACCGAATGTGGGCAGAGCCCGTGACCATGGGATTGTGTCTGTAGAGTGCGCTTTCCGTCAGATTGGGGACGGCGGTCGGCTCGTTTGTGCAGAGCAGATGCGCGCAGAGGCTCACGTGGCGGACAATGTCGGCTTGGACGAGGCCAATGCGCGCGAGAAAGTGCTGGTGCGTTGCGTCGATGAGGCTGACAGCCATCACCGGCGCCCGGAGCAGCGACGACGTCATCTCGCAGACTCGGTCGAATTCGTGCCACGCGCCAAAGTGCTGCGCAATCTGGCTTAGGAACCGAAGACGCGCGGGCTCGTCGGCCGGCGTCGGTGGCTCGGGCCACGGATTGCTCCATGCTGTATCGGGCGTTGGCGGGGTTCGGTGCCGCGGCACGTACTTGCCTGGCGCGCCGTTCGTGTCGCAGTGGTCGAGGCACACGACGCAGACGCGCACGCTGTGCAGCACCTGCATGACGGGTAGGACGATGAGCGTCTCGTGCTCGCTGCAGCTCCGACACACAATGCCGCCGCACTAAAATCGCCGCTGGTTAGTTGGTGTAAAAAACAAGGGCGTACGATATGGCAGTGGTGTCGCCGTCGAAGGAGCGAGAAGGGCTTGGTACAGACGATGCAGTCGGACGCGTGGCGCATCCAGTCGTGATGGATGCGCGATGCGTGCACGAGGAGCGGCGGCTTCTTGGCTTGCGTTTGCATACCGGTAAAATGCAATCTCACGTAGCATTTCCAGCTTTTTCCAGCCCAGATGGTGCATCGTACCGTAGGCGGCGACGACGACACGTATTAAATTAGATGGACTGGGAAACCGCGCTGACGCAGACTTGTGGTTCCTAGCCGCGGGCAAGGACGCTACTTCATTGCACGGCTACACTAACCGACGGCAAGTGGTTTGCCGCAATTAGGACGTGCCACCACACTGGCACGCGACGGCCTCCGAGTCGACCCGCAGTGTACTGTGCATCACCGCTGGCATGACACCACCTCAACGCCATTGAGGTGCGATGATGCTGTCCATTGACTCAATGGTTCGTACTAGTATCAGACAACGCGTTGGAGAAACTCACTTCGAACGTCGCGTTGGAATCAAGTGAGCGCCAACGAACGCGACGTACTTGCATGGTACGTTGAGCCACGCCTGTGTGGGAAGTGATGATATTTGGTTGTTGGAGGGCGCACCGAGAGACGCGACTTCCCGTGTTGGCCCCTACTATTATGAAGTACTCGCAAGGGATGAGCGCACCTCGTTGCACGCTTTGCGTCCTCACGCTATGTCCTTGTAGAACGGCATCGTTTACAGAAGAGAGAGATGGTCATTGCACCACCTCCATTCAAAAATGCATGGATGACACAACAACAACAAGGGCTTGGACTAACGGGTTTAATAAATAGGACGTGTGGGCACCTCTAAGGCGCCATGGTCGCCACTTGTTGCTGCGTGCGCGCGCTAATCGTGAGCAAATCGAGGAGCCGTAGTGACACTTCGCCGCTCTCGAGCGCTTCGAGAACGCCCCGGCGCGACTCGGTGGGGACGTCGTCGTCGTCGTCGGTTTGCTTTTCTTCCTCTTCGTCGTCGACACGGAGTTGCTGGAGCGACGGCAAGACGACGTCTGTGGTCGGAAACGACGTGCCTTCGCTCATGTCGCCGACCGCGGTCGTGTCGATCGAGTCGAAAGTCCGGTCGGCGCGCCGCGGCCGGTGCGGTGACGCATCCGACTCGAGGATCGTCGTCGACGGCGCGCGCATGTGGATCCCGTCGTCGCTCGCATCGTCTTCCAGCATGGCCGTCGACATGCGATTGTCCAGCGTCGGCGACGGACCAAACGTGACGGACCGGCGCCGGTCCTGCGGCCGGCTCTGCTCCATGGACAGCTGGCAGTCTTCGAGGTAGAGTTCGACGGACGTGGCCACGTTTTCGAGCGTCTCGCGGGCTCGCTCGCACGCGCCGGGCGACCGAGGGTACTGGTCAAACACGAAGACTGTGCCGACAACATGGCCATTGACGAGGACCGGCGCCGCGGCGTAGAACCGAATGGCCGCCGCGCCGGTCACGAGCGGGTTGTGCTGAAAGTGCGCATCAAACTGCAGATCGGGGATCGCAATCGAGGTTTTGGTGACGAGCAGCGGCGCGCAGAGACTCACGTGCCGCGCAATGAACGTCTGGAGGAGCCCGAGACGCGCCTTGAACCATTGCCGGTCGGCGTCGATAAAGCTGATCGCAGCAACGGACGTCTCGAGCGCCATGGCCGCCGTCTCGCACATGATGTCGCACGTGTCGTCGGAAGGCGAGTCGAGAATGTTGAGCTTGTACAGCTCGCGTAGCCGTTGCGCTTCGTCCGGTACGATCGGCGGTGACGGCCACGGGTAGCCCCACTCGGGCGGCGGTGCGCCGGACGACGAGACGTTCGAGGACGCGAGCGGTGGGCTCCGATCGCGCGGCGCCGGCGACGAAGAATGGTGGTGGCGCGACGGCAGGTCAAAGGACGGGCGGGCGGGGCTCATGGCGCCAAAGGTGGCGGCCGGCGTGTCGACGTCGTCGTCGTCGTCGGTGGCGTGGATGACGCACGCAAAGCAGACGCGCGCGTTCGTGACGCCGCGCCCGCGCACGACCACGAGCTGCTGGTGCTCGGTGCACGAGTCGCAGACAAGCTCGCCGCACTAGTATGTGCCGAGAATGAGCAAACAAGGCGACAAAGGCGGGTCCTACCACGCGGCAGTTGTGCTTTCGCCGGTACTTGTTAAAGTACTTTTGACACACGTAGCAGGCGACGTCGTCGCGCTTCCAGAGGCGGCGCTCCTTGAGGCCACTCACGTAGATCGGCGCCTCCTTCGCCGACGAGAGCAGGTCCATCCTCGTGCGCCAAGAACGGACTGCAGAATGGAGTGGCGTCACACTAAGCGCATAAAAACCAGCGAGTTACAGGCCATGCTGCGATCCGATTGGTCGGCACCGAGCGTCCGGATACGCGCCGACGGGATCAGATGATTGCCGACTGGCTCGCCACGCGCCTGGTGAGGCGCCGACCCAGCTGTTGCCATTGCATGCCATGGCAGGCGATGCACAAGGCGCCTCGCATCCGCTAATGTAGCAGCGACGGCTTGGTGCAGGCGCTGTGGCCGGCTACGGACACGACGCGACTTGGTGTCGCTACGCCATGCCACTCTTGTCGCGGCGACATCAACCTCGCTACCGTAGGCAGAGCACAGGTTACACGTGGGTGTAATACAGTGTACAGCGTCAAGATGGCTTGGCTTCGTTTGGTTGGTCTCGTCGTTCAATTGTTGGCCTTGTGGTTCGGACACACTGGCGCTCACGCGATTCCGCCGCTCGTAAATAGTATGTTGGGAGCTTTCCGCGGCGCCACCAGGCGCGGATGGTGCAGTGTTACACAGCGCGACGCGTCATTTGCCCTTTCTGCGTCGGTTGTGGCCTCGTGTCTTTGTTCGGGCGGCTCGTAGACGGACTAGCCACGACGCCGTCATTGTACAATTTTGTGGTTGCTGCGGAGCGTGCGATCGCGTTCCAGTCGCCGTTGTTGTTGTTGTTGTCGTCGTCGTCGTGAGAGCGATACGATAGCAACAGAGATGCAGTCGAGAAGGTTGCGGTGACGGCCGTTGATTTGCTCTTCCGGTACACTGTAGCGCCGGTGTCTGTCGTTCGATAGCCAATAATATGTACTGAAGCGCAGTACATGTACCTCTGTCTTTGAAAGAGGTTGAACCACATTCCAATCGTCCAGGTTGGACCAGAGGTTGGACCCGCCTTGCTAAATAGCTTCATTCCAGCTACAGAAGAGATTACAACCAAACTACAAGCTTCGTGGTGGCAGCTGATGGACGCTCGGGCAGTCTTGAATCATGCGCAGATATCGCACGCGCGTGCCGAAAATGAGCTAGTATGTCTTTCGACTGGTTGGAGCTCCATCCTGTTGGTGTGGGCTCTCGTGACGTGGCGCGGTATCCTCACAGAGATCGACGACCACGAAGCGATTCGAACGGTATTACGGTCTACACGATTATGCTCCATTTTTATCTTGACGGTTACAAAGGTAAAAGCGTTTCGGCGTATCTTGCACGAGAAGACGCCACGTCATGCCTCAGGCCGACTTGGAAATCGATCGGTTGATGGTACCAACGCAGCGAATCGGCGCCTTGAGGATACCGCGGCGCTGGAACGCCTCGACAAAGCTCACGAGGTCCGAGAAGATCTCGGTCTTGGCATGCACCTCGTGCGGCGGCGCAAGCGAGTACGCGCCCTAGTCCCACACGTTGCTCTACTTCCGTCCGCAACGAAGACATGAAAGGTACCGAGTTGAGGTGGTAGATGAGGTTGTGCTGGTATACACCCGGCGTCATGCGCGCCGGCACGAACGAGACGCAGTACGCCTTTTGCGCCGAGCTGTACCGGATCAAGAACGCACCGGGCTGTGCATTGCGCTTGAGAAGCGCTTGCGCTTCGTCGCGCGAGATCTTGCCGTGGAAGAAGCTACGAGGGGTCGTTCAGACGATCGCGACAAGCAAGAGTGACCTCTGAAGACCGATCTCGCGGATGCTAAGGAGTCGCTGGGCCAAAAGGAAGGTTTCGTCCGTGTTGAAAAACATCATCATGTCCATCGCGGCCAGAAAATGCGTCTCGTCAATCAGTTTCTATCATAGGGTTTGAGCGGCGAGCACGAATGGAATCGTTCAAGTAGACCTCGAGGTGCTGGCGGGCATGCCGCACAATGTAGATGCGTGCGCGGCGGGTCGCAGTGTCCCGCGCCGTCTCGAGGTCAAAACTGCATCGTATTGCATCAGAAGGGATGGACAACATGTCAGAGATATATGTGAGACGACGCACTCGAGTTTGGAAAATTGACACCCGACTTGACGCTGCGCTGGTATTCGTTGTAGCACCAGACCCCGATCGCATAGTGTCCGTTCCTGCGCAAGAGTGAACGGGTATGTCATCCTCACGCGAGAGAATGATGACGTACTCGGCGTCGACAAAGTACGGGCCCGCCGACTTGGCGTCCTGCAACCAATCCAGGACGGACGAGTGGAACGGCTTGATGATGTCGCTGTCGGTTATGTAAAAGAGTGACCCGAACCAGGCGAGAATGTCGTGCTGCTCGTAGACCTAACCCTTGCCATCACTATCTCCAAGTACACATGCACACGAACATCGAGCGACAAGATGGACCGGAACATCGAGAGCGGGAGCGGCTCGTTGGCGGCACAAAGCACTTCGAGCACGGGTCGGATCGTCTTCTACGTTGATAAAGTCAACAATAATGCCATCCACGCGTGTCGTAAAGACAACCTTGTAGTACCCGATGGACGGGAACTGCGCGTCAAAGCAGTGCTGGAGGCACCCGCCCATGGACGTCGGGAACGCGTCGAGCTCGTTCAGCTGGAGCTGGCCGACAGCGATCGCGTTTACAAGGTGGCGCGCGTACAAGAAGAGGCCCTCGGCGCGCGCCGCGATAAAGTCGACAATTTCGTTGCGCTTGCCTTGGCTCTCGGTCGTCAATTGCGGCGTGAGCGCCAAATGGAGGTACGCCTTGATGTCGAGCTTGGATTCATAGAGAGACGGGTCCAGCGAGACGGCGGGTGGCATGTACGCTTGGAGCGTCTGGAGCACACTCGGGTCTTCGCGTGTTCCAAAGACGAACCGAACCCACGACGGCCAGAGGTCCATGTGTGCCGTGAGCGTGGCCACAAAGCCCGGTTCAAAGCACTCGATGCCATCGATGAGGAGCACCTACATTGCATCCGTAGTTAAAAATATTGGAAAATAGTTTTTTTTGGCAATTTTGGGGTTTGTACCAGAATCGACGCCGGGTGCGCAATTGCACTCAGCGGTGCGATCAAAAGGGCATGGATGAGGTCGACGAGCGACTTGACGGGCACGATTTCTTCGAGGGGCTCTTGGGAGCTAGCATCGTTTTGTTACGATATGAGGATATAGAGGCGGCGAGATGTACTTGAGCACGTTGGCATATTCGGGCAGCTGCGTCGAGAGCTGGTACACAAGACTGAGCACGCACCGGCGCGCGCTCTGCGTCTGGTCTTCTTCGTGCGACGCCAAATGGAACGCCGCAATTTCGGGGCGGTTTTGAATGATTTGTGCCATGATGGCACTCTTGCCCGAGCCAATCACGCCAGAAACGACAAAGATGCGGCTACCGTTCGGTGTCTGGACCCACGCATCGTATCTATCCAAGAATCGGATAGTTCAGACGACGACAACATTTGGATAGTGGATAAGAGTGGGGTGTAGTACTTGGCGAGGACCCACTCGCGCGCGACAAAGAGTTGGGTGAGTTTGCTAATCTACAAAGCACGCACTCGATCAGGATACGATGTCGGCGGGACGTGCATTACCTGGGACTGGAACGAGAACGGCGAGAGCAAGCTAGGATCATATAGCGTTCGAGCCACTACCCCAACACATCAAGGTACCTAAACAGTCGTGCTTGTTGGCCATCGTGGTCGAGGCCGATTTGCCCATTCAGGGCCGCGAGCAGCTGGTTGTAGCGCGTCTTGTACCGGGCTTCATGGAGTCCCCACGCGATCGCATTCGCCTCGTGGCGGTGCACGGCACAGACGTCGCACATGTCGAGCCACTGGATGCGGCAAATACTGAGCGGAATCTCGCACGGACGCACCATTAGCGGCACGAATCCAAGGCCCTTGGACATGGCCAGTGAGATCTCGTTGAGGCAGACGCCGTGGGGTCGGCCGACACTGCCCGGCGTGATGAGAAGCACGAGCTTGCCGTTTTTCTCTTCTTGGGCCCAGTCGAGTGCCTTCCGACGTGCGTCCTCTTCTTCGGCCGACATGTTTTGTCGCAGCGGCTGCAACGAAACGTCGTGGATGGCAAAGCCCGCGCCGATCAAGTCGGCGCACAGCCGACGCGCCAGCTCGAGACACTTTTCCCCATAGCTCAACACAAAGCGCGAGTTGGCGGCTCCGGCCTCGGGCTTGAGCACCGCTATCAGCTGCGACGGAGGGCTCTGGGGCAGGCACAAACCGACGTTGTTGGCGCCGGCAATCGCCGCCATCGGATAGGCAAGCATGCTGTCGCACTACGCGTGGAGGATGCATGTCACGCGTCGTACACATTGTGCACGTACGAGCTCGAGCAGACTGAGGCAGCGGGTGACGCAGTCGTGGAACGCGCTGCTGTGCAGCACTTGGTTCAGACGCGCGTTCCACACATCGAGAGGCTCGTCGTCGTTGTCGCGCGCCGGCACGATCGAGCGCATGTCGTAGTACGGCAGGTGCGAGATGGACGCTGGCGGCTCGCACGTGGCGAGGAAGATGGGAAAGATGCTCAGACGCAGCGTGATGGCTGTATACGAGGCTCAGACGTGAGGAAGAGCGTCGTGGAGGAGCGTACCGCGTGCGATTTCGTTGAGGCAATAGCCGTCGGGGCGCCGAAGGGCGTGCGGCGTCATGAGCAGCAAGACGCGGCCATGCTCCTGCGCCTCTTTCACGCGGTTGAGGCCGTTGGAAATGTCCGTTTCCCAGTCGCAGCCTGCGCCATGAAGAGCTGTGTCGAGGGATGCCTTCAGTAGTACCTGGTGAAAGCTGCTCGTGGTCGACCCAGACGTAATGGCCTCGCTCCTGCACTAGAAACGACAACGTTAGCCGCATGACAGAGCGCAGCCGTGGCGTACGCTGCGTCTTGATGGCCATGGCGAGGGGCTGGTAGTGGTCGTGCCCGTCTACGTGGGTGCATGAGGCCCATGTGCCATCCAGCAAGGGGCGGACACGAGAGGAAGATCTTCAACTTTGGCCGCGTGTAGCCGACAAACGAGACCAGCTGCGCGCTCGCCGTCGCGGGAAACGTATTCTCACAGGCACCGCAGATCCAAAGCAAGCGACGCTCGAGGAGCAGCACCGAGGACGCGTGGCAGCGCGGGCAGCTCGGCTTCTTGGTCGTCGTCGTCATCATCCAATATCACAAACTCGCGTCTGCGTATGCGTCGTATCCGGACCATCGTGGTGTATCCGGATGACGTTGGCATATCCGGTTCCGCCCAAGATTCCTCCTTGCAGACGACACGCCCACCCGCATCCTGCAGCCACGTTCTGTGCTTTGTGCAGGCCAGGCGACCCTACAGCTGTGCGGCCATCAGCGGCAGTTTGACTGGTTTCATGCAGTGAAATCTCCCTGTTTCCGTGATTTGCAGCTCTAAGATTATGACCCACGGAGAACGTTGCGGTCAACCGCAGAGGTGACTGTAGGAAGAAAGGGCTGCATCCGTACTGGTATTCGCTCTAAGCTTACAGTTAGTGTACTGGCGCATGGCAGTCGCTAGCTTCCAGCGAGGTGGTCACTGTATCCGGATGGCGTACTTAGGAGAATGCGTAATAATATCCGGCTTGAAGTCGTCGTAAGTGCGGTTCTGGCGTTTTGGCCAATCAGGGACGGCGCTGCCACCTGAAGAAGAATTCGATAAACCGGCGTATCCTGGCGATGGACGTCAAGGCGGCGACGGACGCGTCCGAGTTCAGCCTCAACTTTGTCGGCGGCCCGATCAAGTTCCGTGGCGACGAAGGCGTCTTCTTCTCCAAGCTCTTCCACATCGTACGATGCGCCCCATGCTATGACGAGGCTCATGAAGCGGCGCAGGTGGACAATGACGGCGATGGCTTCGTGGGCGGCCTCGAGGGCGCGGCCTTCATTCGCCGGGCCAACCTACCCAACGACGCCAACCGCGAGGTTCGAATCGAAAGGCCACGGCCGATGGCGACGTTGGCGTAGGTGTGGCGGCTGGCGAGCGGCGGCAAATCGCAGGACAAGCTCGGGAAGGACTCGTGGTTTGTCGCGATGAAGCTCGTCGCGCTCATCCAGAGCTGTGGCAAGTGCAAGCTCCAGCTCTTGTACGAAGCAAGCATGCCACTGCCGCTGCCCGACTTTCACCTCGAGGGCCCGCCCGACAATGTGGTACGGTCTCGGTTGGAGTTGGCACGTCTGCATCGCAGTACACACTAGTTGCCATCGCCGCCCGATGGCCACGACCGCCATTTCAAGATTACCGTGAGCAGCCCGACCGTGGTTGGTACAAGCTACAACCGATTTACGCAGTACATTGTGTCGACAACCGTACGATGCGTCGCAGAACTGCCTGTCGTATGCTGAAGCGAGACGCTGGTAGACCGACAGCCCTCTCTTTCCGATGGCGTCGTGCCAAGTGCGTCGGCGCTTTAGCGATTTCGAGTGGCTGCACCAGCGACTCACGGACCGCTTCCGTGGCACGATCATCCCGCCAATACCCGAGAAGCGCTGGACCGGCAACATGGACGCGACCTTTGTCGAGGAGCGTCGGCAAGCGCTCGAGCATTTCATCGTACGCTCTTGTCTTGTGTTTGATAGACAATATTGTCCATTCTGTGGCGTAGAACGAAGTGTGCAACCATGAGAAGCTCTCCAAGACGTTTGAAGTTCAAATCATGCTCACGGCCAACAACGAGGTGGCTGTCTCTGCTACATAGTTCCTGCCACACGACGATCTAGGGCCTCGTGGCGGGCCGCGAGCTCCTCGCAATACAGCCTGCAGTCGCTGCATATGTGCCGAAAGCGTCGTCGGTCACGGGGCTCTGGAGCTCGGTGCGGGACTCCCTCTTCGTCTCCAACGTCCAGCAAGCGGTCGAAATCAAGACGGACGAAGACTACGCCAAGGTATATATGCGACATGCTGTGCCCCATTCGCTAGTCCTTTTTGGTGTAGATTGGTGAGCAAATTGACGTCTACCGGAAACGCATCGAAGACCTCGTGCGCTGCTCCGACGTCGTGTACACGGCGCAGCGCGCCGAAGGTTACGAGCTCTCGCGCTGCGGCACGTACTTCTCCAACCTCGCTGTGCACGAACGCATGGACGTGGCGACGAGCCAGCTCATGGGCGTACCGACATCGTATCTCTCTGTCTCCAGTGTCCTGATTCAGTAACTAGAGCACGGGCGAGTGCTTTGAAGCGCTTTCGCTCGTCTACCAAGACCAGGTACGATCAGAACTTAGGCGATCCACTTACCCCGTAGTATGTGCCTAGCTGGATGCGGTGCTGGCCAACTATGTCTCCAACATTCGATACCTCGCCGGAAAAGTCGGGGCCGTCAAGGTACGTCTCGCGTTGTTTCTGCACAAGTTGTCTATTTTTTCTTGGAGACGGTGCTGAGCAACCGCGAGCATGCCATCAAGGAAGTGCACTTGGCGAGTGCGACCATGCACCGCAACAAGGAGCGGTTTGCAGCGGCGCGTGCGAGCAGCGGCGCTGCGGCGTCGGCCATGATTGCCGAGCAAAAGATGGTCTCGGTACACACGTGTCACCTTAAACGGGGATTTTGCGACACGATGCCCCGTTGCGTAGGCCGAAGATCGCATGAACACGGCCAAAGAGCAGGTCGACTTTATCGCATCGAGCCTCAAGGTCGAGACCCAACGCCTCTACTTGGGCAAGGCCGCCGAGCTCAAGCAGTCGCTCCTCGCGCTCGCGAGGACGCACATTGCCTACCACGCCAAGGTACATACCCGTCTCCGCCACATTGATACCTTGATACGACCCACTGCAACAACAACATTGATACATTGATATATTGCACGACAGGCGCGCGAATCGTGGGCGGGTCTGCTGCCCGACATTGGCGTCTCGGAACGCGACGTGGCCGCCAGCATCGAGCGAACATCGCGGCCCGTTGTCTTTGCGCGGCCCGGGGCGCCCCGCTCGACCATGTAAACGCCGATGTAATAAGCACTCGCTCGGGTCATTCTGTGTGCTCGGTTCACTCGAGGTGTGCGCGTGCACCATCTTCTAGATGTGTTGCTTTCGGCTTTAACGTTTTTTCCACCGGAGATGACGGCGCCGCATCGCCAGCACCAGGGCTATTTCGCTACGGGTCGGTCCCTGACACCAGGTGTACGACATTACGAGCGATCAAGACGTTGCAAGTGCGATGTATCCAAGCCAACCCGATAAAAGAATACCGCGTGGAACCTGTGCCGACAGGGTTTGGTATTTACGCCGCGTTCTCGTCGTCGTCGTCGTCATGGTTGGTCTTTGTCTCTTCGTCGTCGTCATCGTCGTCGACCAAAATGACACTGTCCGTGTCAATCATGTCGTCGTCGTCGTCGTCTTCGTCGTCGTTGATGAGCAGGTCATCGTCCTGGGCGTTGGCCGCCGCCTCGTCGGCCGCAACGAGCACCTCACCATCCTCAAACTTGAGTCCGTCAAAGATCGAGAGGTCCGACATGGTCAGCACGTTGTACGACTCGATGACCGTGTCGCGGTCCCAGACGTCGCGCGTGTAGCGTTGCCAGCCGCGCGGCGTTACGACCGGATCGGTCTACGCGCCATGAGACAACTTGTCTTGCCCGAGCCCGGACTCTACCTCGGTCGTCTTCTGAAGGAGGTTGCTCAAATGCTGCTGGATGGCGGCGCGGAACGTGTTGCCGTCGTCGTCGGGCTTGCCAATCTCAAAGTGGCCCTACTCCAACGTATTGATACATTGATATTACCTCGATCGATCGTCGTGTGTACCTTGTAGATCTTGCGCAGATTGTCAAAGTGGCGGTGCTGGATCGGGATGCCCGCTGGCGTCATGTGCGGCGTCGGCGTCCACTGCTGGAGGTACGCATGGACGTCGACGTGGCTCGGGCCAAACCCCGAAACAATCGGCGACATGAGCGCCCTACCCCGTGTCAATATGAATGATTGATCACGACGTGGCACCTACTTGACGCAGGAGTGGGTCGCCTTGTAGCGCAGGATATCCACGTATTTATGCGTCTCGTTGACAAAGCCCAGGAACCGTTCGGTTGCTGGTGTTGGCTCACGAACGTGCGGCAGGTCGCAATCACTTGCTGGTGCGCGGGGGACGTCGCCGAGAAGAGCTGCATGCAGTGCAGCGCCGTGCCGAGCTGGTCGTACATGGTCGAGTTCATCCACTTGCGGAGCATATCGGCGTTGAAGAGGAGCTTGTGCTCGAGCTCAAAGAGCGACGGGTGGAAGAGCCGCGTTCCGTGGTTGCTGAGGAGATCCAAGAGCGAGCAAATCATCTTGAGCCTAGACAATACAACGTGTTGTTGTATGCACACAAAAAACAATCGTACTGCTCGCCGTAGAGAGTGTTCTCCTGCACCGAGGCCGGGTTGGTAATGTAGCACTTGCGCAGCACCGGCCAGTGCTGGATCACGTCGACGATGCTGCAGCCGATGGGGATGCCCACTTGCTCTAAGAAATGACAAAAATGCTACATTCCCGATAGTGCAGAGGGAGCCTACCCGCGTGGTAGACGATCACAAACGTCGACCGAAAGCCTTCGTAGAGTGACGGAAACGAGCAGAGCCGACCACACTTGCACTTGACAACCTAGAGTAAATCCGGTATCTCTTCAATAAATCCGCCAAAATACAGGAAAATCGACGTACACGACGGTCATTTCGAATGCCGCAGCCGCCGCAGAGGTTCGAGTACCGGACATTGGGTAGCTCCCTCCGCGGGTCCCATCCGAGGAGGTCGACGACCGAGTGCTGTGCGATTTGCACGGCGATGGCTTCGACGAGCCCGTTCGAGACGTTGGCCCGCTTGAGACTGGTTCGTACGTGCTCAGACTCGCGAGATGTACGTCGCCGCAAGAATCATGTACCTGTAGAGTCCGACGATGGCGTTGATGAGGTCTTTGGTCGAGAGCTTCTTCGTCACAACGTCCACAAGCTTGTCGCGGAGCCAGCGCTACGCCATCAAATGGCGTTAGCAGCGTCGAAGGAAGACCACCGCGTCGTGTACCTGTGTGAACTGGGGAATGTAGTACTCGGCCATCGGCTTGACGGCAGGCGGTGCGTGCACGGCGAGCTCCAGCAGGTGCAGCACCGACACGTGGCCCACGAGGGAGAACAGGTCGGGCTTGGACATGACCGAGTGAATGTACGCGATACCCCGGACCATCTACTTGTCCATGGGATAGGATCGAGCTTGTCATCTTTACCGCTGCGGTCGTCGGGTCGTTGGTCGCGACAGGATCAAAGGCTGGCGCGGCTTGCGTGATGCGGCAACTGCCACAGAGCTGGTGTCCTACGCGCCAACGTCGGATGTGGGAGCATGAGATCGACGACCGTACCGCCAATGCACTCGGCGTGCACGGAAATCAAGCAGCCCATGCAAGGCAAGATAAGGCCGTCGTTGCGTCCGCAGAGCCAGCAGGGCTTGACCGTGCTCACCGTCGCGGGCACGGGCTTGATGACGACCGGTGGCGTAGCGGGGTGGGTGAGCCAGGATGGCGCTGTCTTCAGAGCCTCGGCAGACATAGCCGGCACGTTCGTCTCGATGGGCTTGGGGCGCTTTGTGGGGCCACTCTCGTCCAAGGTCGGTCCGGCGCGTTTTAACGGTTCGGTGGCGGAAGCTGCAGTCGTCAGCGTGGCTGCTGGGACAACAAGCTGTACAGTAGATGCTGCTGCATGCACGCCGTTAGCACTCGTAGCAGCCGGCGACTCTACAGGCGCCTCTCGTGGGGCGGGCGATGCAATCGTTGCCTCTGCAGCCTGCTCGGGGCGTGTCTCGGGCAGCAGCGGGCGCGCCTCGTCGTCGACGAGGAAGTCGTCTATCGCGGGGTCTGGCATGTCCCCGAGGCCCTTCATGGGCTCCCCCAGACTCGCTCCTCCCGGCCCATGCTCCATGCTGGCCTGTGTCAGGTTTTGATCCATGGGATCTCGGGTGGTCGGTCATATAATTCCGTTTGTTTTATTCTACATACAATACAAATGAGAAACGGCCCGAATACAATACCGTCAGATACAGTGTGCGGATTGGTCTATTAAATCGAGCTGGCCCAATGGCCTTTCCGAATCGTTCTCTTTTTAGCCAATGAATCGGCTGGAAAGGCCGACTTTGCACCAATCTACGCCTGGCACGCGCGGGGTGTCACAAGAAAACCGACGACATGACGCCCAAGTCGCCTCGACCGCAGGTGCTCGACGACTCGGACTCGGGCTCGGACGACGAGTTCCTGCGCTTGGCCTCAGCCTCGGCGCGCCGCAAGGCCGGCATTCCTTCGCGGGCGCTCTCCCCGCGGCGCAACCTCGAGACCCAGACCGAGAGGAGCACGAACGCGCTGCGCAATGCGGCGCGCAAGGCGACCTTTGTAGTGACGGGCAAGAACGCCGAGAGCCGCCGCCTCCAAGCGACAGTCGACGCGCTCGAGGCCAAGGCGCGCAGCGTCACGATTGGCGCGCCGCCCGCGGGCAAGACCATCTTTGAGCAAAAGGCCGCCTCGAGTGACATTCCTGCGTCCGCGATGGCGGCGTTCCAGAGCGCACCGTCCGACATCCAAGACATGTACAAGGAAGGGTACAGCTACATGTCGGACGAGATGTATAAGGAAGCGTGCGTCTCGTGGGAAAAGATCGTCGCGCTCCCGTCGCCGCCGTCGCTCGACTGGTTCTTGCCGCTTCTCGCGCAGCTTGCGTTCGCCTACAAGAAGCTAGGGTACCTCCGCATGGCGCTCAAGTGCTACCACCGCATTCGTGGCGACATTCAACGCGCGGGCGACGGCCACGACGACTTCTTGGCCGATACGCTGCACCAAATGTCGGCCATTTACCACGAGCTCGGCGACATGGAGCATGCGTTGGCGTACACGGAGGAAGCCAATGCGCTCCTCCTCGATCTCGTCGGCAAGAGCTGCGAGACACCGGCCGAGAAGGCGCGCGTCGACGAGCTCCACCAAGGCCGGCAGCTCGGTCGGTTGCTGCAGGACGCGGCGACAGGCGAGTTTGCCAGCGTCCACACAGCGCTAGAGGCGGGTGATGTAACCATGGAGACGCTCGCGTCCTTTGTCGATCCTTCGACGCACGCAACGTTCCTCATGGCGTCGGCGGGCGCCGGCAGCCTCACCCTCGTATCGGCGCTGCACAAGGTAATGGACAGTGCAGCGTGGAAGGGCCAGGTCGAGACCACGGACGCGCATGGCAACTCGGCGCTTGCGTGGGCGTGCAAGTTTGGCCAAGTCGATGTCGTCGCCTACCTCTTGGAGGCCGGCGCGTCGTTCCAGTCGCTGAAGAAGGAAGAGCTCAAGAGCTGGCCCAAGGAAAGCCTTGCGACCATCCAAACCCACCTTGCGGCGCGCAAGCAGCAAAAGGAGAAAACAAAGCAAGTGTCCCCACCCCCGGTACCACCCCCGGTGCCTGCGCCCGTACCGGCCACGCCGCTGTACAAGCCGTTGCTGCCCGTGTCGCCCAAGGCGGTGCCAGCCAAACCGCTCCAGCTTGCGCCGTTTGATGTGGCACCGCCCAAGACGCCAATGCCAGTGTCCTTCAACGCCGCGCCGCGCAGTGCTGCAGCCGCCACGGGCGCGCTGGCGGGGCGCGACCTCCAGGCGTGGCAGCCCGACGACGACGCGATCGCAGGCATCACCTCCGGCGACCTCGAGGCGACGAACGCTACCACGTGGGATCAATTTGAAGCCAACGAACGCCTTTTTGGCGTCACCTCGGGGTATGACGAGTCGTTGTATACGACAGCGCGGACGGCAGGGACGCCGGCGCAGGAGGCTGCCGCCGCGCGCCTCGCGGCCGAGATCATGGGCCAGCGCAGCAGTAACACGCACGTCATGGAAGAGCGTGGCATCGTCGACGAGATCGTCCATGACCCGGAAGCCCGGTACGGGGCCGTGCTCGGCAGCGGCGCATACGCTTCGCCGACGGCCGCGAGTCGTCGCAACGATGACCGGTTTACGGACCACGCAGTTTTGAACCAAGCGCCACGTGATTAAGCACGACAATATGTACATCGTCATGAATCTCTACTTTTCCACTTGTATTACGGTCAAGAAGGTCTTTGTATGGAGTGTACAAGCGTGCGCGGGACACGTCGCAGCAAGCACACGCTGGGTGCTTCAACAAAGCCAAGATCGCGTCGCACGCCAAATGGCCAATCAGCGCTGGCGGTCACTTTGCACTTATGCACGCGAGCGAGCACGTCGACGCGAGTGAGGCGCGCATCCTGGCAAGCCTCGTGAGCCACCGCCGCAAGGGCCACGCCAAGACCTTGGCGCTGTGCGAAGCCTCGTTCGAGGTGTTGCCCGACCTTCCGGACGCGCTCCGTATCGGTCTCTTTGCGTCGCCCAAGACGTACTCGGCGTACGTCCGCTTGTCGAATGCGTCGCCTCTCGTACAGCCCGACGACGTCAAGGACGTGCGTGGCCTGTCCATCAAGCTGCTGCACGTGCCCGGCGAGAAGATTCCCGAGTCGACCGAGCCTCGTAGCCAGGATTTTATGCTCTTGAGTTGCCCGACTCTGGCCCTTGGCACGGCCAAGCTCCTCCGCGACAGCTTCCGCGACTCGCCGACAATCTTTAAAACCAAGATGGTCGTCAAAGGCAAGTGGCGCCGCCTCAAGGCGCTCTCCAAACCTCGCATTGTGCCCTCGTCGCTGCTCAACATGCCGTTTTACAGTGCGCTGCCCTTCGCGTTTGGGGATGCCATGGTGCGACGACGAATCTACAGCAATGATCCTATTGCTTTGCTGACACACACTATTATGGACTTTGATAGGCGGTCAAGTATGTGCTGCGCCCGACGCGAACAGCGCCAGTGCCACGTGTCAAGCCCGTCCTGGACGACTTTCTCGCAACACAGGCGCAAGCGCAGCTGCATTGCGAAGACGTGACGTTCGACTTTGCGATTCAAGTGCGCCGCGACACGCCCGAGCACCCGATGCCCGTCGAAGACGCCAGCGTGCGCTGGTCCGAAGTCGCGTCGCCACCGGTCGTCGTAGCACGCCTCACGCTGCCGCGCCAGTCGTTCCGCACGGCCGAGCGCGCGGTCCTCGCCGACAAGATGGTGTTTGATGCTGCCCATGCGTTACCAGCGCACCGCCCAATTGGCAGTTTGCACCGCGCAGGGATTGCGATGTACCAAGCCGAACGCCGAACTTCGTGACTAATCTTATATCTTTCTGCGACAGTCCTTGGCGTACGCCTCCGTACAGTGTAGTCACATCGAACGTGTCGAGTGGATACTACTGCGCGACGTTGGCCTTTCCGTACATGAATGCATTGCATCGCATCGCTTTCTCCTGTTGTGTGCGTCGTTCAGACGAAAGTCAGTGGCTGGTCGGTTGAAACGTGTCGTGATCGCTGGTGCCGATTCACTTTGTTACATGTGAAACCGCTTGCGTCGCGCACGCTGCCACGTCATGACACCACACGATGGACCACTTTTAAACCTTCATGGGTGGATGGACACTTTGTTCTCTCGGGGTCGAAGAGTCCTTGGTTTGCATGTTTCTTATAGGCAGCTTCTTTCTCTTATTTTCTTCCATTTCATTGCAATTCGTACGTTGAGAGTCGTATTATGTCATCGCTGCGTCAACAACTTGGTCAAGGACACCGAGGTACTGGCGCGCATACGCTGATCGAAAGTGGTGCCAGTCCTTCATGATCGGGTGTCCGTATGGGTCGAGGACCTCGCACACGTCGCCATCGCACTGGTTTTCGGAAAAGTCGATCAGAGTCGCGTTGGCTGCCACGATCGCGTCTTCGATCATACCGAGCAGCGGCTGCTGCGAGGCACGAAACGCGCTACGGCTCACGGGGCCGACGGCGCCGACGCTGCTGCCTCTGAGCATGTGGTTGAAGTCGAACGCCGCACCTTCGGGGGACATGGTGGCCACAAACACGCGGATGCCGAGTCGCGTGATCGCGGCCATGTCGTCCTGGAAGGCGCGGAGGATGCCTCGGACGTCGGCTTGGTTTTGGATCGCATCGCACTTGTCGAGCTTGTACGCGGGGCAGCACGGAGGCGTCGCGTGTGCTGGTGCGTGATCGTCGCCGCGCATCTGCAAGAACTGGTACCAGTGCGCGACATGCAGCAGTGCCTTTGGCTTGAGCTGCTTGACGATCTGCAGGTTTGGGGCGTACGCGTGGGGGCACACGACAGCACGGGCACACCGTTCCACGACTTGTACAAGACGGTCGGAAATTGGCTCGGACCACGCTCGGCCAAGAGCTGCGCGAACCGCGGCTTGCACATGTCAGCGTGTGAGTCGCCAAGGACCACGAGCGTGTTTTCCAAATGACCGTCGTTGAGAACCGTGGCCGTCAGTGAGGTACGGGCGAGGGGGTAGCTTGTTGGCATCGGCGCATACCCGACGTCGGGATGCCAGTCGTCATGAGCAGCAAGGATCTTGAGGTACGTCGGTGGCGACAACCGCGGACCCCGACTCGAGTTGAGCGTTGAGTTCTTCTTTAGCAAGCTCTTGGTGACCACTGAATTGTTCCCGGGCACTGACGTCTCGGCTACCGTTCCGTGGGCCACCGTCGTCGAAGCTGCTACCACCGGCGGTGCCGTCGTTGCAGCTGTCTCCACTTGGGTCCACGCCAACGACGCGTTGACTCCCTCACCGCTCGACGCCACATCGCCCTTCGACGTCATCTTCACCGCATTCTCGTCTTGTAGCGCTGCGTCGAGCTCCATCTGCGTCAACGACACCTGCGCCGGCATCGCATAGGTACACGCGGCCAGCAGTGTCATGGCCAGCATCGCCAGCATCAAGCCGACAACCACCTTCTTGGACCGGCGCGACCGCAGCGGCGCCTCAATCGACGCGTACGAGACCCACGCCAGCAGTACGGACACGAGAAGCATCACGCCCGGCGCCATGTACAGTGGTCGCGTGTCGGCGTTCGGATACCGCGCCTTGGCAAAGACGAGAAGTGGCCAGTGCCAGAGGTACAAGGCGTAGCTGAGCTTGCCAACAAGCACCATGGAGGGCGCACTCAAGAGCTGCGTGTGCAGCGGCGTCGTGGGACCGACGCCGATCAGAAGCGCGGCCGCGATGGTCGGCAGGAGAGCCCAGGCCCCCGGAAACGCGCTGGCTTCGTCGAGTGCGAGAAACGCCACCGTCAGTAGCAACATCGCCACGCCCGTGAGCGATCGCGCATATGTCCGCAGCATGTACGAGGCACGCGTCATCAGCGGGTCAAAGGACGTCGTCGGTGGCGCGCTGACATAGGCGACAAGCCCCCGAGAGCCATTTGCCAGAACCGACACAGCGGCAGGTAGAACGCGTACTTGTGGGAGCCGTGGAAGCCAAGAAACAGGAGGTTCAGAACAAAGCTCAGCGCAGCGAGGCCAACTTGCAGCGCGAGTGCGCGCCGAACGTCGAGCGACGCGACAATCTTGGCGACGAACGGCCAAACAATGTAAAACTGTTCCTCAACCCCTAGCGACCAGAGATGCAAAAGCGGGTTGGTCTGGACGCTGTCGTCAAAGTAGCCCTGGTCCAGCGAGAGCACTTGGAGGTTGGCGCTGAAGAGCGAGCCCGCGAGCATTGTGGCAGCGAGGCGCTTCAGCGGCGCGGCCAGCAAGTACAAGACACCGAGCCACCACGTCGTCGACAGCATGGCCAGCAGCGTCGGGAAGATGCGGCGAATGCGGCGGCTGTAAAAGCTAGCGTACGAAAACGAGCCTTGAGTCATTTCCTTGAAGAGGATGCCGGAGATGAGGAAACCAGAGATGACAAAGAAGACATCGACACCGATGAAGCCGCTCGTAAACGTCTCGGGGTATGCGTGAAAGAGCAGGACGGGCACAATCGCAACGGTCCGGAGACCGTCAATGTCGGCTCGGTAGACATGGGTGGGCGCGAAAGCTTCGGTCGTGTTGCCGGCGAGTGAGGTCGCGTCCGGCTTGTGAAGCATATCGTGGGCCTCGCCGGGTGTCTCGGGTGCGGGCTCGAGGATCGAAGGGTCGTCGATTGGGACGTCAGTAGCGTACGCCTCGGTGTCGGGCTGCGGTGCCATACGGGATGCGTGTGTTGACACGGATGCAGAAACGGCAAAGTGCACCTTTCGGATGGCTACCTGCAAGTGTTCCGCACCGTCTGATCGATCCATAATTTCATGGCACTCGAATGGGTCCCCCCACATCTCGCGCGGCGCGTTCAATGGCCGACGGCCGAGATCATCCAACGGCGATGCGTTCTGCGCACACATGTCGTTGAAGATCGTGGCTTGTGGATGGCTGCTTCGTGAGCTCTGGTAGCTCATGCGGCGGCACTTGGTGGCAGTAAAAGGTGGCACCTATCTGTGCGGAACCGACTGATAGAGCGCCAGCAAGGTACTGGGCCGACCACGGCGCCTTGTCTGCACACATGCGGTGGATATGAAGGAATGAGTCTTGCAGGACGTCGTACACACCCTTTGCCTGGATGCCAAGGATAAGTGGAGGAATATTTTTGAAGGACCATAGTACTAGTTGGGAGATAGCAGTATACGACTACGCTGTGTGCACTGACAGACGCGCACCATTGAGTCGTCCGTACACAGGCGCAAGATTGGTCGTGGCCAATCACGAAACGGAGTCACGAGGAACAAGCGCGCATCCGGAACTGGAACGATCGCATCTCAGAAAACACACCACACGAGGGCAGTTTAATGTGAAGGGTAGAGTGACCCGAGTCATTATTTACTCTGCGTAGAATCCTCACACGTGTTTTATGTCCTAGTTGGCGGATTGAACGGGTCAGAACCAGGACTCCTTGCATCCTCCCAGAGGACAGTGTCCTCTTGTATGGGCTTAATGCACTACTGTTCCAATAGCAAGTTCTACACAACGGCGTCGACAAAGCCCCTCGCGACGGTCGGCGGTGTACACGGGGGCGCTATTACGTGGCAGCACGTGGAGAGAGGGTCCATGACGTGGCAGCGTCTACTGTCAGCATGCGCATGCAAAGTGTGTCATCTCTTACCGCCCCCCAACGAAGTCTCGTGCATGCAACGCACGCATGACGTACGACTGGTATACGAGGTAATACACTTTAAAGCGATTGCCGTCGTCCTAGCGACTGGCGCACGCATCGCAGCATTCAAGTTGGTGTTTTCTGCGGCCTCTCATTTCGTGGACAACGTCACATCAACCTCCATCGTTTCTAGCACACAAACCATTCTTCCTGGTGCTTCTCCATGACCAAAGACACGACCAAGCAACGTACGTACTGTAGCTAGTAGTCGGTATCAGCGTCCTACGCTAGTAAAGTAGGCACGACCACCGCAGCGGCGACTGCGTGACTTGTATTAGCGGTAGAGATGGGTGCTCTATCCTTTAGCACGACTTTAAGACGTCGACTCCAAAGTCGCTAACTTGTATGGACTCCTCGTCGGCTGATGGCGCAGGTATCATCACGTGCAGGCGCGTCATCAAATCGGGCATTCCTAATCCGGCTGGCCGGATTATGCAGCGTCATCACCTGTCAAACCACATCATCGATTCCCATCGACCATACAAAGACCAAGTTCTCCTGACAACATCATTTTGTAGAGGTTTGCACTTGGCACGCCAAGGATCGCGTATTTCTGAATTCGATGGCAGCCGCCCCGACCGTCGCCGCCGCCGTCGTCGCCTCGTACGTCGTCCTCGGCCGCTTCATGCACATCGAGCGGCTCGCCAAGAAGGCGCTGCCCGCGGCGCTCGCCGGCGTCCTCTACTATCGCTACCGCGCGCACCTCACGGGCGACGCGCCATCGAGCTTGCTGGCGCTGGCATTGGACCTCGTTCCGCCAGCATTGGCCTTTGTCGTTGGCGACGCCATGGCGCTCCTCATGCTTATCTACGTCACGTATTCCGTGCTGGACCGTCTCCGGAAGGCACGGTACGGCTTCTCCAAGAAGGAGGCGATCAACAAGGTGGGGAACGCGGCGATGGCCATGTTGTCGTACATTCCATTCCTCCAAAAGAAGGTGCGCGCCGAGATTGCCAAGATCGAGGCCGACATTGAGCACTCGCTCGCTGAGCAGAGCAAGTCCGCAGTCGACTTTCCCAAGCGATTTGCGCTGCCCGAGAAGGGCCAAGCGTCGGCGGACGTGCTCGCGACCATGGTGCGCATGGTGCAAGGCGAGGACAAGCGCTGGCAAGACGGCCTCGTCTCGGGGGCCGTGTATCACGGCGAAGACGAGCACATTGCCCTTCTCAACCAAGCGTATGGCCTCTTTGCCGTCACGAACCCGCTCCACGCCGACCTCTGGCCGTCGGTCGTGCGCTTCGAAGCCGAGGTCGTTGCGATGACCGCCAGCCTTCTCAACGGCGGATCCGCCGACGTCGTCGGGTCGCTCACGTCGGGCGGTACCGAGAGCATTGTCCTGGCCACGAAAACGCACCGCGACTGGTTCCGGCACGACCATGGCATCACGCGGCCCGAGATCATTGCCGCCGTGACGGCCCACGCCGCGATCGACAAGGCGTGTGACATGTTCAACATCAAGCTCATCAAGGTGCCGGTGGACCCGATCACGTACCGAATCAATCTCGACGCGGTGCGTTGGAACATCTCGGCCAACACGATCATGCTGTATGCGAGTGCACCCAACTTTCCGCAGGGCACCATCGATGACATCGCCGGCCTCTCGCAGATGGCGACGCAGTACGGCCTTGGCCTGCACGTCGACGCGTGCCTCGGTGGCTTTGTGCTGCCGTTCGCACGCATGCTCGGCCACAAGCTGCCGCCGTTTGACTTTAGCCTGCCCGGCGTCACGAGCATGTCGTGCGATACGCATAAGTACGGCTACGCGTCCAAAGGCACGTCGGTGGTCCTCTACAAGAACAAGGCGATTCGCCGCTTTCAGTACTTTGCCTTCTCCGACTGGACGGGCGGTTTGTATGCGACGCCGACGATCGCGGGCAGTCGCCCGGGTGCGCTGAGTGCCGCCGCGTGGGCGTCCATGGTCAAGATGGGCAAGGAAGGCTACGTGGAGAAGACGCGGGGCATCCTCGAAACCGTCGACATCATCAAGACGGGCATTCAAGCGATGGGCGACGCGCTCTTCATCCTCGGCAACCCGCAGGCCATGGTCGTCTGCTTTGGAAGCCACGTTCTCAACATTCTCAAGGTCAGCGACCGCATGTCCAAGGCGGGCTGGAGCCTCAACGCACTCCAGCACCCGACAAGCGTTCACATTTGCGTCACTGTGCGCCACATTGGGAAGGGCCACCAGTTTCTCTCGGCGCTCCGCGAGGCTGTACAATTTGTCCTCGCCGACCCGGAAGGCAAGCTCAGCGGCGGCAGTGCCATCTACGGCATGGCGTCGACCATGCCCGCGGGGCCTGTCGAAGACATTCTGCGCATCTACACGGACGCAACCCAGACCTTGTAGTGCACGAGTACACCTTGATCATTTTTATATCAAAACGTTTATCGCATTTCAAGAGACGAGCAACCTCCGTCTTCTGCACGGACCATGAGCTCCATCGTCCTCCTACATATCCAAGCCATGGACATGAGGGCTACACGCGATGGCTCCAACCCACGTCGTGCGTGGCTTGCCGAAGCGACCTCAATGCACGCAAGCGCATGCGTGCTCACTGCTTGCAATGTCGCCCAAAAGATGGCAAGATCTACCTCGAGGTCGCCGATGACGTGTTGCTGTACGTGGCCTTGGGCGGTAAGCTTCATCGTCGACGGGCACCTGCATATGGAGCATCAAGTGCACATGCGCGGCTTCTCGGCTGCTGCCTTCTATTGATCCTGCGGGAAAGAGATGGAATGGGAGACAGCCGAGCAACACACAAGGGCGCACAAAAGAAGGGGTTGCAATTGATGGCGCATCAATGGCGGCTATATCTACATCCAAACAGTCGTCGACAACGTTTACTTGTACGTCTCCATCTGGCGGGCGACTTCGGCGACGTACGCGGCCTGCGCAGCCTCCTTGCTCATGCCCTTCTTGGCGTTCCACGCATCCCACTTGGCCTTGCCGGCGAGGTCAAACATGCCGGGGCGCGACGTGTTGCAGTCGCCCTCCGTGCCCTGCTTGTAGAGGGCGTAGAGCGCAAGCTTGTCGTCGTTGGACGGCGACGAGGCAGGGCTCCAGTTCTTGATGGCGGCGGCGGCGGCTTCAAAGTCAGACATGGTCAATTCGGAAATGAGAGCGATGAAGTGACTTGGCCCTTTCTTGGAAGATAGCCAATCAAACGCGTTTGATATAGGATGCGCCGCGCTGATTGGACCACTTGGACAGAGGCCGCGTATCCGGCAAATCCGGTTGCGTTGACGCAACACTGCAAGCTGAGAGGGTTCTCGAAGACGACGAAGTTCAAACCACCCAACCTTGCAAGCCTTTCACGCTCGCGCTTGAAGCGTTGTCGCCAAGTACTGGCTTACACTAATACGACCGGAGTAGCTACCGCACTGGCGCGTCGGCAAAGGACGACGGACGGCGCAAAGCACCGGGCAACTCGCGGCAGCACAGCCTCTACCGCACACTATTTACGGTAGGGACCGGGCTTTGAAAAACGTCTGGTGCCGTCATCCACGAGGGCGAATGACGCAGTTATTAGATGCATGCTGTCTCTACAGTCGGCGACAACATCGACAATATTTTCCAATCCGAATCGACCGAAAGCTCCTGAAGAGCAGTAGCAACACTGGGCTCTTGATCCTTGGATGGACATGCTCGTGGTCTCATGCGACTCGATTTGACGGCTGTATTCTAGTACATGCGTGTGCGACCGGCACTGAGCTGTGCAAGCAGAGGCGACGAGGTTGGGGCTAAACCGGCAGTCGGGCGTGGCGGGGGGTGGCTTTTGCCTGTAGCGGCCGAAGTAAACATGCTAGGCCAGGCGTCGACACCCCCGAAAACCAATTTTTGTATCAATACAATCGAACGGTTGAATGCCGGATTCGAACCCGGGTCTACCTGTGGTCCACGCCCGGTATGTCCAACCGCCCGCGGCGCATACAAGTGCAGCTACATTAGTACTGCGGCACCATCTCCGTGCACACTCTGTCGTGCAGCGAGAGCTCGTTGCCAACAAGTTGATTCTCGCTGCCATCAAGTTGATACTTTTTTCGCACGTTGATACTCGACATCAAAGACGGGTTGCTTGGATAAATAGGGCGACGACTCAAACGACGGACGGAAACCAAGTCGCGAGGACACTCGCTTGGTTGGCCCAGCCCAAGTACGTTGGCTGGAGGTAGCTCGTGTAATTCGGTCCACTCGAGAGGCGATGGTAGAGCACAAAGACAGCCGCCGTGAAGAGAAGGGCGTCGACACGGTCGAGCATGCCGCCATGCCCCGGAATCAAGTCGCCCGTGTCCTTGACTTGCGCAAGCCGCTTGATCAAGCTCGCCAAGAGGTCGCCGTAGCGCGAGATGACGGCGCCGACGACGGCAAACACAAGCTGCCAGAGAAGACACGTGTAGAGGTATGTATCCCGGTCCATGCGCAGGTCCCGGAGCACGCTGTCTGGCAAATCGGGCGGCGCCACAAAGTTGACTAGCAGCACGAGAAGAATCCCTAGGAACGCACCGCCGAGCGTGCCTTCCACGTCTTTTTTCGGCGAAATGTGATCGGCGAGTCGATGGAAGTGGACGTAGCCCAAGGCGGGAATGACGTGGCCCGTGATATAGGCGCCAGTGTCGGCGCCCCACACGACCGCGAGGAAGCCCAAGGCGAGGCGCCGGCCGTCGACGACCGAGACCATGAACGCAGCGATCGGGTCCATGAGCAGCGCGACGTAGCCATACCCGACGCAGTCGAGAAGGATGCCAAAGAGGACGCGGATCGCGTCCGGTGGCGACGTAGTCGACGCACCGCTGCAGTGCACCGCGATCGCGATGAGCGCAAAGACGTGCTTGGTGTAGTCGGGGCTCGGTATGTACATGTGGTTGCTGTAGTAGTTGGTGCCAAACGCGTGGAGGGCGCGGAGACCGTAGAAGAGTTGAACGGTCAGCAAGAGCACGTGCGAGCGCCACGACGGCGTCAGCCACGCGCAGTAGAAGGCGACCCAGCCCGTGACGCCGAGGTAGAGATAGAGGTACGCAACGGCTTGCGTCTCGGGCCGCTGCTGCTCGAGATCGGCGGGCAGCGACTGGAAATGCCAGTAGTAGCGGTGCGCGACTTGTGTGAGCCCGAGGAGCAGCGACGTCTGCAAGGTCGATGCGAGGGCCGCCGCCAGCTTGTCATAGCCGCGCGAGAGAGGCGAGATGGCACAGTCGCGGAGGTTGAGGACCGGAATGGGCTGGAGCGACGCGAGATCCGAGAGTGCGACCGACGTCGCCACGCGGTGCACGATGCGGTGGCTCAGCCACGCAAACTCATAATAGCAGATCGAGACGACGACCGAGCAGAGGAGGTACGGCGCAAATGGCGGCCCGAGAAGGACGAAGATCAGCACGGACGGCGCGAGCACGAGGCCCGAGAGCACACGCTGGATCGCGTTGGAGCGGCGAATGCGCCGGACGACGTGGCTCTCGCGCATTGTACGCATCGCGTCCTGCGTCTTGGTGCCGATGCTGGTAGAGGTCATGGCCTCGAGCAGCACGACGTCGTCGTCGACGGGCTCAGTCGTCACGTGCTCGGCCACCAGCGTGTCGAGCCGCACGCCTGGCATCCCGAGAATTTCGTTCGATGACGCTTGTTCCGATCGCACACCGCATGGCGCCCGCACCAGCTGCCACGTGGATGGATTCGAATTGAATGCAAACCATTAAATGAGCTTGGGGTTTGTATCCAAATGGTGTATTAAAAAGAAAAAAGGCAGAGCCGGCGAGATCCAGCCGCCAGCTACACCGGTGACGGCCGCGTGGGTGACGGCAGCGCCTTCTCCATGGGGACTATTGCAGTGCGAAGCCCACTGGAACAACGACACCAGTTTGACCTTGCGCCGCCTTCTTGCTCGCGCCGCTGGCTATATCGATGAGCGAACGAACGGAGCGTCTGAGGCGGTATACTGGAGCTACGTCGTCGCCGAGGCCTTGCGAGCCGGAACGACCGCGGTGGCTCGTGCTGCTGCTATAATACTGTGGGCAATACCGGTGGCAACCGAGCCTATCCTGCGTATCAGCAAAGATGCAGGTATTCACGCAGTGCCAAGGAACGTACTTCTCCAAGTACTTGACGAAACACACGCGCATGAGCCTACTAGAACCACCCTGGCTTCGAAGGTGGCGACGGCGTCCACTCGATACCATCTATGCAGTAAACTATCATGGATGGTTTATAGGTGGTTTATAATTGGTTCTGGAGCTGGTTTTATAGGTGTTTTATACATTAGTATTCGTAGGTTTTGCATGTCGTTCCAAGGAGCTGCCAATTTGCCTAGAAGAAGGTCCGTAGCTCCCACAGTTATTAACCGACGCCGTCCTCGGCGCATCACGGCAAGTACCGCGCGTCACATTTCATCAACCAATGCGATCATAGTAGGTTGTGTACAGAGGACAATAGGAGGTCGTAGACTATCTTCAGCGGCTAATAACTGAGCTTCTGGGGCGCGGCGCACCAGCCGCACGCGCCAAACTGCTTGATCCACTTGTTCCAGCTCTCGCGCTCGGCGATCGCCTTGCAGTTGGTGCAGTTGACCGTCATTTTCGCGACGACGGGAAAACCCGTGATGATGCACGGCTCAAACTTGGCCTTGCACTCGGTGCAGTGCAAGCTGCCTTCGTAGATCGAGGCTTGGCAGTTGGGGCACGGCCGCTCCGGCAGCTTCTCCTGCACCTGCTGGTCCATCGAGATGGTGAGCACCCAATCGCGGATCTCCTCGCGCGCAGCTTCGTCCGGGAGGTACTGTTCGTCCGGCAGTGGAAAGTCGCGCGGAATGTCTGTGCTTAAAAAGTCCGAGTTGTCCAAGCTGTTCAGGTTGCCGTCGTCGATGGCCTCGGTCAAGTCGAGGTACCGGTTGAAGAAGACGAACGCGGGACTAAGCCATTTCTTCGCGCGGCAGCCAGCGCCCGCCAAGTAGAAGAGCTTGTCGGCGGGCAAGACGGATATGTACCGCAGAAGCGACATGCCAATCTTGCACGCAATGTCTTGGAGCCCTGCGGCTTGCGCTTGGTACTTGAACGACGTGTAGTGTGCGATGAGTAAAAACTGCTCCATGGTCGCCACCTGCGCCGGCGACACCTCCTTCGTCGCCTTCATCTCCTTCACGAGCTTGCGAAGCACCTTGACGAGCGACGCGACGTTGGCCGCGTGCTCGGGCGTCGGCTCGACCGCCACGGGGCAGCCGAGACACTTGGCCACCACGCGCTCGACGACCGGCAACGTGTCGTCGACCAGTGGCACGCCGTACGTAGTAAAGGCGGCAATTGCCGCGTCGGCGTCGTCGTGCTCGAGCAGCCGCGTGCAACGGAGGACGAGGTACTTGGCGAGTGCTTTCGGGCCGTGCTTGGCTGCGGACGAGAGCACCTTGTCCCACTCGCCACGCTGCATCCAGACATCCAGCGCGTTGGCGGCATCGGATGACTTGGCATCGGCCTTGGCTTCGGGCACGCGGGTCTCCTTCGCTTCCTTGAGCTCGTCCTTGGCCATCGCCTTTTCTTGCGGCTTGGCGTCGGCGTGGCCGAATGCGGAGGCATGCTGCGCGCGCTCGAGACGCGGCAAGAGTTCCGGCGCGTGCTGTTCGCAGAGCTTTTGCGCCGCGACCCAGTTGTTGGTGCGGAGGTAGCAGTCAAGCGCCTCCGACATCTTGTCGATGGCCTTGAAGTAATTGGCCGCCGCGTCAAACATGGACATGGAGAGGAGACGCGACGCGACTTCTTCGACGACGCTCTTGAAGCGGCCGCGGTCGTGCTTGGACGCGAGCTCGACGGCGAGCCCCCAGATCTCTTCGAGCCCACTCGGGTTCTACATCGGTTCAGATTTTAGATGCCTGACTCCATTCGGATAGTGTACATCGAGCTGATCGAGCGTGATCGAGAGGTACGCGTCGATGGCCTGGACGTATTGCTGGCAGCTGACCCAGATCTCGCACGCCTCGAGCAGCTCTTCCTTGGATTTCGGACCACCGGAGAAGATCGCGCGCTGGTGGGCCATGTTGACTTCACCCAGCTTGTGGGGGAGGTGGCGTTTGGCCAAGCGCATCGCGTCCGACCAGAGCTGGCCCTCCATGTACGCGGCCAGCGCCATCTCGGGCTTGCCGGCATTGAGAAAGAAGCTTTCTACGCGAATACGGATGATGATGAGGATGCCTCGACGATCGACAACGTGTTGGTACCAGCACGGGTGTACTCCTTTCGCTCGACCCAGAGCCGCGCTTGGGCCACAAAGACGTCCGAGACCGAGGCAGGGTCTGCGGTCTCGGCCACACGCATGGCGTTGGCCCAATCTTGCTGGTGAATGTACATGTCGACGGCCTCGCGCGGCTTGCACGCCTTGATAAACTCCTCCTCGGCGGCTTTGAAGTCCTCCTTGTCTTCCAGCGACAGCGCGTGCTTGAGGTGCACTTCGGGGAGCTTCTTGGGCGCACAGCTGCGTGCGAGCTCGAACGCATGGTCGAACGCATCACTCTCGATTGCATAATCGATCGCTGACTCGATGAGCCCGAGGCGCGCGAGCAGCTTGGCGCCGGCCTCGCCGCCAAGACTCATGGCCCACGCGTACGCCACGCGCTTGCTCGCGTTGATGCCGCCGTGGTACTTGGCCACACGGATGGCTTCGTCCCACATGTCGTTGGTCCGGTACATGGTGACGGCCGCTTGGAACTCGCCGGCCTCGGCGTAGTGGTGCTCGGCCTCCTTGAAGTTGCTCTCGTGCTCGAGCTGCTGCGCAAGGTACAAGTGCGTGTCCTTGAGGAGGTCCTTGCGGTACTTGGCCACGAGCCGAATCATTTGCTCGTAATTCTTGTGGTTCTTGTACATGTTTATGGCCAAGTCGGGTTCGTTGACCGTCAAGAAGAGCTTCTCGGCCTCCTTGAGCTTCCCCGCGCGCTCCATGCGGTGCGCTTGCTCGACATACAAGCGCTCGGTCTCGTACTTGTCCATGTGGTTGAGCGCGACTTGGTACGCCGCGTCCCACTTGTTGGCGCGCGTGTACATTTCGACCGCGTCCCGGGCCGCGTCGGCCTTGATGAAGCAGCGCTCGGCGGCCTCGTACTGCTGCGCGTCTTGGTAATGGCGCGCGAGCCGCCGGTAGTAGGGCAGTGCAATCTCGTCGTCAAGCGTCTCGACCATCTGGCCGGCCTTGGCCCATTGGCGCGAGTTCAGCGCGGCTTCGACCGCCTTGGTCGGCACGTTGCCTTCAATGTAGTGGTTGATGGCCATGTCCATCTACATGTGTCATTTGCATCCTGCAAGCAGCCACGCGTTGGGTGGAGTACCTGCTTCTGGGACACGAGGTAGTCGCCCCAGCTCTCTTCGAGCTTCATGACACGGTCCGGGAAGACACGGCGCGAGAGATCGACGGCCTTGCGGAACGCGTTGGCTTTAAAGTACGCGGCGAGCGCACGGTCTTCCTCTTCCATCTTTTCGAATTGGTCGCCCGCTTTTTCATACATGCCCGATGCATACAACGCGTCGGCGACGCTTTCAAGGAGTGCGCGGTGGTCGCGTCCGAGGTTGCGTTCGTTGAGGAGGTTGGCCGCCTTGGCCGGGAGGCCGCCTAGTTGCATTTTTAGGATACGACATTCTCGACACGGATAGAAGGATAGACCCTTGAGATAGAGGTGGACGGCGCTGGCAAAGTCGCCCTCCTTGACCTTGAGCACTGCCGCCTTCTCTTCTTGGCGCGACGACAAGAGGTACTCGGCGTACTGCCGCTTCATTGCAGAGGTGAGCCATGGTTGCGCGTCTCGGCCACGCGGATCGCATCTTCCCATTTCTGGAGCAGTTGGTACATTTCAATCGCCTCTTCGACTTGGCCTTGGTTGAGCAGAATGTGCTCGGCACTGCGGTAGTCGTTCTTGAGCAGCGCGAGCTTGGACCGGACACGCCAATGGACCATGCCCTCGGACATCTTGGACTGCTCCATGTAGTCGATCTTGTTGACCTTGCGGAGGTATCGGCAGCGGCACACGTCCCCAAGGGCGGCCACGCAGCGTTCGGCGATCCGGTGGTCGTTGCCTTTCAGCGCTTCGGCGCTCAGCTGTGTCCACATGGCCTCGGTCTCGGGCGTGAGCTCGAGCGGCTCGAGAATCGCCATCGCGCGCAGCAGCTGCTTGTCGTCAATGGCAGTGCCAAAGTTGATGAGCGACTCGTCGAGCTGGTAGCTCGCCGTGTTCATGCCTTCGTCGACAATGACTTCGGTGCGGCCATTCGCGCGCTCGATCTGCTCGACGTCGCCTTTAATCTGGTAAATCGTCGCTTTGTCCGGGCTGCGAATGTTGTACCACACGTAGAGGTTGTTGCGGTTCTGGGCCACGACAACGTCCGAGTCGGGCACCCACTGCACGTAGTTGCAATAGTTGAGCAACGTCGACCGCGTCTGCGTGTCCATATCAAACAAATGCAACTGCCGGCGCTTGTCGCGGAAGAGCAGCAAGTTGCCGTGCGCGTTGAGCTCGAGCCAGTCGACACGCGCATCGTGGTTGACGGTCGTCGACGCGTGCACATGCAGGTCTTTGACCGAAATCGTCTGCAAGTCGAGGAGGAACGCCATCTTCTTGTTGTCGTCCGAGGGCAGCTTGGTCGTCTCCGACACGATCGGGCGCTCGTTGATGCGCACGGAGAGCAAGTGCAAGCTCAGATGCTCGGTGCGCACGGAGCCAAGGATCTCATTTTGACCATACTCGATGAGCGAGAGCTCGCCGGCTTGGTAAATGATGCACACGGCGGGATTCTCAAACATGTACTTTTCGGCGCCCGTCGACTGCCACTGCACTTCCGAGAGCTTCGAGGTCTCGAGGTCGCCGACGAGGAGCGTGCTGCTCGTGTTGGCGACAAGGAACCGGTCTTGAAAGACGTTGAGCTTGGTGATCTCGCACCCAAACGTCGAGCGGACAATGACGCGTTGGCCGGTCGCAATCCGCTTCACAATCACTTGGCTCAGCGAGACGTACGTAAATTCAAACTTGCCCTTGTAGCGGTACCGGCGCACGCACGCATCAAAGAGGTCGAGCGCGCCGCAGACCGACCCGACCGCGAGCCGCGACCCGTCGTACTTCCAGCCGAGGCTCGTGACCGAGTAGAGGTTCTCGATCGTCTTGACACCCACGGCTTCCCACGAGTTGGTCTTGACGTGGTGGCTATAAATGTAAAACGAGTTGAAGTTGCCGACGACGACCGAGTCGCCGGTCGGATTGAAGACACTGGTCGTGAATTCGCCGCACTTGTCGTCGCTCGAGTAGTCGAAGCTCCGGACGAGACCGCCGTCCTTGTTGTAGAACGCGACCTTGCGATCGTTGCCAGCCGCGACGATCGCCTCGCCCCACGCGAGCGCGTATGGGACGCACGTATGGATCGCGATCTTGGTTTGGCTCGACCCGCCGTTGACGTCGTCAAAGATAAAGCGGTAGATCGAGTGGTCGTAATGCGACGAGAGGATCGCGGTGCCCTCCGGGTTGGTGCACATGGTCGAGACGTAGCTGCCGGTCGCATACAAGGTCGCGGGCTTGTTGCTGCGCAGCTGGCCGAGCTTGACCTTGCCATCCGAGAGGCCAAACACAATCTCGTTCGGGTGGGCCGTCGGCCAGATCATACTCGTGACGCTGCACGCTTGCATGAACTTGTTGCAAATCGACTTTTTGTCGCCCCATTCGAGCCCGAGCTTGTAGATGAACACAATGTTGTCGCTCTGCGCGACCGCCAGCTTGGACGAGTCGGGCGAGAACGCGAGCCCGCGCACCGTGTAGTTCTTGTCGCCCTAGGTGCACCGTTGGCTTAGCTCATAGCGTCGGCTATGATGGGCGAAGCGCACCTTCTCGGCGGGCTTGGTCGAAAACTTGTCCTTGCGCTCGCCCGTCGCCGCGTCAAACATGTGCACGACGCGCTCGACCGTGACGACCGCGAGCCGCCGATTGTTGGGCGACCACGCGATCGCAGTCACCTTGCACATGCCCTCGGTCGGCGGCAGCACCGTCGAGAGGTGGCGCAGCTGCATGATGCTCCTCGGTCGTTAATGAGGAGTCGGCCGTTCACTCGAATCCGCGACCTTTCGAAAAGATCTTCAAGGTCAATACCCTTGAAACCTAATATATCGAGCAATTCAAACCGACAGGTCTTGTCGCAACAAATATGATCACACTATCTACGGTATAGAGAATAGTGTGAATAGTGTGAGACACAGAGTACTACGTACTAGCAGTAGGTCTTTAGTAGGTCTTTTATCATTGGCGATGGAGGTTAAACTATCGGCACTTCACTCGTCCGGCGTGCAGTCGCGGTTGCTTATGATCGGCTCTTGGCATTGACATTATAATCCAGTAGAGCTAGTGGCAAGGACCAGTGATTGCGTCGTGATCATTTCTGTGAAAGTTAACAGGGTCCTATACGACCAGCAGCTTGCGTTGGGTCGTCAACGTCACAGACAATATTCTCGATCGCGTCGTCGTCGATCGATGGCGGGTCGTAGGGCCTTGCGCAACGACTCGCACCACGTGATCGACGGGACAATGCATTTGTCGTACATTGTACATACATAACACCCCTGAATAAGACCCACGACAGCGAATCCCCCGCCCCCTCTTTCGGACGTAGTGTCAGGCTGGCAGTTAAGGCCCACTTATAAAGGTCAGGGGTTGGTCGAGTGCCGTTGCATTAAACGAGTCGAAGCGGTGTTGGTACTGAAATCCATTCTTGAGAGCTGATTCGGTGTTGGTGGGTTCAATTCAAGGGTGTAGAGCCCTGGACCGAGCCGGATAGGCAGCTTCCTACCGTTGTGGAAGGATAACGATAATTGCTTGCGGGACCGCAACGGTATCCGATCACAACTGCGTCAACGCAAACCACGTACGCCTTGGTAGACGCAACCAGCAACCCGGAAATACGCCGTTTCAGCGCCGTGCATTGCAATCCATCGCAGTATCACTCTTGCCACACCATGAGCAGACGGCCCAACCACCGCCGCAGTGCGACGACCCTACCACCCCCCTACAGCAAGGTGCGGCCGACACCGAAGGACGGCAGCATCCATCGCCGCGATGCCGTCCAGCTGCCGGCTTTTCGTTCGACGACCGTTCTCGTTCAACCGACAACCAGGAGCGACGTCGTTGAGGCCGTCGAGCTGACCACCCACACGGTCACGGCGTGCAACCGCTTGCCCGAGCCAGCCCACTGGAACGTGCTGCGTGGTATGAGCGAGGGACTTGAAGAACGATTGCTACGTTGGCGATACACTAGAACTCCAGGAGTGTGCGCATATCGAGACGAAGATTAAAGCTGTGGACGAGCCACCCCCGCTCTCCCACCGGCACCACGGAACGGCCGCCGACCGCATCAAGGCTTCGTGGTCTCTCTACGACGCAATGAATCAGTCGCTAACGTCCAAGCCTCGCGACTCGACCGCGGCCTTCAACATTCTGAAAGAGATCGGACGCTACCGCCGCCTTGCCGACGTTTTCAAGCAGCTCGATGACAACCGTACGTCTTCGTTGCTTTGTAGGATGAATCTGTGCTTGACTGAGGGTAGACGACGGCGTCGTGACGCGAGAGGAGCTCGTGGCGTGGGCGACGAGGTTCAAGATTCCGCTGACGGATGCGGACGCAGACGCGCTCCTGGCGTTCATGGACCGCAACCACGACGGCACCGTCACTTGCGCTGAGGTTGACGTGCTTGTCAAGCAGTTTGGCGGCGCGTCGCCGTCGCCACCGCGAGACAAGTCCAAGCAGCGGCCGGTGCCATCGCGTCACAGGAAAACCACTAAACTGCCAAAGTAAGATAAAGCCTGCTTGCCTCTAAGAAAGGAGTTGCGTACAAGATGAGCCACAGCAATGAATAGTGGCCTTGAAAACGACCTGTAGGTCATGATGACTCCTCCACGAAGCACGTGTACTCGACTCAACGCCACAAGCAAGCATGTCGACATGCGCGCGGTATCGCTCGCACGCGCCACGGCAGTCGTCGATCAACGATGCTACACCACCCACAACGACCACCACTGATGCCATCCCAACCCTATGCCGGTCACGGCGCTGGTGCTGGAATGCTCCTGGCTTCACCAGCCTGGATAAAGCATAGTACTACGCGTGCACCATGGTTTGTACTGCTAGTAGTACATTTTATACTTGTGCTTGCACGGCCGCGCTCCCTCTCGAGGTGTTCCTCAAGAAGCTCGACCGCAAGCCCGTTTCAAGTTTCAAGATCTTCTCGACCACGACGCCACGTATGCGCTGGTTCAGCACGTCGAGCCCACACCAACCCATTTCGGTCGTTGGCGTCAATCGATGTTCAAAGAGCATTGCTTCGTGCCTCGACCTCAAATCGATGATGACAACAACGATGTGGCTGCCGACGACGGTGATGCTGCCGCGTCACTCGGGCATCTCCAAAGCCGCCCACTGGAAAACAGGAAACGAGCTCACGGCCCGCACCGAGCGCTGCAACGTCGGACGAGTGCTGTGGACACGTCGGCAAGCGCCTGAAGCCAGCGCCGTCGTTCTGCGACTCGATGCGGGTGGCCCGCAACGAGAAGTCAGCCGCCACCTTCGCGTGGCTTTTCGAGCGGCTCCAAGAGCGGCCCGATGTCGTGCTGTGTGTGCACGTCACGGCCTCTCGTCTTCGTCGCAGCCGAAGCACTGCTGGAAGCTACGCCATTAGGCGCAGAGGCGCTCGTGGGAAGCGCCGCCTCGTTCCACTTGCTATCGCCCGAGAATGAACCGATCGTGCTGTTGGCCTTTCTCAGTAGCCAGCGTCAACGCACAAGCCTTACGTATCCACGGACGAGACGACCCGATCGACGCTACACACCGCCCGCCCTTGCAGCTGTCGCGCGAAGAATACATAATGTCATGGTCGTTGGTTCGCATCTCCCGTGGCTAAACGCGCCGACGTACTATCTACTTGGCCGCAAACCGCGCTTGGCGTTGCTTGAGCTTCTCGTCAACCTACGACAGTCGACAGGTCGATACGAGGAGGTCGGAAGGGGGACGTACGACTTCCTTGGTCACGAGGTTGAACCGCAGCGCGCGCTCGAGCTTCTTCTTCGAGTCGTCCGTGATGCCAAAGCGCTCACCACGCGCCTTCTTCTGCGCGTGCACCTGCGATCGCATGAGAACCCCACATGCTGCCACAAGGATGCAGACCTTGTCGTCCGTCTCGACGCCAAATCGCTCGGCGCGCTTCGACTTCTTGGCTGTCTCGACCGTCGCATCTACTGCATATCGTACAGCGTCAGTCAAGCATGCGTCAGCGTCGCGCTGGCCTACCAGCACCCGCCGCCTTGAACCGCTGGGCGCGCTCCATCTACATGACCGTCGTTGGCTTGTTGGCACGTCCTCCATACGCAAAGACGTACTTTTCGCTGGTCTTCTGTAAGGGGAATGCCAAACTTGGCAGCGCGGGCTTTGCGCTTCTCTTCTTCGCTCATGCCGACCGTGGCCGGCGCCGCCGCGACCACCGGCACGCTCGATGGCGCTTCCTTGATGGGCTCGGGAACGGGCTCCGCATGCTTGGCCGGCGAGGCTGCCTTAGCCACCTCCTGCGCAGGCTCTTCGACGGGCTCGGGCGTCACGGACTCGATGGGCGAGGCTTCGGCCGCCGCCAGCGTCGCTTGCTCGTGCGCCTCGCTGCCAAACTCTTCCTCGTCGAGTGCGAGCTCGAGGCGCTGGACGAGCTCGGCCTTGACGCCGGCCGTGCTCAGGCTGCGCTTGGCGAGCTCGTCCTTGATCTCGGCGACCTTCATCTTCTTGGGGTTCACGATCGCCATCTCGTCGTCAACCTGGACTTAACTACTGTGCGGTTCCTGGCCACGGTCGAGTGCCCAGCCAGTGTATTTTTATCGTATTTTAATGCCCTTCAACGCTAGATAACTTGGGCATTGTATCGAAATTCGAATTTTCGGTAATAAAAAACGTCGAAATTCGAAACCACATGCGACAGCTCTTGATACGCTGGATCAAGCAACCGACGAGGAATCGAGCTGCTTGGTCGACCAGCGTGCGGTCGCGTGGGCAGTGCCCACGCGGCTAGGCCTTAGCACACGGAGCCCATGCCACGCTGCATGCAATGGCGCTGGTGCCCTCCACAACTCGTCGCGGCCACCGACACGCCACAGGCCACACGAGAATGGCCCATGCGGCGACAAGGCATGGCCACGCACGTAGCACCAACGTGGTGTACTTTGCAAGCCATAGCCATGGCTGGATTGTCTCGAATGGGCGCACCGCAGTGTGCTGCCTCGTCGCGCCACACCAGCCTGCTGCTTGGGCGCTGGCAGGTCGGTCGTACACGGACCGCCATGTGCTGTCTGTACGCAGCTCCCGCCTTCGCCTCTCTCGTTGCCATTGCACACGACAGCTCCATGACCATGGATGATTGCTTTGGGCAATTGGCGTCGTCCTTGCATGCGCACACTGACGTGTCCTTGTGCACTGCATGCGCCCGTCGCCGTGCCGTACAGGGGCGCCAGCACAAGACGCTGCAGTGCAGTCGGCGCGCGCTCCCACCTAGCGGTCGACGGGCCGGGCAGTCGGTGCGAGGTACTTGTACGCAGGCATGCACCAGGCCAGCCACGCCGACTTGGCGCTGGGCGTGGCGGCGGCGTGGCAGCGTATCCGGACGGATCCGGGACGGCCAAAATAGATGGAGTGACTGAGTCTTTGTATCTTGGGTGCATACAAAGGGCAAGGTATTTTTTAATAGGGGCGGCCCCTTGGCGCCGCCATGAAGAAGAAGGAGCAGCTCGAGAAGGGGCTGGCCGAGATGAAGGAGCTGGGCATGGGCGGCTTGACCAAGGGCCTCAGCTTCCTCCGGCAGAAGTCGTCGAGCTATGGCCACCTCGACGAGGAGAAGCCGCCGCTTCCGACGGGCCGCACGAGCAGCTTCTCGACCATGGCCGACAAGCCCAAGATGAGCTACGACGAGCTCCTCTCGCTGAGCATGAAGCTCACCAAGCAAAACCGATCGATCAAGAGCCAAATGACGACAGCCTCCGACAAGCTCTTTCGGCTCACCGAGGTCGAGGCCAACTACAACGCGCTCGTGGCGTTCGTTACCGACGACATTGGCCTCGACATCGCCTTTGAGCCATCGACCGAGGTCGACGACGCTCAAGTCGCCACCGAGGCAGCAAGCACCGACGCGCCGCCGCTCGACGCCGAAAAGGTCCTCGACACCACGGCCATGCGGCAGCAGTACCATTCGCGCGACGCTGCCCGGGAGCAGCACGTGCGAGAGATGGAAACCCTCTACGTCCAAGAGATCGCCAGTTTAAAGGCGCAGCTCGAGCAGCTGCGGCCAGCGTCGCCCCAGGACGAAGTCAGCAGCAGTGAGGCTGTCGTGTCGTCCGACGCCACGCTCCGATTCGAGCTCGAGACGCTCAAGTCGAGTCTTGCCATGGAGCGCCGGCTACGCGACGAGGCCGACAAGACGTGGCAATCCAAGCTGAGCGAGAGTGAGGCCGCGAAAAGGTCCCTCCAGGACGCGCTGGCCAAAGCCCAAGCGACCGCTACGTCCCTCGCAACCCAGCTGGCGGCGGCCGAAACGACGGCGTCCTCGTACGCCGCCGACATTCAAGCCCAGATCACGGCCAATGCGCAGCGGGAAGAGACCCTCTCGGCGCTCAAGCGGGAACTTCAAAACCAAACGCAATGGACCCAAACGATCGACGCGCTCGAGCTCAATTTGCAGCAAAAGGGCGCCGACATGGACATGCTGAGCCAAAGTGTCGTGCGCCTCGAAGCCGAGGTGGCTGCCAAGTCCACCGAGCTGGCTACGATCTCGGCCAAGCTCGCGACCGCCGAGCGGGAACGAAGCCAGCTCCAGGACCTCGCCGACACGGCCATGGCCAAGCACACGCACTTGGAAGCGGAGCTGCGCGACTTTCAGGGTGTCGCTAACGCCAAGTCGCAGCTCGAGGCGGAAAGCACCAGCCTCCGTGCCGAGCTCGTGATCGCCCAGCAAAAATGGTGGATGCGACTGGAGAGGCCAGTGCTGTTGCCGCCGTCTTGGCCGACGCGCGCAAAAATTGGTCCGAGCAAAATGCCCTCGCCACGCGTCTCGCCGCCGAGAACCAACAGTACGCCGAGACGTGCGCGGGCCACGCCGCCGAAGTCGCGCAGTTGCAGCAGCAGCTTGCGCAGCTCAAAAGTCGCTTCAACGCGCTCTCGGACGAGCTCGCCGAAGCCAAGTCGCTGCTGCAGACGCAAACGCTCGAGTTTAAAGACGCGCTCACGTCTTCGATGCACGAGGTGGCGACGCTCCAAGCCCAGGTCGCGACACAAGAGACGGCCTTCCACGACATGCAAGCGTCGCTCACAGCCTCGGCGGCGGCCAACCTCCAAGCGCTTCAAGCGGCGCATGCGGCCGAGGTCGACCGACTTGAAAGCGATGCCCGCGCCAAGTCGAAACTGGCGCGGCAGCTCGTGCTGGAAAAGGAAGAGCAAGTCGCGTCGCTCTCGGCGCAGCTCACACAGCTCGAGCACGACGTCAAGTCGGGCGACGCCGACCATCGGCGCATCTTTGAACTCGCCAACGTCCAAGCACAGCGCGACGCGGTGCAGCGGTCGCGGGACTTCGAAGTCGCCGAGCTCACAAACGCCGTCGCGGCCAAGCAAGCCGAGATCGAGAGTCTCAAGGCGCAGATCAAAGTCATGGAAGACGAGATCGCCGTGCTGGTGCGCACCGAGCGCCGCGAAGGTGTCAACATGGAGTACCTCAAGAACGTCGTCGTGCAGTTCATGAGCTTCCGCCCAGGCTCGAGCCAGCAAGCCAAGCTCATTCCGGTGCTCTCGACCCTCCTCCAATTTTCGCCACATGACGTGGACGAGGTCCGCGCCGCCACCAAGCGCTCGACCGCGTGGACGTCGTGGGGTGTTGAGAAGAAGCCGATCAAGACGCTCGTGCCACCGCCGGCGATCCTCATTCCGCGTACCAAGGGTCCCCGCCCGGGTTCCCCCGGGGGGTCGGAGCCCCCGCTCGAGCCCGCGCGGCAAGGCAAGGTCCCCGAAACACAACGAGACGCCCCCTATGCTACCACACCACAGTGATAGCATCGACCTGTAGGTATAGAGTAGCTCGAATCGTAATCGCTTTGACCTTCTAGTTCGTCGTCCTCCGCTAGCCAACGGGGTGGTCGTGATACACCAGGTCCTTTCCCATCGCGCCGGCCGCTTGCGAGTCGTCGCAGCACAAGCCAATTGGTCCGATGCAAGTCACAACCCGTACCCCGGTGGTGCTCACGTTTGCCACGGGGCACACACGGGGCATGGTCGTCGGCGACACGTCGTCGCGTCACGCAACGTGTGTCGAAGCCCGCTTCCGACTCGGGGCGCAGGAGCTCGTGCACTTTGAAGCCGTGCACGCGCCAACAGAGGCAACCAGTCTGTTTCACGAGTCGCTGGTGTACGTGGTGTCGGAGAAGCGGTATCTTCGGGGCATGACGTGGCGCCGTGGCATGACGTGGGCCGACGCGCCCTCGGAGAAGGCCATGTTTGTCGTTCGAAAAGCAGCCACGAGGACGCCGCTGCACTTGCACGAGACGGTGCACCTCCAGAGCTACAAATGGCCCCACTGCTTTGTTGCGTTTGCCCCTTTGCCGCCGTCGACCCTCTGGAGCCTCGGATCACTCCGGCTCACGTCCAAGGCGCCGCCGGTCGGGCTCTCGGCCGAGCTTCCCAAAGCCATGCAGGTTCGATACCGCTTTGGCCGCGTGCCGCATGTGCTGCCAATGGTCTTTGTCTCGGTTGACGCCTGCCACCGACGGCGGTCGCTGCCGCCACCGCCCATCTCGGAAGCCAGCGAAGTCGAGTCGCCCACCGACGACGGGCATGGCTGACGGAAGCGACTGACTGTAGGGTTGTCGATCAATGCTACAGAGATGTGCAATCTTATGTGTGACACCTAGCGTATAGATAGATATGCATGTTGCTTGTACTACACGGGTGTAGAGCCGTGTGCGTGAACCACCACTCATTTTGTGTATTTTGGTACGCTCTGGCGCGTGGTCTATATCGAGCTGGAAGAACGCGCCTTCATGTTGGCAGTGAGACTTTTTACGTGCTCTCAGTCTAGCATTTCTCCAAACGCCACAACCCCCACCGATGGAGTACGACTCGGGCGACAGCAGGAACGAGAGCGAAGACGACGACGAGGGTCTAGACGACTCGAAGAAGGACGCACTGCTCCGGCCGTACGCGTATGCCTTTGCGAGGCTCAGAAAGGCCAAGGACACCTTCCTCTACACGCTCAAGTGCCCAAGCGACGTCGCGCCGCCACGCGTCCACATTGGTCGCACAGCGCTGGCGTGGCCTCTTACCAAGGCACAGGAGAAGCGTCTTCAAAAGCGCTACGCCACCGACACGATCATTTCTCCAGCCGAGTTTTCCATTGACGACTTTGACGACTGGTGGGCCTCCAGTGGCGAGACCGTCCTCGTCGAGGGTCGGGCCGCGCTCGGTCTGAAGAGCTCGGTGGCCATCGGAGTGACGCTATCGCACCTCGCGATTGACGTCAGCGGCAACGGCGACGTCTTGCGTGCCCAGCAGACAGCACCCAACACGTTTGGCTCGGTCATCTTTGTCCTGCCATCGACGCACAAGGGCGGTCGCATCACGTTTACCCAAGGACACGAGACGGAGAAATTTTACGCGGCGTCGTCATCAACCGCCATGCACGCCGCGATGACGTATCTTCAGACGTGGATTACATCGACGCGCCTCACGTCCGGGCGACGCTATGCACTCGTCTTCAACTTGGTGTCGTTGGGTGACGCCGTGCCGTCGATGCCACCCAAGATGCTCGAGGCCATCGACATGTTCCAGGCGCTGGCGGCGCGGCCGATCCAGCGACACCGGCGCATTGCGCGCGCCCTCAAGCCCATCAACCCGAGGCTCATGTGGGATAGGCTCAGCTACGCAGATTCGTACTTGGTGGACGTGCTCTTGGCCACTGGCGCGTACGACGTCGCCCTTGTGCGCTTTCGAAAGGTGCCCGACGACCAAGACATGTACTTTTCCTCGGTCGACGAATTTTACGCCGAAACGAAGGCTGAATGGGAATTTATGATCCGGCGGCATGAAAACCACATTACCAGCTGCGTGCCGCACCCATCGTGCAGCATTCCCGAATTGGTCCTCCAAGATCTCAAGCATCAAGGCGTGCACACGCTGCCCGAGTGCCCGCGGGCCGTTCGGTACGCGCCGGATCTCAAGTGCTCACCGACCGCGCTCGTCTTTTGGCCCAAACAATACCGCCCCGAAATCATCGGTATCAACTCCGCCCTCTCGAATTTGGAAATAGCGATGGACGACCCATCATCGGTGCACCGCTTGCTCGGCTTATCAACTGTCCGGGACTTGGCCGCAAGTGTAGTCGCGATCTTTGGCTGCGGTACCTTTGAGGACGGCATCCCGACATCGTACCATTCACGAACTCCGGACGGGTATACGAAGACGATGGCCGACCTGCTTTTGGCGCTCGACGACGTGAGCCTCGTGGATAGTTTTCTCCGAGATGCGGTTCGCATCACGCAAAACACACCAGTCGACGACGTCGCGCCGGCTGTGCACACCCTCTTGCACCGCTTTGGCTGGTCGGCACTGGCGGACGCGATGCTTAGTCTGGTCCGTCGCTGGCTTCACGTGACGACGGGCCCGCTGCTTCAATTGCTCTTGAGCCTCGCAGGGCGTAGCGCGCAGCCCATTTGTGCAAAGCTGCAGCAGCCGTTCTTTGGCGAGTGGCTCAAACAAGCGTGGTCATATATTGTTCTGCACCCGCATCTCAAGTTTCGCTGTCACGGCGCGTACCGTGTCGCTGTCGTGCGGGACCTTGTGCTTCTCGACGCCTATGTATTGCACGACGTTCCAAAGCAACCAATCGACAACTATCTCGGGATGCACCTGCCCCCGGCTCTCATCGCAAGCGTCGACGACTGCCTGCATGGCGGCTGCCACGTACTGGACGCTGTGCTAGACATGTATGCCAGTGATCAGCGAGAGCTTATTTCGCATCTCTCGGAAGCCCTCGTCGAGGTCCTTGCAACGTACCCAACGATGGAGCTAGCGCCGTTCACGGACATTCTTCTCGCCGCCTACGACAAGGCTTCCCCTCGACCCGAACCACTCAGCCATAGTATGTCGCTCCGGGCGTTTGCTAGCTTTCTCGCCGTGCTCGACTCGGATGGTCGCTGCGGCGATGCGTTCGTCGCGTCTCTCTGGGTGCGCTGGGGGCTTTCCAATGGCCCTGACTGCTGTGATTTCGTCAACAAGCCCATGCCGTCCGTCTCGGCACGGCTTCAGAGACGGGTGGCGACGCTGCTTGTCAACGCTGCGCCCACCCTTGCGCAGTGCCAAGACGAGTTTAAAGAGGTTCAAGACAGACCGCGAGGCGGCACGCGATGTGTCAAAATGCTCTCGCGGGACGTGCCGACCAAGCGTGGCCTTGCCGTGCTTGCTACGTTGGCGCCCAGTGCGATCGCTCTGTTTGCTCCAGCGTGGCTGTCGGCGCTGCCGCCGACGATCGAGGCGACCCGCGATCTGCTTTTTCCGATTGTTGGATGGGCGCACCGCCGACTCGAGCAGACGCATCGCGACGCGGTCTCATGCTTGGCAGCCGAGTGCTTGGGAAGACTTCTTGCCGCGCGCGTCCCCGTTTGCGCGAACCCGGCGCTCGTCATGTCGGACATGGAGTTGAGGAAGGAACATTGCGCCCAATGCCAGCAGGTGGCTGCGTTTCTGCAGGACAACACCAAGGCGCACGTGGTTATCCAGGCGAGATCCTATGACGTCTGTTCGATTGTTCGGAAGCTTGTGACGGCACACAAAGACCGCCTTTACTTCACCACAGACGCATTTGTACACGGCATGTATTCGCCCGCCACCGTGCTACGCAAGGTTCTGCCATCCGCTGGTAGTCCGAGAGCTGATGCCCCAAACGACGACCAAGTGCACGACGACTCCCGCATCGCGGCGCTGGAAGCGATACTGGCCGACGACACCCGACGGACAAAGCGCCCGCGGCTCGCATGATGCCACGCTGTACTTGCATCAAATATCGTCCATGGAAGAAAGTATCACATCATCGAGTGCTTCTATACGGTCTCGTGGAACGAGCGCTCTGCGGTCACGTGCACACATCATTGTTACCATTCTGAAGAAACGGGACGCGCTTTATATTGTCGTCAACGAGGTGGCTCCAGCTTGTCTACCTCAGGCCTGAATTGCCCTACGACACCGAGGTAGCACGTGCGAATACTTCATTTTTTGTCGAAAACGAACCAAGGACGGTGTCGAAACGCGTCGTGGGTTGGCGGCACTTGGTCGCTTCGGGAATGTGCAGCAGAGACATCATTTGTGACCTTAATGAGCGCGGCGGTGCGCACTATATATTATGTTGGTAGGTCCGTTGCAAACGCAACGCGGTCGAGTGCGCAGCCACGATCTTCCGAACGATCCAACACACATTTCTTGATCGCGTCGGAACAGCCACGTGCGCCTTGGTGCTGGCCCGCAGAAACTTAGCCATTTGGTGCCACTGGGCGCAGTATTCCTTCTTACTGGCAATGCCACACAAGCAAAATAGGAAAACGATGGATGGCTCTCGCGCCAATGTAAACTCCGCAACTCGCTCTTGTAGCGTCTGGAATGAAGGCTTTTAGGGTGCTGAGCACGTCTCCTATTCGTACGCTGATAAGAAGCTTGAGCTTGGAAAAATATAGAATCACCTTTTCTTAATTTGGTCATGCAAATCAAATGCTGCTGCGCCACTGTTACGCCACCTTGGCCAGCAGAGCGGGTTCCTTGTGGCGCGCGCGCACTGGTCGGTCCTCAACCATCAGCGGATCTTGGGCAACTGCGCGCTTGCGCTTGCTCTCAACTGTTGCCTGTGAGCGCTTGACGGGGTCGTCGTCCGACGTCAAATGCCAGCGGTGCATGGCTTCGAATGACTTGTTGTACTCCCCGTCGGAGTAGAGAACGCTCTGAAGAAGGTCTTGATTACGCATCACCACAGCCTTCAGAGCGTCTCTGCGCCGTCCGCGGTACCCTTACCGCAGCTTGCGCGGCCCTCGCGGCCCGTCACAGCGTTGAACTCGGAAAAGCTTGACTCGACGTTCATGGATGCGCAGAAGCGGCCGTTGGAGACCGGGAGGCGGGCTTCGGCCGGCGTCGCATTGTCGTAGGCGACGTTTGTTGGACGCACCGCCAAGGTAGCGGGGCGGATGCGATATCCATGGCCAAGCAGATAGAGCGCCTTGATCAGAGCGCTCAGGAAGGCCTCACGCCACTGCTCAGAAATGCGTGTGCTACATGAGCTGGAGCGGCTTGTACGGGCTCCACAAGGGTGGGCGCACGGGCTAGTTGGTCATCTGGGTCGATCTGCGGCAGAGCTGCATGAGCCGGAAGTCGTCCCTTCTTCTGGCACGTAGCGCAGAGGATTCCGACGACACACAGTCTTGCACATGTTGCCGCATGTTTCACAAGGCGACGCGATCACGATGGGGCGACTGCGCGGGGGCATGGCTCGGAGGATCGCTCGCCGCCCATGCTGGCGGATACGTTTTGGCCGTTATCCGGAAACGCGATATGATTGGCCATAATGCAAAAATACATTTGACCAATCAAGCGCCGTGAAATCGTTTTGGCCATAACTCCCTCATTTCATCGTATTTTGTAGTGCGGATTCGACAAGAATGTAATAAAACGAGTTCGGACCCCTTTTGTCGCACTCGATTACCCTAATAAGTCTTTAGCCAGGAGCCACGTGTGGGCATTATCCGCTGTCTCTGATTGGCTATATTGGCCTTTCTCGTCGCTGATTGGGTTCTCGATTTAACGCTTTTGATTGGCTGTTTGATTTGGTCTCGGTGCTTGAAAATTTTAGAACGCCACGCTGATCGCTGATTGAGCTGCTGATTGACTCAATTCGACCGTGCCGCAAACGATACAAATCGTATTTCGACATTTTGTCATCCCCCTGGGTTTTTACTCGTGTACTAGTACTAGTATACAACAGAGGTAGCAGATACGGCCTTGATAGCAAATGTAAAAGAAGATACGTCTTCAAGTGTACTAACTACATCATGGCTGAATGAGCGTACCGTTAAAGGCAACGTCAAACACGTGCAATTGGAACCGCCAAGTAGTGAACGGTGGACCTCGCGATGCGAGCAGTTTCATCCGGATAAAACAGGCCCATCCGGATAACACGGGATCATGTCAGTTTCGAACCACCAGACCTTGAATTCGGGCGGTACAAGGACGATCTGGCGCGAGTATCCGCGCATCGAGTGAAACACAGCGCAGTGGGCATGGCGACACTGCTTGAGGACGGCACTCGACCGATCAAGTGCCGCGGCGCTTTGGCAGACGACACTAGGCTGCAAGTCATCCACCCACCTTTCTATTGGCTCGATCGAAACAGTCTTTTGCCATTACGTTATTGTTGAGATCGGCTACAGTGAAGCCAACGCGATGGATGCAAAATGTGATTCTGGGATCGGTCTGGCCCATTTCTGGATTCTCGTAGTGCTTGTGGTGGACAATGCTATCTGTCACTTGAGGCACGGACAAAATGGCTGTGGAGTCGCATCTGGACGACATTTAGTGCGACGCGGTACACTCGATCGTTTGATAGAGTGGCGGATTGTTGCTTGGCGGAAGGCTGTACGTACACATCCCTGGGTTCCATTCCCGCCACGCACCTCTTTTTTCTGTTTGCTGTAAGACCACACTCAGAACGCACTCAGCGCTGATGTAGCCCGCGGTGCCTTTACAAAAACGCCCCACTACGTTGCCTTTGTAGCCGCACGCGACGTCCCATACATTGTGTTCGGTCGCTACTGGCCACAAGTATTGCAAGGAAGTTGCTTCCAGCCGTAGAAATACTGCTGCGAAGGAGCTCTGCGAGGGAAATGGATCGGCACCAGCAATGGCATGTGTTTAGAGCTCTCCACTTTCTAGACAGAACGATGTTTTGACGTAACGTCATCGTAGCGCTTGCATACTAACCCGACTATTGATGCAGTGTCACATCGATTACAAGCCGCACCAACAACGCCGGACACGACACACCACGATCAAGATCCCTCCTGCCCATGTAGACCACATGTCATGTGTGCCGAGTACCAACCTACCGACCTCGCATGCAAGCTGCAGACGTCCGTCGTGTGGCGGTGACTCGTCTTCGGTCGCACCTACCAAGCACGCAACTACTGTATGCAACGAAGAACGCACAATGATTTTACAGCCACGAAGCTGACCTCTACCACCCGTGCACACTCCTCTTTCTTTCGGTCGCGACAACTGGCCCCTTGCGATCCTACGGTACCGGTACTCTTGTGCAATGTCAGTGGCCCCGTTTTATGTACCCACGGGCCAGCTGGTGCCAAGATATAGAACACGATCTTTCGAAATTGCCGTTTTCTGGGTGCCACAAGTGCCAACCTTGACGCCAACAAATTCACAAACAATAATTCAGTACTTGAAGCTAACGCTGTCCAGACGAGTTGATTCGTCGCACTCGAATGTCGAACGAAACAGTTTGCTTTGGCGTGGACTCCAACACATCGTTAAGGCTCCATGCACCGGTGCTAGAAGGTCCATGTAGTAGAAGGTACGTGTCGTAGAAGATGAGCTCGGTTTGCATGGCGGCCACTGGTCTGCGATACACAGCTGCGAGACACCGAGGCGTTCCGAACACGTGCAGTCGTTCTGGAGTAGTATTAAGTTATATGTACTATTCAAGCATATTCAAGCAGTCTGATCGCGTCATCTCCGTCTTGCTCACTGGCGCCACAGTGGACGCACGCCGACCGCACTGGCCCGAGCTTGGCTCGCATCAAAGACTCCTGCTGAACCGTAGGGGCCACATTTACGTGTACACCATGCAGTGATATACTCGAGCAGCTACTCGTGCTGATTCCTCCTCCTCTCCGTTCAGCATGGCACCGCGCGGGACAAGTCAGTCCGCAACTTGCCATGCCCCTCATCGACCTCACATCGATCCACGACATCAAGACGTACATGGCGGCGATCGAAGCCAGTCCCTGCAGTACAGACACGCTGTACTTTGCCATGCCGCCGCACCCCAATGGCACGACGACGAATGCGAATGCGCTCTGGGCAACGTCGCCGCCTGCCATACCCTCCAAGCCGTCGTTTTGTGACGACCAAATGGAGGAGCAGTACCGTCTCAAGCGACTGCGGCGCGAGGCCGGCGAGTCGACGCCGCCCCGCATGACCCACTACCACCGCCAGCGCGCCGAGATCCAACTTCTGCGAGGCGTCGCGGCCGACTTGACAACCCAGCTTGGCCACCTTCAGGCCAAGCACGTCACGTCGCATCGCGGCGACTGGTACCAAGCGTTGCTGCGGGAGAAGCAAGCGATGGACGACAGTATCTCGACCAATATCGAGCTCCGGAGCCACTTGCAGCGGGTCCTGCAGCGACGGGAAGGGATTCAGAATGCTGTCTTTGCCCCCGACGATGGCCACCCGTTTGGATTTTAGAGTTTCTTGATAACAGTAATGTATTTGATTTATTGCATTGTAGCGAGTGCGCGAGATGTCTAGTGTTGTGTCTTGTCATCGTTTAACTACATTTTAAGTTGATTCGAACAGTAGGTTATAGCCGTTTAACGAGAGCTCGTCCAAGTGTGGCCGCTAGTGACACTACTGGCCCACCTACCGTGTTTTATGGCGGCAGCGCGTCATCGTGAAACGACTCTGTGCATGCATTGATCCCTGCGTCGATCCAAATGCTTCAAAGCTACAGTACTTTCGCTCCACGTCGACCTGGTGACGCATCGTAGCTACCGCTCGACACATCCCTCCATACCCACATGCGTGCACGTCTTCAAGAATATCAAACGATGTTGCAGCAGGGTGATGACAACCGTCTTTTAGTGTGGCTCGTCCATGTGCCTTTCAACTGCGACTTGGGCGAGTCAAACGAAATACATCGCATCAAAACTTTGTACATCCATCCACTCTTTTACCATCAAAGGCCGTAATTATGGGACGATTCCAGCCGTTAATAGATTGATGCATTCTTGTCGGGTGGGTGGTGTTAAAAAACACCAGTGGGTTGGGCGACCTTATCGTCGCCAGAGCTTTAGACTTAGCCGCCAAAGCCGTACAAGGTGCGGCCCTGGCGCTTGAGTGCGTACACGACGTCCATGGCCGTCACCGTCTTGCGGCGCGCGTGCTCCGTGTACGTGACCGAGTCCTTGATGACGTTCTCAAGAAAGACCTTGAGCACGCCACGCGTCTCTTCGTAAATCAGGCCGGAGATGCGCTTGACGCCGCCACGGCGCGCGAGACGGCGGATGGCGGGCTTGGTGATGCCCTGGATGTTGTCGCGGAGGACCTTGCGGTGGCGCTTCGCACCGCCCTTGCCGAGTCCCTTACCGCCCTTGCCACGACCAGACATGATGTTGTTGTTGTTGGTGTTGAAATTGAAAATGAACGACTTCAAGTGAAAGGCGCCAAGACGGTCAGATGCTTTTCGATTGGCTGGTGTATTTAAAGGGCTCTTTGGATTGGCGGGAATTTGAAAAAGGCTCACAGTTCCAGAGGTGGGTGAGGAGATACTAACCGCACGGCTAGTCCATGCGGCTAGCCAACCTCTCTGGAGGGATCACGGTTCATAACGCGGGTGCTCGAAAGGAAGCGTGCAGCGGTGGGCAGATTCCTCTTAACCCTTTTGGATGTTTCGAGTTAAACGCGACGTCTCGACGGGTCTCAGTAGTACACACTACGGTGTCACCCTTGGGATGCATAATAGTACCCAATATTCCCTTATGTATAAAGTAAATAGCTTATCGATTATCGCCGCACCGAACCGCTTCTGTCGTCGTCGATGCCGAATCAAGATCGCGAGCATGTTCAGGCGCGCTCCCTATGCAGTTGGACCAATCCTGAGCGATCATGCGCCATGTCCACCAATCCACGCACTTGGCGGGAATACAAACACGTTTGATTGGCGGAAAGTTTTCGGGAGAGACAACTCGCCCCGCTTTTTTGAGCAGCGTATCAACTTCCTTCCGTCTCCAACGTATCACTTTAACTCAAGATCACTACTACTCAAGATGGCCCGCACCAAGCAAACCGCCCGCAAATCCACCGGTGGCAAGGCGCCCCGCAAGCAGCTCGCCACCAAGGCCGCTCGCAAGAGTGCGCCGGCGACCGGCGGTGTCAAGAAGCCTCACCGCTACCGCCCGGGTACGGTCGCGCTCCGTGAGATCCGTCGCTACCAAAAGTCGACGGAGCTCCTCATTCGCAAGCTGCCCTTCCAGCGCCTTGTCCGCGAGATCGCGCAGGACTTCAAGACGGACCTGCGCTTCCAGGGCTCGGCCGTCCTCGCCCTCCAGGAAGCCGCTGAGGCTTACCTCGTTGGCCTCTTTGAGGACACCAACTTGTGTGCGATCCACGCCAAGCGTGTGACGATCATGCCCAAGGACATCCAGCTCGCTCGCCGCATCCGTGGCGAGCGCTCCTAGGTTGCTACCAGTGACGCCGTCCGTCACCACACCACCCTGGTGTTTTTCAACACCACCCTTTTATGAAGAAACGTCATCCGCCTCTTTTAGGTCCCCAAAGGTTTTGTACCGGTAGCCACGTAGCTTTCTTACACGCAGAAAGCCTTTTGTGCGAGTGGGTGACAGCCTGTACGCAGCTCCCTCTGCACGACAGTCGTGGGAGCTGCGTGCAACGTGATGAGTCATGTCTTTGTAAAGCAACACATTCGACGACACGACGGCAGCTGGCTGCACACTTTACAGTAGCGAGGCAAACACTCGGTCTTGTATCGTGTCTATCGAATATGGTTCGTGTGTACACCTTATCTTAAAACAACTGTTGGACCAAGAAGAGGCTGCGGTCCAAGCACACGTCGGGCAGCGGGCACGACGCGATGCCCACTGCGATCGTCAGAAGACACGACAGCAGCGGGTAGACCAAGTAGACAACGAGCGGACGGACATTGTAGCCACTTATGTGCCACGCCAGCCGCCGATCTACAACAAACCCAGGATAAAAACAGCATCAAAGGTAGTACCACCCACCTCGGCCAAGCACAACGCCGACAACATAATGTCCGAGGCCGAGCCCGAGCATGTACCGCCAATGGATGAGCATCTCCCGCCACACTTGCCTAGTGACACTGTGAAACAACTACCTACTATGTAGTACAATATTGTCAGAGCTACGTACCGAAACGCGTAGATAAACAGCGTGCAGAGCAGTCCGAGCCCGACCGACGGCAAGTTCAAGTAGGCAAACATCGAGAGCGCCAAAACAACGCAGAAGAGCCCGCCGGCCACCTTGAGTCCGTACAGTAGTTGGCAGCTCCAGCTAGAGGAACTGGCGGTTCAATATAATTCCAGCGTACCGAGAGACAAGAAATACCGCGATGTCGTGGAGAACGGAGACCAAGACGAGGCATCCGTGTCGCAGGCCGGCGAGAAGTACGCGCCGTTTGTTGAAATGACTTCCCAAAAGATCATAGCGAGCAAGAGCAGAAGGAGGCACCCGTTCCAGCGCGCCCAGCGCTCGACGTGGCGCCACTCGGCTGCATATCGATCCCGCAGCAGCTGCGCCTTTTCTTTCGCGCGTTCTTCCAGCCGCTTCAACTCTCGCTTCGCTTGGCGCTCGGCTTCCCGCATCGCTACCCGAGATTTGTCGCATTCGATATGAAAATCACCGCCCACTTCGTACCCTTCTTCTTCTCGGCCAGTTCGAGTTTGGCGGCGTATTTCAGACGGTCGCGCTCTCGCTGTTCGTGGGCGGCTTCCTGCGCCCGGCGTTGCCGGTCAGCGAGTACTTCCATATGCATGCGTCGTTGCTACCGCCGACAATATAGTTTAATGTGAAACATGGGGTCTGGTACCTCGACAAGGCGCTGGTTCTCGAGCCCGTGGTCGTGCTCGAGTTGTCGTAAATGCAGCGCGTAGTCAAACATCATGCGGTCGAGGTGCCGCGCGGCTTCGCTGTGCGTCATGCGATCCCGTTCGACATATTCTTGGATGCGCACCTGCCGGTGGTCGCGAAACGCAGAGAGCTCGCGTTCGACCCGCGACACTTGAGTCGTGTGCGTCATCGTGACGAGCTGAGCGTCATTCGCGTCGCTCGTCTCTTGCAAACACCGCTCGACGCGTGCGATGGTCTCGTGGACCCACTTGTGCCGCTGGGCCGTCGCGAGGTGTTCGTGCATCTCGTGCAGCACGTCCGGCGGCGACGACGACGACTTCGAGAACGCGACTAGAAGCGACTCGAGGTGCGACACGCAGCGAGCTCGGTCGTCGAGCTCCTTGCGGGTTGTCGTATACCACGTCTGGTCGAGCTCGTCTTCGAGGCCGAGGCTGTTCCAGAGCCGCCAAAGACGCTCCAGCTCTTCGATGGTCCACTGCATACGGTGGTTGTCGGATGCCAAGAGTGCATGGAGCTTGCGCTGGATCCGTGCTTGCAGGCGACTCAGCTAGTCCGAATCCCACGCGTTTGCACCCGTCGTCCGTAAGACAATATTGTGCATCATACCGTCTCGAGATGCGACGACAAGGCAGTGTGCCACGTCTCACACATGGCACGATCGGTGGGCGCGTGCGCTTCGGTCGCAAATGCCTTGACTTCGCAGATACCCGCCTGCACCGACGTTAGGAGCTCGCCGAGCGAGCCCGAGGGCGATGAGAACGTGCACACGTCGTCCTCAAAGGTCGTCGCCGTGGCAGCTGCAACAAGCTTGTCGACTTGATGCTGAAAGTCGAGCAGTCGCAAGCGGAGCGCCGCCGCGTCTTGAAACTCGACCGACGCGCCGGCCATCGCTTTTGCAATGGCGTCGCGGCTGGTTTGGTGGGCGAGCCACGAAAGGGCGCGTTGTGTATGGCGCTGTTGCTGGACCCACATGGCGATGACAACGAGCGCGCCACCGAGAAGAAGCGCGCTAAGAACAGCCATGGACACGCGATGCATCTGCTCCGGCGTCAAGATCTCGACAAGATCGATGGGACGACTGGCGTCCAGCATTGTCATCGTCGTCGTCGTCGTCTCAACGCTGAGCTCTGCGCCGTGCGGTGCTACGCTGGGCTCAACTACGCAGTCACGAATGCAATCCGTGCCACGAGACAGGTCACGCGTACCGGACGCAGGCGGCGTGGCGGACGCTGGTGACGGGTCCGACGATCGAACCTTGTGCGAGAAGCGGTGGTTCTTGAGCTCGCTGCCTGTAATCTCGATCGTCGTGATCTCGATGCTGCTGGTCGTCGAGCGGACAGTGCCTACGAGGAGGCCCTTCATAAGCGCTTCGCCCACGATAGGCGCTTGACACGTTGCATGGAGGTACCTCGCCCAAAGCTAAAGTCTTCGACCTCGACGTCGCCCATCTTGCTGGACGCGGCGACCGCTACATGCAGCAGAAGGACAAGCCGCAAGACGCGCGCTGCCATCTCGTCGTCGCTTCCTTCGTTTTGAACTGGAATAATTCGCCTTTTGACCAATCAACTCGCGGGACGAGTTTTCGCAAATCACAAGCCGCCGTTGGCACCTCTTAAAACGCATTTATCCCGATATGCATTATGACAGGCTCATGCGTCAATCTATCAAGCTTGTGGCAAGATATCAGCATGCGACTCTCAGCACGTTGTGGATGCAGAGACTGCAACGTCTCCACCCGACACCACCGCGACAGGCCCACCCAATGGCATCCTCATCATCCTCATCATCGACAGGTCCAACGCCGTTGAGAATGGCATACCATCCGCCGGCGCTTTCACATGGTCCTATTGCATTCAAGTGCGCATTTTGACGCATGTACCCTCTATGGTACGCCGCCCACATGGTATTACCTTGCGCATGCAAACAGTATACTAGTGGCAAGTACAGTAGTGTATCGACATGAGACTTTAGTTGTCGACTACGCAGTCATCGTCTTGAGCCGCTTCCGAAGCACGGCCGCGAGGTACATGGCCGTCGGGCGGTTCTCGGGCTCGGTTTCAATGCACTGGAGCGCAAGCGTCCGGAGCCACTCGGGCATCTCGTCGCTAAAGGTTGGCTTGACCGACCCCGCAATCACCATCCCCATGATGGCCGTGTCGATGAGCGGCTTGCCACTCTTCTCGTTCTTCATGTTGGCGTACGGAATGTCGTGCGTATCAAACTCGGACAAGAGCATCCCGAACGAGTAAATGTCGGCGGCCGTCGTGTAGTGGTTGAACTGGAGAATCTCGGGCGCCATCCAGCGGTACGTGCCGACGCCGACCGTCATCGTGGCCTGCGTGTCTTCCTTCGAGACGCCAAAGTCGGTGAGCTTGGCGCCCTTGGCGTCGTCCAGAAGGACGTTGCGCGACTTGAGGTCCCGATGGATCACGGGCAGCGAGTGCAAATACATGAGGGCCTCGACAACGCAGTACATGGTCGCAACCTTGGCTGGCCACGTGTACTCAGCGGGCGAGTAGCGCTGGAGGTAGTCACGGAGGTCACCGCCACCCATAAATTCGAGCACACACTTCATATCGGACGGTTGGTCCCAGCATGCGCCAAGGCACTTGACAATGTACGGGCAGTCAAAGCTACACACAAGGAGCATATCAGAAACATATCAGAAACAATCAGAAAACTCTGACAACACGAACCTCGCCATGAGCTTGATCTCGTCGACAAGGCCCTGGACTTCCGTAATGCCGACACGGTGGCCCAGCAGCTTCTTGATCGCGACAGGCTCGCCCTTGTACTCGCCAAGGTACACGTCGGCAAACGCACCGGACGCGAGTAAGCGCGTGGGCACGACAGCGGCGTTGTCAAGACGGTAGAGGAGGATGCCCAAGAGGTCCAGCGTGTTGAACTGCGTCGACGACAGCGTGTCATACGAGTTTTGCGTCGACCGAGTGTTGTTGAGCGTCCAGAGCTCGCTGTCGTGGATGTGCTCGCGGCGATGCATGCAGCACACGAGGAGCCCCACGCAGCAGAGCGACACGAGTGCGCCGATGCCGACTAGCGCGACAGCTAATTCGACGCATGTTTCATAAGCTTCAAGCGCCAAAGAAACGGGTCGTCGGACGTACAGATCAAGCCTTGGGATTTGCTCATCGGCAGAATCGCCTCGGTCGAACTCGGCGTCGAGAGAACGGTTTGCACTGGGATCGTGATGACGCCACTGTCCGTGGTCGGCAGCGACGTCGTCGTTGGCTCCGGCGTGGGCGCTACGTCAATATCTCGTCGTCAAATGTGGTTTCGAGGCAGAGGGACTGTCGTACGCGGTGGCAGGACGCAGACCGTATAGAACGTGCTCGTCAAGTACTCGTACGCAGTCCAGAGCTCGTGGATCGAGCCGCCAGCGGCCGCGCAGTTGGTTGCGTTGGAGGTAATGTGGCCGCCATCAAGGTTGAAGCCAAAGTAAATGATACCGGATGCCGACGACCGCATCGAGAGCGGCGTGAGCTGGTCGAGTGCAAGGAACGTGTTTTCATCGACAAAGAAATCGGTCAGGTTGCAGCCGGCGCAGTCGCTACACGCAGCATTCCATCAGCATCGTGGCGACTCAGTATGTGTGTAAACGCGATACAAGAGCCGGAGGTTGGTTCGGCTCAGACGCACGCGATCGATGGTCGTGAGCGGATTGCCCCCGAGCGACCTAGGCGTCAATCAGATTGGAATCTCGGAGAGGTGGCTACAGTTGGTTGAGCTTGGTCCAGTTTTGGCCCACAATCTCGGTGAGATCGTTGTTGATGAGCGACCTACGGCTCGCCAGTATGAGGCATGTCAACAACAATATATCTTTTCAAAAACGGCGTACAAGGACGTGAGGTTCGTGGGCAAATTCGTCAGCGACGTCAAGTGATTCTTGGCAAACGTCCTATGGAGACAGAGAGAACGGCCATGAGCTTCGCCGAGCGATGCCATCGGCGAGACGGACAGTGACGTGAGGGTCTTGGGCAGATTGGCCGGAATCGTATCCATGCTCACATTCGTAAACGTTCTATCTCACAACATGAGGCAAGGGCAGGCGACGCCATGGCACGGACAAGGTCGTGACGTTCCGGGACCATTGCAAGGACGGCGGAATGTCAACGTTTGTGTCGATAAACTCACTAGAGAGGCATGAGTGGCAGCTTCTACAGGCAGCAGATCGGTCTACAGCTTGCGGAGGCGCGGCGAAAGCTGCATATGGTCGAGGCGCATGATCGTCGAGCCCGTAATGGACCTAGCAGCACCATCCTGATCGTCGACGCCAGCAGACCAATGGACGTACATCGAGTCACCGACAAAGGGCAGTAGCGACCCGATGGCCTGGGCGCCACGGACCGACGCCCGCGTGGCGCCGACCCAGCTCACGTTGCAAGCCGTGTCGACGGCGCAAAAGGTCACATTGGGCGAGCACATGGGCCCGGCGACGAGGATGTAGCGCACGTAGGGCGGCAGGTCGTCGTACGGACAAGGCGGCTGTGCGCTGGCCCATGCGAGGAGGGTGGCGACGACGAGCGCGACAACACTCGATCGTGTCATGCTCGAGTGTTCAAGGGAAGTGGCTGCTGCATCGCCGTAATCAGCTGGCCGCTTTTTGACCAATGATATCGTGGCGTTTGGCATAGCTGCGACATGATTGGCCGAATTCTTGACCGGGCTGCCCAAGCAGATATTTTGTGATTCGGATCCCTCACTCGAGTGTGTGGGACCGGGATTTTAACGGTTTGCATCCGGTGACGGTGATATCGTCACCCGATTCACCCTTTGCATGGATGCGAGGACATCTATTGATGTGCTTGATGGACTCTATGGCACAGTTTACGGTGTCTTGAGATACCTTGGCATGATACGCGCGTTTGTCGTGGCGACTCGAGGAAGGTGCAATTTAAGGCTTGCGTCGACCTCGCGATAACGGTTCATAAACATATCTCCAGGTAGCTATGCCAACGGCCCATCAACCCTTGGCTATAGTATGGGACACTGTGAACTTTATATACGTCAACGGTTTCGTTCCTGAAGCGTCGTGATACTGTATTCTTGGCGGCGCGGTTGCTCCCGTGACGCCGTCTTGCGGCGCGTATGACCTCGGAGAAGCTCGTTCCGGTGGCACCGACCATCCAGAGCCTCACCGAGTCCAGAGTGTCATTCCGCTCGCTCGTGCGCCAGTCGACGAAAGACAAGCTGGCCTTGACACCGGTGCACTTTCTCGACAAGTCGATCAGCTCGATGAAGCAATTGTCGGGGCGCTTCTCGCAGTTAGATATCCTCAAGGCGCCCAACCTCAAGGGGTCGCAAGTCAGGGAGCTCCTTCGATCGATGCAGTCAAAAGGCGCGGTCCATAGCTCGTCCAGCTCGATCCGAGGCCCAAAGCAGTCACCACCACCGAGTGGCGAACACCCCAGGCCCCATCGCATCCAGCCTGTGCCGGACGCACCCGACCGCGTCCTAACGACTCGTCGCGAGAGCGGGTCGATCCAACACCGGCGGTACTCGAACTTGCCACGGGGCTCCACCACCGGCTCCATTCGGAACGGCAAAGTCGCGCCGCATGAGATGGCACACGAGTCCCGCGGCAGCAAGGTCTTGCATATTCGATCCTTCCCGTGCCACTTTGAGGTCGGCGCTCATACTGCCCTGTCGTATAGCCTGCCAGTATCATCCAGACAGCGTTGATTGCCGGGCGGCTCAAGAAGAAAGCGCAGGTCATTACAAGGCGACGGCGACAGACCAAGCACATGCAGCAGCTCGAGCTCGCGGGCATGGTTTCCCGGCACCGAAAAGTGCTGCTTCAATACAACATTCGTGTCGTTCGACCCGAAGAAAAGCCAACAGAGGACATTGTCCTGCTCGATCAGCCCAAATACTTGATTCTGCCGACGCACCAGTGGTACAAGGCGTGGCAACTCGTAATTTTTACTCGGCCACTGACGGTCTTCTCACAATGCGACCTCTAGTCGACGCTCGTCATCATTTTATACCAAAGCGTCATGATCCCATACCAACTCGCGTTTGATACGAGTGACACGCCGCCGACGCAGGACTATGCCAACATCGCCTTCAACCTCATTTTTGGCGTCGATCTGCTCTTGACCTGCAACTGCGCCGTCGCGCACCCGCGGCGTCCGGACACGTACATCACCCATCGTCTCGGCATCTTCAAGCACTACCTTCGGGGCTGGTACACCTCTCTTTCCTTGACGACGACGACGGACATCGAATTATTAGGTTTATCCTGGATTTACTGGCCTGTTTTCCCATCGATATGATTGTCTACTCGACGATCTCGGGCGCCACCAACACGAAATTGCACCTTCTCGGGCTCCTCAAGGTCCTCCGGCTGCCGCGGCTTCTCCGCCTCGCACGGTTTGTGCGAATTTTGAGGATTTTGCGAATTCCGACCGAGTGGAAGCGCTGGCTCCTCTACTCCCGGTACGCGCACTTGATTCGGCTCGGGTCGCTCCTCGTCACGTTCGTGTACTTGATTCACATCTTCAACTGCATCTGGGGCGGCTACGTGACAAGCCCCGACTGGCCGGGCTACATGTTTGGCGAGAGCAGTCAGAACGCGACGGCGTACGTGCTTGGTTTTTACTTTGTGCTCACGACGGTCATGGGCCAAAATTCGCTGCTCCAGACGCAGACCGAGTACGTCTACGCGTGCGTCCTCATCGTGATTGGGTCCGTCCTCATGGCCACGGTCTTTGGCAACGTGGCGAATTTGATTTCGAATTTTTACGAAAATCAAAACAATTACAAGAAAAAGGTAGGGCAAATTATTGGGGGCATTTTCTCAACGGATAATGTATAGATGGAGCAGCTGCTCAGCAGCATGAACTTGATGAAGCTGCCGCTCGACCTCCAAAACCGCATCAACGAGTACTACCAAGTCATGTGGGAACGCCACGGCACGCTCGACGGCCAGCCGCTCATGTTTACAAAGGAGCTCTCGCGCAACTTGTCGGTCGAAGTCGAGCTCTATCTCCGCATGGACATGATCAACCGCGTGCCCGTGTTTCAAAAATGCAGCAAAAAGGTCGTCCAAGAGATCGTCATGCGCCTTCAGCTGCAAGTGTACCTTCCGGGGGACTACATTGTGGTCAAGGGCGAGATCGGCTTTGATATGTTTTTCGTCCAAAGCGGCAGTTGCGAAGTGACCAAGCCGCTCTCGTCCGACCCGCGCCCGTACGACAACGAAGAAGTGCTGAAAGTGCTCGTGCAAGGCGACTATTTTGGAGAAATCTCGCTCCTCATGAACTGCAAGCGCACGGCCAACGTCCGCGCGTGCACGTTCGCCGAGCTCTGCGTTCTGACGCGGTCGGTCTTTGAGGACATTACAGCCCAATACATTGAAGACCGACAGACGATCGAGAAATTCATCAAGGAAATGTACGACCCGAAAGCGCTGGAAGCGATTCTCAAGGCGCAAAACGAGGACGAACCGACGCCGCACGAAGTACGCGCCGAAGAGAAACTCAATGCAATTCTCGACACGATGGCTACCACCAACGCCAAAATCGAGCGGTTGGAGTTGCTCGTGACGCTGCTCTTGCCACACGCACCGTCGTCCGTGCTCAAGTCGGTCCACCGCGCGACGGACGCTCTTGGTGGTGGTGCTGCAAGTCTCCCGCCGCTCGACAGCTGGACCGAGACGAGACAATCTAAAATTTACGAGTAGAAAGCGAGTCCACTATTTAAGTAATAGGATATTACACTGTCGGCCCAATTCATCCCTACATTTTGGATGAAAAGCCCGATCGCCTCCAGCGCGAAAGCGTCGTGTCGGCAGCTCCAAGCGGCGAAATGATGACGTTATTAAGCGCTTAACTTGAGCGCTTTCGCGTGTCGCACAGCGCGCACATTTGGTTGTTGTAGTTGCATGCTCCACGATCGCGATAGAATGGAATGCGACTCCATTTCCCAATAGCATCCACATACCAGTGTCCACATACTACCGACGAACGTCCGTGCTATTTGGAAGGCAAGAGCATCGAGCAAGCATTGCGATCCCCTCGCACGCCACAATAGCCACGTGGGATACGTTACATGCGACGACGTCGTCCCGCGCACAACGGACCGTGGCACTAGGAATAGAGGAAAGTCGAGATAACCGACGCCTTCATGCAGCGTCGCTCGAGCTTGTCCGCGCCGGGGGTGCGTCGGGCCATGTCGTCGATCCCCGACATGGACAAGGAGATGGAAGACGACGTCGTCAGCAAGGTTGTCGACGAGCCGCGGGTGTCGACACGGTCGGTCAAGATCATCCCGTTTGCGCCCGACCGGCTGAGCTTTTCGATCCCGCGGGGCGCGTCGACCTCAAATATGCTCAGCTACAACACGGTATGAAGCTGAGAACGGGTCGAAAAGGGAAGACAGACAATATGCCTACGATAGAGCTCGGACGACTTGATTTCGAATGGTGCCACCTTGGCCGACGGCGGCGCCATTCGGCCCAACGTTGCCGCGCTTCGAGCCATTGGCAAGCTCAAGCTCAAGCAGAAAGACCGCGCCGACAAGCGTCGGCAGCAAGTTGTCGATACGGACCGACACCACGCGATTCTCAAGCAGTATACCATTCGCGCCGTGACCAAGAAGACACCGATCGCCGAGCAAAAGCTGCCGTGGCACATTGTCAATCCGAGTGCGACGTGGTACAAGACGTGGCAACTGGTACGGACCACATGTAGAGAGAATGCATACCACATCTATGCATTAGATGACGCTCGGCATCATTTGCTACCAGAGTTTCCAGACGCCCTACTCGCTGGCGTTCTCAGATGCCAACAGCAACCCACTCCTCGACTACTTTAGCATCACGACCAACACCATTTTTGGCATCGACACGCTCCTCAACTTCAACACGGCGATCGCCGACCCCGTCGTGCCCGACAAGTACATCACGAACCGCAAGAAGATCATCAAGAGTTACATTTGTGGCTGGTTCGTCCTCGACCTCATGGCGTGCTTCCCGATCGATATTGTCATGTACATTGCGCTCAACCAGGCGTCGTCGTCCAGCCACCTCAGTATTCTGAGTCTCCTCAAGTCGCTCCGGCTGCCGCGGCTCCTCCGTCTCGCGCGGCTGGTCCGCGTGCTCAAAATTTTGCAAATGCCTGTCGAGTGGAAGCGCTGGATCCTCTATTCGCGCTACTCGCATTTGATTCGGCTCGTCACGATGATCCTCGCCTTCATCTTCGTCGTGCACATCATGGCGTGCGTCTGGAACGGGTCGGTCGCGACGATTGGGTGGCAAAACACAGCCTTTCAGCAAGGCACGACCGTCGACTTGTATGTGCTGAGCTACTTCTTCACGCTCGTGACACTCGTGGGGCAGAACATGGCGCTCGAGACCCAAGGCGAGTACATGTTCTCGATCTACCTCCTCTTGATGGGCTCGATGCTCATGGCCATCGTGTTTGGCAACGTGGCCAATTTGCTTTCGAATTTTTACGAAAACCAAAACAGCTACAAGAAGAAAATGGAGTGGCTCTTCGAGTCCATGGGCTCGATGCAGCTGCCGCTCGACCTCCAGAACCGCATCAACGAGTACTACCAAGTCATGTGGGAACGCCACGGCACGCTCGACGGCCAAGTGTCGGTGCTCACACAAGAACTCTCGCGCAACCTCGCAATCGAAGTCGAGCTCTATCTCCGCATGGAAATGATCAGCCGCGTACCGATCTTCCACAACTGCAGCAAGAAAGTCGTCCAAGAGATCGTCATGCGCCTCGAGATGGACGTCTACTTGCCCGGCGACTATGTTGTCGTTCATGGCGAGATCGCGTGGGAAATGTACTTTGTACAATCAGGCATTTGCGAAGTTACCAAAGGCCGCGTCACGGCCGGCGAGTCGTCGGCATCCTTAACCGACGAAGAAGTCGTCTTGCGGCAGTTGACCCAAGGCGATTTTTTTGGTCGGTCGATCTAAAGTCTGTCCGTCATGCTGACGTGTCGCTGTCTAGGCGAGATTGCCCTTTTGATGCAATGCAAACGAACGGCCAACGTGCGTGCGCAGATTTTCTCTGAGCTCTGCGTTCTGACGCGAGACGTGTTTGAGTTGATATCGGCCAAGTTTCTCGAAGACCGCATGCGCATCGAAGAGGTCATTGTGAAGCGATACCACCCCGATGTGCTCAAGCAAATCGAGGTCGAGCGACACGAAGCCAAGGGCATCCACGTTGCGTTGCATCCCGAGGCGCCGTCCGTCCCCAATGACAACGATGCGTCGACCAAGATCCTTGCCGTGCTCGGCGAGCTCTCGAACCGCCTCGGCAATCTCGAGCGCAAGGTGCAAAACATTGAAGACGCGCAGCGACACTGCTTCAACAAGATCTTCACCGCACTCCAAGTGCGCAAGAAGAAGCCGCCGCTGGACCACCCACCACCCACGAGCAGTGTTCCCCCCGGCTTTGACCCCGTCATACAATAGTGTCGCTCTCGAAAGAGGAATGGCAACACAGTAGAGCTTTTTTGACAATTCTGTCGCGTTGGATCTGCGTCTTGGATCGTGTCGCAGCAACAACAAACTTCAACCGATGCAGTGCCAAGATTACGCGCCGTCCGCACAGGGGTACTCGTACATGAAATCATAGGTTTATCTTCTCTGCCCTTACAATCGCACGGCAGCATTATCCGGGAGGAATACAGACTATCTTGAATTGCGCACCGTGTTCAATTCGCGCCACCAGTCATGGACCGCATCGAATGCAGTGTTTCATGATTATAGTGGATGGAGGGCTTGGTGTTTAGCGGTCGTGAGCGCCGAAAGGCGTGCGCTGAGATCGGCCATGCAGTCTTCGACTTGCACGAGACGCTCGTTGAGCTTGTTGAGGCCTTGGACGACCGCGGCGTCGTGGTCGTACGACGTCTGCTTGCGTTTCGCGTGTTGCTTGATGGTTTCCTCGAGCTCGGCCGCGCCGTACTTTTCTCGAATGACGCCTTCGATCACGGCGCGGTCTTCGGGATACCGCTCCATGACGGCTTCGTACACGTCACGCGTAAGGGCACAAAGCTCCATAAAGGTCTTGGCCACCACGGTCGCCATACGTTTGCAATTGAAGAGAAGGGCAATCTCACCTGCGCGTCATGCATGTCAGATACCACACTACTACACGTGCGGTCGTACCAAAGTAGTCGCCTTGGGTCATGACCTGGAAGGGTTTTTCGTCCCGAAGCGAGCTCTTGGTCGTTGCGGGGGACGCTGCCATGCCGCGGTTGGAAACTTCGCACTGCCCGTGCGCGATAAAGTACATGTCGTGGCCGACTTCACCGCGGACAATGATGTAATCTTGCGGTAAAAACACTCGAAAATGGAGGCGCATCACCAGCTCCTGGACGACTTCGCTCGAGCAGTTGCGAAAGAGCGGCAACCGCGTAAGCATGTTCATGCGCAGGAACAATTCGACTTCGACCGAGAGGTTTTTCGAGAGCTCTTTGGTAAACTGCTCGGGCTGGCCGTCGAGCGTGCCGTGGCGGTCGTACATGATTTGGTAGTACGACACAATGCGTCGCTGGAGCTCGCGTGGCAAGCGCATGAGCTGCATGCTTGAAACAGCGATTCCATCTACATGACATATTGTCCAACTTTGTAAAATAACAAAAAGGGCGGACCTTGTGTTTGTAGCTGTTTTGATCGTCGTAAAATTGGTCGACAAGGACGGCAACGTTGCCGTAGACGAGCGCAATGAGGAGCGACCCGAGCACAATCACAATGGTCGAGAACGCGTACTCGGTATTCGTTTGCATCGTCGAGCTCTGGCCATAGACCGTCGTGATCGTATAGTAGTAGGAGAGAATGTACACGTCGACAGCGCTCGCGTTGGTCAAATACATGTCGTGGACCCAGTTCGGGTCCGCGATCACGCCGTACCAGACACACGCGAGCGTATGAATGACGACGGCAAGGCCGAGAATGAGCGCCAAGAGACGCACGAGGTGGGCGTAGCGCGAATGCAAGAGCCAGCGCTGCTGCTCGACAGGAATTCCAAAAAACTGAAGCAGGTGCTTAAAGCTCGAGAGGCGCACAAGCCGCGGCAGCCGCACGATGCGGAGGACGCTAAAGTAGTGCCAATTGCCGGGCCTTGGAGCCGCCTCGTAGAGAATGCCATAGTAGACGAGCAAGTCGATCGGGAGCGCCGCAAGTACGTCCCAGAACAAACTACACACACCCCGAGTGAGTCCAACGTGGACGATAGAACCAACCCTTTCGATAGGTAGCGCGCCACAATGGCTTTGCGGCTCGTCACGAGTTTCTTCGTCGTCGACTCGCGGTACGCCGTGTTGAGCGACACAAGAATATCGAGCGAGAAGACGCCGGTTGTGACGAGGTACCCTAAGTCGCGCGACGGTGGCAGGGTCGACTCGAACGCGAGGGTATACGGGATCCACACCACTTGGTAGTACATAAAGAGCGCCACAACCTATTCAATGACAAATCCAAGTCAGTGGACATCCCACGAGCGCCGTGTACGAGTTGCCACAGCTTGAGTCGCATGTCCGAAGGGTGGAAGAGCAGAGCGTCGACTTCATCGGATCCACTGGCCGGCAACGGCGCCCGGGCACGGATCATGTACTGATCCAGCACGCGCTCGTGGCGCTCAGCGTAGTTGGCCATTTCGCGCTTGCGCTGCACGATCGATTGGTGGTGCCGGAGCAGCTGCCGCTTGGCTCGTAAGAGGCCCTTGGAGGCCACAAAGATATTGCCGCGCGACCGCACCTACAAGGAGGCACTTGTATAATCTTCAAGAGGGTCGACGCGTCGTGTACCGGCTTGTAGGGGCGCGACGACGGCGCGACGACCGACGACGCATCCAGCGCGTGGCGGCATTCCGAGGCAGAGAAACAGCCAGATGCATTGCTCATGAAGGTCAGGTTCTTGTTGGAAAAGTCACGCAGGAGCGTCGGTGGCACTGCGCTCGTCCTTGGTCCCGCATGCGTCATGTCGAAAAAGTGAGCCAAGTCGTTATTTCCAACAAACCGTCGTTTCCCGCGTTTTTTAGTTGCCTTCTCGACGCCAACATGGAGGTGTCCGACGACGGACCCTCGCAGCTTGCACGCGGCAAGAAGAGCATCTCGCACATCGAGCTACCGTCGTACCATGGTCAGCGCATGCCCTCGGTGGTCGCGCCGCTGCCCAGCGTATCCCGTACGAGTGCGCGCAGGACACGAACCACGATGGTTCAGAACTTTTTGCGCACGGTCGCCAAAACGACCACGTCGAGCCGAGAGAGCACGGGGAGACTCCCGAGGCTGCTGCACCGAACGCTCAGCAAAACAAGAGACAAGCTCATTGGGAAGCCCGAGAGCGTGGCGCCGAGAGCGACGGCGCTCCCGACGGCTGGCTCGTTGCGCTCGCTCATTGCGCAAAAGCCCCCTCGGGTCGTGCCATTTGCCCCCGAGCCGACGATATCACCGTCGTCCAGCCAACAGTGCCACGACGACAACGATGCAACGACGGTCGCTACGTCGGAACCGATCGGACGCGCCCGCGCCAAGTCGGTGCGCGAGATGTTGACGAAGTCGATGCTGGAGCGCATTCCGCAGCTCCACGAACGCCGGTCGCGGCTTCTCGACCAAGTCGCGATGGGCCAGCGGCACAAAAAGTACTGTCGCAGTACCAGATCCGGCTCCGCTCGCACCGCTTGTCGGCGACGAGCACGCTTGTGATCTATGTGCCGTACTTGATCTACCCCACGAGCCGCTGGTATCGACTGTGGCGCCTCGTACGCATATGACATGTTGACCACCACAAGGACACTATTGGAGTTTACATACTTAGGTGCTCGTGCTCCTCACGTACTATCAGCTGGTGACGATTCCGTACGACGTGGCTTTTCTTCCGTGGGCCAACCCGCGCGACGACGCGATGGGTCTCCTGACCAATGCCCTCTTTGCCCTCGATCTCGTCATCAATTTGAACACGGCGGTCCGCGTCTCGGACGTGACCTTCATCACGACCCGGAAGCACATTGCGCGCATCTACTTTCATAGCTGGTTTACAGTCTACGATTGTCACGACTATATGTATACTAGAATGGACTAGGTTTGTCTCGGACGCACTCTCGATCGTGCCCTGGGACGTGCTCGTGCATGCGATGACGCACAACGGCAGCGACGTTCCGAGCTCGTTGGTGAGTGTTTTCAAACTCTTTCGACTGCCGCGCATTGTCCGCATGTACTCGCTGGTGCGGATTCTGCGCTTCCTCCGCGTGCCCGACGAATACAAGCGCTGGGTGCTCTACTCTCGCCACGCGCATTTGATTCGACTCTTGTCGCTCGTCGCGCTGTTTATGTTTTTGGTTCACCTCCTCGCTTGCGTCTGGTACAGCCTCGTCGTGCCCGAGCTCTGGATCGAGACGACGAGTTCAAGCTCCACGGACGGGTCGCTCCTCGATGCGTATACGCTGAGCGCCTACTATATTGTCACTACTGTCACGGGCCAATCCAACGTGCTCCAGACGAATGCACAGTATGTCTTTTCGGCCGTCATCATCATCCTCGGGTCGCTCTGGATCGCCGTTGTCTTTGGCAACGTGGGCAATTTGATTGCCAACTATTATGCCAACCACGACCTCTTTCAGCAAAAGGTATTGTATAGAAACACCGCGTCGAATGAGCAAGAAAGACGGGGCTGTTGGTGTAGATGGAGTCGCTTTTCGCGAGCATGACGCTGTTGCACTTGCCGATCGAGCTCCAAATCGCATCGTCGAGTACTACCAGACCATGTACGTCCGCCACGGCACGCTCAATGGCAAGCCGTTCCAATTCACAAAAGAGCTCTCGAAAAATCTCTCGGTCGAAGTCGGGCTCTTCCTACGCATGAACATGATTACGCGGTCCCCGATGTTCCAGCCGTGCAGCCCCGAGTTTGTCCAGGAGCTTGTCATGCAGCTCGGCTTTCAGGTCTACCTCGGCAACGACTACATTGTGGTGCGTGGCGAAGTCGGCAGCGAAATGTACTTTGTCCAAAACGGCATTTGCGAAATGCGCCAGCCCACGTTCATCGAGGCGTCGTTCCAACGCAAGGAGGTGGGCGGCGTCGACCTCAAGGCGTGCCGGACGCTGGAAGAAGGCGATCATTTTGGTACCATTTTAGATGTTGGATTTTGGATTTTTTTTGAATTTGGAGCTTATTTCACGACACGACTAGGGGAGCTGGCGCTGCTCATGAACGTCAAACATGCAGCCACGGTCAAGGCGGTCACATTCCTCGAGCTCTGCGTCTTGAGACGAGACGTCTTCTTAGCCGTCACGGACAAGTACTGTGACGACAAGACGGTCATTGAGAAATTCATTGTCGACAAGTACGACCCGGCCGTCATGGAGTCGCTGCTCGCAATCCAGAGCAACCCCAAGCAAGAGCACCAACGGTCGATTGTCGCCTACATCGAAAAGCTCACGGACCGACTCCACGACATGCAAGACGCGATGGATGTGATGCAAAACCAACTCTCGCTCCTCGAAACAAGTGGCGCCAAGCCGCCGCTTCGAAACAGTGCAAGCACATATTTATCCTAATGCAGAGGACCTTTCGTCGATATACGCGGTCGCGGCCACTTGGCCCCAGTGATTGAGCTCGTCCAGAATGTCGGGGTGGGGCGGCAGCAGCGACCACAAAAGGAGTTGTGGCAGTGAAAATGGAAAGCCCGTTCGAATCAAAGACGGACTAATGCTTGTCAAATGGTGTGCAAATGGCAGGGGAAAGACGTTGACACCAACGTGGTGATCCAGGGTTGGGACGAGCGACACGACGCACCCATCGATATGCCACGCGCCGCGGTGTGGCACGGATAAGTCGCGGCTGAGGTAGAAAGGAATGTGGCACGACGCCAAGAGCGCTTCGGCGAGGTCGTCGCGCGAACCAAACGTCGTGTGGAGGTCGACACCGGGCCGTGGCCACACTTGAGTGGTGGCGACCGTGAGCGGGAGGTGCGACGGGAGCGGCGATGGAAAGAGCTCGAGGATGTGACCTCGGACGTCGTCGCGCAACGACTGGTGTCGGTTAGGGGACCGCATCGCGAGCGCGGATTGACGCAGACGCTCCTCGACCGCATCGAGGGGCACGTCGCAGGCAAGGGCTGCCGCGACCAAGGCGCCGCCGGACGCCCCCGCGACGGAACTAGCGGGCGTCAAATGGCCGAGCTTCTGTAGCTGCTTGGCAACACCGACGTGGAAGGCGAGGAGGAAGCCGCAGCCGCCAAAGCTCACGTGCATCGTCGACACAGGACAAAAAGGCCACTGGCAATGGCCAATTAGAAATGAGGAAATGCAAAGTGGCGTGCACTTAGACACGCACGTGGCAGCACCAGAGCGCTTGTGGGGCTACGTGGGCTGACGGTCCATTGCTATCGCCGCACGAGCACAGTTGACGACCACGCAAGTCAAAGGAACTAGAGAAATAAAGCATGTATGCTGTCGAAAGCGAACATAAAGCCAAGCAACTCCACTTGCGGTATCAAATTGTCGTTTCTGCGTCGACAGTCGTGCTACAAACAAGGCTGCAAGATTTCGGATGGATTGGCTCGTTCGACTTTGAATAAGAGGGACCGAATGGAGTGGGTTTGTACTGGATCGAAACAATGCCCTTTTGTTGGGTTATATGCATTCTACTAGTATACATGTCCTGGCTTATATATCGCATTCTAATAGTCTACATGGCCTGGACTACAATATTTCGCTACGACAGAGTAGTGGTAGCGTGCCACGACTGCGCAGCCAAGTCGCCCCACTCGACGAGCTCTCTTAGCACCGCATGACTCGGCGGCGAGAGCGCCCAATGCAGCAGTTGCAACTTGGAGTACGGGAATGCCGATAACAGCGACGGCGAAATGCCTCGGGTGTCCATCGGAAACGGGCTCACGCCAATGGCATCGGGCATGTTGGGCACGAGGGAGAAGGCGCCACCGTCCACGTAATAGGCACCGCGGTACCTGCACGCAAAGTCGCCATTGAGGTAAAACGGAATGTGGCACGACGCGAGGAGCGCGTCTCGCAAGTCTTCGCGGGACGTGAAGCGTGTCAAGTGGCATTCCTGGACGCGTGGCCAAATCTGCGCGGTCGTGACGACAAGGTTCTTGCTCGGCAGCGGCGTCGTTGGAAGGACACTGTCGACTTGCTCGCGGACAATGTCGGCAAGAAACTGGTGGCGTCGCGCTTGGTCTGCGGCGTCCACCAGCTTGTCAAAGACCGTGTCGAGTGAAATGCCGTACGCGAGCGCGGTAGCCAACAGCGCGCCACCCGACGCGCCGGCGAATCGACTCGACGCGTTCAAGACACCGCGTTTCTGAAGCTGCTTGGCGACGCCGACGTGGAAGGCGAGGAGGAAGCCGCAGCCGCCAAAGCTCACGTGCATGCTGCAGAATGGACACGGCAAGGTTGGACCGTCGCGATGGCCAATGAATGAGCCGACACACGGACACGGACCTCGTGGGACAGCAAGCATATGATGCGCGTCGGGGAACGGCCAGTGCAACTTCAAGGTGGTGGCGGAAGCGTCCTTTCTTGGTGTGCTCATGGCATGCTGCACACGCGAGCGCGTCAACCTTGCGCTCACGGTGGCTGGCGGCCCTTGGTCGGGCTCGGAGGACGCATTCTATTAGTCAGTAGTGCATTTAGTCGTTCAGCATGGTGATTGACCCTTCTTGGTCAACTCATATTGAATGTAATGGGTCACCAAAGGGCAAACCTCTCAAATTCGATACTGGACCCAGATCTGGCAAACGCGAACGCCCGGAGTTTGACGTCATTTCCAGAGCCGCCTGCCCCATGACAACAACCACGGTCGACGCAACCTTTGAGGCCTCGGCCATTCGCCACTTCCAGGAGATCCTGCGCTTCCCGACCGTCAGCGGCACGGGCGCCCAGGGCGCGTACGACCAAGTACCTCGCGACGTCATGAAGCATGGCCTGTCTGACGCTTCCTAGTGTGCTGCCTGGCTCGTCGACTACCTTGGCGAGCTCAGTCTCAAGGCACACGTCTTTTCGCCCGTCGCTGGCAAGCCCATCGTCTTGGTACATTAGCGTAGCCGGCATCGGCCTACATGGATTGTGTAGGCGACATGGCGGGCGAGGACCCGACGCTGCCAGGCGTCCTTCTCAACTCGCACTACGATGTCGTGCCCGTCATGCGCGAGAGCTGGAACTACGACCCGTTTGGCGTACGCCTCTTATCTCGGACGCTCTCACTGTATGCCAATTGCGTGCTAGGCGGAGATCCGTGACGATGGCTTCATCGTCGGCCGGGGCACGCAGGACATGAAGAGCGTGTGCATCCAGTATCTGGAAGCCGTCCGTCTCCTGAAAGCATCGGGCTTTGTGCCTGCGCGCAACGTGCACTTGTGCTTTGTACCGGACGAGGAAATTGGCGGTGTCGACGGCATGGGCGCGTTCCTCAAGTCGCCCGAGTACAAGGCGATCACGCCACTGGCGATCGCACTCGACGAAGGCCTCGCCAACCCGACCGAGAAGTTTACAGGTACTGCGTGATTTTACGGCACGCTCTTGCTCGCTGTAACAAGTCCATGTCTAGTCTTTTATGGCGAGCGGACGCCGTGGTGGATCTACGTCAAGGCCGAGGGGCCGACGGGGCACGGGTCGCGCTTCATTGAGAACACGGCCACGTCCAAGCTCATTGCGATCTGCAACAAGGTAGGATCCTCGAACGCTCCACGTCCTTTCTCGACCGATGATGTAGGCGCTGGCGTTTCGCGACGACCAGGAGAAGGCGCTCGGTGCATCCTGCGGCTGCAAGCATGGCGACATGAAGAAGAAGAAGCTCGGCGACGTCACGACCATCAACCTCACGGTGCTCAAGGCTGGTGTGTCCATGGACAATGGCGCGACGTACTCGCTCAATGTCATTCCGACCGAGGCGACGGCCGGTTTTGACATTCGCATCTCGCCCAACGCCGACCTCGCGGAGTTCCATGTACGTCGCCGCCTCGATGTTACCTAAGAACGCTCACAAGTACGATTGTAGGCGATGCTGGATGCATGGTGCGCGGCCGACGGCGTCTCGTGGTCGTACGTCGGCGCGCCGCTGCATGAGCACCATGTGACGTCGGTCGACGCGGAGACGAACCCGCTCTGCGCGCGGTTCCTCGAGACGTGCAAGGACCTCGGTATGGACGTCGAGCTCGACGTGTTTCCTGCGGCGACCGACAGCCGCTTTCTGCGCCAGATTGGTGTGCCGGCGCTGGGCTTCTCGCCCATGAACAAGACCGAGATTTTGCTCCACGAGCACAACGAAATGCTGCACAAGGACACGTTTCTGAAGGGCATTTACATTTACCGCGATCTGTTCACGCGCCTCTTGGCCTAAGTCTCTGCGACACGAAAAGCGATTTTTGTGGTGTCGGATTCGTGCGTTAGTCGACAGAGCGCTTGCTAGTCGTCGTCGTGGCTGCTCAGCATCGACGCGTCGCTGAGACCATCGACGTCGCTCTCGTAGCTCAACGAGCGGGCGCGCTTGCGGGCGGTCGGTGTAGTGTGGGTGGGAAGGCGCCGGTGGAGGTACAAGGGGAGGTTTTGGCACGCGATATAGGACGATGGCGACGACAGCAGCGGGTGTTGGTGTGCACTCTCGGGCGTCGACGTGATCTCGCTCGCAATCTGTCGGAGGTACGATGGGAATGGGTACGCCATACGGGGCACATGCAGCATCTCGAGCTCGCCTTCGTATGAGTAGTCCCGCAAGGTCTCTTGGCGCGCCGACTCATCCTCGGACTCGGTGTCGGCGACCTCGTCGTCGTCGCCGTGCCGGGCCGTCTTGCGCTTCCGGACGCCTTCGCGGAAGACGCTTAGCGGCTCGTCGTCCGTGGACGTGCCATCCTCGGAGACATCGTCCGTCTTGGGCGTGCTTGGCGCCGTATCCGAGCCCATCTCAGCAGATTCGATGCTCTTGGAGTAGCCCGAGTCCACGTCGCTGTCATGGCCACTCGCGGCGCCGTCCGACGACGAGAAGGCCGACATGGTGCGATTGCTGTCGAGTTGCTGGATCCGCCCGTTCTCAAAGGCCATTGGCCAAAACCGTGCCCCAGCGCTCGTTGCACACCAATCCGCAAACGCGATTTCGTGATAATACGTATATTTCAACCAATGCCCTGCTTGTGTGAGGGGCGAAGTTCGAAGATGCAGCACTCGCAGTTTCGCCAAGCAGCAAGAAGAATGTGGCGCCGGTCCTTCGCGGCAACCGCGTCCATGGTCCCTGGCAATGTGCAAGCACGACCTCGCTATCTGCAATCGCGCTTGGCAACGACCAAGACGATCACGACGCCCATCTACTACGTCAACGCAGCCCCGCACCTCGGCCACCTCCACTCGACTGTCATGGCCGATGCGCTCTCGCGCTGGTTCCAGTTCGCCGGCCACAAAACGCTCTTCTCGACGGGCACGGATGAGCACGGGCTCAAGGTGCAGCAAGCGGCCGAGCGCGCAGGCAAGCCCACTGCGGCCTTTTGCGACGACGTCGCGACGACGTTCCAGGCCATGTGTGCGCGGGGCGATGTGGCCTACGACCGCTTTGTGCGCACGACCGAGCCCGAGCACAAGGCGACCGTCCAGAGCCTTTGGAAGACGCTGGTTGCCAACGATGCCATCTACCTCGGCCAGCACGAAGCGTGGTATTGCGTCTCGGACGAGTCGTTCTTGACCGAGATGCAAGTCGAGGAGAACGCCGACGGCAAAATGGTCTCCAAGGAGAGCGGGCACCCCGTCGAGCTCGTAAAGGAAGAAAACTACAAGTTTCGCCTCTCTGCGTACCAGGACGCGCTCCTAACGTGGCTTGACGCCAACCCCGACGTCGTCCAGCCAAAGTCCCGCTTCAACGAGGTTCGCTCGATATATTATATCCTTCCTTTGTCGCTCACATCGATGCCTCCACGTAGGTGCGCTCGATGGTCGCCGGCGGCCTCCACGACGTGTCAGTCTCGCGCCTCCGTGAGAAGATCCAGTGGGCAATTCCGGTGCCGGGTATGCGCGTCATCTGCCTTCCGACGCCAGCCAATCGATAACGTCTCGTGCATAGACGACGAGAACCACTCGGTGTATGTCTGGCTCGATGCGCTGAGCAACTACTTGACGTGTGCCGGGTACCCCGATCCGGAAAAGCTCGCCGAGGTAGACGCCACAACGTATTATTGATGGCTCATCGCCGACTAGAACTGGCCCGCCAGTTACCACATTGTGGGCAAGGACATTATCAAATTCCACGCGATCTACTGGCCGGCCTTCCTGCTCGCGGCCAACTTGGCGCTGCCGAAGCGCATCGTTGCGCATGCCCATTGGACTGTCGACAACGTCAAGATGTCCAAGAGCCTCGGCAACGTGGTCGAGCCCAACGCCATTATCAACACCGTAGTCCACTGCTTCACCCTCGCACGCTGGCTGAGCGACTTGGTAGTTTGGTGTCGACGCCGTCCGGTATTTTCTGCTTCGGGAAGGCGTCTTGACCGACGACGGCGACTTCAACGAGGAGCTCTTGAAGAACCGTGTCAACAGCGAAGTCGCCGACACCCTTGGCAACCTCGGTACGTCGTCATCATTTTTGCTGCACGAAAGGACGTTCGAGGACACGATAGTGATTCGCAGCACGACGCTTGCGTTCGTGCCCAATGGCATCGTGCCCACGGGGGCGGACTACTCGGCCAGCGATTTGGAGCTCATTGCGGCCATGGACGCCATGGTTGATGCGACGCAAGCCTACTACGAAAAGCCCGACGTACGCTGCGATTGATGGGTCCATCGAGGCCACTTATTGAGTTTTTAGTTTTCGATGGCGATCCGGTCCGTCATGTTTTTCCTTTACGACATCAACCGGTATGTGATACGTTTAACAGTCTCATTCGACCGCGTACTACATATATTGTAGCAACTTTTCCAACAATGAACCGTGGGTCGTGGCCAAAGAGCTCAAGGACCCGAGTGGCTTGACGACCGACGAGATTGTCGCCAAGCAGCGCTTTCTTGACAATACGATGCTCCTCTCCATGGAGGCGGCGCGCCTCAGTGGTACGCGCCCTGCGTTTGTACTTGGTTTGAACGATCCCTTGTGTGTCTAGCGCTCTTGCTGCTGCCCGTGATTCCGTCGACGGCGACCGGCATCCTCGACTACCTCAATGTCCCGCATGCGCAGCGCACGCTCGCGCACGCCAAGTTTGGCCAGTCGACGTACGGTCCGATTCGCAACGCCAAGGCCAAAGTCAAGTTTGTGCCTTTCCAGAAGCTGCCGTAGAGTCCTCTTGGCCAAAGACGTGGGTAGAGTTCATAGAGACGATTACATAAAGCCAGCGTCCGCGAGGCTATTGACAAATAGGACATTTTCTTGGCGGTTGGCGTTCTTCGCGAGTCGAAAGAGCTCGGCGCTGGGCTTCCGGATGCTACCATGGAAAAACATGAGGCCCGCCCTCGACTTGATACGTTGATACGTTTCCAGTCGGTGCCGAAGCATCATTTGCTGGTTTTTCTCGGGCACGAGCGCTTTGCGCCGGCGGCCGACCGTCGTCGTCGACGTGTACCGTACGTTTTGACAGCTAAGGGCATCGACGATCGCGCGGTGGATCTAATGGTGTATTTGAGTCGGTCGTGTGCAGCGCGTCGACAACGACCTTGCGAAACTTTTGGAAACAGATGAGTCCATGCTCGATCGTTGGCATCGACTCTTCGTAGCCGAAAATGTCTTTGGTGACCAAGAAAAAGCAGGCAGGCGCGGTTGACCTTCGGCCAGCGCGAACGCCTAGTGCACATCGTATCTATCAATCTTTCAACGCGCGCTTGATACGATCGATACCTGACGGTACGTGGCGTAGTTGTTGTCTTGGGCGCAAATGTTTTTGAGGCACTCGAACCGATCGTTTTGAGCTTGCGGAAGGAGGTCCCACGTCGTCTTGAGCTGCTGGATGCAGGGTGCTTTCAAGCCCGTGATGACTTCGAAGAGCGTGTTGAAGTTGTGCAGTTGGTGGCACGCCTCGGCGACATCAATAAAGTACGCGATCATCTTGGCGCGCTGCTTGGCTTGCAGTTTCGGGTGCAAGATTTCACTCGAGACCCACCCTGCACGCTACACGCACACGTAAGCCACGCATAGAATGCTTTGTCTACCGCATCGAAAAGCTCGATCAAGGCAAGCACGTTGGGCGAATCCATGTGCTTGTTGGCGCTCGTCCAGTTCTTATTGGTGAGCTCACGCGGCTGGATCTTGAGGTACCGGTACTCCTCCAGGAGCGTGAGCTGCTCCGCGGCTTCTTGCGCCGAGATGCCACTCAACGGCTCGGACCGCGAGACGCTCATATACTTGCCTTTCTCTCTCGTGCTGTCCGACTGCGACCGTGTGAGGGGACCGAACGAGCTGCTGTGGCTGCTTGCGCTCGAGAGCAGCATGGCCGCATCGACGCCATACTGCGAGCTGCCAGTTGTCATGCCCCGTGCCAGCGTCGGGACCTTGGTCGATGGCTCTTTTGTCGAGTCGGACGAGCTACGCGTGAGCATCGGTGCGCCCGAGGTCGATGCGGGCGCCGGGGCCGACCGCGAGAGCGCGTCAACGGCCATGGACACGCCATCGTCTTCGTTGCCGAGGTCCAAGGGCGACGGCATATCGTATGGCCGAGAGCCTTGCTGTGGCGTCTCGTGGTGCTTGAGCTGCTGTCGCAACATAGTCGACGCCTTTAGGATCTTGCCGACAACGTGCTAGCAGCGTGGCCATGAGATCGTGAGCACGTGAATGGAACGTACGAGCATGGTCTCGGCATGGCGCACGATCGATGGAATCGGCGACGTCTTTCGAATGTCTTCGAGGAACAAGAAGAGCTTTTTCTACGCACATCCATGGTGCCACCGTAGGATCGGAGATCGGATTCGGTTACCTGCGCCTTGCGGTCGTCCGACAAGTCGGCTTCAATGTAGCCCGACTCGCGGATCCAGAATTTGAGCACGCTCATCGCACGCATGATCGAGATGTTGGCTTCGGCCTGGGTGTTGACGTCAATGGCCTCGTTGGACGGAATCGAGAAGCGCTCTTCATCGGCGTTGGTCGGGTCGCACTCGATCGACGACGGGTTCATGAGCTTCATCGCAGCCTTGTAGCGCTTGATGAGCTTCTTGACAAACTCGTATGCGGTCGAGTGGCAGCGGTACGTGAGGAGAAAGCCGTCGCGGAACTCGGTGTCGTAATGATGCGCGTCCGTGAGCTTGGCCACGAGGCGCCCGAGCGACGCGTGCGAGATCTCGCGCCGGGCGTTGCTGATGCCACGCGTCGGCGTCTCGTAGATGACCGATGGCAGCTTCTTCTTCGCATGCATCGTCTCGTCGTTGGGGTCGCCGGCGCGGACGCGGTCTTCGGTCACAACGACCGAGGCCAGCAGCGCCGACCATTGACCGCTATTGAAGGAGCCGAGCATGCTGTCGTTGGTGCCATCGACCTTCCTGCTGCTTGCGTCGACGAGCTTCGTCGCCGTCGCATCCATCCTGGGGGTTAGCTCAAATGCAAAACTTGGGACGCCAGGCCAATATCCGGATGACTCACACGCCCATACCTCCTTTTGGCAGAGCGTCATCCGGATACGACCGTGGGATTTATACCGGCCCAGGTGCCCGATACAAACACCAAGTCACGACTCGGCGGCTACTCGCGCAAGCTGGTCGGGCCGATCCAGCTCCGGCCTCGCCTGCCATGTAGTTCTATAAGTACGCGTTGAGGCCACCGCCGAGACGACTGCGTCGACACCAGGTAGAGAGACGCTTCGGCGGTGGTCGGTGCGACGACTTGGTGCGATTGCTTGCGAGTGCGATGTAGGGTGACACACCTCTTCCTATCATCAGGTGGTTCTTGAAGCTGCACGGAGCCTCCAAGCTCTGGCTTTGTGATGCTGGACCATACTACACGGTGTGCTGTGGTGCCTAGGCTTTAAGCGTCGCACGAAGTAGCAAGCAAGCCTATTGAAATGATGGGAACGGCAAGACGACGACGATGGCTTCGATCATTATTGTCTTCTGCCTGTTTTCGCCAGGTGCGTGTCCATAATGGTGCGAGCATTCACATCGTGGCCAGGTAAGGCCACCTGAACGGACCGAAGCTCGCGGACCATTTGGACAAAGGTCGGTCGCGGGACGTCCATGGCGCCCATGTGGAGCTTGTACTCCATCGACATGCCGAGGTCCCAGAGCTGGAAGCCGTGGACGTGGAGGTAGCTTCCGAGTGCTTGCAGCTGCATTGTGCCAGCGCCATTCGCACCCGGTCGGACGAAACCCGTGAGGCTCGTGTACATGGCGCCGTTGGTGTAGCCGAGCTCGCCAGCAACGAGGACGTCGCCTCGCCAGAGCTCGGCGCTGTGTAATCGGACTTGATGGCCTTGGTCCGAGACTGTGATGCCGGGCAGCAAGCCGCGGAAGCCTTGGACGACCTCTGGGTACAGCCATGCGACGCCGTGCTGCTCGTGGCAGCCGCGGACCACCGCGTCGAACGCCGTGTTGAACTTGAGCGTGTAGTCCTTGGCCTTCTTGCGCACGCTTTTCGAGATGTGGAATGCGGCGGGATCGAGAATGCAGCGCTCCATGTGGAGCTTTGGCAGCAAGTACACGGTCCGCGCCTGCTGCGTCGCGATCGGGAGGAAGCCTTCGTACATGATGAGCGCGAGGTAGAGCGGCTGGAAGCAGCGCGAGACCCAGAAATCTTCATGCGAGTGGTGCATGTATGGGCGCAGCTGCTGTGGTACAAACTCTTCGTCGGGGCTCATCGGCCGCCGGGCCATGCTCGTCGACGTTGGAATCGTCGTCGGGAATTTGCGGACTGCGACCGCAGCGCGACGCCGGATGCCACTTGATTGTTATCCGACGTTGATAATACCGGATAATGGCCTCGTTTTCCGGTATTTCGATTTGAAATCTGGCCAGCCCCTCGTCTCGTATATTAATATACATTCAATGCACACTATGTATTTGGCATTTGTAGTCCACATAAAATGTAGGGTTTATATGTCCGAGGTACGCGCGGTTGGAATAAAATTACACCGACCCGGGACCCAGACGCGCGAAAGAAGACGAGGAAGAAGAAGATCGCATGGACGCGATGGACGAGCGGCCGATCGTCGTCGCCCTCGGGTCGCTTCCGCCCCATGTAGATGGACCCGTCATGGGCTACGTCAAGGTTCGGATCAAGGTCCGCGCCGATGGGCCATGGCTCGCCCGCGTGCGATGGTGGGGCGCCATGGCCATGCACGAGAAGGGCGATCTGCTCCGTGAGGGGCAGACGCTGGCGTTCCCCGTCCATGTCTCCCGCGACCGCTTTGCGAGGTACCTTGCCGACATGGGACCGCTGCGGCTGGACGTCGTCGACAAGGCGACGCATCAGGTCGTCGGGCGCGCCGAGGTTCCCTTGAGCCTCGCTGAGATGGAAACACCCGGTCTCGAGAAGGAAGCGCCCATCGTGCGCAAGTCGACGTTCCAAGTACGAGGTGTGCTGCAGCTCTCAGCAACGCTCTTGTGGGGCGAGAATGATACGCCGATCCCAATTGCATCCGCGGTCACCGTGCGCAGGAACCGCGATCTCGTGCTGCCAACGCGACTCGTTCCTACGCATAATAGCAGCTCGAGAACACCATCGACCGACAACTCGGACACGTACGAACATGTGTACGAAAAGGACAAGTACGACCATCAACCCGCGCGACGAGAGCCGTCGCCCGTCACGTCTCGCCTCGATGCGCTCGTCAAGAAGGGCGAAGCGCTCAAGAAGGCGATGCAGCAAGCCATCAACGCGCCGATCGAAACAAATCTCGCAACGCAGCACGATGTAGCCACGGTGCTCGCGACCGCCAAGAGCCTTGGCCCCGACGACGCTCCCAGCTACTCGTGGCGCACCCTCGTTGACCAGTACACCAAAGATGACTCTTGTTTCTTCAAGCACTGGCCTCGCCACGCCGCCCAGCGCTTGGGCCACCACCCATACCTGCCATTGCAAGAGCACCCGAGCCCTTGACGCAGCTCGATCTCGAGTGTGGACTCTACGTGTCCCACGTGGATGGACTCGTCGTCTCACATGGTTGCACGAGCCTACGCATCTCGGCCAAGATGCCATGGTCTTCGGCTGTCGCAAGCATCCAGAAGCATGTGCGTGGCCCTCGAGTGCGTCGTTGCTACGTGACCCTTTGTACCCGAGGACCTGTGGACGAAATGCACGTGGCCGCTGTGCGCGCCAAGACAGTGGTACGTGCATCAATTGCTGCTGTTGGCCTGATTTTCACGCAGGTGCTCGAAGTATGGCAGCAAGCGCAAGCAACCACGCTCGTGGGGCTTGTCAAGCTACCATTGCACATCGTCCAAGAGTATGTATCACATCGACGGCTTGGAGCTCTCATTACTACGGGTGTAGAAACGACGCGGGATTGGTTTTGGATGTCATTTTTGACGGCGACGCCCCGATCGTCAACCTCTTTGACGCTGCCATTGTTGGTCACGTGGCATGTCAACTTGCCGTGGGCTCCTCCTTGCAGGTAGGGTACTATTGCGACCGCCAACGCTAAATCCAACGACGTGACATGGCAACTAGATTGATGCATGGCTTGCACGATTCAGATGTGTCGTGCGACTTCAATCACTGTACCGTGGATGGTGTGTCCGCAAGCACTGCAAACCAACACCGCCGCCACTGTCGTTGGCAGACAAGCAGATGGCAGCTCGTGTGCTCCAGCGAGCCTTTCGTGCTTGGCGATCACGAGCACCAGAACCCGCACCAAACGCTTGGGCGTGGGAAAGCCTCACTTTCACAGACAACTCCACGCCCGACAAGTTCAAGCTGGCCGTAGACGTGACGCCTACAAATGCCAAAGAGAAAGCCGTGGTCGCAACGCCACCGAGTGACGACGTCAGCGAGCCGCGATCGGCCTTGAACGACGCCGTGCTTGAGTTACTCGATGCGATCGAAGGGGATGGCCTCGATACCATTGGCTTCAATGACAATGAGCCACACGCTGTTTTTTCCGACACGACGCGTGAAGAGAACGTCGCGCCACCGCCGTCCTTCTTTGACGACGCGGATGCAGCCATTGCTCTCTTGAACCCAAAGACGCAGCCTCCTCTCGACGAAAGCCTCGACAGGGCTTCTTCCGTCCCGAAGAGCCGCGACGACGACGCTTCCGTCAACCCGCTACCAGACACGAGCGCCATGTACCACAAATGGAGGCTGTCGTTGCGCGAGCCTTTTGGTGGCAGCAAAGCTTCAGGCCTTGGCTGCGAGCTCCGGTACACGTTCGATGATGCTGCGTGCTCCATGTGGTGGGATGCCACGAACGCCTCGTGGAGCTCCGTGAACGAGCACGTTGGCCGATCTTCCTCCGTCACTCTCGATTTCGAGCTGTGGTGGCAGCCAAGCATGACGTCGGTACTGCGTTGCATTGGTCGTGCGCACATCGTCCTCGATGCGGCGGCGCTCCCCGACACGGTGCCGATCCAATGGGACTTGACGCACTTTCAAGCCCGCGCCCCCTCTCTTCCGTTGCATGTCGTGCATTCGCTCGAGGCGTCCGAGCCGAGTGCTGGCGCTATTCTCGAGGCCAAGACGACGTCATCCAAATTGCTACCCGCCACATCGATGCTCTCGGTGCGCATTGGTTGCTTCCAGCTCGCATCTGCGTCCGTGTCCAGTGTTCAAGTGCAGTGCGCGCTCTGTGTCGGCGATGTTATTCACGACGACGCCGCCGCGGTGGCGTTTGACACGGAAAAGGGCAAGTGGATGTCGCGTCAGCTCTCGCCGCTCCTCGCACCGACATCACAGTACACGTTTCAGGAGCACGTGACTATCCATGCTGCACTACTCGAGAGCATGGCGGTCGACGATGTGGTCCTCGACGTGTGGCACGTCGCATCCGGAAAAGACCTCGCGTACCTTGGCGCTGTCGCGATCCCGCTAGCATCTCTTCTCTTTCGGACGCAAGGCATTGACGGTGTGTTTCCACTCCTTCGAGGTGCTACACTTGCATCGACCTCGCATTGGACATGGCATGACGCGTCACCTAGATGGTGTGTACCACGGTCGCGCTCAAGTTCACATAGTTTTTAATCACGGCAATGGGCGCGTTTCGGCTTTTGCCCCAGCACCCCCGACAGTGCTGACACCAGCGCCTGAGCCCCGACCCCGTGCTGTGGAAATGACGCGCCACGATCCGTTACCCCGTCCCACGCCGGCGGTCGTCACCGACGACGAGATGCCTTTTACCAAGCCAATGGTTGTGCAAGCGGAACCTCGCGAGCTGGACAACACCAACCTTGAAAACGACGTTGTTGTATGTCGACACATTATTCATCTATCACATGCGATGATGATATATGTATAGGTATCAATTCTACAAGCACGCCACTTGGACCTGCAAGACCACGATGCCATGTCGCTCATGGCGAGCGTTCAAGTCGAGTGGGGTTCTTTGCGTCAGGTATAATCAAACTCATACACCCATTGGTATAAATGCGGGTGCGACGTAGACCACCAATCAAGTGCCCGTGACCTCCGCGCTCGCATTTGACTTTTCGTGCAGTGCCAACTTTGAGCTCCAGCGAGAGGCACCACTAGTGTTTGCACTGTGGCTGCACGATGCGTCGTCGTTCGAGTCGCCGCGGCGCCTTGGTCAAGCTGTCGTAGACCTGTCGCTCTTGAAATGGACACCCGAAGTGTGCGGCTGGTACCACATTGTCGATGCCACGCAACAGTACCGCGTATAAAGAGCAAACGCGTTGTGTGTAAGTCTCATTAGACATACTGTTTTGTAGGGCCAACTCCACCTTCGCATTCAGAAGACGACCCTCGGGCGTGTGGAGACGGACGTTGTAGCAGTGCCACCTGCCGCCGTGTCTACCGACGTCGAGACCGACTCGTGGCGACTGCTCCAGAAAGTACAACGCGATCTCGCCGACATTGATCAACGACTCAACCACGTCATGATCGTGTTGCCGGAAGAAGCGTCGCCGCAACGATCGCCACCTGCTTCACCGTTAGAGTCGCCGTCACCGTCAGAGCTACCGTCACCGTCAGCGTCACCGTCACCGTCAGAGCCACCGTCAGCGTCACCGTCACCGTCAGCGTCACCGTCACGATTGTCGCTAGCGTCACCAATACCGTCACCAGAACCATCACCAACTGCGTCGCCACCAGCGTTACCATCGACGTCACCACGAGGGTTGCGACAAACGTCGCCCCCGGCTTCGGAGGCCGCAGAAGACGACCACGTTGTCCGTGCTCACTGGAGCGACTCCGAGATGGAGTTTGACATGACGGCTCTCGACGTACACACAAACGGAATGAACGACATGTTGGACGGCTTTGAAGCCTTCGATGCGACTGGCGACATGGCTAGCAAGACTGCGCTCGTCGATGACGAAGGCTTCGGCAACAACGACGTGGCCGTGCTACCCGACGCTCCCGCCGATGGCTCGGAGGGATCCAGCGATGACGTCGACTTGTCAGCACTCAGTGTGTTTGCCCCGCCAACATCCGAAGCTCGACAAGACGATGTGCTAGAGGACGAGTGCGACACACTCATGAAATCCGTCGTGCACGACGTTTCGAACACACCGGTGGCGTCAGAGGACGAAGACGATGACTACGAGGCGTTGGCAGCGTTGCTGGCCCCTCCCATCGAGAGCGCGCCTGCATCACCCGTGGCCGATCTGGACTTGTGCATGTGGTCTGGCAGCAGCCACCCAGCGTCCGAAAGGTCCCACGCCATCGGCGACGATGTCCTCAAGACGGTTCTGGAGACAATGCAAGATATCAAGCTGCAACTGGCCGCACTCACTTCCTTGTCGACACCGAGCTGCTCGGCATGCGCAAGCCCCGTCAAGCCATCACCGCCACTTCTGGTAGAGCGTACCGACCCGGCAACGGATGTCGTACCTGTGCAGCTCAATCTGACGGAGCAGCCGGATGCGGGTAAAGCGTCAACTGATCCAGAGAAGGCGACGACGCTACCTGGAGACAGCGCGCCACACGACGCCACGCCGGTGGTGCCTGCGGTAGTGCGAGAGAAGATGGTTGCTGACACACTGCAGCCATCGAAAGAGCACGTCTACATCGAGACAACTGGCGCAATTGAGGCCGAGCCGTCGCCGAAGCGACCGCCAAGCTCGTCGTCCGACGGCTTGCGAAAAAGATCGTTGCGCTGGAGACTCCGGCGTCTTCAGAGGCCCACGCCGATGTCTCGACTCCAGCTTCCAAAGATGTGTGCACACCGCAGACGCCGACGCTGTCCATTGCAGACCAGCTCTCGCGTCTGGTACAGCGTTTGGATGAGCCACTGCCACGGTTGCCCACACGTCGTGCGTCCGAGGACTTGGCTGCCGAGATTGCACGGCTGACACACCGTGCTCAGGAAACCACTCCCAACATCGTAGCTGATATACCCGCTGCCGTCACACGCGAGCCGCCTCGTCGCTCGACAGCCCGACCCGTACCTTTGGACATTCCGTCTGTGTTTCGCACCGCCAAGCCCTTGCGACGAAGTCCTGCCAAGCCGCTGGCGCTGGACTCGGAGACGGAGCGCATCGCCAAGATCATGCGGGGCAGTCTTTCGTACTGGCTCGAAGTCGACTCAAGCGACGACGACGGCATATAGAGCACACCAGGTACGCGTTAATGTGTCGAGTAAAACGGGGATTTCACCACGCGGTCATACTCGTCGCGCGCCGATGTGTCGCTCAGCACTGCATACGCTGTCGCAATCGCCTTGAACTGTTCGTCGGCATCCGCACTCTTGCGCTTGTCTACATCCATATTTGTACCGCAAGGTACTTTTCATAGCCGTCACCTGGGTGTAGTCGCAGCGCGCATCGGTGGTACGCCTTCTTGACTTCGTCCATCGATGCAGCGGGCGAAATCCCCAACGTCGTGTAATAGTCGACAAGGGGTGTCGTCGCGAGCCATGGTGTCGCCTTGGGTCCACTCGTGGGCTCTCTTGTTGACGCTTGTGACTTCAAGTAGCGCAGCTGGTCGCGCGGCGCCAGGTTGGAAGGGGCGCTGGTCCGGAAAAAGACGCTGGCATACGACGGACGTCTACGAGCCACGCTCTTCACATCTTTTTTAGACCAAGGATCGGGACGGTGTACTTGTTGGCCTTGTCTGCTGCTCGTTGCTCCTTGTAGACGAGGTGCTGCTACTCCCAGGGTCTATTGTCGTGAACCGAACGATTGGGTGGTACCAACTTGGCCGTCTCGAGCTGCACACGTGCACTTCGAAGACGGACATGGCTCAGCGCGTGGTTGGGCTGCAGGCGAAGACACGACTCTGCGTCACGAATCGCGTCCATCTCTTTTCCTGGTACGCCCAAGAAGGCCCCCGAGCGCTCATACAAGACGCTCGCTTGGTACAGCGCATTCTCTGTCTCAAGACCCAAGCATGTCGTCAAGATGTCGATGGCCGCGGCATAGTGGCCGCCTTTGACGAGCGCGACGCCTTGCGCCTACACTCACCACATATGCATGTCGTTCGTTACCGGGTGGCGACACACCCGAAGCGACTGCATGCGCTGGAGCTGGTCGAGGTACAGGCGCGACGTGGGCGAGTGGCGGCCAGGTGGCATTTTCTGCAGCACGGCAATGGCTGCATCGAGACTACCCACATGACTCTGCGCTCGCGCGTTCGCGACGAGCAAGTTGGTGTCGGAGGCCACAAGTGGAAACGGAAGCCAGGCCAGAAACACGACAAGACTCTCGTACGCTTTGGTGGCCACGAGCACAGCGGTCTTGAGGTACAAGGCTTCCGGCGAGGCCGGCGACGTCGACAGGACGCTGTCCATGGCCTCGATCAACGCGTGCATACCATCATCCATGGGCGGGTGCGCGACATCGAGGGCCCTTCGAACCGTCTCGCACGCCCGCTCGTGCTGGCGAGAAAGCACGAGGATGCGCTTGACACGCTCCGTGTCCTGGGACGCGCCAACCCGCTGGGCGCAGGATCGCGCTTTGGCGAATCGACCAAGGAAGAGATACATTTCGGCACACGGCAGCCATTCTACGTTGCCTCGTCAGCAACAAAGAGGGTAGTATGTACAATCGCGCTAGTACCGCGGCCAAGGCTCGGGTGGGGCACCACGACGAGCCCAAGGCAGAGCTCGTAGCATTCGAGGAAGAGCTCGAGCGCCTTGCGGTTCCCCGCGACGCGGACAAGGTCGGTCGAGAACTGGATGCGCGCAAAGAGGTCGACGTAGACACGCGCGGGCGTTCGCGCCATCGTGTCTTCTTGAAAGACCGCGACACTGAAAAACTACCGCGTGCTATGAGCGTACTACGGGACAAGAAGAGGCATCTCGGCCACCTTGGCCACGTCGTCAGCACCGAGGCCGACGACATCAATCGGCGGCAAGTGGAGCTGTCGAGATGCGATCCCACGCGCAGTGTTGTCGGGGTCGGTGGCTGGCGTCGACGCTGGTTGGGCTACTGTCGGACTCTTGGCACGACTCGGAGACATTGGCACAAACTGTCGAGAGTCTTTACACCACCGAATGCGCACATTATTGTCATCATGGGGCATCCCAACGATGCTGGACGACTCCCGCATGAAGGATGGAAGATGATGATGATGTGGGTATGGTACGTGCATATATATATTTATGTGGGTGGTTACGACATCGTTACGACAGCTATGAGCACGGGAGGTCTTATCGCATTTTGACGCGAATGTCGTGGGCAATGTCGGCGAGCACGGGGAAGAGCGCGTTCATGCTGTCCGAGATGAGCTGGAGGAAAAACTGCTCGGCTTGCTCGTCCGTGAGATCGAGGCGGAAGCGTTCTTCGACCTTGGCAAGGACCGTTTGCGGGTCGTTGGTGTAGCCTTCAATCCCCGCGTCCACCATCAAGTGGAGCAGGTTGAGGATCATGGGTGCACTCTTGCGCAACCTAGCAGCGACACATCACATTGTGTACCATCGACAAGAGAGATGCAAACCAGTTGTAGGCTTGGCAGCAGAGGGTCTCAAACTTGTTGTAGTGCTCGCTCTTGGTGCCGCCCATGCCTTCGACCATTTCTTTAGTGAGCTTGAAGGGCGGCGGGAACGGCTTCGGGTCGGCCCCAAAGATAAAGCCAAAGTCGATGTGGAAGAGGTGGCCTTGGCTCTTCATCATTACGTTCTCCAAGTGCCGGTCGCCAATGCCGAGAATGTACGAAAGACGCACGAGCCAGCGAGCGACCGCACGTACGTATTGATGGCCTCGAGTGCAATCCCTTCGTACCCGCTTGGGTCCGGGTTGTGCGCGCGGAGAAACGCCTGGATCGTCTTGTAGTTGGAGATGACGCCCGAGACCGGATACGAGTCGTTGACAAACATCATGAGACCCGCGGACGGCGACGTGGCGAGAATCTGATACGACACGAGCTTCAGATCCAGATTCACCTTCTTGAGAAGCCGGTCCATGAGGCTAAACATTTGCATGACGAGCTGATCCTGGCGCAAGTCGTCGCCGTTCTTGATCATGACCTTGTACGCCGGTCCGTCTTTGTCCCGGCGGAGACCCAGAAAACGATTCGACGTCATCGACGTGAGCGGCGGTGGCGCTGTAAACGACGACGGGCCCGAGTTGAGCACGCTAAGCGACTCGCGCAGCGACGTGGCTTCCGTGTCCTACGCAATCAAGCATGACAACACAAGACAATATGAGACACTGTCCGATACCTCGGCGACGTCGGCTTCGACGAGAACAGTGGTGAAGTCCAACACACACGGGTACATGGCACTCTTGAACATCTTGGCTGACGTCGGCACGATGCCCGAGAGATGGATCGACGGGTCCAGCGGCAGTCGAATGTGCACGCCTTTGGGCCACGCCATCTGCTTGAGGTACTGCTTGAGCTTCTCTTCTTTCGCGTCCTTCTTGCCTTTTTCATCGCGGGCGCGCAAGTGCAGCGCCATGATGCGGTTCATGTACTCGTTCTGGGTCTGGAGCATGTTGAGGATCGCCATGCCATCGTCCGACTCGCGCATCTGCGCGAGCATGCGCTCGAGGATCCGGGTAAACATGTCACCGTCGCGAACATCCGAGACCTCGACTTGAAGGTACCAGTAGAAGAAATTGGCCATCTTGAAGTGCTTGCACGCGCGGGAAATGAGGAATCGCGCGAGCGGTCCGAGCGACGCTTCGTGGCGCCGTTCGTACCGAAGTGCTTGCACGAGCTGCAAGAGAAAGTCGAGGAGCTCTTCGTTGCGCGCCTTATCGAGCGCGGCGACCGCAAAATGACGCACGAGGTCGCTTCGAAACTCCTTGCGAGGCCCGAGGAGCTTGAGTGCATCGGCGACATCGATCTCGGTCCACGCCGTGAGCAGCTCCGACGTGAGCGTCACCTCGGTCTCGTCGAGCCAATCCACACTGAGGAGGAACTTGACGATCGCCTTGCGATTCTCGACGAGCGTGTAGCGGAACTTCCACAACAGATCCTTCTCGTCGTTCTTGAGGTGGTCGTTCGACGACCCGAGAAGCTTGTCGATGCGGAACTTCTCTTCGCGGTTGGGCTTCAAATTTGGGTCAATGGAGCCGCGGAGAATGTCGCGCGCGAGCTTGCGGTACTTGCGCTCGGCCGGGTTGTCCTCGGCGAGGTCCGGGTCCCACACTGCGACAAGGGCCGAGTCGGCCGTGTTGTCTACGCCATACACATACGAATAAGAGGCAGAGACAGATAGGACTTTTGTTGCTACCAATGCGACTCAGCGACCGAGGATGGGCAGCCGGCGTCTCGCCGGCCAGCGACGCGGGCGGGCGCGTCCCTGCGTCGCCATACAGGTTGGCGTTGCGGATCGGGTACGGCTCTTCTTCGTAGACGACGGGATGGCCAAAGTACGGGAGGTCGATCCAAAGACAGGGTTCGTTGCGCACATGAATGTACGACGGGAACTCTTCCTTCGGGCCCGGGCACTCGGCGTTGCTGCGCATGCGCGCAATGCGGCGGTTCGTAATGCGGTCGACCCAGTCGAGGCGTGGCATCTCGTGGCGGTCGTAGCGCTCCTTGAGCTTATCGAGGCGGAAGCACTCCATTTGTCGCGTGACAATCTCGGCTTGGTTGTCGTGCTCATAGTCGGACGGCGTCGACGTGCGCACGTCGGGGTCGGCGGCGACGCGCGGCCAGACGCGGAGGCAGAGCGCGCCGTCCTTGAGCAGGCCATTGCGCGCAAAGAGAGGCACGGTCGTGCCACCGACGGGCACTTCGCCGACGCCCCAGATCGTGAGCGCAATGACCGCGTTGCGCGGAAGGTCGCGAAACTTGACGGGCAGCGTGATCCACTCGTTCCAGTACAAGCACGACGCGCTGACCTTGCTCGGGCTCTTGGTGCAGATGGGCATCGTGTGCATGGGCAGCCCGTCGGCAAAGATCTGCGCGCTCACAAAGAGCTCGTTCATCGGCGAGTTTTGCAGCTCGGACGCCGAGCCCATGGCTTGCACGAGCTCCGGCGCCGGGAAGAGCTCATGGCCGCCAACCCGGTCGCGCCCATGCATCAGCTGCTGCGGAGGCATGTCCACATACGAGAGGAGGAAGGTCACCTCGACGTCGACGGCGCTGCTCAGGTAGTACTTGTACTCGGAGAACGCGCTCGCGTCGGCCGCCATCCTGCGTCGACCGAATTACACTTCGCCGCGGTAGGAATTCCGGATATATCTCCGACGGCATATGTATCCGGATTGGCTAATCGCACGCACCTATGCGAGGCCACGGCGCAGGGTTCATCCACGCGTGGTTCCTCGCGCGGTCTGTCGATAAGAAGATGCAAAGGTGTGATCGTCGACAACACGATGGACGCAATGGCCTTGCCTCGCCGTATCTGTGGTGGCCAGAAGCGCCAAGCGTCGGGTGTGCGGGGTCATAAAAGGCAAAGGGGCGTGTGGATAGCGGCAGCACATTACTCACGATTTTGCAACAGCCGCGCCGTTGCTGTGGACAGGCATGGGACGGGGACCTGAACGACGATGCAGACGAAGAATGTCGCGGGCAATATGCACGAACGGCATGGGAACGCAGACATGGCACGACGATCCCATGTGCAAGAGAGCGTCACGGGTCAGCTTCAAGAACACAGAGTGCCAAATTCGGCACGGGCGTGGGAGGATAACGCTTCGCGAAAAGCTAGACAAGTCCAGGGGGCAATGCACGTGTCGCACAGCCTGCGCGGATGGTATACATGGCGATCAACGCGTCCATCAGGTTCGAGTCTTCTCTACGGCTTACGGCTGGTGCGGCCAAAATGCCGGTTCTAGAAACACGCCACTCGCACTGGAATCGGCGCTGTTTCTGGATCCGGTACCTCACTTGGATTGTGTATGCAGGGCGAAAAAAAGCACCGGCGGCAGAGCGACCCAATCCGATGCCGATTTCCAACCAAGACCAGAGCCAATCAAGGCGCATCTGGATTGGAACGATTCCGATTGGCTGTTTTTTTCGCATAAAGTAGCTTTGGATTGGTCAAAATTGATCGGCGCGGTCGCTTCTGCGCTGCGAAATGTGCCATGTAATTCGTAGTAACCAAAGACGGCGCGCTCTGATTGGCTGGCTTCCTCGGACATTCAAGGCAGTCAGCTACCGAGGGCTCATTTTTACGTGTGACTGGAAGGATGAACAAGCAGCCGAGCGTGACCAGCATGGTGCAGCCGGCGCTCTCCCGGGGCGCGTCCGTCGAGATGGACGCGACCGCGCTCAACAAGGGCAACGTCATCGTCCTCGAGGCGCTGCGGTCACAAGAGTCGTGGGTCTCGGACTCGGAGCGGAAGCGCTGCCACATTTGCAATAAGAACTTCAGCGCGTTTCGACGAAAGCACCACTGCCGCGTGGTACGCTCGCCATCTCTATCGATGACCACCGTCTCATGATCATCATCCACTAGTGTGGCGAGATTGTCTGCAGCCCTTGCGCGCTCAAGAAGCAGCTCATGCTCCCCAGCGTCGGCCAAACCGAAGCCCGCGTCTGTGTACAGTGTGTCATGGGCTTTGCCAACCCACCTGGCGAGGGCTCTGGCGTCGCGCCGTCGCCGGCCACTGTCGCGTCGGCCGCGCCGCATGGCTTTAGCAGCTCTGCCTCGGAGCACTCGCTCTCGCGCGGCCACTACCACAGCACCAGCGGCCGGACGCACTCGATGAACTCGCCGCTCACGCCGATCGAGCTGCCGACGACCAGCACGCCGTGCGACTACCCGCTCGATTTTGACTGGGAGCATGCGTGGCCCAAGCCGCCGGCCTGCGCCGACGAGGCCGACCGCCTCGAGGACCTGTACAGCTATGACATTCTCGACACGCCCCAAGACGACGTGTTTGATATCATCTGCGACCTCGCATCGAAAGCGCTCAACTGCTCGATTGCTGGCGTCAGCTTTATCGACGAGACGCGGCAGTGGTTCAAGTCGAGCGTTGGCCTGATCCAAGAGGAGATTCCCCGCAACGTTTCGTTCTGCGCCCACGTCGTCTACACCAAGGAGCCGATCCTTGTGGCCGACACGTCCCTCGACAAGCGCTTTGACCGGAATCCGCTCGTGACGGGCCGCGCTGGCATCCGCTTCTACGCGGCGGCGCCCATCATCTGTCCTGGCACCGGCCGCGTCCTCGGTACAGTGTTTGTGTTTGACGTCGCCGCCCGGACGCGCGACCCGGGTGATGTCGGGACCCTCGAGAAGCTGGCGCAGGTCGTCATGAAGAACCTCGAAGACCGCAAGCTCGCAGCGGCGTCCATGGAGCGTCCGTCTGGTGCGACCGACCGGTCCTCGGTGCTGACCAACAACTCGTCGGTCGCTGCGTCCGAGCAAGTGCCGTCCGAGCCTGCGCCGGTGGTTCCTGCGGCGCCTGTCACTCCTGCTGCCGACGTGCCCCCGCCGGCACCGGAAGCCGCGCTCGTGTCGACCACGGGCGAGACCGCCGTGGCTGCGTCGGCGGCCGGTGCGCCGGCCCCCAAGATGGAGACGATGCTCATGGATTTGCTGAGCCGCACGACGGTGACGCAGCAGCAGCTCGCGAGTCAGCAAGGCAATATGTTTGCGACCATCAACTCGCACGGTAGTCAGATCAACAAGTTGGCCGACGCAGTCGCCCGCATGGAGGCCAAGCTCATGGCCGACGAAGCCAAGAAGGCATGATCCGCAACTACCCTCTGCATGTACTAGAGTATATACCAACTATAACAATATTAGCCCTACGTCGCCTGGATACTTCATACTATCGAGCAAACAGCAACCTCTAGAGTAGGATAGGCGGTCGCGACGGCTTGCGAAACGTTGCGGTAGCTTGCCGAAGAAGCCGTTGCAATATGGCGGACGTCTGGTCCTGCCCGATCAGACTTCGCGTATACATGCCCGCTCGCGGCAAGAGTCATCGCCGGGTGTGTGGGATTTCACAATGGCGGCGTGAAAATCACGTGAAAAATCGACGCAGGTTGGCGCAAGGGTGTTGGCGCGGTCGGCAAACACCGAGTTGAAGTCGGTTGCCCGTCACTGGATACTGGTTGCCGCTCGAAAATTACCGTGTTGTGAAGAAGCCGCTCCCGTGCTAGTAGGTGCGCGCTAGTACCTTGGGCCAGGTGGATCGTCGAAGGTGCTCGGCAAGCAGCCATTATTATGATGGGGGCACCCGTCGCAGCGACGCACGCACGCGTGGATGGGCCAGCTACATCGCCTTGAGACGCTTCTTGAGTCATTGCGTGCGTGAGGAGTAAGGTGTGCATAAAATTGCGTTGCCGCAATCTTCTACCGGTGGGGATGAGGGCAAGAGTATGATGTCGACCAGCACAGAGTGCGTTTGAGTGGTGGAGAAAGACGCATTTACCAGGTACACGTATACACAAATCGGACTCATCGGTGCGATGCCGTGACGACAAGTCCAGTGCGCTCGCGCCACGTGGCAGCGCGGCGGAGACCTACGGTTATAGGGGCGTGCAGCGACAACCCAAGCGCCTTTGTATGGCGGAACGACTGCGATTAGCTCTCGTGTGGGCAGCACCGTCACTGGATCGTCGCCCTCCTTTCATACATTTGATGAATTTCGCGCCAGTGTGCATGTGGCAAATGCAAGTAGCCGCGAGGGATTTGGGTGAGAAACTCCTGGCCTTCTTCAACGACTTGAGCCAGACGGGCGCACACACTTGCGCGCCGACGGTCGGTGCTATTCGCGTCGCGTCATGACGCCACGTCGAGCGCTACCCGCACGCAGTCGCGAGAACGCCTCGAGTGCATAAAGATCGACGTTGCCGACTTTGCCGTTTGGCGGTTACCTGCGAATCTTCGATGTGTGGGATCCGCGGCCGCACAGCGTGCCCCGTCACGCCTTCGAACTTCGATCTGATTACACACACGAAGGCAACTGCGCGATGATCTCGATGGGGCGCGGTGCGCTTCGTCCAACAGCAGTAGCACGGTGCATCATCGAAGAAGCAGTTTGCAAAAGACGGCCTCATGCACGAGATCTGCTTTGAAGACATTCTGCCGCCGTCGCAGTGGGTCTCCAAGAAGGAGCGGTACCGCTGCGACGCGTGCTCCAAAAAATTCCACAACCTCTTCCGCCGCCGCCACCACTGCCGCCTCGTACGTCGCCACCATCGTCGTCTCCTCGTCCTTAGCAACTATGACTTAGTGTGGGCAGCTCTTCTGCAAGGATGCATCTTGCATAAGCTCGTGCATCTCTCGCCTGAGCGACACATGCCCATCAAGACGTGCGCCACGTGTGCGTTCGAGGGCCCGCCCGAGCGCAAAGCCGCCGCCGTCTCGCATCTCTCGTACACGGTCGACTCGGACCGGTTCACGACCGACTTGGGCTCCGACGACCTCTTGCTGTTTTCGCCCTTGGTCGACGATGGACTACCCAGCATCGAGTACGCACTGCACCGCGACCGTGGTGCGTCGCTCGACGAGATGGACGTTGACGAGGCTGCCGAGAAGGCCAACGAAGCCGATCGGCTCGAAGCGCTCCAGGCGTACAACGTGCTCTACTCGCCGCCGGACGAGACGTTCAACATCTGGTGCGACCTCGCCGCCAACACGATGGAGTGCCCGATCGCGGTCGTGAGTTTTATGGACAAGGATCGGCAGTGGTTCAAAGCCAAGCTTGGGCTCGCCAAGACGTCAGTGCCGCGCCAGCTCGCGTTCTGCGAAGCAGTGGTCACGTCGGGGCGGCCACAAGCCGTGCTCAACGCCGCGCTGGACCCGCGCTTTGAGCGCAGCCCGCTCGTCGAGAGCGGTGTTTGCTTCTACGCCGGCGCGCCGCTCACGACACCAGCAGGCCACGTCATTGGGACGCTTGCCGTGTTTGATATGGCACCACGCACTGAGTGCGAGAAGCTCGGGAGCTTAGAGAACCTCGCGCAGAGCATCATGAAGGACATGGAGGAGCGCCGGATCTTCGAGTTGCGCTACCGGCATCGGCGGCGGCGCCAAGCGGCGTCGTTCGACGACCGATCGTTGATCAAGTCGACCACGCCAGCGCCGTCGGTACGGCTCACGCCGGACTTTGGCCCGGCGCCGTCACTGGGTCCGATGCCGCCGACGCTGGACTTGCTGCCGCCCGAGATGGACCCGTCACGCAATGTCCCCGCGACCACCGAGTCGGTCATTATCGATGCCAACGTGGTCGAGACCGACGGGAAGATGCAAGACATGCTGCTCGATTTGCTCTGCAAGACGACCGAGACCCAGCAGCATTTGGCGTCGCAACAAGGGTCGATGTTTGCGACGCTTGGTCACCACACGGAGCAAATTGACCGGCTCGCACAGGCCGTCAAGCGCATGGAGTCCAAGCTCTGCCCGCTCTAAGCGCCACCAAAAATGATGTTTCCTAAAAGTATTGTTTAATCGAATCGTATTTGATGTCGTGTGTGCAACGCCGTGAGGGTCGCAGTGGTCAGCAGTAGACGAGCGCCGTACGGTGCGACGGCTCTCCGATCACCAGCACCGAATCTCGTAGCTCGTGACGCTTGAGATGCATCCGACAAGCTCGTGTCGGCGGCGCCGTGTCGCGGGTCGACGCTGTCGAAGCGTCATCGCTTTGCCAGGTGCACTGTCAAATCTTGGGCACCAGCTGGTGCCACGCGTGCCATTTCTTTGAAACGTCCCTGTCAAATCCGAATTTCACGCGAGTGCATTTCGGATATGTCCGAATGTCAAGGTTCATTTCGGACATTGGCGGGTTCAAAGCGGTGATTTGACACGCATGACCCTTATTTGAGGCGCGTCGCTTTGGCAAAGACAGTCGGGTGACACACTGCGTTCGGCGTTGAGACGACGACGACGACGACGACAACGCCATCAACAATACCCTAGAGCGCAATAGTACGATGGACGGAGACAAGAGTCCGTTCGCGCGCAAGAGTCCCAAGACGCCGTCCGGGCGCTTCGACTTTGGCCAGCCGCCGCTCGCCATCTCGCAGATCATCCACCCCGACGACTGGGTCGACCACGGGCACCGCCGCAAGTGCTACGTGTGCGCCAAGGTCTTCAACAAGCTCCTGCGCCGCAAGCACAATTGCCGCATGGTACTATTTGATTGCTTTCACGTGTGGCATGGCTCGACAATGCTGTAGTGCGGCGAGGTCATTTGCAGCAAGTGCCGCGTGCCCAGCGCCTCGTGCTCGCACGCCACGAGCAGCCAACGGTCGCGCAGGTCTGCCTCGTCTGTGTGCAAAAGATCCCTGTGATGCATGCCGCCGTGGACGCCCGTCGTCCGGACCGACGCAGCTCGGGCCATACCATCCTCGACGACCCCGCGCACTCGTCGTCGTCGTCGTTCTTTGTGTTTCACGACGACCACATGAGCGTGACGAGTCAGAGCAACATTAGCAGCGCGTACAGCAACGAGACGGAAATGCAACTCTGCAGCTACCGCCTCGACTACGACTGGGAGTACCCGTGGCCCAAGCCGCCGCCCGTGCCGTCGCCGGTCGAGAAGCAGACGACCGAGATGCTCAAAATGCTCGACATCCTCGACTCGGCGCGCGAAGACGCGTTCGACCGGATTGCGGCAAGCGCGCGCAAGTCCGTGTCGTCGCATTGCAAGGCCGCGTGCGTCGCCTTTATGGACTACAAGCACCAGCGGCAGTGGTTCAAAGCGTACTTGGGCCTCGGCCAAGCCGGTACTCGAACGATCCTCTCCAACCCACTCCAACTCGAATCGATTAGAAATGCCGACGATGGTGTCCTTCTGCGCCCACACCATGTACCTTTTAGACGTGACGGTCGTCCTCGACACGACCAAGGACGAGCGCTTCTGCAAGAACCCACTCGTGACCACCGAGAGCACCAACTTTCGCTTCTATGCGGGCGCGCCGGTCATTGTCGAAAACGTTTGCATCGGCACCGTCTTCGTTGTCGACTCGGAGCCGCGATCAAGTCTCAGTGATGTCGACACGCTCAAGCTCACCAAGCTCGCGCAGCTCACGTCGCAGCTCCTCCTAGAGCGCAAGATGCTTCCCGCGCACTGCAGCATCAAGGGCGGTGTGCGTTCCATGAACCGGTCGTCGTCAGCGCCGTCGATGGACCAAATGACGCTCGACCGTCAGCAGGACGAGATCAAAGCGATGGCCAAGGCGCGGAAGCGATCGCTCGAGCCGACGCCCGTCTCACTACCGCCCCCCAGCACGCCCCCCAGCACCCCGTTGGCGGCGGCAGTCGTGCCCTCGGGAGGGGGGAAGGCGTCTCGCCGTCGATGGAGGCCATGCTGATGAACTTATTGAGCAAGACGACCGAGACGCAGCAGCAGATTGCGACGCAGCAAGGCACGCTCTTTGGGAAGCTCGAAGAGCACAATACGCAAATCTCTAAACTCGCTGAAGCCGTGGCCCGCATGGAAGCCAAGTTGTCGACCGAAGACGACCCGCCGACGACGCAATGAGCGCGACCGTCGCGACAACCCAGTCGTCGTTAACGTAAGTAGTTTGTGCACGTTTTCGTTTTACCTTTTAGCTTTGCGAGCGTCGCGACTTGCGTTCTTGCATGCACCAAGTATGTGTACACCAATGACAGGTTAAAGGTGGACGCTCGATCGGCATTTGGTCGCGGGAGCAAACTCTAGTCCCACCGCGAGCCCTACCCCGCTGGCACCACGACCAAGGGAATACCCCCATTTTTCCTTGTTTCTGACCGACGCTCGCCAGTCGAATGATGGGCTCAAGAGTTTGTAGAGGTTGGCTCCAAGCGCAGTGCATATGCCTCTGACGTCGTCCAGCGTCAGAAATCGCTTCTCGTTGTGGCCGCGCGTCAATGCAATTTCCCAATCGGCCGCGGCTGTTGGCGCTCAACGACTGGCACGGGACCATGCTCGGAGGGTAGTAAGAGCGCGACCTTGCGATGCGAAGACGAGCGATGCGAAGACGAGCACAGTACGACACCACCGACCGCGGTTCAGCCATGTTCACTTCCTATAGCACCGTGTAGTATCAAGGAAGAAAGCGCTGTCCAGAAGAATCTCAATCATGTCGATCCACGCATCTCAAAAGCCTCGTCTCCAAACTCAACATCTACCGATTTGAGCTTCCTCTCACACTTGATATTGCCGGCGCGACCCAACACCTTCACTGCGCCCGAGCACGTTGGCGCCAACGGAAGGCAATCCAGCGACGTGGCACCATATAAGCAGCCAGTCGAGACGCATGCGTTGCATCGTTCGAGTAGATACGAGCAGCTGCATCCAATGGAACGCTTGCGATGGATGCTCCCAACGCTTCTCAAAAGCGGCTCAACACTTGTTGTTTTGAGTGTTTGCCGCGTCGACCTCTCACACTTGATATTGCCGGCGCGATCAAACCGACGGGAACCAATCACAGTCTTTTATCCCACAGAAAGGCCAGCCCAAAATGCCCGCGACGCCGCGCTTTCTGGTGCGCCAAGACGACGCGTTTGTGTACATCGACATCCACGTGCCGTACGTGCGCGTCTCGGAGCTCGAGTACACGATCGACGGCTGCAGCTTTCACTTTACTGCAAACCGTACCTGCTCAACCTCACGTTTCCGCTCGAGGTCGTCGACGACGACCGCGCCAAGGCCGTCTACGACATCAACAAGGTACGTACATGACTACATATCTACGCAGAGCCAACCTGTGTACTACGCATTAGGAGCACGGCACCATTTTTGTACATTTGCCAAAGGCGACGCCGGGCGCGCACTTTCCCGATCTCGACCTTCTCACGACGCTTCTCCAGCAAAAGAAGTGGAAGCCCCAAGACGACGGCCTTCCCGATGCGTACGCTGACGACTTTTGACGAGCTGGTGTATGTAGGTATACTGACAAGTAGCATGGTTGTAGGTTGCCCAAGCCGCCGCTGATCGAGGTCGTCGCGTCGTCGTCATCTTCGACAGCCGAGGAGATCGAGACGACGATGCCGGCGCCAGCACCGATGGCGACCGACGCGAGCTTGCTCTCGTTTGAGACCAAAGCGCCGCCGATCACGCTGCACATTGGCCCGCCCTCGTACGGTTTTAACAACCGGTTTACCGACTTTTTCAAGGTGTGGCACGGCGAAGTGTCGGAAATTCTCGCGCTGCCGCTGCCCGACACGACGCCCGCGAGCGACCGGTCAGTGCTTCAAGCCGCTATGGAAGACAAGGATTTTGACGTGGAGCGCTATTTGATTGACTTTGCCGGCGCGGACGAGGACGAGTACCTCGCGGAAGCCTTGCGGTTCGCGCCATTTTGGGCCTCGCTGCCTGAAACCAAGCCGCCGTCGACGTCGTTGATCCAGGACATGGACAGTCTATCGTTGGACCCGGTCTTTTCGTTTACGGAAGCCGAGCAAGAACTCTTGCGGCGCCTGCCACACCGCGAACACCTCCTCTCGCGCGATGAGCAAGCCGTGCTCTTTGGTGGTCTCTGCGACCTCCTCGCGTCGTATGCGTACGACTTGCGCTCGACGACGGGTGACGCGACGGTCGAGTCGGCGTGGACCATCATGATCAACAGCGCGACGCTGGCGTGGCTCAACCCCAGTGCCGACCTCGATCTCGTGGCCAAGACGAGCCTCCGGCGCATGCTCACGTACCCGTTACTGCGCCAGCACTCGCTTGCGCTGCGCGTGCTAGATGACGTGCACGACATTCTCGCCCGCGGCAAGCGCGTGGTGCTGCGCTGCTTGCTGCAAATTTTTGACATTTTGGCCAAGTCGGACCAGCACTACCTGCTCAATACGCTCTTCCTCGACGATTACTGTGTATGGATCCAGCGCCAGAGCGACACGGCGCTCTTGGACCTCGCACAACGCCACAAGGCCGCGACGCACAAGCTGCGCGCCGACAAGGACACATGCGGCTGGGCGCTCAAACACATGGAAGCCATGCTCACGGCCGCCACGAGCGACGACGATAGCAGCAGTGAGGACGACGACGAGAGCAGCGACGACGAGAGTAGTGACGACGAAGCGTCCTAAGTTGCGTGTTCTGGTACTCGAACGATGTTTGCATTGTATTATTTGTCTATTCAACGCGCTGAAGTGATCGTTACAAAAGCACAAGTTGTCGTTGAAACCGTCAGTCTACAGCCTATCGAACCAATCGGCGCGGACGAGTCTCGCATCCAGTGATGTGATTGGCTCAAAAGGACGCAACACGCTGGCCTCGACAAAGGATCGGCGACCCATTGCACACGTCCCGGTTTGCCCGCGTCAACAAGGCATCCTAGTTCGCCATCGGCGAGTCCTACGTCATCGTCGAAGTTGCTGCTGCTGCTGCGACAGAGATACCGCAAGTAGATCGTCCTTCCGTCCGACCGGTCGGACAACAACAGCGTTGAGCTAGTCCCAACACAAAACAGACGCGACGAGTACCCACGACCCGTACTCGAGAAAAAAAAAGACAACGACGGCGACAAGAAAGCATGTCGCCGACCAGCTCGACGGGATCCGCCCAAGTACATTTACAACATGCTACCACCCACGTATATGATGTGCCTGTCGTCTGGGAGAGCTGTGGGGGTAGCTGTCTCGGGTACCGACGAGACGTCCATCGTGCCACTCTGTCTCCTTTCTCTGGTGTGTCGCCGAGACGCGATGCGAAACCGAGTTCTTAGAGACGCTGTGATGTATGGGTGTCTTCCTTTCTTTCCCGCAAGCGCCATGTCGCGTCCGTGCGCCGGCACCAGAGACACGTGCCTCGTCGCAATTGCGCCACTTGCAGCCCATCTTTGGATCCAAATCCTCAAAGCATTTGCACGCGCAGGATGTACGCTGCCTTGGACGAGACACGGCGCCACCGCGCCGCGTTCAAAGACTATCTCCTCAGCCCGAGCCATACGCTCGTGCCCCACGCCAAGCACGCGACGGTCATTGGCGCCTGTTTTGTCTGTCTGCGGAAATTCTACCTTGTGCGCCCCAAACACCGCTGTCCGCTTGTACGTCAACCGAATGATTATAACCAGAAGGATCATATTGTCGTCTAGTGCTGCGAAGTCGTGTGCAGTCGGTGCACTTGGTCCCTCGATGTGCTCGGGCGCGACCACCATTTGCACCAAGTCGTCGTCTGCGTGAGCTGCTACTTTGATAAGCGCATCCAGGACCTCGTGACCCAAGACGACAGCGACGACGACGACGACCCCGGCGCGACCTACCCCAACGATCGAGATGACGATGACGATACGTCCTCGAACGACGAAGAGTCGTACTCGGAAGACGTGTACCCGTGGACTCCCAGTAGCGATCGCCGCATCTCGATGGACACCAACAACAATGCGGCGCATTCCAAACCGGTGGAGCTCGACCCGCTTCCCGAGACGCCGGCGCCGAGTCGCCCCAAGCCGCAACGTGGCTCACGTCTCCGGCCGCGTCGGTATGCCTTTGTCAAGCGCGACGAGCTCGTTCCGAAGCGCGAGCTCGCACCCAAGCGCGATGCCACGCAGTGCGAGCGCTGCCGCCGGTCGTTCAAGCTCCTCCATCGCAAGCACCACTGCCACACGGTAACTCGATGCTTTTCAATGCGGAAATGCAAACTGGCCTAGTGCGGCAATGTCTACTGCAGCCACTGTACCACGCACCAGTTTACGTCCGCGGCAAAAGGCCACGCACTCTGCCACGTGCGCGTCTGCTGGACATGCGTCCACATTAGCATCGTCCAGAGTACGTTTCGAAGCTGTCGACGCAAGCAAGTGACTGTCACGGCGCTTCTGCACGACCCGTCGTTCCATCCCATCCACACGCGGCAGTACGAGGGCCGCGACATGCTCACCAGTGTCCTCCAACTCGAAGCCAGCGGCGTCGTGCCGTATGAGAGCCTTGTCTCGAGGGACTACCGGTCGCTGGTCAGCAAGCACACGACATGCTTTGCATGTCGCTCGGGGTTTCTCTTTCTCTTGCGCAAGGATTATTGCCGACTGGTATGTGAACACTATTGTCATCAGACGGTTTCCTGCACGTGCATGATGTAGTGCGGCGAAGCACACTGCGCATCGTGTCTCAATACGCTTCTGGCCGCGGGGGAGACATCCAAGGTCGAGCTCGAGCTCGTCAAGGTGTGCCAAGCGTGCCGGCTGCAGCACTGCGAAGACGTCACGCGCCGTTTCTGCGGCATCGAAGCGTCGCCGTGACCGACCGTGCGCGTGGGTTGTATCGACCTTTATGTGCAGTCCTTGTCCGTTCCTATTTCTTTACCGTGTACCGTACGCATCAGTTGACATGGTGTGCTGTTGAAACTCAATGGAAGTTACTCTTTTGACGTTGAGGTTCATTTTGCAACGTTGACGCGAGAGCTCGGCGTTTTTCCAACTTGCCACACAGCACCAAACATCAGACAATCCCACCGGTCGACGGCTGACCATGGACTCAAACAAGTGGGGCCGACAACAACGACTAGAACCAGCAGCGTTTGCCACCGCAGCTGTGCTTTCAAGCACGAAGCCAAGCAACGGGCACAGATTGCCTGTCTTTGGGCCGGCCCAAAAGCCACTCCGCCAATCCGCACTGTCTTCTTCGCCTCCTCTATTGCGATGACCGAGCGTCCGTCTCGCCGATGGTCGATCCTCAAGGACGACCTCTTGCACCCCCTAGCGCTCGTGCCACTCCAAGCGCGCGCCAACTGCGCCGTGTGTCTCCGAACGTTTTCCCTGTTTCGCGCCAAGTACAACTGCTCGTTGGTACGTCACCACTAGTAGCCTCTCGTTTTAGAAGACAGTCCTCTAGTGCGGCCACGTCATTTGCCGCAGCTGCGTGCTTCGGCTACCGGTGCAAGACGACGCGAAGCAGCAGCACGTCATGGCGTGCGAAGCGTGCCTCTTTCACCAAGCCGAAAACACCCATCGACGCTGCCAAGCGTCGGCCTCGGACGTCCCGCTTTTGGACGAGGCGACGACCGACGCGGCGTCGCGTGGGTCGGTGTCGCTACCGTCGTCGCCCGCAGGCCTCCCGCCGTCCGCACCACGCACCACGTTTGTTTCGCATCGTGAGCTCGTGACGATCCTGCCGCCTCGCCGAAGCGCACTCTGCACACGCTGCCTCCGCGTCTTTGGCATCTTCCGCGTCCAGTACACATGCCGCACGGTACTGACTGTCCTTTCCCACTTTGCCGTTCTAAGAGCGCGTATTTCTTAGTGTGGCGATGCATTTTGCGGCCACTGCACGCTGACCAAGCTGGCGCTACGCCCCGATGGTCGCTCGTCGTACGACGTGGTGGTTTGCAAGACGTGCGTGCACATTGGCGAGGTCCATGGGGACTACGCACGCTGCAAAGCGCTGCAGCCACAGGTCTTAGCCCGCCTGCATGCACCGGTCGACGCACCGCTGCTCGCGCCGGACGACGTCGTCGCCGCTCTGCGTCTCGAGTGCCTCGATGTCGTCGAACACGCCAACTTGATCGAGAAGCAGCGCTGGGTGCCGACGACGCAGCGGTCGACGTGCACCAAATGCAACGCCCGCGTGCCGTTTGTGATGTACAAGAGCCACTGCTATCTCGTACGTACTGCGATTCTACCATGTGTTGACGTTGCCTCCTATGCTCGTGTACTACTAGTGTGGCGAGGCCTTTTGCGTTGTCTGCTTGCATGCGATCCTTGTCGCGCACGCGCCGGGACGGCCCGACATGTACATTGCGCCCATCTGCCCGTCGTGCCACGCACGCCACTACGACCATGTGAACCGTCGCTTCTTGGGGTCCCCACGCGACGTCACTAGCCCGGGCACGCCGCCCGTCTCGCCAAATGTGTCCGTGATGCTGCACTTGCTCGAAACATCGTCGTCGCCATAAGGCAATGCCAGTAGCATACTGAACTACAAAAGGAGTCTGGCACAGGAGTCTATTGCCTCGTGGTGTCAAGAGGGTACCCAGGCATGCATCGCGAGGAGCTGACGTGGCAGCTTGACAGTGCCGTTCATAATAAGGGCATGTCGCGTGTGTCGACCAAACCCTAGGTACCTACCTACCTACCTACCTTGGTAGCAGAAACCTCCTCTCACGACGTGCGCCCGTGACACAGCGCGAGCTGCATGAGACAGCGACTTGACCAAAGTATTCATTTTACGGTTGGAAGATACTCTGAGGCGCCAGCTGACGGTCAGACGGTGACGTGGGTTGAGCCCGCCGTCGGGCTGCTACGGGTGGCATGGTGTAATACCACCACTGTACCGTCCATGAGTCTTCGTCATATGAGAGATGATAGGTGAGAGCATCATCATCGTCATGATCGAACGTCGGTCGAGCCTCTACTACCGCGCAGCAGCCACGTTGTCGTGTTGTCACCGCGACAGCTCCACAAAGAAGCAGGAAGCCGGACAATCCGAGTGTTGGTTTTTGCCTCAAGTCGATCTCTGGAATTCTGACGTCGTGTAAGGCAACAGAAGAGGAGACGTATATAAGGGCTGGCGGATGGGTATAAGAAGCAACAACTCGACACGGACACGGTTCTTGGAATATAAATAGCTCCTTACTCAGCTTCGCGTGCATCGAGCTTGGCCTCCATGCGCTTGACCGCGTCCGCGAGCTTGTCGATCTGCGCCGTGTGCTGGCCTAATGTCTGGAACATTGCGCCTTGCTGCGTCGCGAGCTGCTGCTGCGTCTCGGTCGTACGACAGAGCAAATCCATGAGCATCGTCTCCATTTTGGGACCCGCGACCACTTGGCCGTCGCCCGCATTTTGCACGACCAGGTCCTGCGACTCCTGCGCCGCCTTGGCAAAGCCGGCGGGGACAATCGCCGCGGCGTCCGACTCGTTCACGACGACCGCCGTCGGCGCCGGCGGTAGCCCGGACGAGAGCGGGGCCGCGACGGCGTTCTTGCGGTCTTCCAAGTTTTTCATCGCGACGTTCGAGAGCTTCTCAAGCGTCGCGAGGTCGCACGTGTGGCGCGGCTGGTTGTCAAACACAAAGACAGTACCGAGGATCTGGCCCGACGGCGTAATGATGGGCGACCCGGCGTAGAAGCGGATGCTGGCCGCGCCCGTGACCAGCGGGTTCTTGGCAAACCGCTTGTCCTGGAGCGTATCCAGGACCACCATCGGCTCCTTGGAGATGATCGTGTGTGCGCAGAACGACACGTTGCGCGGAATCTCCGTCTGCGCGAGGCCCACGGACGCCTTAAACCACTGCCGGTCCTTGTCCATGAGCGCGACGACTGCGATCGGGCACTTGAGCGCGTTGGATGCGAGGTCGCAGATAATGTCAAAGACGTCCTCGGGCGGCGTGTCGAGGATGTCAAAGCTCCGGACGGCCGCGAGACGCTCGTCTTCGCCTTGGAGCACCGGCGGCTTGGGCCACGGGTAGCCCCAGCTAAAGTCGAGCGGGTAGTTGTACTCAGCACTGGGGTCGTACGCCGACCCGTAGCTGCGCTGCTCGACAAACGAGCCGGGCGGCGACGACCGGTACGTCGATTCCGAGTTCTTGGCCATGCTAGGACTCGCGTCCACCGTTTTCGCCGAGTAGCGCGAGTCGGGGCCGTTGTCCATGCGCGCGTTGGGCGGTGCCTGCGGGTTGCCGCCGCCGCCGGCCTGGTTGAGGATGCACGACATGCACACCTTGACTTCGGTCTTGCCCTTCACGGGCAGATCGGCAATCTTCTTGAGAAGGCAGTTGCCGCAGACAACCTCGCCACACTAGCGTCATGGCATGAGACGGCGACGACGAAGAGAGGTCGCATGTACCACGCGGCAGTGGTGCTTGCGTCGAAAGTTGTGAAAGTTGCGCGTGCAGACGTGGCAGCGGTGGCGCTCGGCGTCCTGGACCCACTCTTCCTGGGGCTTGAGCTGGTCCATCGTGAGCACCTCGGTGGAGCGGCTGTTGACGCGCATGGCCTCGGCCTTGTTCATGCTGCCTGCCATCGCTCCTCTTCGGAAATACACCGGAATAACCGCTGTCACGCCTCTCGACTTTTCGGACCTTTACGCTGGCCTCTGCCGTCGCCGCTAAGTGCGGTTTGATAGCACGATGTTTGTATTGGCCTCGGTCAAGTACGTAGCGCATTCCATTAAGTGCGCCCATCTGGCTCGGCGTCCACTGTTCTTTTATTGTCCACACGAGTCTTTTATTACACATTTCGGTGTCTTTTAATCGTTGCACGTCTTTTAATCCATCTTTTCTTAGTCCCGACCGCCGATAAGGTTAACCGCCGGGTGTGTATCGCTTGCTGCGTCGTCGTCGTCGTTGTCGCCACATGGACCCGAGGTGCCATTGCCCACTTTAGAGGACGGGCTGCCGTACACTGCAACGTGGGGCAAGGACCACACCCGACGTTGCCTGCTAAAAACGCGACGGTTGCGCCGAGGTGCGGATCCGGCAGTGTGCGTCACCCAGATTGCCGTCCCGGCGCTAGAGTGGTTGCGAAGGAAGCTTCCTTGGCCGAAGTTGAAGTTGCTCGTCGCGCGAGCGAATTCTTGAAGCGCCGTCGTGACTTACACGCTGCATCGCTTGCAAGTCGTCGCTCGACCTCCTCGATGCGCTCCCTTGGGTCCAGCAGCCGTGGCCCAAAGACGCGGCGCTGCCTTGACGCGCCGGGATCGGCTTGGGCTCTGGCTTTTCTACGTTTCTTTTGTATGCAGTAGCCAATCCGGTGTCGCCAAGCATCGCTTTTGCACCAATCACACGCTGGTTTGCCGGCCCTCGGTGGACGTGGACAGCATTACGCACGGGCGCTTGACCGATGGCCACAACCCATATGGTCGACTAGTCGGCGCGAACGTGGAGCGCTATGGGCGTGCGATGGCCGTCAAGCCAGCGCCACGTGGAGCATCCATACGATACGGTGCGAATCCGTGCCTTTGCCATGGATCGTCCATGCGGACCCACGGCTCTCGGGCGAAGCGCGCCATATTGAATTGGCTGCGACATGGCACATGTCGCAGTAACGGGGTGTTGGTCATGCGGGTCGCGGTACCTGGTGCGGAAGGACTTGGTCTGTGTATGGCCCACTTCGTCACTTCGCCGCCAGCAGCATGCCCCGCGACAGCCGGAACGACATGCTCATGGCGCGCAGCATGAACGAGGTGCTCTCGGCAGACCAGATCAAGAACAACACCGAGTGGGTCCCGGACAACGAGCGCTCGCGCTGCAACCTCTGCACGCGCAACTTTGGCAGCTTTCGCCGCAAGCACCACTGCCGCATGGTAGTACCGCCGCCAACCATCCTACATACATATATGCTCATGCTCGTCGTCGTGTAGTGCGGCGAAGTGGTCTGCAATGCGTGCCTCTTGCGCAAGTGGGCCGAGGTCCAGCGCGGCAGCCGCATCGAGGTCAAGGTGTGCATGACGTGCATCCTCAACCACGCCAAGAACGGCCCACCGCCGCCGCAGCCCAAACCGTCGTCCTTGGGCCACGCGGGCGTCGGCCAGTCGGCGTCGTTCCGCAACACGCGCATCATGTCGGACAAGTCCGGTCGGTACTCGTCGCGCGACGACGGCGTGCCGAGCCATTTGCAGTCGCCGGTCGAGTCGTCGATCGGGAACGACGTGCACCACTACACCGAGCGCGACGTGCCGATGAGCTACGACTACCCGCTCGACTTTAGCTGGGGCTACCCGTGGCCCAAGCCGCCCGAGCTGCCGAACGAAGACGAGCGCCTCACCGTGCTCCGGAGCTTCAACATTCTCGACACGCCGCGCGAAGACACGTTTGAAATCATCTGCGACCTCGCGTCCAAGGCCATGAACTGCCCGATCGCCGTTGTCTCGCTCATGGACAAGGACCGGCAGTGGTTCAAGGCCAACGTCGGCTTGGCGCAGGGCGACATTCCGCGCAACGTGTCGTTCTGCGCGCACACGATCATCTCGAAAGAGACCATGGTGGTCCTCGACGCCAAGCAGGACAAGCGCTTCGCCAAGAACCCGCTGGTCACGGGCGCCGCCAGCATCCGCTTCTACGCCGGGTCGCCGATCGTGACGCCGTCGGGGCATGTCATTGGCACTGTCTTTGTGTTTGACACGGAGCCGCGGTCGACATGCGACATCACGACGCTTGAGAAGCTCTCGAACGTCGCGATGAAGCACCTCGAGGACCGACGCAACACGATCGCGGCCGACGACAGCAGTGGTGCGTCGTTCGTCCGCGCCGTGCCGCCGCCGCAGCCGCTGCAGTCGCAGGCGTCGCTCGAGGCGAGCGCACTCGTGCCCACGCCCAACCTGGCGACGCAGGACCTTGTCGTTCAGAACGCCGGGCCCGGCGACGGCCAAGTGGTCGCAGGTCCCAAGCTCGAGACGATGCTCATGGATCTGCTCTGTCGTACGACTGAGACGCAGCAGCAGCTCGCGACGCAGCAAGGCGCAATGTTTCAGACGCTCGGCCAGCACACGGCGCAGATCGACAAGCTCGCGGACGCGGTCAAGCGCATGGAAGCCAAGCTCGACACCATCTAATGCACCGTCGTCGTCGTTGTCACGCGACCACGCTGTGTGTATGTGTGAAGGATATGCAGAAGGCGGAGACTGCAGCGGGGCGTGTTAGTACCATATATAAATGAAAAACATGATAGCGTTCGTTTACGACCCTACTCGAGCTCGATCACGGGTGGCACGAGGAGGTGCCAGTACTCGGCGACCTCGAGCCACCACAGCGCTTCGCGGCCCACGCCCAATGGCATGACCTGGTGCGCTTGCAGCATCTCGCGACCAGTCGGTGGACCAATGACCATCACATACGCGCCAATGGGCAGCGAGAGCGACCGCGTGTTCTTAAGCACGTTCTCGACGTGCACCCAGACGATGCCCGTGCCGTCGTCAAGCGCAATGCGCTGCGCCTCGGTCGCGACGATGACACCCTAATGATAAGCATCGTATACAATAGCCGCCCAGGATGGCCGCGCTGGTACCTGGACCCATGCCCGCGTGAGGTCGACGCCTCGATACGTGTACTTGCTGCGGCTCTCGGGGATTGCTTCGCAGGTCACGAGCTGACAGGCAAAGAGCTTCCGCGTTGTGCTGACCGACAAGCCTTGCATTCTGGAATCCTGGAAATGATACACCGGATACGATGCCAGTCTATCCGGACATGTGAAGGGCAATCGGCCTCATCCGAGTTGGCGGAGGTCGACGACGAGGACGGGCGACCGGCAGGTGAACACGACGCCACTCTCGGGCTTGCCGCGGACACGCCCCAGCTCGATGAGGTCGCCGGCGGCCAAATGGACGACCGACGTCACGAGCTCGCCGTTGACAAACGTGCCATTGGTGCTGCCAAGGTCGTCGAGCTGCACCGCGGGCCTAGCCCATGATGTGTGAGGTGACCGCCGTCTGCATGTGCACACGTCGTACGCCATCGTATTGCCATGGAGGTGGACCGAGATGCGTGCATGGCATTTGCTCACGAGGCCTTGGAAATGCTGGCTCTCGATGACAACGTCGCAGCGGGTCGAGCTGCGGCCGATAACGTGTGAATGGACGATGCGAATGATGCGGGGTGGCGACGGCTCGTCGAGCCGAATGAGCTGCAGTACGGCGCTGGGTGACGCGGTCGAAGCGGTCGACGACGCAGTGAGCGGGGGCAGCGTCGTGGCGGTGCGCAGCGCAGGGAGCGCGACAGGCGGTGGCACTGCTGACAGCGTTTGGACGGACGGCAGGACGCCAGTGGCCTTGACCATTGGCTGCAACCGGCTCAGAAACGCCTTCTCGGCAGCGATGCGCTCCTTGGCCTTGTAATGCTACGTGGCCAAAGTATGTGAACATAGCTCACTGTGTAATCTCGTGGTATACCTTTTGAAGGTGGGCTTCGTACCACTTGCGATGCGTGAACCGCCGACCACCGCACTGGGGCGCAAAGCACCGGTACTCGGCCGGCTCTACCTTGACCCGGACACTTGGACGTCGGGTGACTGCTACCAGTGGTGGCAAGACGCCAAGCACACGCGTTTCCACGGCTGCTTGGTCAAGCGTCGGAATCGATGTCTCTGGCGTCGTTATCACCTCTACGTGCGTCTCTTCTCGTATTGATGGGCGTCGGGCAATGGCGGGCGGCGGTGCCATAACTACTGGTACCACCGCCGACGGCTTGAGTTCTCGCGCTCGCCACCTGCGTTGGAGCCGAAGCAGGTCTTTTGCGGCTGCTCGTCGGCGCAGGCGCATCGCGAACCGCTGCGTCGACGCTTTCCAAGTCGCGGTGGCACACGCTTCTCGCTTGGCGGCGCGCCACGTAGCATACGTCGCCTGAATGAGCAGCGCTGCCGTGACGACGACTTCATACCGACTGCTGCCAAGCTGCGACTCGAGGTCGGCGCGGGTCATTTGAATCTGGTCAAGCAGCTGACAAAGTCGCGGACGGAGCGTCGTGACGTCGTACTCGAACGTAGTCTCGTCCAAGCTCTGGACGATGAGAAAGTGACGCTTGGAGTTGTCGATCCGCGTCGAGCATTTCCAACAGACGACCCCGGACGCCTTCTGGACGCCAGTGTGCGGCGAGCACGACAGCGCACGGTCGGTGGCCGCGACGTCGTCAAGACAGAGACGCTCGGCCTGTAGCACCTTTTGCAGCCTACACACGATTACATCCACTGCATCCTCAGGGACAGTGGAATATGCAACAACACTGGACCTGGATCGAACTGCACGCCAGTGTTGCTGGACGCGCCGCAGTTGCTGTGGCCATCGCAACAACCACCGGCCGCTGCGATGATTGGCAATGCGTCGAGTGCTTTGCCATTCGCAGTACGCATGACGGTCTTGCAAGGTCCGAGCCAGATGTCGTACACACGCCTGGTGACAGCGGCGGACGTGGCGCCTGTTGGTGGGCGGGTGCCGCGCCGACGCGCCTTGAGCTCGGAAATGACCTTGCGCCGAAGAATCTGGTGTCGCAAGTCTCGACTAATGCCATCTAGAATGCGCTTGCAGCTGTCGATGGCGCGTGGCATCCGTTGTGTTGTCAATGCGACTCGGACAGAGTATTTTAGGGCCAGCGTTTCAAATGTAATTCGTTGAGTTGTAGCGTCCTAGTCGTCTGTCGACAGTCGTGGCCAACTTGTGATAAATACCCACCCCGTCTACCGATGTATGTACAACTTGTACTACACATATATCCTTCATTGCGGCCGATGAGCGTGGTGGCCGTGTCCACCGGGCCCAGACGACGCACGTCGCATTGTGGCTGCCACGACACGGGGCTAGGGTTGGTAGACACGAGTAATATGGTGAATATCGTGCTATCCACACTTTGATCGAGTGAAGACAAACGACAAATTGCACAGCAAAAACCAGATTCAAATTAGTTGCATGCACTGGAGCTACTTGGGCGAGACATGCACGCGTAGGCTTCGAGGGCCCGGAGCTGCTCATCGGACGACGGAGTGTATGTGAGCGGTGGCACGTCTTCTGCGACCGTTTCTGCCGAGTCAAGTCGCGGGTCGTCACATCGATTCGAGACGGGTATCTCTTTCCGGGATGGGTGGCGGACAATGACGACCGTCGGCGTCTCGTGCGGTCGAGCGTCCAAGTCCTTGTCCAGCAGGATGCTCCAGTCGGCTACCTCGAGCGTGTTTTTTCCAAACGAAAATATGGTGGCGGGCGACGCGGCGAACGACGTCTCTGGACAACACCTGTCGTCGTCGTCGTCGTCGTTGTTTTCAACGCCGTCGTCGGCCCCGAGGAGCGCTCGGTCGACCGACGTGTACGAAGTCACCTCGCCCAGCGGCAGCGTCAAGTTTAGCTTCTCGGCCAGGTTGGGGTCTTGGATGTACAGCTGAAGCGCTTTCGGTTGTGGCAACGGCCGGTTCGCAATGTCATTCCATGTCTGGGGCTTGGGTGTCGATGGCGCGGGTCGTCGCGGGGATGCTCGCCGCGGTGTTGCCACCGGCTTGGGCGTCGATGGCTTTTGAAAGAGTTTGCGAAACCCGCCACCGACACGCTTGAGCACGGTCAGGCGTGGTCGCGTCGGTGGTGGCACGGGTGTTCTAACTACCGATACCGTCGTCGGGGCGCGTAGCTCACTCTGTGCTTGGTGGTCCCCGTCGTCCTTGCTCGTCGCCGCTTTGTCAGTGTCGGATGCTGCTGCTGTCGCCGGGCTAGCAATCGTCGGAGGTGATGCCATCAACGTCGCATCACTCATCGGGTCCAAGGGCTCTTCGCGCTGGGCACACCTCGCTTCAATAGGCGCAACAACGGGCGCAGGGTGAGAACGCTGAGGGTACCGCTTCGCTACCAAGTGACGGCGCACATATGCCTGGATCCGCGTGGCCGAGACCTCCTACGCCACCGTGCTCGTCAAGTTGTAGTAGGCTCGTCGCACCTGGCACACGGCGACGCGCCGCGCTCGGTACGCTGCCTGCGCCGTCATGCGACGAACATGCGCTTGGATCTGCGCTGCCGCCGCGTGCAGTGCCGCCAGCTCCTTGCGCACCACGTAGCCGCGATGCAGCGCTTGAATGCGGTTGGCGCATTCATGCTCCCAGTGCCGCTCGCTCTCGGCTTTGAGTGCTTGGTGGTGCTCCCAAATGCGGAGACGGCGAAGGTACTCGCGCTGCTTGCGCTTCTCCTCGAGTCGGACGAGGGCGTCGTGCCGCGCGATGGCGTAGGCGGCGAGCTTTTCTTGCCGCCGCACTGCGTCCTGGGCTCTACACACATTGCTTTAGCGACGCAATGGCGTGAAAAGGCACACCGCTGGGCGGCGCGCAGCGACATGCGGGGCGCGTTCTGTAGCCGATGGTCCTCAAACATAAAGCCGTGAAACGCCGACGTGAACGCGGTCGAGCGCGGTCGGTTGTAGACATCTTTGTTGCGATACGAGTCGATTTGAACCCCGACGTTGCTTGGCGACGCAGTCAGTAGCAGTGGCAGCTTGGTCACGGGACGGTCTGTCCGCGCAGGGTGCAGCACCATGCTAGGAAAGGCCAGAGGTGAAACGTCGCCCAGAATAGACCATATCATCATTGGCCTCGTCGACGACGACATTGCGCATCCCATTGCGCGGTAGAACAACCAGTTGATGCACCGATGCGTGAAGACGAGGAGAGAGGTAGCCGCGACCGACGTTGATGGCATTGAAAAAGTTACCGCTATCGCCATAGGCTGTGGCAGCGAGGGGGCCACAGTCAACTATGATACGTAGTCAACTCTAGAGTTTTGCGTCGGTGCGATGGATTTCCACTGCTTTAAGAACAATGCGTCGCAGCCCATGCACCAGAAGAGATGTTGCCAACCACAACCTCCAACCTACAGCAATGGAGCGTGGAGATCTCGGCGCACCATCATGAAGAGCCATTAAGAGGAGTCGCCTCCCTTGTGCGCTGGATCAAGCAACAGCTGGATTGAAATAGACTCGTGGTTGCGAAGTACCATGGGATTTAAACCGATATGTTCAGGATGTGCACTATGTCAATGTCTCGCTGGTTGTAGGGTTAGGGCTCCAGCACCGTGCCCTCGGGGGCGGCGGGAAGCCACGGGTTGGGTCCAAAGCACTGCTTGGCGTTGCATTGAAAGCACTCTGGAACCGCACGTACTGTGCTAAGCACCGGTAGTGTTGCCGCGAGCTTGGAAAGCAGACACCGCGCACACACCACGTCACCGCACTAGTACCACAAGTCATCAGCACACACAGCAGCTAGAAACACGCAACGTACCACAGCGCAATGACGCTTCGTCAGCAGAAAACGACCCCAGCTGCCGCAGGACCCACAAAAGTTGCGTTCGTATAGCGACACCAACGCGTCCTCCGTCGCGAGGCCGCTCTCGGAGAGAATGGCCTTGGTGTCAAGGTCCAGCGCCTTGCGCAGTACGCTCTCGGGGTCCAGCGACGTCGTATTTGACGGAAAGTCGGGGGCGTGGAAGAGCGCACGGATCTGCGGCAGCAGCACCTTGCACTGCTCGTAGCTGCCGCCATCGACGATTGCAATCATCGCACATGTCGTGCAGACTCGCACATCGTGGGACGTATGGCCGTCGGGACGCAGAGCAAGCCCCGCAAGCGTGCACTCGGAGCAGTAGTGGTCACCGCACTACCGGTGTACATTTCATACATCCACGTCCTTTAGTGCATTCGACGTACGTACCGTCACACAGCCGTGCATCGTGTCAAGCCACGGAAACGGGCGGCGGCAGCGGGCGCAGTCAGCACGCGCTGCGCGCGCTGCTGCGATTTGGTCGGTCCGAATGAAGCGTTGGTCGCTCGGCCACTTGCGCGGACCCGTACCGTGGCACTCGTCGGTTCCATCCTGCGGCTTGTAGCGACCAAAGAGGCGCGGGTGGTTCCCATAGCACGGCGCGCACACGTTTCCTTGTGTCGAGTGCGTCTCGACTGAGGCCAGCTGCGTGCATGCTTGGCAAACCACCTCGCCACACTACGCACCAGACGCATCATGCACAGCACATGGCAAGCGATCGGAGTACCAGAATGCAGTGGAGCTTGACGGCAAGGAGCGAGAACGGGCGGAGGCACACGGTGCAGCCTTTGCAGCTGCTCGCCGATGCGTAGGCGGACGGCGATAGCAGGTCAGCGGGCTCGAGCTTGGGCAATACCATCGCCGTCGTCTTTTTGAAAATGCACTTTCGAAAAGCTCGTTTGGTTTCCATGTGCGACATGAGCTTGTGACCCGGGGCACTGACCAATGGCAACGTAGAGACCATCATTTCTCCTACAGGAATGCTGGTCGTGATACCCAGGGCGACCAGAGCAATCATCAGGTTCTACGTGCAGCACAATATCAAACTCCATTCAAGCCTTGGATAAGATCATGGTACAATGTAATAGGATATATTTATCCTACACACTCGAAAGTTACACGTTCTCCTGGTCCGCGGCTCGCTTGGCCTCAAAGCTCTTGACCGCTCCCTTAGGCGCATAGTTCTTCGACGAGCGCACGCTGAGCTCCGGGAATAAATGTTCTTGCTCCGCTGCATATTGGTTGTGTGTATTGGTCGTGAGTAGCAGCAACTCGATAAATTTGTCCAATTCCATGGTCGTGACGCCAGTATTGACTACCGGTACTTCCTTGCCCACGAGGCTTGTGGTGCTTTGAGAGTCGGTGGGGCGCTTCATTTCGACGAGTGCCAGACGAGGCTACTTTGAATGTGTCGTGCCATTTTCGAACTGGCGTGCGTCGCACGCTACGAACATTACGAGCTGAATTGTAGGATTCTGGGAAAGAAAATGCAACGGTGCTTACACACTGGTGCACGCGCCACGAATGTTCTATTCGTATCGCGTGTGCACTTGAGACTCTCAAGTGCGCACTCAAGTTGAGAGAGCGTCAGGCGCTTGGAGTTGGGCGTTGGTCACAATGATTGATTGTTCACAGTAAACGTGTGAGTTCAAAATCCCCGAACCCGCGCTACCAGTACCGGGTATTCACTGCAAGAGATTGTCGGCACGTGGGTCAAAAATCATTTTGACCGGTCGTATCTGCACAGTGGATCAAGTTGTTATACGTGGAAAATGGACACGAAGTGCGACACAGACACCAAGCGCACGCTACGCTCGTCGATTCCCGAGGCAGCGACCGTGCCCGCAGCGATGGCGCAGAGCCTCGCCAGGCGTCACGACGCACACACGACGGACCTGGGGACCGTGCTCATGGCCGTTGGCCCTTTCATGCTGCCTTTTCACGGCCTAATGACAGCAAACATGCTCCAAGCGCTGCAAAACCATGCCGAACAAATCGATAAGCTTGCGGAAATCGTCCAACGCATGGAGGACGAACTTAATGCGGCACACGAGCGTACGAGGCGCGAGTATAAGACGTCTCTTTCTTCTACTTGCTGCATCGTAACGTTAGCTCGTTCTTGTGGACCAACCTCGTTTCAACACACGTGACGTCGACGGAACTTGTTTCAAGGGCATAATCGAACGGATTAGGTCGGCGTGGGCAGCCATGGGTTCTCGCCAGTGTGTTGCTTGGCGTTGCAGTCAAAGCACTGCGCCACCTTGCGCATGTGCTCGCGCGGCGTCGCCCCCGCTGCAAACACAGAGTCGAGACAGAAAACGCAAAAGAGCTCGCCGCACTACAAATGTGTGCAACAATGATTCCAATGCAGACAAGTTGTCTTACCTTGGCGCAATGGCGCTTGCAGAGTCCGAAGCGGACGCGGCTCTTGCAGTCAAAGCACGCCGATCGCTGTCTCGGCGGCACGAGCGTGTCGGTCGATGCCAAGGTGCGCTCGGGAAGCACGCGTTTTGTATCGCAGAACATCGCGTGGTAGAGGGTGCCGTCCTTCTTAAGGTGCTGCGTGTTGGCGGGAAATGCTGGCGACGTCACCAGAGTTCGAATCTGGGCTTGAAGTGCTTTGCACGACGCGTAGTTCTTGTCGATGCGTGCGATCGCCGCACACGTGGTGCATGTTTGAATCATAAAGGACGTCGCGGCGCCTGGCTGCAGCGCGAGCCCATCCGTCGTACACCGCTCGCAGTAGGCACGACCGCACTAATACCAGCACGCTCATTGATCGGTAGGAAGAAGAGATGGCGAAATACCGTAGCACACCAGCGACGGTGACGCAGGAGTGTAAAGCTCCGAGCACACCTTGCACACGTGTGGCGATGGGCACTCGCATTCGGGGGCACGAGGTCCTCTGGGCGCGCAAACACTTTGGGGCCGGATAGCACAAGGTGCGCAGGGAGCGCCATGGACTTGATCTCGGTCATGTAAGGTCCTTGAAGTCGTTCATGCGTCTGAAAGCACACCGCGCAGACCGACACCGTGTCGTCTTGGCCCGTCACTGGAACGAGAAAGGTGCACCCATGGCACATTGCGTCGTCACACTAATACATTGTGGTGGATTTGATGTCGACAATATCGCTTCCATAAAGACATCGTACGAGGCGGCAGTTGGTGTTGCCCAAGCGTAACCCGATCGGAAGCAAGCAGACAACGCATGCTTTTGTTGGCGGCGTCTTCTTCGACGCATCGACGAGGTCCGAAGCGAGCAGCTCATAACGAGGATGCGGTGCTGTCATACGTCCTCAATGCGTCGTCTCCACGCAATGTGACCAAGCTGGGAATGAGAGTCATAAAGTCAGAGCCATGCGTGGCGTCAAAAGACGAGTAACGTTACTCATCGGGATGCTACCAACGCTCCGAATGGAGCGAAGTGAAAGCGTGGTCGTACAAGCCATGAATGGAATTCAGTCATGCGGGAAAGACATTGCGCTGCACACGCTTCACGAGGCGCAAGAACGTTCCGCTTGATGCCGTCGTCTGTGTGCTTCTTGATGCTAGCGACTGGCGGCGGTGCGGTCTCGTCGGGCGCAAAAAGGTCGATGCTTGGTTTACTTGAGCGCCTCGACGCGGCCGTCAAGATCGGCTTGCGCTTCTCGCGGAAGGCAGCGCGCTCTGCCTCTTGGTGCAACCGCTTGTCGCGCCGGACCTTCTTGATGTTCGCGCGCGTCCACACTACTTCGTGTGCTTGATCTGGAATGGATGTTTTATTGGCTCAATTATTAATTATTTATAGCCAATCACAAGACTTGATTCACGACATCGTCTTAAATAGTGTGAGCACCATTCAGCACAACGACGAGTAGCAGCCCATGGACATACCAGCGCCATGTAGTAGCCGGGTATACCTCTCCACACACTTATTGAATGACATAAATGTCGTTCCCGACGCTGCACGTAGCGCAATCACGCGCAAATCCATTTTCCATTTTTCGAGGTGGTGGCAGAATTGCCCAATTACTTCACGTGATATCGCAGGGTTCCAAAGCTCCAAGGACCGTAAAACTGGCTGCCACAGTTGACAATGGGTCTCGACCCAGTGTGCGACCAGCTTGTTGGTCGCCGTCGTCGTTTGGGCACTCACACCAAACTCGAACTGCCGAGCGTCGGTTTTCAGGAAATTCGACATGCAATTTCGGTTGAAAATGCGTCGAAATTGCAAAAACCGAGGACGCCATCTCTATTTATTCATGTTAAAGAGTGTGTTGCATGTGGCCGAGGGAGGCAAAGTGCGCGCGATACCGCTGTGTGATGAGGCCTTGTTTCCCGTACAGTATTTCAGTAAAGCCAAAAAGCACACTATATCAAACAATTGTTTGCCGCTGTCATTTATTCTCGCTACAGAGCTCGCACGGCGACGTCACATAGCACTTTGGTCTCCCCAAAGTGTGGTCTAGCACTCTGGCAAGTATGGGCGATTTCATTTTCAAACTTCATTTTAGTCGATCCGCCGGCGCGGCGGGCCTGTGTTCACCAAAATATGGTTGTAAATGGCGAACGCCAAGAATAACCACCGGCGACGCCAGAAAGACGACGTCGAGGCTCCTCGGGCACCACTGACGCTGCTGCGTTGTGCTCAAGGAGGATCCATCAGCATTCTCTACGCATACGCCATGATAAGGTGTCGCTCGGCCGCAATGCAGCGTTCCTTGTCGGTCTCCCTCAACGCCAGGCCACAGCGTTTCAGCCAATCAGAGCGCCAAGACATTAGATTTGTGGCCAATCAGAGCGCCAATACGTTGGATTTGTGGCCAATCAGAGCGGCAAGGATTTCGCTCACGAGCCAATCGCCGGTGTTCTTGCCACAGTTCTCGAACCGATCATCGCCGCCAGCCCAGGCACGTGGTACGTGGCAAGCCGTGCGCAGGCCTCAGGCCGAGACGTTCACGCGACGTCGCTGCAGGTATAGCGCAACCTATCTATGTGTGACGAGCCACCTATTCGGCCCTTGGGCGGAGCCCTGGCCAATTTTTCGATGGTCTCTCTCGCACGTCGGCCACGGAATTGCCTCCAAGATGCGCTCCTCCAAGCCCAAGACCTGCGACGACGCTGGGAGCGATGGCGCGATATGCCTAGCATCATGACCACCGCGAAGTCATGCGCTTGCGCGTCCAGAATGGATAGCGCTCCAGCCACATTCGATCCGACGGCGCGTCCACGCACCGGTCGCTGCTGCCACACTCTACGTGTACGTACATCCCGTCAACGCTCGTATTATATATCAACGTCGAGCCTGCGTGCGGCTGCTCGCGCCGGCCGTCGCGCGCTGCACTCCTTTTCATTGCCATATCCTCGTATTCGTCCTTCGTGGCCGACAGCTCGCGGCCAACGTCGACACGCTCTACTGACGGCAGCAAGATACACGCAGATTGAGATACACGTCATTTTAATCCCCAAGCCCCATAGAGAGGCTGCTCCAACGCCTACGTAAGTAGAAACCCACGTCCTTCGCACACTACTTGAGCGCAGTTCTCAACTACCCTCTTAGCCAGTTAAGTCAGCGCAGGACACGCGCAGTTCGCGCGACTACACAACACGTGAGCGCGGTGCCTATCTCCAAGTGGCTGCAGTCGCCGGAGCGACGGAGCCACAGCAATGCGCGACAGCATCTTCTTCCGCATTCTTGCACCTCCCGAGTCGCGGAGCTTCTTGGCCCGGCGTGTCGCTTGCCTTGTGGAAGTGGCGTTGCTCCTCGAGTCGTGCAGCCTTCTGTGACAGCGTTTCGTTGGCCTTCTGAGCGGCTCCTTCGCTTTGGCGTCGTGTGCTCCGAGTCGCGCAGCCGCCTCGTCCGACGTCTCGCAGGCCTTCCGGGCGGCGCGCGCCTTAGCTTCGCCTGGCGATCGCCATGTGCACGGGAGCTCGGCGTTAGGGAGCTGTAAGTGTTGCGTTGGGTCGCATTAGGACGGCAAGATTCGCAGCGCGGTCATGACGAGCTGCCTCGCCAGGCTGGCGTGGGGGCCCAAGGCTGCCGTCGTGAGCCCGCGCGGGACGAAGAAGCATAGCCGCGCGTTCGTTCTCTCGTCAAAGACGCCGTAAGACATGCTGGAGAAGCTACTGCCTCCAGACACGCCTCGCACGCTCGTCGCAACTATCCTCTGCCGCATTCGCTTAGCGTCGATGTATAAGACAACCTAGTACAAACATTGTTGCGTACTGCTCGGAGCCGAACGCAGAGCTCACGTGGACATGGTGATATGACAGGCATGGAGGGCGGGAGGTGCGCTGCTTGCCTTCACCTGGATCAATATACACCTAGCCACAAACTATGAGATGGCACCTCGGGCCGACGCGAGCAGCCGAATCGGCCGCAGTAACCTTGCGGCATCGCCCTGCGACCTGGTCCAAGGACGTCCACGACAACCGTCCTTGGACTCGGTCTGCGGCGCTCGACCCGCGAATCTCGTAAATGAGCAATTTGCTGACAAGGTTTTACATGGGAAAGGATGTGGACATGGTAAAAGCATTGTTGATGTTTCTCCATCGCACTGGCTCGGATGCCTCTCCTAGGTTGCCTTTTGCTGCTTTGTACGAGTACAAGCAAAGATATCGATGCAGCCTCGTGGCGAGCGGCTAGAGTACGGTACGACTGCCACGTCATCAGAGCTTGTCGTACCGCAATTCTACCGTAAATGTAACCGTAAATACGATATGGATTGGCATGCTGTTCACAGTATGGACAGATCGAAGCGGGAAAGAGCATGGTCGAGCGTCATGGTCGCTAGCGGGTTGTGTTCAGTCTCGTACGCCCGCACAGCCATAGCCACGTAGCTGGGACATGTGTCCTGCCGGACCTCGTGGTCAATGGCCGCTCCGTGCACCTCTCGGAGTACCGCGCTGGTGACATGGCACCGGGCAATCTCCAGGCAGGAAACGTCCACGTCGACAAGGATGGCTGCCAGAGAAACGGTGCAGATCGAGTCGGTGGAAGCGCTCATGGGTTCTCGATTGCGCTCGCTCATCTCGTCGTCGCTGGGCACATGAGCCTCTCGTCGCTTCGGCAGCTTCGTGAGGCGCAAGGACATTCCGCTTGCGCACAACTTTTTATCGACACAGCATCAAACGGCAGCGCTTGTCCAAACAAGTGCCCGGTCGCTCCAATACGTCAATGAGGCGAGCACAAAGTGGATCCAAACACTTTGCCGTTTTGCTTTCTACGTGTAAAATACCCTTCCAACTTCCGAGCAACGATGGATGGTATGCCCGCATGTAGATCAAGCTCCCGTGCGTCGTTTGGGGGAAATTGGCAGCGATGCGTGACTCATAGAGAGGTATGAGACTTGTGCACGTCCAGAGCATTCAGCAGGTGAGCAGCAATTCATGAGATCGATGTTTGCTGTTGAACGATGTGTACAGCTGTGTGCCGGTACGATGACGTGTGACCTGCTACTTTTGTCTACGACGCCACTTGGCCCCTTGCGCGCCGTACCTCCGTGCGTGACGTGTCCTGCGGAGCAATATGCTTGGGCGAGAACCTGTGGTCGCGACGTACCTGATCAAAAGACCGTACACAGGAATTCTGGAAATTTCTCGGGATGAAAAAATGACATTGCTCCTTCTTTTTGTCGCGCGATTTTGGGCCAGAGATGCAAGATGTGCTTCAAGTTAAGGCGACTGGCCTCGTCTAAAAGCCCTGAAACAACTCTAAATAGGACATATCCTTGAATTATCTGCTCAGTCCCCATGCAGGCTGTGAGGCAATGACGTAGTAGTAGTGAGTAGACAAGGGTCTCAAGGAGCACTGACGTCGTATGCAAACGCTTAGGATGAATGCGCGACGCAGTACACATGTGCACACGTCAACGTCGCCGTTGATCGGCGTGCCCTACCCCAGTCAAGAGCACTTGCAAAGCCCCTGCTGTGTCCAGCCTCTCGCGTCATCCACTGACGACTGCCGTTGCCCATGCACGCGATTGCAAAGAAGGGAACGCATGCTGGCCTCACGTTGGTCTCATCGCTGTCGGGTTTAAAGCAGTGTGTAATCGTCACCACGCAGTAATGTGATGATGGGAGGAGCGACCGAATGAAAGTGCCGCGGGGTGGGTACGCTGTCTGCATCTGGAGGTATAACACTGCCATAACACTTGCTGCCGGTGGCATGACTCCACGTGCTGTGTCGCGAGGTATGCTCGCAACGACCTGTCTGGATGGGCCAGGCCGTCAACGTATATGCAGTGTTTATCACTTGAAGCGTCGGTGCTTTCGAGTCGTCGTCTATCGATTCGCTTCGCTCGATGCATTTGAGTCAAGGCTAGACGGTCTCAAAGGATCAGTCCATCGAGATGGGTACACTGCCGAGCATTACGCATACGTTGTCCGATCTGAGTCTCTGGCCTTTATCGCTCTCGTGTTGCCAACACCATTTGTGCTGTGAGTAGTGGGTGCGAGGATATCCTCGGATATTGTGCTTCAATGCCATAGAGATGGCCTTTCCTTCCCTCCAAGTTGATCGTGTCGATACGATTGTATGCGTTCTCTAAGGACACTTGTTATATACTAGTACTCTCCATGGCTTGCTACTCATCGCAAGACATAGGTCTCTTCGTCGTCTTCGCCGCTGCTACTGTGCTGTTGCTGCTTGGTTTCACGGGCGTCAGCGTTCAGCTTGGCCTCCATCCGGCGCGCGAGCTGGTCGAGCCGGTCGAGCTCGGCCGTGTGGTGCCCGAGCGTCTGAAACAGCACGCACTGCTGCGATGCCAGCGCCTGCTGTGTGTCGGTCGTTCGGCAGAGCAGCGCCATGATCATGGCTTCGAGGTTCGAGCCGTCGGACGTTGGCGCCGGTGCCTCGGCGACGACATCGGTCGGCGTCGACGTCGTCGGTGATGTTGTCGTCTCTTCGATGGCAGGGTGGACTTCTTCGTGCACCGTCTCTGGCACCGTGGGCAGCGGCGAGAGCTTCTTGCCCCAGACCTCCTTGCGGTCGTCAATGTTCTTCATCGCGACACTCGCGAGCTTCTCGAGCGTCGCAATGTCGCTAAACCCAAGCTGACGCGGCTCGTTGTCAAACACAAACACTGTGCCGATCGCTTGGCCGTTCGAGGTTACGATCGGCGTGCCGGCGTAAAACCGGACGCCGGCGGGGCCCGTCACGAGCGGGTTCATGACAAACCGTCGGTCGCGGAGCGCGTCGAGGACAATCATCGTATCGTGGGACACGATCGTGTGCGCACAGAACGCCACGTCACGCGGAATGACGTCCTGCGCGAGGCCCACGGACGCTTTGAACCATTGCCGGTCGTGGTCGATGAGCGAGACCGCGGCGATCGGGCACTTGAGCGCGTTGGACGCGAGCTCGCAGATAATGTCAAACACGTCTTCGCGCGGCGTGTCGAGGATCTCGTACGCGTGGAGCGCCGCGAGCCGGTCAAACTCGTTTGGGAGCGTCGGCGCTTTGGGCCATTGGCAGCCCCAGCTAAAGTCGAGCGGGTACGACCGGTTCATCTCGGGGTTGGAGCCGCGTCGGTACTCGGACGGCGGCCGCATCGCGACCGTACTTGGCTTGCGTGAAATCGACGGCGCCTCGGCCGAGCTCGCGCGGGACCGAACGACACGCGAGTTGGTCGTCGCGTTGGCATGGCCCGCTCCGGAAATGTACCGGCTCGCGGTCTCGGGCTCAAACCGCTTGGTCGTATTTGTCGAGCACGCTTGGCAGATGGGGGCGACTTGCCACTCGCCTTGGCGCGGGACGTCCGAGACGAGAATGTCAAAGAGACACATGAAGCAAAACGCTTCGCCGCACTAAGTCAATAAGCCGCCATAAGACAAGAAAGAGAGATGACGACGACGTACGAGGCGGCAGTGGTCCTTGCGCATAATGAAGCGAAATTTGTCGTGGCACGCGCGGCAATTGGACCGGTCTTTAAGCGAGACCCAGAGACTCTTCTTCATGAGGCGGTCGTACGGGATCACATGCGCGGCTTCGAGTCGCAAGACGCGGTGTTCGACTTGGTTCGTATTGGGCGGCGGGTAGTGCGGGTCGTGGAAGAGGCCCATGACCGCTTTCTGGAGCGCGCGGCAGTTGGAGAAATTGCCCTGGACCATGCTAATGTGGACGCACGTCCAACAGACCGTGACGTCAAACGACGACTGGCCGTCCGGTCGCAGTGCGAGCTGGTTGGTCGTGCAATGACTGCAGAATACTTCGCCACACTACAGAGGCAGCGTGAGGTGAGGAGAAGGGAGAGCTAGAGGAGGACGTACGGTCTGGCACTGGTACTTGTGTCGGAAGAGCGTGAACGACCGCTTGCAGCGGTCGCACTTGGAGCGTTTGCCTTTCGGTACAAACTCTTTGAGCAGATCTTCGGGGTACACGAAGAGCATTTTGGACGGCCATTTGGAGCCGCGGCCCGACTTGGCGACGCGTGTCGGGGCCTTGGACGCTTCAATCGGCGCGATCGCGTGGCTGCCATCGCCGTCGTCGGGTGCAGGCAGCAGTGCCGTGCTGCTTCGTAAGCTATCAAACGCAGATCGGCTCGCGAACGAGGCTTTTCGCTCGGGCGACCACGGTGACGGATTGCTGTCCGAGATGAGCGACGCGTTCCCGATCGAAAAGTGGTCTTGGTAGCTGCCTTGGTAGCTGTCGTGGTAGCTGTTGTGGTAGCTGCTTTGGTAATTGCTGTGGTAGCCCGCGTCGTCGTCGTCGCTCTCTTCCTTGAGGACGCCGCTGGTCGGGCCGAGGCGGTCGTCGGCCTTGTAGCACGGCGCACACACCATGGCAAAGTACCGCTCCGTCGGGTGGGCTGTCACGGGCACGTGGAAGAAGCACTTGCTGCACATGACCTCGCCGCACTAGAAGACGACGCGGATGAGGATGACAGAAGAAGATAGAGGAAGCGTACGAGCGCGCAGTTGTGCTTGTGCCGCAATATGTTAAACTTGCGCATGCACACATAGCACGTCAACGTGTCCTTCGTCGGGATGTACTCGGTCGGGTTGAGGAGGTCGCTCTTGAGGAGCGCGGGTCGCCGCCGGTCGTGCTCGTCCATCATCGCCATGCAGGACGTCGCGAAGGATAATAGTATGGTGCACCAAAGAAGTGGCCATATTACAGCGCCAACCATCGCCTCGCGGGGTGGATGATACCCTACACAGTACGTGCATTACTTCCCGCCGCCGTCGTCGCCTTTCTTGTTATAACACCGTCTCTAACGCCTCCATCACTCGACCCCAACGGCAATGTGCCCTTTAAGCATCGCTCGCGTCTCATCGAAACGTTGGGTACAAGGTATTAGTCTTTCGAGTCCAGCTTGGCCTCCATGCGCTTGACCGCGTCCGCTAACTTATCTATCTGTGCTGTGTGCTGGCCTAATGTCTGGAACATTGCGCCTTGCTGCGTCGCGAGCTGCTGCTGCGTCTCGGTCGTACGACAGAGCAGATCCATGAGCATCGTCTCGAGCTTGGGACCTGCGACCACTTGGCCGTCGCCGGGCCCGGCGTTTTGGACGACAAGGTCCTGCGTGTTCAAATTGGGTGTCGGTGGCGCGACCGTCATCGCACTCGGCGGCGGCGGTCCCTGCGTCGGTGTGGACACGGGCGTTGACACGGCGTTCTTGCGGTCTTCAATGTTTTTCATCGCGACGTTCGAGAGCTTCTCAAGCGTCGTGATGTCGCACGAGTGGCGCGGCTGCGTGTCAAACACAAAGACAGTGCCGAGGACAAAGCCCGACGGCGACACGATCGGCGACCCGGCGTAGAAGCGGATGTTGGCGCCGCCCGTGACCAGCGGGTTCTTGGCGAAGCGCTTGTCGAGGAGCGTATCGAGGACGACCATGGGCTCCTTGGAGATGATCGTGTGCGCGCAGAACGACACGTTGCGCGGAATCTCCGTCTGCGCGAGGCCCACGGACGCCTTGAACCACTGCCGGTCCTTGTCCATGAGCGAGACGACTGCGATCGGGCACTTGAGCGCGTTGGATGCGAGGTCGCAGATAATGTCAAACACGTCTTCTTGCGGCGTGTCGAGGATGTCAAAGCTGCGGACGGCCGCGAGACGCTCGTCTTCCTGCGGCAAGATCGGCGGCTTGGGCCATTGGTAGCCCCAGCTAAAGTCGAGCGGGTAGTCATACTCGCGGTTGCTACTGTCGGCGCTCGAGAAGTGGCGCTTGTCGTCCGTGGGCGAGTCGAGCCCGCGGTCCATCGTGCTGCCGCGGAGCCGGCTCTCGGACCGGATCGAGCCCGGGCGCGAGCGCGTGCTGGACGGCGCCGTCATGGACGACTCGCCCGTTGGGCGCGGCGCGGCCGGGCCGCCGAGCGCGAGAATGCACGACATGCACACCTTGACTTCCTGGAGGCCTTGGCGCTGCGGAATCTCGGCGAGCTTCTTGAGCGTGCAGCTCGAGCAGACCACTTCGCCACACTAATAGGCCATCGTTGCCATGAGCGTCGAGGCGACGAGGTGTCATGTACCATGCGGCAGTGGTGCTTGCGGCGAAAGTTGGAGAAGTTGCGCGTGCAGACGTGGCAGCGGAAGCGCTCCGTGTCCGGGATCCACTCGTCTTGGCTCACGAGCTGGTCGATCGTGATGACGTCCTGCTGCTGTTGCCGGCTGTTGCGAGCCATCGTCGCCTCCGCGGCCAGATCAAAAGTCCCGACTGCCGAAAAATAATAATATTTGAGACGGCCAATAATACCGAAACCGATGCCACCAGGGTTTATTCTATTAGCTTGATGTTTGTATGGATCGGGCCATCTGCGACATGCGCGCAGTAATGCGCCTGAGGATTGGCTGAAAACCGCCATCGAATGCACCAATCACGTCGCGCCAACCGCCGGCAGGGACATCGACAGTACACGCTGCTGCTGCGGATATAATACGCCATCTTCGAATCGAGTGTGTGCTGCACGGCTCGAAGGACTGGTTGACCCGAACGGCAAGTCGATATGTACGGTGTATTACTTGACGCGGAAACGTTCACAGTGGACTGACAGGACCGACGACACGCCGTCGCAGATGGCTCGACAACACAAATGTGTGGCCGTGCGTTGCGCGGCTTATTCGGCGGGCTTATTTTACTCATATTCCGTTTTGTTGGATCGGTTTGGAAAGAAAAGACATGGCGGTTCCGTACAAGATATATGTTGATATACGCTGCAGCGAGAGCGATGGGGTGTGTTCTGCATCCGACGCCGCCGATGCCGGTCACGTGGGAAAGGCCGTGAGGTCACGCTTGGTGTCCACTGGCAGCGCGGCGGCAGCGCAAAAAAAGTATCTTTGTTGATAGGGTGGAAAGCCGGATATACCAGAAAACTGTATCCGGCACATGTCACCATGCACACGTACGGGATGGATGCGCTCTCTCAGCTGTTGCCCGCGTGTGTCGGTAGACTGCGAGGGACACGAGCAGCGGACTCAAATAGTAAGTACACGCGTCGAGTGACTATTATTGAAAGTTTCGTCTACAGCACCTAGCAGCAGACAACTCTGGCAGGCGACACCGTCCAAGGCTGCATGTCTGATTGGCCAATATCGAAAAATATAGAGCCAATCTTTTTGCGCAGAGCTTGCCCACTCGCAAGCATTTCGTGTTTGTATGTGCATTGTAAGTACGGTTACCAATCGGGTATCTGTAAGTACGGTTACTGATCACGGTTTACAACCACCCACAGCGGCTTGCAATGAATCGCGTCCTCGGTGTCGACGCCGATCCAGCAGTCTTCCATTCCCATGTTGCTGCGCTTGATCACACTGCTGGTGGCCACGGCCGCTGCGCTGCATTCGCGCCACAGCAAGACGGCCGATTACACGCTGCCACCAGTGTTCACGCCAGCCTACTTGAAGGACGTCAGTCGCAACGTCGCTTGCCACAATGCCAGCGCGGGCTACGAGGCGACACTGCGTCCTGGCAACTACACCTCTAATGGGTTCTTTGACTGCTTTCGAACACGTGGCCAGATCGACGCCTTCTTGGCCACGCTCGTCGCGCAGAACCGTCGGCTACTGACGCCCATGCCGCTGGCGACGTCCATCCGCGGCGTGCCCATCCTCGCCTACAAGCTGTCGATCGCGCGCAACCACACGGCGCCATCCATCTATGTGCAGAGCATGATGCACGCACGCGAGTGGGTCGCGGGCTCGTCCAACCTCTATGCGCTTGCGTCGTTCCTCGACGACCTCACTGCCAATCGCACACCGCCCGCGCTCGCCAAGTACGACATGTACTTTGTACCGATCGTCAATGTCGATGGCTATGACAAGACATGGTCTGGCGACGACGATGGCGAGTCCCGCTACACGCGCAAGGACGCACACGAGGTCGACTTGAACCGCAACTTTCCCACGCTCGCCTTCAACCACGACCACGACAACATCGACTCGGAGGCCTACCCGGGCACGTCGCCGCTGAGCGAGCCCGAGTCCAAGGGCATCGCCGACTTTATCAGTGCGATCCCAATGGACGGCTTCTTTGACATCCACACGTACTCGGCGCTCGTGCTCTATCCGTTTGGTGACACGCTGGCGCCGCCGCGTGGCAACCGCTACAAGGTGCTCTCACAGCAAGTGGCCGACGCACTCAACAACGCGACAGGGATCACGTCGTACGAAGGCGTTCCTGCCTACGAGCTCTACCCGTGCTACGGCACGTTCATCGACTATGCCTACCGCAAGTACGAGAAGGCCGCGCTCACAGTTGAGATTGCCGGCAGCGACTTTGTTGAAAAGGTGGACCGTATTCGCCTGCACGGTGCTGCGATCTACGACGCCCAAAACGTGTTTGCGAGCGGTCTCGAGGCGTTTAACGCAAATCGATAAGATTATACCCATTGTTCGTGGGTGTTGGTGGGTCGTTCAACGTGCTTAAGGCCTTTGAACAGACCCTGAGGAAAGCGTCTGTGCAGAAAGAGCTTGTCGTGGGCTGCAAACCGGGGGCATGTACGCGTAGTGAAGCGTACGCTCTTTCAAGGTCTGCGCAAAGCAATCTGTGTCCAGTGCCGTTCCATGTCGATCGCTCATGCCGCCACGTCAGATCGAGTCCAGTGACACCAGTATCCTTTGGTGTCACTGGAATGGATTGGGACAAACGCCGTTTGTCCCATTGCGTCCGGATACACGAGGGCATCCGAATACGGTGCGATTGTTCGACGCAACGATGGCCGACAGCAAGGAGGACGAGAAGCGCATGCATGAGGTTGGTTCCGCTACCTGGCATGGATGATGGCGCTAAGCGTTAAGGATGTAGACCTTTGACATGCTGCCCAAGCTCATCGAGATCCTCAAGGATATCCTGGCGGCGGGGACGAGCCAAGAGGTGACTAGAGTCGGCGACGTCTCGGCCACGGTACGTCGGATTGCGTATTGTCGCCGTTGCCTCACGTCCTTGGCTAGTCGCTCATGCTCAAGGCGAAGTACGAGGAGGCCGCACGTGTCCTGGCGTCGCTTCCAGGCGTCGACATGAGCTTGGAAGCGCAGCAAGACGAGATCAAGAAGGCCAAGGAGCGTTTGCGTCAAAAGAGGCATGCATCCTCGGTAACCCAGAGCTGGCATCTCATGCATGGCATAGCGCGCTCATGGAGCTCTACAGCGAGACGCTCTTTCGCGGGACAGACGAGCCCCGCGCGCAGCTCAACGATGTCTTCTCGCGTCAGAATTTATAAACCAGACATGTGTCGATGCTGCTGCTTCCTCTCTCCGTCGTTTCGCCTCGCAAGGCCAAGTAACTTGACGACCGCTCGACAAGAACGGGCGCGCTAGGGCTCAGTTGATGGGCTAGACGGGTACACGCACATGGAAGGGCTGGCCTTTCTGTTCCAGCACGCAGCCACGCCATGACGCACGACGTCCTTACAGAGAATGAAGCGGCGCCACCCGCCCGCATACGCCTAGTACAGTACACTTATCAGAAGCCAAGGTTTAGGTTGCCACATCGGCGACCTTGTAAACGTCTACTCGCCGAGACCCCGACTACAAAAGCGGCCCAGTACCAGACGGAGTTTGCATTCTGCTTGCTGTTCTTATGCCTACTAAAAGCACAGCTATGTTACTTGGGATTTAACAACCGGCGCGGAAAGGTTAGCCCTCCCACGCCGAAACTACGTATGGTACAGTGGTCGAATGATTGAAGCTCGTAGGATCGAGGAAGACGCCGCTGCCTACGCATCGGGGTCGATTTGGCCGAGCGCGTCGGCGATCCGGAGGAGGCTAAACGTCTCGGCGCTCTCGAGGCCGTCCATGGACGAGCTGCGGGCGGTCGACTGAAAGCTGTGGCTCGACCGACCAGCGAGTGCAGCGAGGCGCGCGTCGTCGAGCGGCGTCTCCGCATCGCGCTCAAGGCACTTGGCGCACATCCGGATCTTCATGGGCCCGCGCGCGAGAGCAACAATGTGAATGGACGAGCAGCTGGCGCACACGACTTCGCCGCACGTCCGGCAGTGGTGTCGGCGGCGAAACGTGGTAAACTCGGCATCGCACTGCAAACAGCTCGGACGGTCGTCGTCCTTGACCCATTGCGACTCGGCAACGAGCGACTTGACGTGGGACGCTTGCAGCGTCCGAATCGCTGGCTGCAGCTGCGAGAGCATGTTCCAGACGACGCGGGCGCCCGCGGGCATGAGGCGCTTGTCGCTCGACTGGCACCGGCACGAGACGCGGAGTGACGTGGGCGAGACCTCTTCGACGACAAGACCGAGCTCCCACTGCATGCGCTTGTATTTGTTGACGTGGTAGAGTAGATTCGGCGTCGGGTGGTGCATGGGCTGCAGCGTCCAGACCAGCGTTCGGGCTGCCGCATTCGGCGGCCCCACAATGTGCGCGTACGACCGCATGCAAAAGCCCTTGTCCTTTGCGAGCACGGTCGATGACTTGAGTGCAAACCAATTCGTGGTCGAAAACACGGAAGCATCTAAAGAGCGAGCGTGAGAACGCGGTCAAGAAACACATTGCGCGCGCGTACCGATCGTGGACGACGAGAGGATCGCGCCGTCGACAAAGTCGTTGCCGTGCAAGAGCTTCATGGTCGCTCGAAACTCCGATGTCTGGCGCACGCAGAGCAGATTCTGAATGTCGTGGAGCGAGCAGCCTTCGAGGGTCTGGACGCCGTGGTACGTAAACACGGGTGGCGCGAGTGCCAATGTCGACGAGGAAGATCCGAGGGACGAGCAGTTGGACGTCGCCGAGACCATCGATGAGTCGCTCTCGGTGCCATCGACGCGCGGTCGCTTGGTGCGCTTCTTCTGAAAGAGCTGCAACGCGCCCTTTTCCTTGATCTTTTTCCACTCGTCCGTCGCCCGCGCGCGCGTGCACTCGTCGAGGTAGTAGTGGAGAATTCCGCGCACGTCGCGGGCAGCGTCCGTCGCACTCGCACTCGAGGCCGCCGACGACGTCGTGGGCGTGTGTTGGTGGCGCGGCAGCATCTTTTGCAATTGAGTTCTGCGCGAGACGGCCCTCTACGTCAAGCAGAAACCCATCTGGCGCGCTTCTATTCGCTGGCGCTGGTGTATAAACAAGTACCCAATACAAAAAAGCAGTGTAGTTTGGCGCGTCGAATGATGGTCCTTGAGATCGTCCGGCAATCTAATATTTGAAAATGCAATGTCGCGCGCCGGGATCTCGTCAGAAGAGCGCCGCCGCCGAGTCGCTATACCGCACGACTGTCGCATCGGTCGACAAAAACACGCTACTACAATGTGGACTCCAGCTATAGTACCGAGACGTAGTCTGCTGCGACTATTTATGCACGCAAGAAACAATCGTCAGCATCCCGTACAACGCGACACCAATCCGGCGCCTCTTTTTTGTGCACCCAACGATGGCGCGAGCGAATCTGGCGCCGCATCCCAATGGCTGCATAATCCCGACCGCGTCGACGGTGACGTAGGCGTCCAGAAGCGCTGCGGCGGTACATTCGTATCGCACTTCGTGTGACGGCAGCTGGCGGACGACTCCGCCACAGACTCCGCCACGCGTTCGACAGCAGCTTGGACCGCAGCCGCCATGTTCTTGGCGCAAATTTTCATGTCCTACATGTCTGGTTCTATTCCGTGCGGTCGGCGTCGTCGGCGGCAGCTGCTTTCTTGGTCTTGGCGCCGGCGAGACTCTCGAGCGACGCGATGCCGTCCTGGATGCCCATCTCGGCGCACTGCGTCGCAAACTGCACCTTGGCATCGCGCGGAAGGCCCACGAGCTGCAGCAAGGACGCGTCCCATTGGTCCGCCGCCACGGCGCTTTGGAGTCGATTGAAGAACTGGACAACATGCATCAACTGCGTCGTACTGAGGTGGTTGGTGAGGTCCTGCGCCTTCTTTCCAAGCCGCGGGTGGCCATGCATGTGGTCGGCCCAGAACAGCGCATCGTGAAGCCGGCGCACCTCGGTGGCGTCCAAAACTGCCGCATCAAAGCTGCCTCGGCGGTCGCCCGCGCCGCGGTCCGTCTTGCGTAAAAGCGCAGTGAGCTTCGTCTTGGCGGCCAAGACCTGGTCGCGCATCTCGGCCTTGGCCGTTGCTTCCATCGTGTCCAGCGCCGCGAGCGTCCGCGGCTTGGTCGTGGTCGTGCAGTTGGAGACGACGTTCCAATACGTGTTCTCGCCCGTCACGTGGTCGCGGGACGGCAGCCACGCGTGCTCCTCAATGTCTTTGAATTCCGTGCGGTGGTGCAAAAGCTTGATCGCCAAGCTCTGCGCGTCGACCTTGGCGAGTACTTTGGCGTGGACCTTCTGGGACGCCGCGGCGAGCGACTGCGTCAATCGCTGCATCGGGCCACCACTCTCGCGGTCCATCGGGCGGAGGTCCCGAAGCGGCATGAGCACCGACTTGTGTGCATCGGCGATAAAGACGAGTACATTTCCCGAATCGACAAGCGCGTTGGTCGAGACCTAATGACGCGGCGTCATCGCGACAGGAAAAGGGGCGACATGGTGGGCGTACAATAGTGGCCTCGCACGACTTGAACTCGCCGCGCGTGATGAGCACAGGCGCGTCATACGTGCACCATGGTGGTGGGCCTAGTCCAAAGCGTGTCTTCTCGTGCAACCACGCTTATCGTAGGGTACCGTTGCTGTTGTCATACGTCGAGAGCCCGAGCGCGTCCTTGATGGCCGCTTTGCGCGCGGCAATCGCAGCAGCTTCGGCGTCTGTATCGGACGCCAGCACCTCCGCGACGCCAATGGCTTTTTTGAGCTTGTAGGCGAGGCCGCGCCGGACCACATCGTCCTTGACCCGCTGCTGGACGATCCAGTTGGTCCGTCGAATCTAGACATGGCCGAGTTGACATCATCCATGCTTGCAAATCGAGCGGCGTCTACCAGCTTCATGTACGCCTTGCCCTCGACGCGTCCCTTCATCGCTACACCAGATGCATGAGATCGCGACGACGAGACAAGCGCAGTACCGCGAAACGCTGCTTGGATCATGCGCGCTGCAATGTCTTGCTTGGCGACGTCGAGCTCGCTGAGCTGCGCCGACACGACACTGTCGACGGCGCTCGCCTGCGCGAGCCGCGCCGCGTCCGTCGCCCGCGCATCCAGAATCGCCTTGGCCGCAAACGGGAGGTACGCGACGCGCTCGATCCCGTGGTGCTGCCGCTGGCCCTTGCGATGGAAATTCGAGTAGCATTTTTTGCAAAAATAGTCGGTGCAGACCGTGCACCGCCACGCGCCGGCCTTGGCTTGGCACTCAACGCAGAGCGCGACGAGCGCCGTGAACGTGTGTGGCCGTGTGCGGTGGTAATGGGGGTAGCACGCATCGCAGTACGGCGCGCCGCCGTCCATGCACTAGTACGTTCCGAAGTCGGAGACATAACCCTACCCTCCACTACGACTACCTGGTTGCAACGGCGCGTCGCTGTCTGCGTCGTGCAGAGGCGACAGAGCTCGATCGGTAGCGTTGCATGCGACGTGAACGCGGCGCGCTTGTGGTCGCGGGCGAAGCAGTCGGCGCAGACCGCATCGTCGCACTCCTACACGTGCCATGGGTTGTTGGACCTTGGTCGTTTTTCGAGTTTTCGAGACAAGTCCCTACGAGGCAGTAGATGGTGGCTTTCTCGCGTGGCTGCGACTCGTGCTTCATGCCTGTCCAAAATATCAAGATATCAATACTACAGGTACCTCCACCAAAAGGACAAAACGTACAGTACACAATGTACTCTTCGTCGGGCGGCGGCAATAGGATCGAGACAGTGGGGGGCATGTCCCGCAGCAGCGCGGGCCGCGAATAGGTCGTCACGCCCGTGACGAGGTTCTTGTAGGATTTGGCGCCCGACTTGCCGTTGACGTACTCGACGTACGTCTCCCGGACGAGCGCATCGAATTGGAGACGGGCGCGGCGGCTGCGCCACCGGTTCTGCACCACGGTCGCCGCGCGGCCCTTTGCTTGCGGACTTGGGCGTCGCGGAATCGAACCTACACCCGCACATCCCGACGCTAAGAACCGAAAAATGCGATTTGTTTTTCGCGTACGAGGAACGCGGCGCGGCGGGCGCGCTGGAGCGCATGCCGGACCATGCTTTGGATGACATGGGCTGCCCAGTGCGCGCGCTCGAGGGCAAGGGTCGCGAGTTGCAGTCGGAACGGCTCGCCCAGCTTGGACGGCAGCACGACTTTATGCAGAAAGAGCAGATACCGCGAACTCGGCTGCAAGGTCGGATCCGGAAACCGCGCCGCGAGGAGGCTGCCCATCGCCGTGTGAAAGGCCGCAAACGGAATCGAGCGCGCCTTGCCAACTTTGACTTTGGCGAACGCCACGTCGACCGCGTGGAGCGGCAAATGCACCTTGTGCAGTGCGCCAGGCGTGTCCTTGAAGAACTTGGAAAAGCGCATGTTGTCTATATAACCATGTTGCATACGTTGCCATCGACGAAGCGGGGTAGGGTACCCATCTCGGTCGCGTCCGGCGTGTTGCCGTAGCGACACAACGCCAAAAAGAGGCTTTGCCACACGCCGTAGCACCCTGAAGCGACCCACGTCGTCTTATCGTCCAAGCGTGTCTGCAGCGGTCGTTGGACGCTCGCATTGGGCGCCGTTTTGGACGACGCAACGTACGGAAACTGGTAGCTCCACAGCAAGAGCGTGTCCTGGACGAAGCGCAGCGTCGAGGGTAGCCGCGCCGCGCCAATGGCATGCTGTTCAAGCCGCCGCTGCCGCTTCTGCACGAGACGCACGTAATCGCGTTGCTGCAAATACCTGCGAGCGATGGCCTGTATCCGTACCGCCGCCCGCCGCGTGCGTCGAAACTCGACAAGGCGTTTCCTATCATGTTCAAAACATGAGGCATTGCAGACACCTTGTCTGGAGGCGACGACTTTTGTAGCCAGTGGCGCTTGATGAGACCCGCGGCATGAACGTAGCGCTGTACATCGAGGATCGCCTGGCGCGCCTTGCGACTGCGAAAGAGCACTTGGATCCGGCGCGCATAGGCGTGGACCTTGAGCCGCCAGTAGCGCATTCGACCGAGCATGCCGCGCGCCATGCGCTGGATCGTCGTTGCCGCTACGTGCTGTCGTCGCCGATGACGCCGGCGCGTCGCTTCGTCCGACCGCACACGGAGTCGACGCACGCGGCGGCGGGTCTTGGCGCCACGGAACGCAGCCTGGAGCGTTGTTGCCGCCTTGTGCTTTTGCGCGAGCGTCGGCTCGCGGAACACGTTGGTGACGGTGTCGGTGACTTGCAGCAGCAATTTGTTGACGCCTTTGGCTTGCGACCGCTGCCGAAGGAGCTGGCGCTGGTCCTTGCGGAAATTCTTTTTGGCGAGTTTGCGCGCCTTGATGGCGTTGGCGCGCGCTTCTTTGAGGTGCTTCAAGTGGCACTGGGATCGATACCGGCGCCACGCACGTTGCAGGACGCTGGCCGCGGGTCCAATACGAAGCGCATACCGCCGACGAGAGCGATAGGCAGCGACCATGCGCCACCACGCTTGCAGCTGCACGACTGTAATGACGTTCTTGGCATGGCGTCGCCGCATGGCGGCAAATTTGGCCTTGCGCGCAAACCGGCGTCGGCGCAGTGTCCGCTGCACGAGAAGCACGGCGCCGAGAAGCCGCAATTGATACGCTTTGGTCGCGGCCACAACAGCTGCATAGTGCGCACGCAGCGCCACCGCATCCAGCTTTCGCAGTAGCGTGCGCCGCCGTCGGGCGAGCCAGCCACGGACTTGGGCCTGCACTCGAATCGCGGCCGCCGTCTCCTTTCGGTGCCGCAAAAGCTGGAGAAAGCGCGCCCAGCGCGCCGTGCGCTGGCGGTAGAACCGCTGCAGGCGGGTTGCAGCTTCGATGCGCGCACATGATCGCGCTCGGGTGCATGCAACAGCGTAGCGGCGAAGCGTGCGAGTGAGAATGCGCGCTGCAGCGTCCTTCTTCGTGAGCAGCCGCGCGAGAAGACTCGCCTCGCGCTGCCGCTGCTGCTGTAGCAACCGGTGTCGCAGCCGGCGCTCGTGGCGGGCGAGAGCTTGACGCCACGCGCATTGCACGGAGAGGGCCGCATTGTGGAAAGCGATCGCGCGACGTGCCATGGTGCGTGCGAGCCACGTTCCAAAGCCGTGGAGAAGTGCGTTGAAGCGCATGCGAACCAGCGCCGCGTGGACGCGGTCCATGGCCCGGTGGATGGGCAGCGAGGCAAATGGACCTTTCCCAAAGCCGTACAAGACGTCGAGGGGCAGCCAGCGCTGCACGCTCTGGAGCGTGGACTGGAGCGACGTTGTTGCCATCGCCACGCGGCGCTCTTGAAGAAGTGCGTCGGCCACGTGCGTCTCGTGCTCCTCGTGGAGGTGGGTCAAGTGCTTCTTTTCAACATCCCGGTGCCACGCGAGCCACGTGGCCAGGGTGCTGTCCGAGACATCGCGGTCGTCGATTTGCATTTGAATGGCTTCCGAGGCTTCCTTGTCGTGCGACCGCGTCGGTGTCGGTGGTATCTGCAACGTGGACTGGTGCGTCATAATGACCTCGCGTCGATGGCACAGCAGCGCAACGTTGATGTCTTCGAGTGCCATGCGCCGACGCTCTACGGCGTCCATCGCCAGCGCCGGCGCACCTCGTTGGCGGCGTCCACCCAGCAATGGCTTGGTGGGACTCGTGCCCCGCACCAGATTGCCGTACACGTTCTGTCGGTGGCTGAGCCGCGCCAAGGAGGTGACGTGGCGCGCGTGGATGGCCTCGTCCGCGAACGCCTCGAGCTGGTTGACCGCAGCGACGTCGGCGTCCCGCGGCTTGGGCAAGCGCGCGACCCACTGCCGCGTTCGGGGCGTCAGCACACGCAAGATGGGCAGCGAGACACGACCCGTCTCTTCAGGTTGTACGACGCTGCTGCGCCGCCGAAGACTGGTGCTGCTACTGCCGCGGCGCAGCGGTGACGTTTCGATAGTAGCCGCCTGCTGGAGAAGGTCCGCGACCATGTCGGGCTGGTGCAAGTAAGCGTTAAGTGACGGACAATGCGCATGGCTCGACACGTCGCGCGGGCGCTTCTTGCTCCGCTTCGGCGCGTCGAGGCGCGCGTGGGCACGCTGCAGCACTTGGCGCCACTGCGTCGGGTTGTACACTTCGCACTTTTCAATGTCCAGCGCGAGCTTGGTGTACGCGCCGAGGCTGGCGTCGTTCTTACGCTGCGCCATCGTATCAACAGACCGATGCGAAACCACGACGCGCCGTTTCGGTTCCGTTGCTCGAGCAGATTGTCGACTACTAGTCCAAACATGACATCTTGTCTCGTTCTGCCAGAGATGTTATAGAGATGCGAGTCCCATCAAGTGAGCCGCCGGCCGACGAGCCAAATACCATGAAGAGTACCGAGTGTAAAGCGGAGGAAAGCAGAAGTAGTTGAATGTTAAGCTCGACAAAGAATATACACTAGCTCAAATGTAAAAGATAAAAGGGTCCCGGTCGTGCCTCATACTGACGTGCAAATCATGGGGTATCCAGCATTGCATTCGGATGTGCGAGGTTTGATCATTGGCACGACCATGGGACTTACGAAGAAGAGGGACGCGCCGGCGGCGTGGTGTACCAAAGCGTCATGTATTCACAGGAGGTTAGCAAACCATGACAAGCGCCAAGAGCTGAGGCCTCTTGTAGACATTTACAAGGGGATGAAGCGGTTCTGGTGCATGGCGTTGATACCGGGGCGACCGTGGGCGACGGGCTTGTACGTGATCGAGAGTTCACCAAGGTAGTGGCCGACCATCTCGGGCTAGACATGGAAAAGTGAGCGCCTGCCCGGGTCGCGGGATATATCAGAAAAGCTCTCTTGGGTCGCCCCGTACACAGAACGGTCACAAAGGGAGGAGAGTCGAGGCGAGTGACAACACGTTGCCACTGCCTGCTCTTCGGGTTCAAAGGCCCTCCTCCCCCGAGAGCTGTGATATATGTTCTGGAACACACCTTGATTTCGACACCGTTGAACGACTTGCCGTTGTAGATACCGATGACCGAGCCGATCATCTCGGGGACGACGATCATGTTACGGAGGTGCGTCTTGATACCACGCGGGCGCTCAAGGGGCTTGGCCTCCTGCTTGGCCTTGCGCAGGCGCTTGATGAGCGCCATCGGCTTGCGCTTAAGACCACGCGAGAAGCGGCGGCGGGCGCGCGCGTTCACGAGGTCCATGAGCTCTTCGTGGTTGAGGTCGAGGAGCTTGTCAAGGTCCACGCCACGGTACGTGAACTTCTTGAAGGCGCGCTTCTTGCGGGCCGCAGCGATTTCGATCAGATCATGTTCGTCAGCCTACATGCCCCTTGGTAAGCCCTTCTTGTGGCCATAAGACGCCGCTAAGCACGCACCATGGTGTTCGTTTGGTACACTTTGGAAAGTGAAAGCTCATGAGCGATGGCCGTCGCCGTTGATTGGCCGAAACGACTGGTTCCGAGAACCTCCTGTCTCAAGCACCATACATTCCGTAAGTGCGGAATCTCCTCGTAAGTGCGCTTTAAATCGCTCAATTTAATGTGCCATACACATCGTAAGGTATACAATACGAAATAGGCCACTTTGCCATTTGGTTGGAGTTGACGCTTTGTCAGGCCGACTAACTAACAAGTCGAATTCATTAACAAAAAGGCGTGTGTCTCCCCAAGGTTAAACGACTACGTCAAGATGGGCATCTCTATGGAACGCAAGGGCGAATACTTCATCAAGCTCGAGGGCTTGCTCGATGAGTACACCAAGATCTTCCTCGTGACGGTCGACAACGTCGGCTCGAACCAGATCCAGCAGATCCGTATCGCGCTCCGCGGCACGGGCGAGGTGCTCATGGGCAAGAACACGATGATCCGCAAGGTCTTCGCCAACTACCTCAAGAAGAACCCGGGCCACCCGCTCGAGCAGCTCATCCCGCTCCTCCGCGGCAACGTCGGCTTTGTCTTCACCAACTCGGACCTCGGCGAGGTGCGCAAGGTGCTCGACGACAACAAGGTCCCGGCCCCGGCCCGTATCGGCGCCGTCGCCCCCGTCGATGTGTGGTGCCCGGCTGGTCCCACCGGCTGCGACCCCGGCCAGACCTCGTTCTTCCAGGCCCTCCAGATCGGTACCAAGATCCAGAAGGGTCAGATTGAAATCGTCTCGGACGTGCTCCTCACCAAGAAGGGCGAGAAGGTCGGTAACTCGGAGGCTGCGCTCCTCCAGAAGCTCAACATCCGCCCGTTCTCGTACGGTATGTCGATCGTGACGGTCTACGACAACGGCTCGATGTTCGACCCCGCTGTCCTCGACCTTACGGAGGACGACCTCGTCAACAAGTTCGTCGCCGGTCTCCGCAACGTCGCCGCCGTCTCGCTTGCGCTTGGCTTCCCCACGCTCGCCTCGATCCCGCACTCGATCGCCAACGCCTTCAAGTCGCTCGTCGCCGTCGCTGTCGAGTGCGAGTCGTTCTCGTTCAAGAAGGCCGACCCGTTCAAGGCCTTCCTTGCCGACCCGTCGGCCTTTGCCGCTGCCGCCCCGGCTGCCGGTGGTGCCGCCCCGGCGGCCGCCGCTGCCGTCGAGGACAAGAAGGCTGAGTCGGAGGAGGATGTCACGGCCGCTGGCATGTTCGGCGGTGGCTCGGACTACTAAACGAGTACTAGTCGTTTCCACGCACACCTTGGGATGCGGGAAGCAATAAGATCTACCTAAGAACGCGTTGCCTCTCGTCACTTGCATTTGTCGTCAACCTCTTCTCAATCTACGAGGAGCAAGCAGTATCGTATGCAGTGTGTACGCCCTTGTGGGGCTCCAGAGATAGCTTCAACGTGACGTAGCCCTACCCCGACTGACATGTGAGTGGAGCATCCTAGAAAAATGCTCGCTGCGAAAATCAGTGCTGTGAAAGAGTAGGCTAGCGTTGTATTACCACGTCTTGGCGTTGGTCGGCGTGGTCTTTGGTCGGTAGTGTGCGTTGTCGAGGTTGTTGATCCGGCGCCTAGATCCAGTAGCCGCGTCGTCGCGGCAGACGACAAGAGGTCCAACGAAGTATACATGTACACACAAGAAGGCCACCGCCGTGCCAAGGCGGCCATGATCTATGACACATTCGTCGCACTGGCACACCGAGACATTTGTAGTGACGACATCCAATGGACGAACCTCCACATCCAACACGTCCCTGCACGATGCGAGTGCGGGACGCATTTGCGGAGCGTTGTTCACTCAGTACGGGCAACGGCGAAACGACAGCGTGGTTACAGAAAGGCCACGAGCATGAGCCTCAAGGACGCCGCCGAGCGCGTCAGTGCGATCGAGCAAGCATTCCACGACGACGCGAATGCGTTAAGCGCGTCGGACGCTGCGATGCGCTTGACGGTGCTTGCGGCAGTGGGGCGCCACGGCGACGCCTTCACCGAAGCGGCCCAAGGTGGCCGCGCCGCCGAAGTCGAGCGGTACCTCGACCAAGGCCTCGACGTCAACATCAAGCACTCGGTAGACGACGCCACTGGCATCTGTCTTTCTAATGATGATGATGTTGCGACGATAGGAGCTCGGATGGACCGCGCTGCACATGGCCGCCGCCAACGGCCACGAAGACATTGTGCGTCTGTTGCTCCGGCATGGCGCCGACCACTCCAAGATGTCGTCGGTACTTGGATCCTGGACGCGCGCACTGGGTTCTTACCCACTGGAATGACTGTAGAAGAAGGAAAAGACACCACTCGAGCTCGCGGTTCAGCGCGGCCATAGCTCGATCGCCAACCTCCTTCGCAGTACGCTTTGCATTGTGTTGAATGTTGCCTCCCGCGACGGGTCATCATCGTATAGAGGGCTCGTTGGCTGGCAGTAGTACGGCGTCGCACGAAGAGTTTGTCGAGGCAGCCCGGCGTGGCCAAACGGACGTGCTTCGGCGACTGCTTGGGGACGGTGTCCACGTCCATGTGACCAATGTACAGGATATTGTCATTTCTTCTCCGAAAACGACTATCAAGTAGCGCTACGGCGTCTCGGCGCTCATGTTCGCTGCCGACCAAGGGCACGTCGAGGCGACGCGTCTCCTGCTGCACCACGGCGCCGACCCCAAAAGCCTCACGGTACCCTTCTACCTCATGACGGCGGCTACGAACGGGGTGGGCATGGCTAGAAGTTTGGGCAGCCGCTGTTTCTATCCGTGGTTGATCATGGTCATACCAAGATCGCCCAGCTCTTCCTCGACTACGGCGCGCCCGTCCAGATGGCGACGGTGCGAATGGAAAGCGAGGCAGTCATGGGCGAGGGATACTTTATATAGGACGATCTTGTGACGGGATTGCACATTGCGGCCGAGCGCGGGCACGCCGACCTGTGCCAGCTCCTTTTGCGCTACAACGCCGACAAGAGCGCGCGCACGGCGAGCGGCGACACGCCGTACCGCGTCGCGTACCGCAGCGAGATGCTGACGAGTCAAACCAGTGGCGGCGAGACCTTGCAAGTTTTACTGTCCTAAGTCGCAGTGTCTCGTACCGAACCTCTGGCCTCGACACAGATATAAGGGCACCTTGCCGTCGTAAAGGGCCACGACGACACTTGTTCGATACAAGACGTTTCTTCGAGCGAGTTGGCGGTCCCTGCTTGACATTATTGGTGGCATTACATCAAGGCCGCACACCAACGACGCGGTGTTCTGCTGGAATTCCCGTCCGCATCATCCAAGAAGAGTGCGATGGCCGTGCGAGGATAGTACGCCTGACGTTGCCGCCGTCGGGCGTTGACACCACCAACATCTCACCTGCCTGCAACCCACTCGAAAACCTTCGATGGGAACGCCAACGCTTGGCCGTGCTACCGTATTCTCTGCCAACCGACGACGACAGTGGTGCTGTAGTCTACTATGGTCGACATGCTATCGACGACGTCGGAAGCAGCTTGCCGCAGCGGGTACGTTGCATGCATACACAACAGCACGGTCCTTTTTTGCTGCTGTACATCGAGTGCAGCATGCGCGACGCGAGCTTCGTCGTCCGACTGCATCTGCGAAGGCGACTCTGCGCAGACAAGCGAGAGCTTCCTGCGGTTCTTGACACCGCTTGCCGTCGTGCTTGGTGTGTTTCTCTTGCATGTCCTCTGGCAACGCGTCGTCATTCGCTTGCCTGCGTACCAGCACGCACATCGCCACAAGAAGGTGCATAGCATCGATGCATCCATTCTTGTCCTGCCCAGCTTTGTGCCCGTGGACGAGCCAGTGGGGCTGCCTCCGCGGCTTGCGGCGCTATACGCTCGCGGGATCGACAACGCAATTGTCTCCACCGATGCGATCGACGTGACGCTGCCATCGCTTCGGTGGTCGTCGGCGCCAACACTGACGACAAATTTAAGTCCACCGTGACTCGCCCAAGAACACAAATGTACATCTTGTCTTGTGTATTCTTCTTCTATCAACGCATGTCGTCGTCGTCGTCGTTGGGTCGATCGTGCGTCTCACTCCCACGGGTACGAGGCCGGCGCGGCCGGCGCGTCGTCCGGTGGCAACGTCGGCGTCGCGTCGGGCTGCAGTGCGGCCATCGTCGACGCCGCATGCAGCTGCATTTCGTGCACGAGCTTGTCTTCCATGACCATGGACACGTGCCCGAGGCTCTCGATGAGCGACGGCGCCTTCTCGGCCGCAAAGGCCCGCAGATCCTCGAGCAGCTCGTACGCCAACGCCATGGTGAGCTTGGACTTTGGTGGCGGCGGCGGCTTTTTTTGCTCCAGAAGACTCCACTCTTCAGTAAACATGAGTTGCGTCGGGAGGTGGTCGTCCACTGCGATGAACTCGAGCGGGCCGAGGACGAGCGACGGCTCGACGATCGGGACGATGACGGCGTAGTACAAGGCCAGGAGCGCGGCGAGGTCGTCCGAGGGGCCGATTGGGTGCCGCGCAAAGCTGGCCGCGCACGTCGAGGGCGCGACACTCGCCCAGGCGTCGGCGACCCACGTTAGCACGCGGGGCCCATCAACCGATGCGGCGACTTGGAGCTTGCGCTGGGCGAGGACGTGCCGGAGCAGTCGCACGCGGTACGTGTCCTTGAACGTTTGAAGGATGCCATGCAAAAGCGGGCAGCCGCCTTGGGGGCCAAAGGCGGTTGACGGACAAACGCGCACTGTGACGTGCGCGAGGTCGACGTCCGACGAGTGGCACGGCGTACTCGGCAAGAGCAGCAGAATCTTGCGGTTGCAAACCTTCATGTCGGCGTCGAGCGAGAGAAGCCAGTCGTGGAAGATGTCGGCCGTCATCCAGGCTTGCGGCGCCTTCTTCATCCCGAGCGCCTCGAGCGACGCGTCGACCTTGACTTCGCTGCCAACGACGAGCGGCGGAATCTTGTGCGACCCCGTCGCGTTGCAGCACAAGAGGAGAGTGATGACGTCGGCGTCCTCTTGGAGTGAGAGCGAGTGGTCTTTGAGGTCCCGAAGCAGCCGACCGGCCGTGTCGGGCAGCGTCTGATAGAGCAGCTGCGTCTCCGAGCCCGAGAAGATGTCGTCCGGTGCATAGCGTTTCAGGAGATCTGTCATGCGCTCCGAGGCGTACCAATCGGCCCACTCTTCGAGGGAGGGGTCGGGCAGGTCCATCGCCATTGGCAGTGGCGGCGCGCTCGCGGCGCGGCGCTGCTTCCGAAACGAGATGACGTGGCGCTTGCAAAACGTCTCGAGCCAACCGTTGGAGGCCTTGAACGACTGCGCTTGCGGCACGCGCTTGGCGAGCTCGAGCGCTTTTCTTGGACCATAATGCCCGAGACCGGGCCTTTCTGCGCCTTGTACCAGTCCCAGACCATGTTGTTGACGACTTCGTGGCGCGCCTTGCGCTTGGGTGCATGCGACGGCGGCGCCTCGGCCTCAAACAAGGTCTTGGCCTTCTTCTTCAAGATGTTGTTGACCGTGCCGAGACCAATGTCAAAGTCGCGGGCGAGATGGCGCTGGCTCACGCCAGAGTCGGCCCGCTGAATGAGATCGATCTTCTCGACCAGCGACGTCTGGCGCCGCCGTCGCTTGCGCTTGGGGAAGAGCGCGATCGCGTCGTCGGCGCTCGCACTCGACGGCGTGGCCTCGGCCACGAACGGCTCGTCGCCCGCCAGCAACGACGCCATGCCACGCGTATCCGGATTCGGTCACAATGTCCGGATACAAGAGTCCCATCGCACACTATTTACGATCCGTAGGTTACCAACCGGACACGGTCGGCCGCGCCGGTGTGCAACGCACTGGATTCACGCGTAGTACTAGTACCGTAGCAGCGTGATGGCGTTTGAGTGGTGCGATGGATTTTGAGCATGTGCCTTTACGTGCAGCGCGACGACGTTGCCAATACGATCTGGTTTCACACTATTTCATGGACCTGCGGACCATGTGACGATGTTGAAGCTTGATGTTGAAGCAGCACCACCCAACCTGGCCCGCCCAGGCGGCCACGATGGATGGCTTCGACACGCTTCACTCAGCATCACCTTCGGCGAGCATCGCCGATGCGGTGCGCATGGCTCGCAGCTTATGGTGGCGGCGCTGTGTAGCACGATGGAGTTGCGCGATGGAGTTTCACGATGGAGCTGGGCTGCTTCAAGCACAAGGGCCACCTGCGGACGCACGAGGATCGACGTTGAAGTTGGCCATCCCTATCAAGCACATTCCTCGAGTTCTTCAGTTGAGTTCTTCATTGACACAGCGACGGGCAGCGGCTAAGGAAATGGGCCACTGCGAGTGTAGGCAGCAGAACCCCTCGTGATGGCAACCAGGTAGCTTCGCGACGGGCCATGGCGGCGTGGCGCCGACGGCCAATCGTGGCGCTTAACGTCCATTTGCACCCGGCGCCTGCCGTCCACCAATGGCATCGCACATGTCGCACCTCTTGGATGTGGCGAGCTCAAAAATCAAGCAAACTCAATTTCCTGTCGTGGCCCCACAAAATCCACGCGGTGTTGACGCGACATCATCGGTTTCCATGGCGTTTGAGTTTCATGATTACAAATTTGAGTCGTCAGCTCCTAAACGCTGTATAAATGTCGGTTTTGACTCTCAACGCGGCGCTGATTGGCGGACGCGTTGAGTTTTGTCAAAAGGTGTCCAAAGGCGACGTGGGGTTGCGACACACGACGCCACTTCATTTCCTTTCGTGATCATGCTCGCCAAAGCCGCCTCGACCGCCACCCGCGGGTGTACGTTCCGCGTCATCTTCCGCCACGCTCGAAGGAGCATGGAGGCTAGGAACCGAGGTTGACGCTGTATATGCACGTATAGTCTCCTCGCAAGCCAAGAAGATCGCCGTCGCCAACCCCGTCGTCGACCTCGACGGTGATGAGATGACGCGTGTGATCTGGGACCAGATCAAGTCCAAGTTTGTCCACCCGTACCTCGACCTGAACATCGAGTACTTTGACTTGGGCCTCCCGAACCGCGATGCGACCAACGACCAGGTCACGATCGACGCCGCCCACGCCATCAAGGAGTTCAACGTCGGTATCAAGTGCGCGACGATCACGCCCGATGAGGAGCGCGTCCAGGGTACGCGCTACATGAGGTGGCACCATGGCTCATGCAGCATGCTTTGTATCAGAGTTCAAGCTCAAGCAGATGTGGAAGTCGCCCAACGGCACGATCCGCAACATCTTGAACGGTACGGTCTTCCGCGAGCCGATCGTCATCTCGAACGTGCCCCGCCTCGTGCCCGGCTGGAAGAAGCCGATCGTTGTCGGCCGCCACGCCTTTGGTGACCAGTACAAGTGCACGGACTTTGTCGCGAACGGCCCTGGCAAGTTTGAGATGAGCTTCACGCCGGCCGATGGCAGCGCCAAGCAGTCGTGGGAGGTCTATGACTTCAAGGGCGCCGGTGTCGGCATGGGCATGTACAACACGGAGGACTCGATCTACGCGTTCGCCCACTCGTGCTTGTCGTTTGCGCTCACGAAGAAGCAGGACTTGTACCTCTCGACCAAGAACACGATCTTGAAGAAGTACGATGGCCGCTTCAAGGACATCTTTGAGGAAGTCTACCAGGCCGAGTACAAGGCCAAGTACGATGCGGCTGGCATCAGCTACACGCACCGCCTCATCGACGACATGGTCGCCCAGGCGCTCAAGTCGGACGGCGGCTTTGTCTGGGCCTGCAAGAACTACGATGGTGATGTCCAGTCGGACATTGTCGCCCAGGGCTATGGCTCGCTCGGCCTCATGACGTCGGTGCTCCTCGCGCCTGATGGCAAGACGGTCGAAGCCGAGGCCGCCCATGGCACGGTCACGCGCCACTGGCGCGAGTACCAGAAGGGCAAGGCCACGTCGACGAACCCGATCGCGTCCATGTACGCCTGGACGCGCGGTCTCGCGCACCGTGGCAAGCTCGATGGCAACAACGAGCTCATCACGTTCTGCAACGACTGGGAGTCGGCGGTCATCGAGACGGTCGAGAAGGGCTTTATGACCAAGGATCTCGCCATCTGCGTCCACGGCACGTCGAACGTGACGCCCGACCAGTACCTCACGACCGAGCCCTTCATGGACGAAGTCAAGAAGACGTTGGATGCCAACCGTGCCCGCAAGTAAATTTACCTCACTATAATCGACAAGCAATCGAAGCCCTGTTGTCCCATCATCATGATCATTCCTCTTTCCGCGATCGTCGTGCGCCCTCGAGCGGGCACTGCGAGTGAGACCGACGCGGATGCGACGACGAGGGGCCGAATCACGGTTGCAAACAATACGACGAGGCTGCCATTTCCCCGCACCACGACTACCCGACGCTGCTTGCGGTCATGCAGATATCAACCGAAGAACTTGGCTTGGCTCTAGAGCAGTCCATGAGAGCAGTCAGTACTGGGTACCTCGAGCTACGTGGCACACTCAGCTAGCCACGTCGTTCTACATGTACGTACGTACCCTTTACTCGTCGGCAGCTTCAACAGTCGTAGGCTTCAACCGTCGTAGGCTACGACGGTTGAAGCTGCCGATAGAATTCCCGGCTCGTGGTGTACATGACCCCTTCTTGCCCTTCAGCACCACATGACCATCTTCTTGGCGACCGACACACTGTGGCCCAACTTGTCACCCACCTCTGGCCGCAGTACCTTCACGGTATTGCCTATACCGACCGGGCAATCCATAACAGAGCATCGACAGTTTGCATTCAGTAGCCGTGTTTCATACCACACCTGCGCACATATTGTCGTAGCACCAATGCAGATGAGCGAGGTGAGCCACGCCTTGTTGCTACCTTTGTACAGTAACAAAAGGCAATCCGAGCCCGTGCGATGGAGAAACATCGACCATGTCCACATCCCTTCCCATGTAAAACCTTGTGAGCTCATTTACGAGATTCGCGGGTCGAGCGCCGTAGTCCAGGTCCAAGGATGGCTAACGTGGCCGTCCTTGGACCAGGTCGCAGGGCGATGCCGCAAGGTTACTGCGGCCGATTCGGCTGCTCGCCTCGGCCCGAGGTGTCATCTTATGGTTTGTGGCTAGGTGTAGAGTGATATAGGTGAAGGCCAGCAGCGCATCTCTGGCCCTCCACGACAGCCGTGGCTGCTGGCGCCAAGTTGGCCCGTTGGACCAATTTGGCGCCAGCAAATAACCGGTCAGCAACCAACCGACCTCGTCGACTTTCCGCCAATCACGGACGCTCACGTCGGCCCATATCTTGAGCGGATGGAACACGACCTGCCGCTCGTGAGCGTGACCCGCGCGGCCAAGCTGGCGCTGCCGACCAAGGCCGGGCTTACGAAGGAAGGGAAGGAGCTGCTGCAGACGGCCGCTGGCATCTTCGTGCTCTACCTCACGGCGGCGTAGGACGACGCCATATCGAATCTCGCTCATGCTCCGATGTACTAGCGCCGACGACGAGTGCAAGACCAAGGGCCGCCAGACCATCTCGGGCAACGACGTCTTCAAGGCGCTCCAGGACGTCGACTTTGGCCAGCTGGTGGCGCCGACCGCTGACTTTCTCCAGCGCGCCAAGGCGACGGCCAAGAAGCCCAAGGCGACGGCGGCCAAGGACGACACCCAGGAGCATGACGATAATAATGGTGAAGATGACGAAGAAGAAACCAAGGAGATGGACGTTGGCGACGAGGAAGAGTCAAAGCAAGACGCAGCATAAACCGTCCTTCATATTACCAACATGCAGCATCTACTCGGTCATCATGTCGACGTCGTCGTCACCCTCGGTGGCGTCCCGCATGACCACGACTTGGCTGCCCTTGACCTTGCGCACCTCTGCCACATTGCATCCATGAGTCGTTCGTGATACAAGAAGATGAATACATATATGGATACGAACGCACCTCCGTGGGCAATGACGGCCGTGCACGACGACGAGACTGCGTCCATGGCCTTACCGTACGGCAGGCCGAGGAGCATGCCAATGTTGATCACGTCGTAGGGCGACCGCAGGAGCATGTCCCGCGCCGCGCCGCTGCCGAAGATGATGTGGCGGCCGCGCGTGATGCGGACGAGGCTGCTGGCGTTGGCGAAGAAGTACCGCCGGCCGCTCGAATCTAGTTGCACCCGTCGGCACATCGCGTCATTGGATGATCGCACTATGGACGTACCGCCCAGCGCCGCCGTGTACTTGAGCTCGAAGTAGACGCCCCGTGCAATGGCCGCGTCGACCTATCGAACATCCGATTTGCATGGGCTGCGGGAATATTGGGTGTGTTGTACCAAGGGCTTGCGGAGCTGGAACGGCAGCCGCGACGAGACGTCGAGCGCAATGACATCGACGTCGCCTTGCTCGCAAAAGACTGGAAGAGGCGCTGCGACGAGGGCTCGACGGCGACAATGTCGTAGGCGCGGATCACCGGGTTGCTGTTCTAGGGTGCCACGACGCATGATGAGCACAACTCACAGGAGGATCATCGCCTACGATGGCATGCGCCGCGTTCATGTCGTCGCACTGCAACGTGATGCGCTTGAGCTGGCGGACGGCCGGCGGCGGGCTCTCGCTGCCAATGCGAAGACCATGCAGCTGCGTTTTGGTCTTCCGGCCATTCTCGAGGCTCCATGGCGCCAGTGACTCGGGCGCGCGCGGAGGCTTGGTTCCGTCGTTCTCGACGTTGAGCGCCATGCAGCCGTATCCTACTGCGCGACGAGCATGAGCAGCAGCATGGCATCGCATGGGCGTCGCCTACATCGGGCCATCTCGAGGAGGAAGAAGCTCTGCTGCGCGCCAGCCGCGCCGTCCGCGGGCACGTTGAGATCGCAGTACATGTTGGATTGGGAATGGTGGGCACGTCGCGCGTAGATGCGCGCGAACTTGAGACGCAAGCCAATCATCGCCGAGATCACACTATTTCACTACCGTCGTTTTGGGTTTCCGCGCGAAACGGCGGGACACGACGCTTCCGTTCGAGTCTTCTCTCGCGAGCTTTATAGTATACAAACGACGTCGGACCTTAAATCAGAGGACAGATTATTGTCTGTGATAGCACCGACGCATTTGTGTGTCGAACCAGTCAAGCCTTTTGAGCCTAGGTTGTAGCGAAATGCCGACTGCCCCTGCGCTCACCCCACATGACTGCGATGATCTTCAACCACGATTGAATGAATGACTATTGGCCGAGTCTATAGGGCAGCAGTCAACTTTGGAGTACGCAGGTAGTAATATTGTCAAGGACATGGAAGCCTTATGGTCTTGGTAGCAATCTGGTTATCATGCGCGCCGACCTCGTGCGAGTACGGCTGAAGGAGTGAGACGGCGCGCACATCGCCAGCGTATCCTCACCACGAGTCCTCGCTTGTATCATTGCGTCACCAAGAGAAAGAGAGAACAACCCGCGTACGAAGCGTTTTTGACTTCAACGTACACTATTCCCGTGCGCAAGCGGACGTTATCCGGATGCGCATCGGTTGCACGTCGAAACGGCGTAGCATTCCCGATGGCATCAACGCGGGCGCTGCGGTCGGCCGAGAGCAAGGCCGCGCTCGAGCCCGAGTCCTCCGAGTCCGAGTGCAACAACGGCGACGGCGACGGCGACGTCGTCGACCAGCCCACGTCCGACCGCATGCACCTTCTCTCGGCGCTGCCCGATCTGGACGAGCTCTGCAGCGCCAACGGCCTCTCGCGCAAGCAGTTTGGCAAGCGCGCGCACCTCGTGCAGTCGCTCGAGATGTTTCTCGGCTTTTGGCCGCGCATGGATACTGTCAAGTACTTTACCAATTTGCGGGACCTCTCGATCGTCAAGCACCCAACGATATCGGTGCTCGAAGGCCTCGAGTCGTGCCCGCAGCTCGAGTCCCTTCGGATCGTCGAGTGCAGCCTTGGGCGCATTGAAGGCCTCTCACAGTGCACGCGCTTGACGTACCTCAACCTGAGCTCGAATGCGCTCGTTTGCATCGACGGCCTTTCGCCGCTCACCCACCTCGAAACGCTCTGGCTCAACGACAACCGCATCGAGCGCCTCAGTGGGCTCGAGCACTGCACTGCGCTGCGGGTGCTATGGGTGGCCAAGAACCATATCGCATCGCTCGAGCGGTGTCTGGATGCCAACGTGACACTGACCGAGCTCAATGTCGCGGCCAACCAGCTAAGCAGCTTCCAGGCATTGGCGCCGCTTGGGAAGCTGCCGCACCTCACGTCGCTCAGTCTGAGCGATCCGCACTTTGGCGACAACCCCGTGTGCCGGCTGTGCAACTACCAGACGTACCTTCTCTGCCAACTGCCGCACCTCGCGTACCTCGACACGCTCGAATTGAGTCCGCTCAACAAGCAGATCGCCGACTCGACGCTCATGAAGAAGCGTATGTACTACAACATGCGCATCAAGACCATCAAGCGCAACATCTCCAACTGCGTGCGGCACGCACGGCAGTGCTATACCGATCACATCAACTTTGCCAACTTTAACCTGAACGCGGTCATGCGCGAGCTCTCGGATCTTGACAAGGAGATCGAAGATGCCAACATGCAAGGCGCCTCGCAGACGTTTCCCAAGTACCCGCCCGGAAGCCTCGAGGCGAAGCGGGCCCAAGTCGCTGCGTACATAGTCGCCAAGACGCAGTGCATACATAGCATGACCGAAGCGTTCGAGCACCTGCGGCACCAGCTCACAAAGCTGAGTGAAAAAACGATCGCACGCCTCCTCTTGGAGCTCAACACGGGCGGGAACATTCGCCTCGAAGATGGCTCGGACGCCGACGTGTGGTACGCGAGCTGCGTCGACTTGCTCAAGTCACGCGCCTTCTTGGCCGACCTCGCACCCCTCGGAATCCGCGACCTCAAGGTCAACCGTGTCACGCGCATCAACAACCGGTTTCTGCGCAACCGGTTTCAGGAGCGCGTCGAGACGCTTCTGTCTGGTCCGGACGAACATATCAAGGACAATGTGAGTAAGCGCGGCGTGACCATCAAGGAGAGCACCATCGATAGCGGCCCGCCATCGACGGACGTGGACACTACTACCAAGGACACCACCGACGTGGCAATCGAAAATACGCTCGAGTACCTCTTCTACATGCAACCGCCGATCCTCGATCGTGTCGATGGCGTCAAGGAGCAGTACCATGTGATCGAACACGGCTTCCGCGCTGCCGACGAGTATGCCGTGCTCGGACCGCACTGCGCGCACGGCATGAAGCTCACCAACTCACTTGCGCTTCTTGATGTCCCTCGCATTGCAACTGCGCTGCATCGTGGCGCCGAGCCCGACGCCGATGTCGCGAGCTATATGCATTTCGGCTGGCAGTCGCTCGAGCTCACAAGAGGCATGCGCAGTACGCAGCGCAAGCTGCTCTCGGGCGAGTACAAGCTACCGGACGGCGTCCTCGTCATCGCCAAAGCCTTTGTGGGCCACACGCGGATCGTCGAGCCAAGCGCGTCGTTCCCGCTGCAAAAGCCCGACGACGTTCAGTGCCTCCAAGCCATCAAACCGACCGACCCAAAGCAGCGTATGTACTTTTTACTCGACGCGGCGCTTGCGTTGCCCGAGTACATCGTCGAGTACGAGTACACGCCACTGGACACGGCGTCGCACCTCCTCGCGGGCTTGGTCCCGTCCGTCGCACCCGCGGTCGTCGCCAGCCGTCCGCTGGGCCCGGACGACTACAAGCAGTATGGCATCACATCGGACGAAGCGATTGTCGACATGGGCGCGGCGATCGCGCTCACCGAAGCCTTCAAGCTCAAGTACCAACTCGTGTTCTCCGAGCCGCTTCTCGAGCAGCATTTGCTCGAAGAAGCCGCCAAGAACCTCATTCAAATGGACCCAACGATTGCGCGGCGACAGGCCATTGGTGGCATCGCCAATATGCTCATTTCGCCGTCGACTATCGAGTCGTTGGCCCATGGTGTCGCGCCGCACGACATGGTGCACTTGAACCTCACGAGCTCGGGGCTCAAGTCGCTCGCCGGACTCGGAGGGTGCGGCCTCGTCAAGCTCGAGCGCCTCGTGCTCAGCTTCAACGAGATTCGGACGATCGAGGGGCTCGAGGGCTTGACGTCGCTGTCCACATTGGATCTGGGCTACAACATTTTGCGCTCGATCGACAACATCCATGGGCTTCTTGGACTGCAGACGCTCCTGCTCAACAACAACTTGCTCTACCGTTTTGAGGATGTGAGTACGCTCAGCCACGTGCCGAGTTTGCATACATTGGACCTGCGCAACAACGCCATCTGTGAAACCAAGCGGTACCGAAAGAACGTGCTCCAGCGACTCCCCAAGCTGCAGCGTCTCGACATGGCGCCGGTGGTCGCGAGTGAGCTCTCGACATCGCTCGCCGTGCGTCTCTCGCCGCATAAGATCTGGGCGTGCGCGCGCGGGAGCCGGCACGATCGCGGTGAGTCGAGCTTGGCACGATTCCGCAGCAAGCCGCTAGGCCAAGATAGCGACGGAGCGCTCCGGGCCGTCGAAAACGACGACGATGAGAGCTGGTGGGCCACGGTGGAGGAGCTGCACGTGGACCACGAGTCTCTCTCGATGCTCAGCCATTTAGAGAAACTCACATCGCTCCGTGTTGCGTCCTTCTCGGACAACGATCTGAGCTTTATCGATGGCCTTAGTCAGTGCACCAACTTGGAAGAGCTGGCGCTCGTACGGCCTTTTGAATCTGAAAAGATATTTTATGTTTGTGTCTAGGACAACAACCAGATTATGACGATTGAAAACTTGGATACGCTCGTGCACCTCAAGGTGCTCGACCTCGGCAAGAACAAGCTCATGGGCATGAAGAACCTTGACACGCTCGTGAATCTCAAGCAGGTCCACTTGGCATGTTGATATCGTATCGAGTTGATACGTTTGTTGACTAGTTGTCGCTCGAAGACAACCATATTACGTCGCTCCAAGGCCTCTCACACCTCGTCAAGCTCACGGAGCTCTACATTGGCAACAACAACATTGCCAACATCAAGGAAATCCACGTAGGACACCTCGAAAACGATGGGATTTGGACGCATTTTTCGTCTTTTGTAGCACCTCAAATCGCTGCCCAAGCTCATCATTGTGGACTTTTCTGGCAACGGATTCTGCGCCGACGCCGAGTACACGCTGTATACGATCTATAACCTTCGGCGCATCAAGGTGCTGGACGGCGTGAGCATCTCGAGCGACCTCCAGTTTGAAGCCAAGCAAAAGTACAGCGGCAAGCTCACGACCGACTTTCTCATCGAGAAAATTGGCCACGCGTTCAATCGAATCCATGAAATGGAGCTGTCGTCGTGCCGGATCCGCGAAATCGGGTCGCTCCACGGGTATTTTACTCTTCATTTTGGTAGAATTGTGTGGATGCAACATGCGCGTAGGGACGTCTTTGTGAACCTCAAGAGCCTCAACCTTGAAAACAACCTGATTACTGATATCTCGGGCATTGAGAAGCTGCCCAAGCTCCGCGGCCTCAACCTATCGAGCAATCGGATCGAGCGCCTCTCCCATGCAGGCCCGCACACGGGTGTCTTGGCGTGTCCGAAGCTCGAGAACCTCCAACTCGGGCACAACCTCATCACAGACATGTCGCAACTGGGTCTGCACCACCTCCAAGAACTCAAAGTGCGCGCACCTACCACGTTTAGAGCAATGCCAACGGAATGGTAGATTCTCAACCTCGAAGGCAATGACATTACGCAAATCGCGGGCCTCACCCACGCCCACGAGCTTCGGGAGCTCATTCTGAGCAAGAACAAGATCCGGCAGTTTGAAGCGGCGACAACCAACGTGCTCACAAGCCTTGTCGTCCTGAAGATGGACGACAACAGCCTCCGATCGCTCGTGTACTTTTACCCGCTCAGCCGACTGCAGGTAAGCATTGTACCTCCCTTTGGCAAGGCCAACGACTCGTGGTTAGGTGCTCGACTTGTCCAACAACCGGTTACCCGACCTCGAAGAGGTCGAGCGTCTCCAGCCACTCATTCCGATCGTGCAAGAGCTCTGGGTCGCCAACAACCCGCTCGCCAAGCGCCACTTGTGTCGGTCGACGATCATCTATCGCTACTCGAGCCTCAAGTGCTTGGACGGGAAAGACATCACCCTCGAAGAGCGCGAGCGCGTCGAAGTGCTCTTCATGCATGACCGCGCCATGGTCGCGCCGTCGCTCCCCCCCGCCGTCTCGGCTGCTCGTACGTCGCATGCCAGCCGTGTGCACCGACTGATGCAAACTAGTGATCAACGCCCCGCACTTTGCTACCTCGAGCAAAACATCCGTGAAGCTCACAGCCATGAGTTTCGAGTCGATCATCGGCGGCCAGCGGCGGCAGACCAGCAGCAACAACGCCGTCTTGGGGACGGTCTTGCCCCAAGTGCCCACGGACCGCAAGGTACACGACATGCCGCTGGCGTCGCCATCGACGATGACACCGCCAACGGACGCCCGGCGCCGATCCGAGGCCACGACCCTTGGTAGCAATGCAATGCAACTGGCCTGTCGACCACGCGGCCTATCACTAGGTCAACTGACGGGCTTCAACAGCTTGGGCAACCACAAGCTCATGCCGCGACCAGGTAGTCTTGACACCGTGCTGCGACCGTGTACAAAGTGTGTTGCGATGTGTAGAGGTGAGCATGACACCGCCCCCGAAAGCACAACCGTACGTCGCGCAGCCCACCGGCCATGTATATACATCACGCAACTTTGGCCGGAGCGGCGGCTCACTAAAGTAACTCAACGACCTTGTTTGTGGGCACTCGAATCGCCTCGAGGCAGAAGGCTGGGAATGGATCTGGATACGTCTTTCATCCTGCTAGGACGACGACCTCCATCGCTCGATCGAGATGGCATGCTGCTATTGCGCAGTGCTACGAAGCGAATGCAGCCATGTACTTGGAGACTGGCCTGCGCAGTATTTGGCCGTGCACAATTGTTGCGACACCGTGCAAGGCGAATGTGAAGCGCGATGGAGACTGCGATTACCGCGATGGAACTGCATGGCATCAAAGCACCCGCCTGACAGAGGCAAGAGGATCGTTATAGCACCCACATGGTAGATCGATCGATGTGTATTGATACATATCTATGGAAAGGATGGCCGAAGGAGACGCTTCTACTGATACCCGTCGGGATCGCGCGCAACTTCCCGATGGCGTTTGTGGACGATGCGTTCGAGTGTCGCTGGCACCAAAGTGACCGCGTGCAACGTCTACTGCGCCGTGAGCACGAGGTGTGGATAGAATTGGTCGAGACCAGTTGGTTGCTCGCAGCCAAAGAAGCTTCCCGAGGCGAGAGCACGCGCTGGCTCTTGACGGCACTTGGCCGCGACAGCATTGCCGACGGCTGCGGACGGCGCGGCGCCTCCTACATGGTCGTCCACGCTACCCACTGTCGTCTTTCGTTGATTGTACGCCAAGAATTGGAGGGTGGGGTAGCCGTCGAGCTTTGGTGCGCTGCAATATCGCATGCGGCTTGTCGTTCGTATTCGTCTCGCTAAAAACACCGTGGACAGAGTTGTCATCAGTTAAACAACGCAATATATGGCACCTCGTCGCATTCAAGTCATGCGGCGCGTCCAGGGCTGTCGGGAATGTATCGTGGCCAAAGGTACCGAGCACGACACCGCCTTGCCACGACGAGAGCAGCACGAGGCCGTCACTTGCCGCCGAAACGACCTCATCACTCTCTTATCTCACGTTCACGGTCCGTGCGATAAATACCATGGTCTTTGCAAAGGCGACAAACACAACGGAGGCGCCATGCGCCACCCAGCGTCGCTCGCGGGTGTTTAGGAACCGCGGCAGATCCAATGGTCGGGAGCCAAGCGTGGTGAAATGCTTTGGCACATCGTAGATCGAGTGCACCTAGTCAAAATCGGACAGCGTGAGAGAGGCGCAAACGCCCACAACGACCTGTAGCACCCCATGGGTGTACCCGGCTAGCAGTAGCGAGCCCGAGACATCAATTGCCAGGGACGTTATGCCCTCGACAGCATGTCCCTCCAAGGATGGTAGAATCGAGTGTCGAATCGTTGCCGACTAGAACAACAATGTGTCACATGTGCAACTATCGCAAAGGGTAATATATCGTACCTTTGTCGACCAAAAGTCGATGCGCCCGTCGCTACCGCCCGTGACGAACCCGTTGATGAGGGGATGCGAGACCACCGACATCTAGGCTACTATGAGATATCTTACAATATAGCTGTATCACAATACGGCATGATCACACGACGCGGGCGACGACGGCATGTCGTCCGGGCATAAATCTTCTCGCGCGTACGAGAGGTGGAGTCGGTCTTGGGTGCGGCCTAGAAAACGATTTTACGTTTGCAACGACATACACGCGTACGTGTGTGCAGCGACCAAATGCAAATGGTGCCGTCGAGGCTCGCCGAGACAACGAGCCCGACCTTGGCTGGGAGCCAGCACATGGCTGTGATGACCTCGGCGTGTCCTCGCTGCTGGTTGTCCTCAGCGTCCGGCCACGCCGCATTCGGTGTCATCTCCAGCGCCTTGGTATCTTCAAAGAAGCGCACTTGGCTGTCGTCGCCTGCGACGAGGACATAGCTACACGATCGCTTTGCTCGTAACAAGAAGAGGGCACGACGATCGCTACCAGCTCGTGTTGAGTGACGTCGTGTGCATGATGGGCTGCACAAACAACAGTGCGACGACGCTGCACGCGTCATCGTCGCGCCATTGCTACGCATCATCATTATTGACATGTCGGAACTCGTCGCGCAAGGCTCTACCGAGAGAAGTTGTCCGTTGCTGCCGTTCCAGATGCGCACAGAGCCGTCGGCGGCGCCCGTAATCAGTCGTTTCCCTCGCATATCGTACGACATGGCGGTGATCTATATTGGACAATCAAGGTCCAATAGCATTCTCGGTTGAAATCGCACCCGTTCGTCGTCGTGGGCGCGCGGCATCCGCAGCACGAGCTTGCCCGTGGTGGCATCCCACGTATTCACGACCGAGTCGACATCGGCCGAGGCCACCTGCTCCCAAGCCAACGCTGTCACCTTGTGTCCCTGCAAGAGTCAGAATACTTGATGCAGGAGCGCAGAGTACGCGGCGCATGTGATCGCAACGTCATGGCTGCGGCGATGACGCACTGTCTGCTTGAGCACCTAGCACATCCAACGGATGACGCTTCGGCATTCCATCAAGTCGTCGCAGTGCACCATGTCGGCTGGCCACACGCGGAGTTGCGTTGTTGTGGACACGAGGTGCTGCAAGTCGCGGTCCCATAGAATGCACTCGACGTGGTCGTGAGGAAAGTACGGGTTCGCATCCATGATCGTCTGCGTGCACTCGTAGCTGTAGCAGTCCCAGACTTTGATCGTCTTGTCCTTGGCGAGCGAAAAAAGCTTGCCGGCTGGCGCGTTCGCAGTCATCTACACGCACAGCATGGCACCATGAATACAACGACGAAGGACCTCACTTCGTAGACGGGGGCCGCGTGCCCCACCAGCGTAGCGAGTAAATTGGTGGAGACAGGGTCCCAGAGGCAAATGTGGTTGCCTGCGCCCGAGCTTGCAACAAAGGTCAACGTCGGCACCGATAGGAGCGCGTAGACACCGCCCCTAGACACCGATGTCGCCCCAATATTTGTCCCCACCACACGATACCGATGCTGGGTGAACGAGTGGAGCAGAGTATGGTCGGGCACACGCACGCAGTGAATGGCGCCATCGACGGACGCGGTCCAGAGCACGTGCAGCGTTGGCTCGTACACCACCTAGGCCACGTGGAAAATGCATCAAACCAAAAGAATTCTCCCATAAAAAGGACGTGTACCTTGGTCACCCAGTCTGCATGGACGGCCAGGTGCTCGATCAACGAGGCGGTATAATCGGGCAAGATCGGGACGATGTGGAGGCGCCCAGCCATGTCGCCAAATACGAGCCGGCAGGTGTGGGCATGTTCATAGGTCGTGAGGCTCATGGCCGTGTCTCGGAGAGGCTGTAGCGACAGCACAATCGCTCCCGTTGTTAGCACAACCACTTGGATCGATCGATCGACGCGGCTCAAGGCCGCGTAGGCGCATTCGTTAAACGAAAAGATACACATGTCGGTCACGTAGCTGCCCCGCAGACTCTCGTGCGTGTAGAGGCTATCAAGGGTGGATGCATCCCAGACACACACAACGCCGGCGTGCGTGCATGTGACGTAGACGCTGTCAGTACGCGAGTGATTCGAGTGAGCGAGCCGGCGCGTCAAGCGGGTCTGCGCCAGGCGAAAGATCGGGCTATCGTGGGTGCTGGATGAGACAACTTCGAGGGACGGTCGGAGCTCGGCGCGGTTGGCGTCGCGCTCCAGATTGATGCTGCGCTGGTCCAGAATGAGAAAGAAGTGACACCACTCTCGCCAATCGACGTGCCCGTCCGAGTTGGCGTCAATGCGCTCGAAGAGCCGTCGGAGCTGGTCGTCTCGTAGTCGACCGGGCCCAAGCACCGACGTGAGCACGGTTGCAAAGGCTGTGAGGTCCAACGTTCCGTTCGGCGCGCCGGTGAACGCGGCCTCGAGCGTGACCAAGTGCTGCGGGCGCAGCAGAGCACTCACATCAAAGTCCGATAGCGACATCCAACAAGATCTGGTGACCGACCTGCTGAAACCGACGCTGGGATGCATTCGAATCCAGGAGGGGCATTGTATCGCATTCGAGCTGGCTGGTGGCCAAGGGCGTCGTCTTGTAAAGCCTTTCATTAAAACTTGGATACCAACTGAAGACGATCCAAGACTATATCTAAAGTAGCCGTCGGATGCTGTTGGAGCCCACGACCAACTGTCGGAGACCAAGGACTGCGTTTGTCTTTCAAGTGGTATGAGGTGCAGTGGGTGAATAGATATGGACGAGTTTCCTTGTACATCAATCAGTCAGAAATTAATGCTTAGAATAAGTCATTTCAACGAGTACTCGTACAAGGGAATATTCTGCAAACCAGTTGCGGTGCACAGCATTATCACTACCCTACGTTGACGAAACGAACGCCCAACAAAATTAGAAAGGCCGTGATGGACCAACGTGTGCTCTTTGAAGTATGGAAGATCCTGCAAGTCTTCCACGAGCCCACCCGCCTCGCACGCGAGAACGGTGTCCTCGCGGAGCCGGTCGTCCACGTGGCAACGCCCGTGTGTGTGCCCCCCCCGCCCCCCGTAGAACAAACGCCACGCAGCCTCAGTGTGCACCCGACGCCGTCCGACGTCGTCGAAAAGTCCAACGAGCTAGAGACCCTCGAACGCCTCTTGGCCTTCAAGGAAAAGAGTGAAAAGATGCCATTCGTGCTGGTAGCAAGAACCCACTGAAGACACAACGAACCGTGCATTAGGTGTGGAGCGTCATTTACCAACACTTGCTCCTGGGGCGCAGTCAGACACCAACGAATGCGTTCTACTCGCTCAAGAAGATCAACTCGCAAGAAAAACTCGAAGACGAACTCGTACATACGCGCCCACTGAGGTACTTGATGCAATACTTTATGTGTGTAGAACAAGAGCAACCTCCTCGACAGCGACGATATGGTGCATATTGAAGGGCTCATTGAGAAGCTCCACCTACGCGCAGCGCAGCCGCACAAGCCATCGCACCATACGCGCCATGGCACCCATCCCAGAATGGGAACCCAGAAATCGTCCCTCACATTAACACCCCCGTCTTAAGTCCACTTGCCTGACGTCGTAGCGCAGTCATCGTGCCAAGGAATGGAATATGAGCGCGATGTCAATAAGATTTTTTATAAAAGTCGAGTCCCAAATGAAAAAATGACTAATTGGCAAGGCCCGCCCATTCAGTTTGTAACGTGAACGTAAAATGTATGGCTCCTTTGTGGTTCGTTTGGCTCGATCTGACTTGCGGGTAGGCAGCTCAATAAAAAGATATTTCTCGGCATTTCCTCCAAGTCAGCGGTCATGGCGCTCATCTTCCTCACCCAGGCAGACAATCCCCGAATTCAATGCCCCGAATTGCTAATTTCCATTTTGGCAAAATCCGACAGACATGTCGCAGACCGTTTCGCTGTTATACGGATGACTTTGCATTTCCGGATATTCGCAAACTCGACGATGGCGGGCGCGGAACCAGCACACGTGCTTGACCACGTCTACCTCGGGAGCCGTAGCCATGCCAAGGACAGGGACACGCTGCTCAAGCTCGGCATCACACACATCCTCAACGTACATCATGCTTCTTCTCCGCATACGTGCTCTACGACGCCTGCGATAGGTCACACCGGCGCGCTCGGTGGACCCGGTCGCGGGCGTGCCAAACTTTTTTGAGAACGACACGCGCTTCACGTACGGCAGGATAAGATTCCTGGAGTCTTATTGCGTGCGTCAATAGCTACCGCCGATGCGCGCTATACGACAACAAGGGCGAGGACATCTTGACGTCGATCGAAGGCTGTCTGGCCTTTCTCGACCAAGCCCAATTTTACGGTACTAGTGCACGCCCAATTGCTTGACAGAGATACGGTATACGAAATAGGCAAGGTGCTCGTGCACTGCAAGCAGGGCGTGAGTCGGTCAGCGTCCATCGTCGTCGCCTACGTGATGCGAACCAAGGAGCTGTCGCGCGACGAAGCCCTCGCCTTTGTACAAGCCCGTCGCCCCGAGGTACGTGCACCTCTCTCGATTCGCGACCAATGCGCAACGTCAAGCGTAGGCCCAGCCAAACGGCAGCTTTCTCAAGCAGCTTCTTCAGTACGAAGTGCGCCTCAAGCAGAGAGCGGCGGCGAAGGCGACGCCCACCTCAAAGGAGCGTCCGGCCTCGCCACAAGCAGCGATTGGTCCAGCTCTCCCACCGCACTTGCGCAAGCCAGCTCCCAAAGCTGCAACATGCATGGGGCCACAGCTGCCTTCCAAACGCAAGATGAGCAACGACAACGAGATCCCGTCGCTGAAACGCACCAAGCAGGATACGACACCAGGTTCCCCGACTCGTACGCCGTGACAGCAAGGGCATAAATACCCTTGATAACCGCGGTGATGGGTGTCGCTCTCGACAGAGTCAAGTTTTCGGACGCATGCCATGCGCCAACGCGAGATAAGTCGGATAAAAGTTAGTTGTCGTCGGCTCTATTCCTTGCAAGTTCATCTTTATAACGATCTCTATTACGAGTGTTTTCGTTACTACAAAAACTGAACGAGCGGTGCTATCCGCACCGACACCCTTTCGTCATCAAAACGTCCGTTTCCCACGGCTCACGATTGATGTCGGTCGTGCGGGTGGGGCAATCGCCGTCACCGCGCTCGGTTGGCGTGCCCTCCACCACCGCGTCCCCGTAGCTCCTACATCCACGTCATCGGCCTCTTGTACGTGCTGGCTTTGATTGCGCTGAGCTCTCTCGCGCTCGATTTCATGTCGGCTACGATGGTGACCGACTTTTTGTGCCAGCCATCGATGCGTCGCTGAGCCTTTTGCTCCAGCGCGTCAACGACGACTACAAAATCAAAGCACACCGAGCTCCGTAGACGTCACGACCGCGCTCCTCTCGGACCCTGGTCGCGTCCCGGCAGCGTATGTCCGTCGCGTCGTTTTGGAGGACCTCACGTCTCTGGAGGCGGGCGTCACGGGACTGCGCAACTTGGCCGCCTCTCGCGTCGTGTTCCTCGTCACGCTGTACACGCCTCTGTCCCCTGGCCTACAGGTGCTACAAGAGACGATTGGATCGTTTGGCAACGTCGACATGGTCTACATCTCGCCGCCACCCTCGCTACTCGCCTTCTAGACAGCCTTTCTGGACGCACTCTCGCATCTAACGCTCCCAGATCTCGAAATCCAATTCGCGTTTGTGTACTTGCCACCCAAAGCCTACATCGACCCCGCGCCCGCATCGCTGCGCAGCAATACTTCGCTGCAGCTTGTCGGTGACAACGTCTTGTGCGGCGACGATGAGCGGCCGTTTTCGCCATCGCTCGGTCTGGCGAGCGGATTTGGCTTTGATTCCGCCTGCAATTGGTGGCTCATCGACTTTTTCACGCCTTCAACCACAGCGATAGCGTTTGCCCTGCTCGGTTTCAATGGCGGCGACAGCGCTCGCTCTCGGTCTGCAGACATTGCTTTCTTTTGCGCCAATGATGTCTATGCAGAAGCGACGTGCGCTGACATTTATGCCGCTTCCCTTGATTTTTAACCACGTACATGATAGGGTCTTTACTCGTGCCGCCGACATGGCCCACAGCATCTTACGCGATGTTGACGCTCTGGACATTGAGCTGATTCAATTCGCGCGTCCCACCGCATCGTGCGATGCAGCTCCTGCGCTCACGTCTGTTGGACCCGGATCTCGTAGTGTCCTGGCCCTTTTTTTGGCTGGGTTTATCTGCACGGGTGGGCCAGCGCGATGCGCGAGGTCGTGGCGTTTCGAGGCGACAATGGCTCGCTCACGTTGCTTTTGTCCACCACGCAGCCCGTCGTTGTGTTCATCCGAGATGCCGCTCCAGCTCAGCTACGTCTGTGCCTCGATCGTTCGATATGTCACCATGGTCGTGCCGATCGCCGCCATCATCGTCGTGGGCTATGTCGCGGTACTGCGCGGTGCTTTGGAGCCGTGGAACCTCTTTGAGATCAACCGCGTCGTCGGCCACACGTGGATCGGTCGGTTGTTGCTCGTCGTGCGCAGTGCGACCGCTTTCTGGCTGCTCAACGCATCGCGGCTGAAGCTCGCGCGCGTCGGGGTCGGCCATGTCTTGCAAGCACCCGCTCTAAGTGCTTTCAAAATCATTTTGGCCTCGTCCGAGCTCACGTCTACATTCTTAACGACCTCGGAAGCGTCCGCACTCAGCAGTACACGAGGACGTACGCGCATCTAAGTACGTCGAGCACGTGGCTGAGCGCGATGCTGCTTTCGCTTTTGCTGCCGCAGTCGTCTTCGGCGTCCATAAGCCGTGAGTGTGTCTATCTAAACATGGACGCCGCGCCCGACTGCACAAGCGCGATCGTGGCCGTGGGCAGTCTGCGACATTTGCTCTATGGCGTGGCCGCCGCACTGACGTGTGTCGTCGTCGGCGCATTCGTCGAGCGCTGGCGACAACCTTAGCGCCCACTCATAGCGATTGCATCCCTGCTCTTGGACTCGACGAGCTACTTTATGTTTGATTTTACAAACTGGACGCAGCCACGTGGCAAGTGCTGCGTCGACTGGGCGTCCGGGTTCCTCGCGGGCTTGGTGTCGCTGCATTTTGGCCACACCATGTATGTGTTCGATATCAAAAACTGGCGGCTCTGTACGAGACGCCGCGATACGGCCTCGGCCGCTTGGACCGCGCTATCGCGCTGCATCGAATCTCTTGAGGATCACCCTTGTACGCGTACTAGTATGTTGTACTCGAGCTCCAAAATGCTGTAGTACAAGTATGGGCTGCGCACTCGATCGAACCGTATTGTCGTTCAAACCGGGTGGCAGCCTGTTGTGTGCTCGGTGACCTAGATATGTCTTCAAGAATAGCGTCGTTTTGATCTTCTTTAAAGTTTCTGCTTCTATGCACAAGTGCGTAGAGCAGGACGATGTTTGCTGACGGAACGAAGAGCAAGCATGGCCTCCAGGTGTTGAAGAGGGCGAACTACACTCAGTCCGCGCTATCGAGTCTCTCGATGGCCGTCACATCGACAGGAGAACGTCGACCATGTCTTGGACACGCGGCGTTTGTGGCATACCATAGCACCCACGATGACACGGGTCTTGCCTCTTACTTGTTCCCAACCGGTCTTCGTTGAACGAACCGGTAGTCGTTTCTTCAAAGATTGCACCGACGTTTAATCGCGCGCCAAGTGCGGGATGCCATAGCTTGACCCTCTCGCTGCCAGGAGCCGATCACGATCTGCATGATAGTACGTACTACTGGTACACGGGACCGTGAGCCGTGACTGTGCTAGGGTAATGGACTGGATAGATCCCAGCTATATCACTCGGCCTCAACCGTGGAGTGCCCTCTTGCACCGGGCCATAGCCAACCAAGTGCGTTGGCGCCAAAGCAAGCCTGCAGCGATCGCGGATGCGCTGGTGTCGAGCGTCAACGTGGACTGCCTCTCTCATCCGATCGAAGCCGCACCCGTGTCGCCGTAACGTGTCCGCAAGGCGATGCCATCTTGAAGACGGCGGAATTCAATTTGATGCAAGCAAGTGCAGTGTGAGTTCGCATGGACCCACCCTGTCGCTCGGCGGCGCTGTACGGTACGAAGAGGCCGCCGTGTGCTGGCCGTTTGAGTGCGATGGCCGCGACGTTCCGGCATGCGATGGCAGTTGCCACGCAAACCAGTGTGTCAAGCGATTGTTTGCCAAGTCGCTGGCGTCACTCTAATACGAGGCTGCAAGAACGTGGCGCCACGGCAAGACGGAGCAACTGTGCCCATAAAAGTGGCATCTGCCACCATCTGGCGCGCAAAAAAGCACCGTGTGGCGCGTGATTTTAGCAGGTCGGCGACACCCCAGTCACGCGTGCACTGGACCTTTGCAAGGCAGCGTGGCGCAGGCCAATCGCCGACTTCCTGAATCAAACGCGTTTCTATGAACGAGCCCAAGAGCAAAGTGGGAAAGGCGGTACGAACGTCTCGGCCTATTTCTCAACTTTCCACACACCAGCAATGGCACAGAACCAAGCGACGGAGCGTCTGCCGCCGGAGCCCACGAGCCGGAGACTGCGGCTCACGGTCGACGATCTCTGTGCGCCTGAGCAGTGGACGCCGCTCGACGATCGCCACATGTGCGGCGTCTGCGAACGCGACTTTTCCGTCTACCTTCAAAAGCACCACTGCCGCAAGGTACTACACATACTACATGGTCGATAGAGCCGTGATCCGCCCTTCTTCACTCTCTAGTGCGGCGACGTGGTCTGCAATACATGTACCGAATACAAGCCCGCCGTGTACCCCGGGCGCGACCAGCCCGTCGACGTCATGCTTTGCAAGCCGTGCATTCTCAAACTCGATGGCTCGGCTGTGCCGTCCTGGAACGTGCCTGTGCCCAACATGCCGCAGCTCGAGTTCCCCTCGGACGTGACCAAGGCCAAGTACGACGACGACAGCGACGCGTGCCACGTGTGCAAGCGCGAGTTTACCATGTTTCGGTGGAAATACCACTGCCGATGGGTACACCACTTGGTCGATCTTCTAGCAGGATGGCTCATGTCGAAGTGGCTAGTGCGCCAAAGGCGTCTGCAACGAGTGCCGACCATCCAAGCCCGAGAAGAGCCTCGGCCTCCAAGAAGGCAAGGTCTGTCTCGATTGCATTCTCGCCGAAACCAAGACGACGGTTCTGTGGGACGACCGATGGTATCCCCACGGCGAACTCGTGCACACGGCCGTCGACCACGCACACGCGCCACCGGATGCGATTGGCGCGCCGCTCGACTATAGCTGGGGCTTTCCATGGCCCAAGCCGCCCGTGCTCGTGAACGAACGCGCGCGCCTCCAGAAGCTCAAGAGCCTCCACCTCCTCGACACGCCGCCCGAGGACGCGTTTGACGCCGTCTGCGACTTTGCGAGCAACGGGCTCGGGTGCGCCATGGCGGCGATCGGGCTTCTCGACGAGCACCGCGAGTGGTTCAAGGCCCAAGTCGGTCTTGCCGCGCGCGAGATTCCGCGCAACATCTCGTTCACAGCGCACGTCCTTCAGTCCAAAGAGCCCATGGTCGTGCTCGATACGCTCAAGGACAAGCGGTTTTACAAGAACCCGATGGTCACCAACGTCGCGGCAGTCCGCTTCTTTGCGGCTGCGCCGATCGTGACCGGCGACGGCATCCTTCTTGGTGCTGTCTTTGTGCTTGACACGCGCCCGCGCGACGCGTTTGACGTTGCCACGCTCGAGCGACTCGCTAGCGTCGCGATGACCAACATTGAAGACCGCCAAGCCTCGGTGCCAACGGATCTCGACGATGATTTTGACGGCGTTCTCGCGTCGCCGCTGAGCCCGATCCGAGCCTCCATGTCGATCAAACTGCGTCAGTATAGCGAGCACACGACGTCGTCGCACAGCCACGGCAGTCACAGCTCGGGCGTCCAAGACCAGCTCGCGCAGCTCACGGGGCAAGACGAGCCCGTGCTCGTCATTACGAGCGCAGAGCTCCTCCGCCGCGACGACTGGGCACCCGCGGCGGTGCGGTCCGCGTGCGAGCGCTGCCACCAGCCGTTTAGCATGCTGCGCCACCGCCACCACTGCCACACGGTACTACGCCTTGAGAATGGATGGACGATATATGATGGCTCATGCGATCGTGTCTCTCTAGTGTGGTGAAGTGTTTTGCTCAACTTGCCTCGTGGAAAACATGGCCGAGCGACCGGGCGGTATCGGCGTCCAAAAAGTCCACGTGTGCTCGACGTGCTTGAGTATTGCGACGGTGTTTGGCAACTTTAAGCACTCGCGCGCGATGCGCAAGGCAGTGCTGGACACGCTTGGGAAGCCCGGGATCGAATGGCGTCCCAACAACATGAAGCGACCAGCGTCCAAGACGGGCGAGTTTGCCAACAAACTCGAGCTCATCAAGCGCCTCGAGGAGCGCGACGCGATGCCACTGCGCAATTTGCTCAACCCGGACCAGTACGTGTCGTTCGCTGGCGTAGCCAAGTGCAACGTGTGCGCGCGCAAGCACTCGGTGTTTATCCCCAAGCACCACTGCTCTGTGGTACGACGTCTCTTTCATTTTGTTTATTCAATGGGTGGGCTCATCGTAAATGATGTACTAGTGTGGCGACGTGGTCTGTGGCGCGTGCACGGTCAAGAAATTCCTGCAGTTGCCCAATCGCCAAGAATGGCCACAAGTGACCGTTTGCGTGAGCTGCGAGCTTAGCCGCCTCACGACCGCCGACGCCGATCTCGCGGCCTCGGACATCTACTCGTTCCAGAGCAACGGATCCCGCCGCGTGGGTGCGCTTGTCTAAGTGGCCGCCCCATCGGTGCTGCACACCGATATTTTGTTCACTCGTCGACCGTTCAGACTAAGTATCAATCAATTTGTATTTAATATGCTTTCCAGCACTTGGATTGGTTTGAGCATGCGTGCTGTCTCTGGGACGGACTCTGGTCTAGACAGAAGACTGTCTAAGCTCTGTAACGGCTGCCGCGAGACTGTGAACCTGGAAGCGTGTGAACGACAAAGGAGGGACGCGACCTCAGAAACGCAAGGGCCCTGCATCAAATTGCGCAGTAATGACACCTTTGGCAAAAATACCAGATTCGTGCGATTTTTAAATGTATTTACAAACAAGATAGACGCTCTGGTGGTACAAGAGTACGAGGGAGGGAGTCTGTTATCCTAGCCCCTAGCGTACCGGTAGCCCCTATTGCTCGTCACATGGACCATAGTAGATCATCGTTGCGAGCATATTTTGTGCAATCGTCCACCAAGAGCGACGTGCTCGCATGAAAAGTCACAGCACCAAACACGTTCGGATTAGAAGAGAGCTCGGGGCACGCTGCAGAGGGTGACGGGGCGTCCTTACGTAGGACTTGGATGCTATCCATCGAAGTACCGACACTCGCACATGGTATGTAGATTCGCTTCAACAACCTTTTGCCACGCGACACAACGTGGTGTTGGACCAAGCTCATGACACGCAGGTGGACCGGCGCTCCAAGTACAGTACGGTATCATCAGTCAGTGGTGTGTGCACCCGCCCATCTCATATCGCCCTGTTGTCTGTTGTCGATGGTGGACACCACCACCTGTCGCTGGATACCGGTGCGAAACCAAGCACGTGACGCCAATTCATTCGATCGCCTCCGACGCCGCCAGGTTCGTGCGACCTCCCGCGCCGTACCTCGTTTATAGCCCGACTCTTTGCATCGAGTCCATTCTGGAGCATCGCAATGTCGCCGTCGTCGTCGTCCTGGTCCGGGCCCAAGATGCGGTGCCGGTAACGCACCGACCAATTTTGGCGTCTGGTGCGCCGCAATCGTAACGCCGTTACAATCGTGGCACGACCCGACGGCAGCCAGACAGACACTTGGTCGTCGTCGTCTGCTTGTCTACGGTACTACATGGGCGTCCAGGCCTCGCGGCCGACGATAGGCCAAAGACACGAGATAACGGCGACCTTTCGCCAACACAAAAAACAAAAAATCACACAAGTGCCGGCGTCAATGCGAGGTATATGTGCTGTGGACGACGTTCGACTGGCGCTTGGACAAGTATTAGGTGTTGGTGGGACGTTTTCGTAATAGGCCCAGTCCACACTAGCACCGTGATAGGTGACTTGGTGGTTCCTTGACACGTTGCCCGAAGCAGTCTGAGTTCCGCGCACGCTCGCATCAGATGGACGGGCCAATCGGGAGACACTGTCTTTCGCGACAGGCGCACGGTTTCTCTAGCGCGCTCCACTTTGCCTTTTGGCACAATGCTCGCTGACGTCCTCTCGATCGACGCGCTCTGCCCGCAGACGCAGTGGATTCCAGCATCAGAGCGCCCGCGCTGTGTGTGCTGCAGCACAAGCTTTGCCTTCTTTCGCAAACGCCACCACTGCCGCCTTGTACGCATGCCAATCCCAATTGTGTTCGGAACGCTAACTGGAACTCTAGTGCGGCGACGTTGTCTGCCGTGCGTGCACCGAGAAGCGCCCTGTGCGCCACCGCACGCTCAACAAGGTCTCGGACGTCTTGGTCTGTACGGGCTGTCTTACCTCGCCACGCACGGCCCGCACCAAGGCCGACGTTGGTCTCCGCGCCCAAATGTCGCCCATGCCGATGACCGACGTCCGCCCGTCACCACCGTCGTCGTCGTCGTCGCTGTGCCACGTTTGCGCATGCACCTTTACCTTTGCGCGCTGGAAGCACAAATGCCGCTGGGTACGACCACTCGTCGCACTGCGTTCGTTTGGACCAACGACCAATCTATGTACTATTAGTGCCAACACGACGTGTGCGGACACTGTCGCCCGAGCTCGCCCAACAAACGGCTCGGCGTCGACGGCAAGGTGTGCTTGCAGTGCCTCCTCACGCGCACGCACCAAACCATGGCGGCGAGACAGCCACCAACCGTCCACAGCAAGAGATCCTCGGACAGTGCGTCGTCGCCACGCACCGACACTGCGAGTTCGTTTGGATCCACCACGTCGCTGCCGTACCCGCTCGACTTTTCCTGGTCGCATCCGTGGCCCAAGCCACCACGCATCGCCCACGAGGCCCGGCGCCTCGAAACGCTGCGCTGCGCCGACATTCTCGACACGCCGGCCGACGACGTATTCGAGCTGCTCTGTGATCTCGCGATCAAGGCGACAGGGTGCTCGATGGCAGCCGTCGCCTTTGTCGATGCCGATCGCGTGTGGTTCAAGGCCCGCATGGGTCTCGCGCAGTCGTCGTTGCCGCGCGACGTGGCCTTTTGCGCCCATACGATCCGATCCACGGACCCGCTGGTCGTCTTGGACGCAACGCTCGATCCTCGCTTTGAGAAAAACCCGCTCGTGACGGGCCGCGCCCGCATTCGGTTTTACGCAGGTGCACCGATTGTGGCGCCGACGGGCCTCGTGCTCGGCACTGTCTTCGTGCTCGACTCGAAGCCGCGCGAGACGTTGGATCCTCGGTCGCTCCAAAAGCTGGCCAACATTGCCATGGCGCACATTAAACTTAACAAGAAAGGCTACCTGCTCTCGTAAGCCACATCCACAACAACAACAACAACCATCCCGAGTACCGTCGGTAGTACTCGCTTTGTCATCACGCGCCAACCTAATGCGTTCAAGCAACGGATTCTCTTCCTCTTTCATTCAGTTTTGGACAGCACGAGGCGACGTCACCAGCGGCGAGCGATGCACGAGCACACAAGAGAGGTAGTCATTGGTCGATTGATAGATAGAAAACGCGTGTCCTCGCGCAAAGCACCCGACCTCCGCAAGTTCATACCGGTAGTTGCTCGGTCGAGTGAGGCGCACAGCATCGCTTGATAAGAATATTTCTCAAAACCCCCGCAATTTGCTCCAATACTTGCAAAAACCCCGCAATTGAGGAATACGTGGATCGGATTGGCTTTAAATGGAGTGTACAGGGGTTGTGATTGGCTGGTTTGTGCGCGTTTTTTCAAATATAGGAGGCAAATTGCCGTAGAAATTCTCCGATTGATGACCGGTCTTGGATACCTATGAGAAAGAAGCAATGGATTGCCCGCTCAAAAGAAGTCCGATGTTACTTCCGCTGTATGTACAGCAGCTCCTTCGCGCAGCTTTCTTTCGTGGCGACGACCAATTTCGTGGCGACGAGAAAATGGAGCGGTCCACAGCTGATGTACAACACGGAGTAGACAGGCAGCCGTTTTAAAGCACATTAAACATCATGTGAGCGACAGTGAGCATGCTTGCGTTGTCCTATAGCGTTGTAAGACCACCGTCTTTTTAGGCTTGCATCTCGCAAGAGCGAGCTCAGCGCTGGATTGCATCATCGGGTGAGCGTGGCCACATTGCGACCAGATGTTGCTGGCTGGCGAGATCGGTGGTCCAGATGTTGGTGAAACCGCCGCCAACAAATGCAGAAAGGCCAGCCGCAGCTGCCTCCCGCGTCGTGGCTTTGTAAAGATAAGGATATCCGGGCGACAACCCTCGTGGCTTGGGCGAGCACGGGCGTTTTCTGCCAAGCGTTGATACGGTGCATGCGTCGCCGACGCGGGCGAGTCATGGGTGTGCACACCTAGAGGTACCTGGCGCGTTTGGCTGTAGTCACGCCGGCAGTCCACTGTCTTTGTGTTTTGTTTTCGAGCTCCGTGCTGCTTTTATACCGAACCAGATTGCATTATTGCACACTCGTCAGTTGCTCATCCGAGGCATGGCCGACGGCAGGATCGACGTCGTCGCGATAGACGACCTCGTGCCACACAACGAATGGGCGCCAACGCGGACGGCGACCCGCTGCGCGACCTGCACACGCGTGTTTTCAATCTTTCGCCGGAAACACCACTGCCACACGGTAATAGATTGCCTCCTGCTACCATGCGCTCGACGCTCCTTCTAATGACGCGACGACAGTGCGGCGAAGTTGTTTGCAAGACGTGCATCATGGAGATGCCTGTGACAGGTCAAAGCATCCTCGTGTTTGTCTGCATGCGCTGCAGTCTCCGGCGTCGCCAGAGTGCGCCAAGCCCGGAGAGCGCGTACAACACAGCGGCACTCGTCTCCACCGCGTCGTCCAAGGCGCTGCTGCCGCGCGCGAGCATTGATACCATCCACGAAACCACCGATTATGACTCGAACCGGGACGGAAGCTTGTTTGCCTTTCAGCTAGCGATTGCGACACCCGGAAACGAACAGCCTGCTGCGGACCGCCCCACGTGGGCGCTTCAGCCGGGCGAGTTGGCGCCCTTCCTCGTGCCAATCCTCGGCCGCTTCCGCTGCGACCACTGCCGCCATGTGCTCATGTTTCGCCACCGCGTCAACTGCCGCGCCGTACGTTGTTCTTGGTGCGAGCTCGATCCGATGCTAATGCGATGGCTAGTGCGGAGACGTCGTCTGTCGGCGCTGTGTCCTTCCAACGATTGTGCAAGAGCACGGACAAAACGACCGGTCGGAAATCGCTGTTTGCGTCACATGCGATGAGATCCACAAAGCGCTCGGGTCGTACAAGGAATGCCGTTCTCTCAAGCGGGCGCTCGGTCCCAGCGCATACCCGCCGGGCGTGCACGTCGGTACGATCGACGTGGGCGACACGTCGCGGATAGCCTTTGCTCGCAAAGCCGCGCATTTCAAAGCCCTCGAAGAAGCCAAGCTCGTGCCCGAAGACGTCATGAGTCGGCGCGACGCCGCGTGGTCGCCGTTGCCAAAGCAAGCCACGTGCCCACGCTGCGATCGGCTCGTGTCCTGGCGCAGTGCGGGCTGCTGCTGCATGGTAATCTGCCACGTCACATTGCATTTTGTGCATGGGATTCTTATTGGCCATATTGTAGTGCGGACGCACCTTTTGCAACACGTGTGTATGGCGCCGCTTTGCGCGGTCGCCCGGTCGGTACGAACTCGACCAAGTGCTCGTGTGCTCCAATTGCCTCCTCAACTTTGAACGGGAAACCGCCTCCGTCGCGCGTACCTCTTGGCGGATTGCGTGCACATCTACATGGCAGCGTGCGGCGTCGAGGTCGAGACGCCAGTGGAAACGACCGCCGCCTCCCACAACTTGGGTGGCGCATGTCATGGTGGCGGAGAACCGACCACAGAGAGCGGCGATATGGACGAGGCGCGGCTCGAGGCGCTCCTCGTCCAGACCATTCAGCGCAACCTAAAGCTCTCCCACTCGATCCGGTCCACCATGCATGGTTACGTAGAGCGTGCATGATTTTTAAAGCCATCGTATTAATCCATTCGAATCAATATACACACGAAGCGCCGTCGAGTGGATTCCATTTCGAGGACGCAACGACAGTGGGACACACCGCGGCTGTCTGGCCCGTTGAAGGCAACCTGCAAGCGGCTGTGCCACGATATGGGTGTTTTTTGCACACGCGTCGTTTCTAGCATCGCGGCTCGCATCGTTGGCTGCATTTGGGATGCGATCGATCGCTGCGCAAGCGCTCTTGCCGACGTCGAGGTGGGCGCCCATCAACGCGGCGGTGCGCTGCGGTGTCTGCGCTCGGGCCTTTGCTGCGTTCCGCACCAAAGTGCACTGCCACGCGGTATGTCTCGCGCGCACCCCTCGCGTCACGACTCTCATGTAATAGTGCGGCACCGTTGTCTGCAATGGGTGCGCGGTCCAAATGCCCGTCCAGCAGCAGCGGCGAGACGCTATGGTCTGCACCCGCTGCACGCGCGAACGACCGGTTACCGCTACGTTTGATGGCATCCTCTTTGACCCCGCCGACCTCGCGCCGTCGGTCAAGACCCCAGCGAAAGATGCGGCAAAACCACCCGAGCCGGATTTGAGTGCCTTTCAGCTGCACGTGCTCCCAACAATCGAGACAACGCTCGACATGGACGACGACGACGAGGAGTTGGCTGTCTTTGGCAGCAGTCGTGGCGTGATTCCAGCAGCCGAGCTCGTGCCACCCGATCAGTTTGTGCCGTCCTTGAGCCGCATGCGATGCCACCGCTGCCGCCGTCTCCTTTTGCTGCATGTGCGGCACCACTGCAGTGCGGTACGACGTTCGCATCCAACGTCGATTCCTCGCTCAAGATCACGATTGTCTAGTGCGCCGAGGTGTATTGCCGGAGCTGCGTCAACGCGTTTGTGACTGAGTTGCACTACCGCCTCTCGAGCATCGACATTTGTCGGACATGCAGCCTCATTCAAGCCATGTTTGGGTCGTTCAAGGAATGCCGGTGGGTGCACAAGTCGCTGCCGTCGACGGCGTTTCCCCCCGGCGTCCAAGTCAAAGTGCGGTGTCCGTTGTACGTGAACCGCACCGAGTTTGCGCGCCAAATCGCACAACTCAAGTTTCTCGAAGAAGTCGACTTGGTGCCATGGAACCACCTTCCGCAGCGCGGTCTCTGGAGCATCGAGCCGCCGAGCTGCGACGAGTGCGGCCTCCAGCTACGACGCAACACGCGCGCGCGGTGTGGCATGGTACTACTACGTCCATGCATGGAATGATGATGTCAACGTACTACGCGCCTAGTGCGACCTTGTGTACTGTCTTGGCTGCACGACGCTCAAGTTCACGCGACCACCACACAAGCTCGAGCTGGAAGATATCCACGTCTGCCGGACATGCATCGCCACATTTGAGCGCTGGAACCAAACACGCAGCAAGCAGCTCTGGAAGACGTGCGCGACAGTGTATGCGAAAGCGTCGGGTACTCACGTCGACCCGGACTCGGCGCCGCCTCCGACGAGCCCCGCAGGTTGGCTCCGTAGCCGTCCGAGTGCCGACGCAGTCCAAAAGACAAGCCGGTCTAGCGGTAGCAACAAAGAGACCCGACTGAGCCTTGACACGACGCGGCGTCTCAGTGGCGACGACGACGGTGGTGACCGGTGGCTCAGCTGCGGCGGACGAGACAGCATCGATAGTGCCCGACGCCTCAGTTGCGACGCCCGAAGCAGCATTGGTGGGCGGGAGAGTATGCTCGACTGCGGGCGGCCAAGCGACGATGGCCGACCGCGCCGATCCAGCTGCGATGCAAGAAACGCAGCGCGGGCCCCGGAGGCTGGCCGACCGCGCATGAGCTCTGCGCCCGTGCGCCCGCGCTTCAGCACGCCCGAAATCCCACTACCAAGACCACCAGCAACGACAATGTCGGCAGACGACGAGGCGCTCTTGCGGTCGATTGAACGCAACCTGCGCCTCTCGGAAGCCATTGCGCGGACGATTGAAAGCGCCGAAGCGGGTGTCGAACCGGCGCCACACGAGCAAGGACGGCCGCGCCGCCACTCAACCGCGGGCTGACTGACTTCCGTGGGTGTATTTAAAATAGAATGCATGGTTCTCGACATTGTGGCAAAATGGAAAATACCGCGCCAATGCACTTAACCCTCCCGCGCCGGAGGTTTTTAAAGCAGATTTATCCGAGGCCATTGCACGTTGAAGAACAACTAAGATCGTATATTCATTATACTAGGTTCCTTCGAAGTGGGCTGGTAGGAAACCTCTTTTTGAGAGGAAGTCAAACTGACGGAGATGAATCCCATTTGCAGTGGGATAGAAATATAGATATATCCCGCGTATTCCTGTCAAAGCAGCAGCGCAAAGATTCTGCCGCCAAGTCCTACACAGCCGTGGCGTGCGAAGCGGCGTGCGCAAGTGGACAACCCACTAGATATGACTGTTGTTTGCTTTCATACATGTATATATATACATGGTGTGTGTAGCTCTGCGTTAGCGCCGGAGGAGCGTCTCGAGTCGGCGCTGCTCGACGGCCTCGCGCTCGCGTCGAAGCTGCTCGAGGCGACTGGAGAAAGACGACAATGACTTGGCTTTCGTCGTCTTCTCGAGCACCGTGTTCGTCGTGTTACCGGCAGAATCGAGCGCGTCGGCTTCCCGCGTATCGTTGGCGGCGGCCATGAGCACCATGGGCCGGCCCGAGATCGCAGTCATGTGGTCGACACTCGCTGCACGTGGCGCCTCGGTTGCGTCGTTGTCGTATAGGCTCTGCTGGAGGGCAGGGTTGCGAAGGTGACTAGCGTCGGCCTATCCGGCAGTGGACCGGACTCAGCGCGCCGCCGAGCGCGATGCCTTTGTCGGTGTACTTTTTGATGCTGGCGACTGGCGGCGGCGCGGTCTCGTCGGGCGCAAAGAGGTCGATGGCCGGCGGCTTGGTCTTCTTGAGCGCCTCGACGCGGCCGTCGAGGTCCGCTTGCGCTTCTCACAGAAGGCAGCGCGCTCTGCCTCTTCGTGCAGCCGCTCGTCGCGCCGGACTTTCAGGATGTTCGCGCGCATCCACACCGTTTCTTTTGCTTGTGGATTCGGCTCGTTTGTAACTCGATCGGAAATTACCCACTTCAACAACAACTCGATCGGAAATTGATGTTTTATTGGCTCAATTCTTGATTCTTTCTAGCCAATCACAAGACTTGCTTCGCGACCTCGTCTTAAATAGTGTGAGCACCATTGAGCTCAATGACGAGTAGCAGCCCACAAACGCGCCAGCGCCACGTAGAAGCCGGGTATACCTCTCCACACACTTCTTAAATGACATAAATGTCGTTTTCGACGCTGCACGTAGCACAAACACGCGCAAATCCATTTTCCATTTTTGAGGTGGTTGCAGAATTGCCCAAATACTTTACGTCGCATCGCGGGGTTCCAAAACTCCAAAGACCGTAAGACCGGCTGCCACAGTTGGCGGTGGATCTGGACCCGGTGTGCGACCAGTTTGATGGGCGCCATCGTTGCTTGGGCACTCACACCAAACTCAAACTGCCGAGCGTCGGTTTTCAGGAAATTCGACATGCAATTTCGGTTGGGAATGCGTCGAAATCGCGGAAACTGAGGACGCCGTCTCTTTTTGTTCATGTTACAGAGCGTGTTGCATGTAGATGAGGGAGGCAAAGTGCGCACGATACCGCTGCGTGATGTGGCCTTGTATCTCGCACAGTATTTCAGTAAAGCGAAAAGCACACTATATCAACATATTGTGTGCGGTTGTCATTTATTCTCGCTACAGAGCTCGCACGGCGACGTCACATAGCATTTTGGACTCCTCAAAGTGTGGTCTAGCACTCTGGCAAGTATGGGCGATTTCATTTTCAAACTTCATTTTGGTCGATCGCCGGCGCGCCGGCCTGTGTTCACCAAAATATGGTTATTTATGGTTGTAAATGGTTAACGCCAATAATAATGAGCGGCGACGCCACAAAGACGACGCAGAGGCTCCTCAGGCACCACTGACGCTGCTGCATTGTGCTCAAGGAGACTCCATCAGCATTCTCAACGCACACGCCATCATGAGGTGCCGCTCGGTCGTAATGCAGAGTTCCTCGTCGGTCTCCCTCATTGTCGTCAGCGCCAGGCCACAGCGTTTCAGCCAATCAGAGCGCCAAGACATTAGATTTGTGGCCAATCAGAGCGGATTTCGTTTCCGAGCCAATCACCAGTGTTCTAGCCGCAGTTCTGGAACCGATCATCGCCGCCAGCCCAGGTACGTGGCAAGCCGTGCGCGGGCCTCAGGCCGAGGCGCTCACGCGACGTCGCTGTAGGTATGGTGCAGCCTTTTTATGCGTGACTAGCCACCGAGTCGGCCCTTAGGCGGAGCCCTGGCCAATATTTCGACGGCCTCTCGCACGTCGGCCACGGGATCGCCTCCGAGATGCGCTCCTCCAAGCTCCCAAGCCCTGCGACGACGCTGCGAACGATGGCGCGATATGCCTAGCATCATGACCGCCGCGCCGTCGTGTGCTTGCGCGTCCAGAACGGTTAGCGCTACGGCCACATCCGATCAGACACCGCGCTCACGATCCGGTTGTTTTTCCAGTCGCGCCGCCTCCTCCGTGGGCGCCTTGGTGGCCTTCTTGTCGGCGCGCGCAGTGGCTTTTCTAAGGCGTTGCTTTCCCAGCCGTGCTGCTTTCTCCTCGGGGGACCAGCGTGTGAAAACCATGTGTAAAATAGGCGAATTTCCCACACATGGTGCTATGCCAGAGACGTTTCCATTGCGTCTTTTTTGTGTCCATGATAGCAGTAGCAGATGGTGGCCATTAGATCCAAGGTGCAGAAGCGACAAAACAACAGCAAAGGTCATTGTGCTGCCGAGTTTCATCAATTTTCGAAGCCACGGAGGCAGTGACGCAGCCATCGATCGATGCCATGGCTGCAGACCACCCATCACTCGAATAATGAATCATGTGGTCGGACCGTCGTCGGAGTACCAGATGTGGACGCGTCCAGATGCGGTGACTGTGGCAATCCCCAAATGGTGTGCGTTCGAGAGGTCGCCACTCGCTACAACCGGTGGCCCTTCTCGCGCGTGTGCTTGCCGCTTCCGTGTACTCTACGGCGCGTCGACTCTGCTGACCGCCATCATCCTATCGCCGAGGGCACGATCCTCGCCGGCGCGGAGGCGTACATGGTATGATCATCACTTTGTCCTCGGTGTGAAGTGCACTAGCAATGGTGGTGTGCGCTGACCTCAAAACAAATGAGACCAGTCGGTTGCCTTCCTCCATTTCCGACACTTTACGGTGACGGACCTCGCGTGTTGCCGAGAGCTTCAACGTGGTTGGCAGCGTGTCGCTAGATTCTGGCGTGGGCTATGTAGCTGGTAGTCATCCCTGATGTAGCATGCGGCTTGCAGAAAAGCGACGCGACGTACCGCTTCGTGCCTCGTGACGCTGCGCTTGCTTCTCTGCATGGATCGTGAGTTGTGGGCACACGCTAGGCTAGATACAGAGCATCCGCGTCGTCGATGGGCGGTTTGCTGACGCAGCGAAAGGGCAGCTCTTGCGCAACATCGAGGGTATTGTCTGTGGCCGGCCGTCTTCCGTCTCTACGATGACTATCATCCGTGTTCGAGGTTGTCGTGGGCTCATTAGCCGTTGGAACGTTGATTATCAGTGGCGTCGTGCCACGGTGCGTACTGCCCATCACTGCAAAGTGCATTTCGACACGGTGCGATCGTACACTGGCTGTTTGCGTCAATCGACCCATCGAAACAGGTTTAATCGACGTCGTTTGGTCTTTTCTACAGGGTTCTTTCTTGAACGTACCGGTAGTACTTCAAGGGATCCTTGCCGTTGAAGGCGACATCGCTTACATGCTGCCACAGCGTCGCTCGCGTCCGAAGCGCATTCGGCCAACACGAGACATTCTCATGGCAACTGAAAGCCTGCACTCGAGCGTATCTTGCTGTCGCGCCACGCGCGGGCAGCAACACCACCAGGTGGCATCTATAAAACCCATTTAACGCATTTTGCCGATCACCCAAGTGCAAAGTGGACTTGGGTCGAATCGAATCCTGCGCGTCATTTTCGAACTCGCTGGCCAATGACGACAACGACCCTTGTGAAGAAGGCCCTTAGCGTCCCGTCGTCGCGCTGCGCGTGCTGCAACCGGGACTTTGCGTTTTACCGAAAGCGCCATCACTGCCACGAGGTACACCCCATTGGGTTGCAGCATGCCGTAACATCCTCCTCTATTCTAGTGCGGCGCCGACGTCTGCAAAGCGTGCACAACAAGCGCCCACAACTGCCCACTCAAAGTCTGCTTGACGTGCCTCGTGGAGCCCACCGACTCGCAACGCGGACGTGAAGCGTCCAAACGCAGCCAGCGCAGCACCTCGAGCGCGTCCAGCGTTATCTCGTCCTCGCGCGATTATGGCTACGTGCTCGACTACAACTGGATTTACCCGTGGCCCAAGCCGCCCATGCTCGACAACGATGCCGAACGCACCAAGATTGTGGCCGCCCTCGGCGTCCTTGACGCACCACGCACGGATTTCTTCGAGTCGATCTGCCACTTGGCCATCACGACGATGGAGACGGCGGTTGCAATCGTAAGCGTCCTCGACAAGGACCGCGAGTGGATCGTCGACAGCATCGGGTTCGAGCCGCGCCAAGTCCCGCGCGACGCGTCCTTTTGCGCCCATACTGCCCGGAGCACCGAGCCGCTGGTCGTTCTCGACACACACTATGACGACCGGTTCCGGGAAAACCCGCTCGTGACCGGGTCGCTGCGCGTCCGCTTCTATGCCGGGTGGCCCATCGTGTCGCCCTCCGGCTGCATCATTGGGGCCGTCTCCGTCATGTCGGATCGGCCGCGTTCGTACTGCGACGTGGCCAAGCTCCAGCTGCCAGCTCGGCTCGCAACCGCGCTCTTCTTCAAGCCGCCGGGGCGCGCGCCCGACACCGTCTACCACATTTCGCACGAGTTCGAACTCGATTGAGTGCCGTCGCCGTATTGTATCCATATAGTAATAGCAGCTGTAGTCTTTGTAACGTCGTGATGCAGGCAGCGTCTGCGTTGTGCGTCGGGTTGTCATCCACGCGTCAGTGGTATGTGCAAGCGGAAACGACCGAGGCATTCGCGATGGCTCATGGCGCGGGCGGCAGAGTCGATGCAGGTGTGCTATTGCTACAGTAAAGGCGAGGTGGCCAAGATACTGCTTGCGTTCGATGGCCATGCTATGCCACGGTGCATGTTTATGCGGCGACGACAACAAAAGCACGAGCCGAAGCCGTTTGGATGGCTCAGTACCATGCTAATACCACCCACCACACTAATCTCATGCCGAATGCGCATGTACCCTGACGCAAGCAAGCCAGAGGCGGTGCACACTTCGCGCTCCATTGCGTCGGCGGCAGTTACGGATCAACTGCAGGTACCAGTTCTTAGCGAGTCTAACTAAACGATATAGTGTTTCCTGAAAGATATAGTGTTTTGTTTGGTGGAAATTCGAGTCGCTTTAACGGCGCGCCGCCATTCGATCAGAAGAAGACGCGACGTTTCAGCCGTTTCAGAGTAACGAACTTTGCACAAGCGGACATGTCTACTCATTCCTTTGAGGGAAGGACCGATAACTATTCATTATCGGGAGGATAACAGGTAGTCCGTAGTGTCATGCCCAGTCCCAAACGGTTTGGGACGGACTACCTGTTATCCTTCCGATAATGAAATGTTATCGGTCCTTCACTCACTAACGGGTTTTGTGACCCACCAATCAGTCTGTCCACCGGTCCGTGTTGAGTTGCCGTACGTGGTGACGTTGGCTAGACCCACATTCGGTGCATGGATCCTGGCTACGCTTTCACATTGACTTACTGGTGTGATGCCATATTAAGAACCGAGAAGCGGATAAGCTCTTGGGCGTCGCTGACACGTGGCTGTGTCCATGAGCACTGTTTCTGTGGTGTATACAGCAAACGCGTTTTGTGCGACGCCGCCGTCATGACTAGCGCATTATCCATCCATACTCATTTCTGGAATAGAGCGCGAGAGCTTTGACCGGTGTCAGCGTATCGAGATTCTTTCGTCACACCGCGTCAATCACGGCATTCTGTATGAGCGATGAGACACAAGCTTCTTCGTTGCTATAAAGCCCATCATAAGACCTCTCTGTCCATAACCATGGTTGTTTGCCGTGCGATGGGCGAGGGGCTTCTAGCGCAATATCATCGTCTGCTCTCCCGATGACCTCGTCACCGTCCCATTCGCCAAGCTGGAGTCACCAAACCCAAGGCGAGAACAATCTCGCAAGCCCTTCTCCAAGACTCAAAAACCTGTGCGCCACAGTCCAGAACTCGGTGCTTCGAACGGAGCTCACCCAGGCAATCGAAGTCGCTTGTCCCGACACACCCACTCGCAGCGCTGGCCAGTACACTTCCCATTCGTACGCTTGGTGCAGCACCGAGCGATCATTGAAAGCTGATATCCAAATCCTGAAACGAAGCGAATGGCACGTCGTATTCTATTTCGAGCGGTCTCGACCCTCAACTTCGGATGCTATGACCTCGGATCGCGTGGGCATCTCTGGGACACACATCAACGGTTCAGATACCGCACTCTCATTCAACACGTATTCTCACTTGTCGTGTGAGAGCCTGGTTGACAGCTCCGTGAAGTTCCGGATCCGTGCACTTTCGCGGAGAGCCTCCACCAAGAAGCGCAATCATTTGTGGACGCATTTCGCTTTTCACACCGACTATGAGTTTTGAGCACAATCACTGGACGAGTGCGTTTGCCATGCCGATGATCCCGCTCGATAAATATAAAGTCGCATCCCGAACGAGGAGTATCCAGCACTTGCATTGGTCGTTGCACTGTGCTGGATCCCTCGCGAGACGGACAACAAGGCATAGCGTAGCATATTATTGTGGTTTTGTAACATCGTTTAGGCGATCCACACGCCTCGCCACAACGGTCAAGCCTTCGCGTCGCCGTACGCTCCGCATCTATAAAGTGCATCACCTCGACCAATTCAGCGAAAACGCATCGTATATCCAGTCCAGATCGATGCACTTCAACAACAGTGTCTTTTCTCTTTTCATTTGCAAAGCAAATCCTACGGTACGACAGGCTGGGAAGGGTCGCGAGCACCCACGACCGACCAGATCGATTCCCGATGGCGTGACACGAGGGTTGACGGTCGCGACCGTTGATGCAACGGACCTTTCTTTGCAAACGTTTCGTTGCGCGGGACTTGATGTCATTCTTGCTTTGTTCCAGGTACTGGATATTATTGAATCGCCCGATGCGATGACGCAAACGCGAATTCGTCGCCGTCATCCTTCGACCCGCATCTCTCGACCATGATGACTTTAAAGAGATGCTGGATCGACACAGATCCACGCGCGCGCGTTTTTATTCTTGAAGCAAGGCTTCAACGTCGTCATGTGATGACGGAGGGTCACCGCAGTCACTTGCCTCGGACATCCCACGGTGGACCAATGCGACTTTGGTCAGTGCGCCCATCGACTCTGCTTTCCATCGCCGTGCAGGCGCAGGCCGCGCACTCGATTACCGGTCGAGAAATAAAGTGTTCTACAATTCGACAGTCTGGTGCGAAACTGCCTCTCCACAGACAGACAACATCACGGTGATGTTATACACCGCATGTTTTCAATGATGGCACCCACCGTCAATTGTGCGTTTGGTAGGAAAAATGTCCGTGGTCCAGCACTGCGTCGTGCGCGTCGTGGGGTCGCGGCCGTCGTTTTGTCTCGTCTTATTCGCACCACGGGCTCGATCGCTGTCTATGGAGGCCGATAGCCAGTGGGAACAGAGCCTCATCAGGTGTAGTAGCTTTGGAGAAGACCACTGCTTGCACTACGCAGGTACTAGGAGTAGATACTCTTGGGGCTTCATGGCGACATCACGATATGCCGCTGCGGACGCGTGCGCTTCGAGAAAACCAGTTGCGCGTCAAGAAGGCAAAGCTTCTTCGGCACTGATATTTCGGGCTGGAGCGTGTTGACGGATCGAGAGCGAGTCAACAAGACAGCGGCCGGCCGCAGCTGCGTCATGGAACCAGCGTGCACATTTATCCGCCTCGTGCGTGTCGGTCCCTCGAATGTCTCGCAGTGACGGTTCAAACCATGCTACCCGACAACATGGACTCTATCGACGATCCACAGCGGTGGATAATCGCACCAGCTTGGATACACAAGCCCGTGAAAGAAGGTAGTGTGGTATGTTGCGATCAGACGCGGCGCCTGTAGACATGCCATTACGAACTCCAACAGGGCCGCGATCGGTGACGAAACACCACACATTTCAATTCACCGCAGCATGCTCATGGAACGAACCAAGCGGCTCATCTCTATCGAGGAGCTCGACGACAGCGAGAGCATCTTTGCAGCCCCGAACGCTCGTCGGACCTCGATCTTTACCAAGAGTAGTTGGCCCTACCCGTGGAAGCAACCGCCCGCGATACGCGACGAACGGGACCGCGTCGCCGCGCTGCGTCAGTTTGACGTGCTCGACACGCCGCCCGAGCGCGTCTTTGAAGTCATCTGCGAGCTCGCGACGAGCGTGCTCCAGTGTCCGATCGCAGGCGTCACCTTTCTCGATACCGACCGGCAGTGGTTCAAGGCCCGCCGGGGCTGGATCGAAGCCGAGATCCATCGCGACATTGCCTTTTGCGCCCACACGGTGGCGTGCGCCGAGCCCATGGTCGTGCTGGACGCGAGCCGCGACCCCAAGTTTGCGCTCAACCCGCTCGTGCTCGGGCCCACCGGCGTCCGTTTCTACGCCGGCGCTCCGATTACGACCGCGACCGGACACGCGATTGGCACCGTGTGCGTCTATGACACACGCCCGCACGACTCTGTCGACATGGCGACGCTCGAAAAGCTCGCGAGCGTCGCGCTCCTCCACCTCGAAGACCGACTGCGCGCGCCAGTGGCGACCGAGGTCCACGATAACACCGTGGGTGTCTTTGAGGGACCTGTGCTCTCGATGACCGAGCTCTTGCGCTTGCGTGACTGCGTCCCAAAAGCCGAGTGCAGTCGCTGCAGTCGTTGCCACCGCGGGTTTACCTTGTTTCGCCACAAGAAGCATTGCCGTGCGGTACGACTATATTCTGTGGTCGCAGCACACCACTCATACAGTAGTATGTTGACTAGTGCGGCGAAGTCTTTTGCAGCTTTTGTGCGCTCTCGACGCGCGCCAAGCAGCGCCGGGGACCGGGTGTCTTCAAGATCCACGTGTGCCTGACGTGCATCAACATTGGCACGGTCCTGGGCCATTTCCGGCTCTGCCGCACCGTGCGCAGCTCGCTCCACGGACGCGACGACGGCGCCGACGGGCTGTTGACGCCAAAAGAACTCGAGCAGATCCAGCGTCTCGAAGACAAAGACACGCTGTCGCCCACCCGGCTCATGCCGACGAGCGACTGCATTCCGTTTGACGAGCGCGGGTGCTGCCACGTATGCAGCCGCCACTTCAACCTGTTTCGACCCAAGCACTCGTGCCGCGTGGTAGGACTTGTAGTAGTGTGAATGGTGGGTGATCTCAAGTGTTTGTCGTCTAGTGCGGTGACGTGGTCTGCAGCCATTGCTCCATGAAGAAGCTTGCGATCGTCCATGGCAGCAGCGAGAGCGAGATGGAACCTGTGACCGTGTGCGTCGAGTGCAACGTGACGCTGACCAACACGGCGCTTCGGGACGACGCTATGCCGCTGGCGTTGATGTCCGATTTTGAAGCGTACAACAACAGCCGCCGCGAACGCAACTCGATGAAGAATGCACTTGACACAGTGAAGACCCTCCTCGTCTCGGCCGACGAGCGCGCACTGTCGGCGGGGCGGTCGTCGCTGGCACACAAGCCGGACGAGTTGTCTGCAACCGTGGCGTAGTTCGTTTCGTGCAACTAACTTATGTGGAATGTAACCGTCTTTGATGTAATTGGCTGCCTCATCAAACCGTTTCACCGTCCACCGCATGACACAAACGCCATAGTAGTATCGAACGGCACTCGCTCGATCATTCTAAATGTCAAAGTATCGCGCAGGGTGCTGCATTGTAGCTGCTTCGAGCTCTCCAATTGAACGTTGTACTCGTGTGCGGCAACCACGAATGGGCAAGAAAAATGCAATCGCACCCAGCATCCCGGTCCTTCCAAACCAGATGGTGCCACCCAAGTGGTGCGGACCAATCAGCGGGGTTCCCATCGGCCAACGTCGCGCATTTCCGATTGTGCGCCATGCCGCCACCGATCGCCGCCGACGATTTGCTTGCCGCCGAGCAGTGGGTATCGTTCTCGGAGCGATCGTGCTGTGCATCCTGCGCTCATGCCTTTAGTACGGTCTTTCGCCAGAAACACAACTGTCAATGGGTATCCCGCCTCGTTTGCGATTGTTCCATCGTCATAACGACTAGTGTGGCGAAGTCGTGTGCGGGCGGTGCCTTGTACAGCGCCGCGCGGAAGCGCTCGACACGTCCTTCGACGTGCGCATCTGCGTCGACTGCGTCGCGGTCTGTGAAAAGCACGTGCACCAGGACGCGTCGTGCTTTGTGTGCACGCGGCGCTTTTCATTGCTACGGCGCAAGTACCGCTGCGACGAGGTCCCCTCCTGCGTAGCGGTAGGCTTCTCACACGTGTTCCACTAGTGCGGCGAGGGCGTCTGCAAGAAGTGCCACGTGACCAAGCGCGACCATACAAGTGCCTCGCGCGCCGTGCGCCAAGTCCGCGTCTGCACCAACTGCATGCTACTGCGCGAGACAGCCCCGAAAGTATGTTCGGTCAGCGCCGTGTCCCTTCTCGACTCGTCGGTGCGACACACTATGGGCGACGTGCCGCTCCCGCCGACGAAGACGCGCGGCTTCACGTGCTCGAGAGCTACGCACTACTCGATACGCCGCACGAGGCCGCGCTCGACGTCGACTGCAAGCTGGCGCGGAAGCTCATGCGGTGCCCGATGGCTGGTCTAAGCCTCATGAGCCGCGACCGCCAGTGGTACAAAGCGCGCTGCGGCTTTGAAGAGATGGAGCTGCCGCGAGCTGTCGCGTTCGGCGCCCATGTTATTGCCACCAAGGCCCCACTCGTCGTACTCGATACGCTCGACGACGAGCGATTCCGAGAGAATCCGATCGTGACCGGCCCGGCCAAGGTGCGCTTCTACGCCGGTGCGCCGATTTTAACGCCGAGCGGCCATGCGATTGGGACGGTGTTTGTCTTGGACACGGAGCCGCGCGCCACGTGCAACATTGAGCCCCTGAAGCAGCTCGCTGCCGTCGCGATGGCCAACATTGAGCGTCACAAGTCAATCGGCCGGTAGGACGATCCACGAAGCTCTCCTCACGTAGTTCTACTTGAATGCGGCAACATGACGTCTTTCTATGGAAAGCCGGTGCTGTTTTCTGCAGTGTAGTGCGCAGGAGCAAGTCAGGCCCAGCGTTGTTCCCGGCAGCAATCTCTGCCGTGTACTTTCCGAGATAGCTCCAACGAGAGTACCTACCACAGGTGTCTGTTTGTGGCTTGCGGCCGCCCGTGGTGCTACGGCGGTCAAGTGACCGCGTCCGCCTTTCTGGAAAACGTATCTTTCGGTCCGGTGACCGGATCCGGATAGGGTTTGCGGCCAGGAGCCGCAGTCGCCAACGCTCGCCAAACGCAACAGGACGTCAATGGCTTATCTTACACGGTGGCGACGCCGATCGCGTCGGCGCAGCGCGACGACGAGGACTTCGGGACGGTCCAGCACGCTACAAGAAGAAGGCGCCGTCGTTGGGAGCAGTCTTGTCGCTCTTGTCGAACTCCTTGTAGTGCTGCGTGCACATGCCGTCGACTTTGCCAAGGCGCTTGCAGCTCCGGACTTGGCACTCGAACGGCTTGCGATGGACGTTGCAGAGGCCGCCGCCACGGTCTTTCCGGGTGCACTCGGGCGTCGCGCACAGGACAAAGCCGCCGTGCTCGCCGCAGCGCTGGCCGCGCTGCGCACGCTTGTGGCAGCCCGGCTCGGCGCACGGTGTGCCACCGCCATGCGCCTTGCACTTGCCGTGGCCTTGTGCGCTCTTAGTGCAGCCGTCGACAGTGCAGCGCGGACCACCGCCGTGCTTCTTGCACCAGCCGAGCGACTGCGCCGCAACGTTGCAGCCATCGACCCCGCACGTCTTGCCGCCACCGTGACTGATGCAACGAGTCGTGCCGCCGGATGGTGCGCGCTTGCACGTAGGGTAGTCGCACGTCGGCTCTCGCTTCCTGGGCGGCGTCGCGACATCATTCCCATCTCCCAGAAAGGCTTGGTAAGAGAACGACGATGCATCCGATGGAGGTTCCATCTTGACACGATCGTCGTCGAGCGACGGGTGATTGATGGCATGCAGGGTACCGGACGTACCGTCGTAGACGAACGCCTCGTGCACCACACCGACAGACGACATGGCGTTGCCGAGCTCGACAAAGTCGTTGTAGTCGACCTCAATGTCGTCCATGCAAGCTTCGTGCTTGGGGCTCAGCATACTTGCAGGCGCGACGTCGTCGTCGTAGGTCGAGATGATGGGGCCCACAGACAGGCGTGGCAGCACGGAGGACATAGGACCACTTGCTCGGCCTGACGACGGAAATGACCAACTCAGCTCTGACAACATCTTTAACCGGATACGCACCCCGGTCGTGTTTAAAACACATGTCTCGTATCATACAGATGTATCAAACACGTGATCCAGTCTCGCATGGTGTGGCGTCCGCAAGCCACCGGTGCATCGCTGCGCAGACAAGCAAGCCGAAATGGACCAAGGGAATCGCTGCACGGGCTCTTGGACCGCACACAGAGCAGCGTCGAAGACGGTATTATCGAGGATGCAACAAAATACTGGCGATAAAATAGAGTAGTAATGCTGCAGAAGACGTGATATTTAACGCCCTGATCGATCTCGCGATGGTCTTCCATTTACTATGCACGACTGCTGGTTCCATGGCGACGCGTGTTGTTGCGGTACCGGTACCGAGATTGAGCGGCGGTGTCCTGACATTTTACGGTACAATCGGAGCATAGCATTGAGTCTCCTCGTCCGCCACACAGGCGGGTTAGGTTTACAAGCTCCCAGATCACGGACCGCCCTGCAGCTTTCCTTGTCGGAACTTGTATGTATGCGATAGATAACTCTCTCTTCGAAACCAACGTGATCAAGCGCGGCCGCGCAATCGCTCACTGGAATCAGATGCGCGGCTGACACGCCGTGACGCAGAGCTCGTCCCAGCCTCTGCCATCGCCACTATCTGCAGATGCATCAAACTGACCACAGCCGTCGCCAGCGTGTTCTCAGCTCTCGGCCCACTCTTATACAGCCCAGACGCGGTACACTGCAGTATTTGAGTCTTGTTTGCCCAGCAAGATGGCCGCCCTCGCGCTCGTTCTCTTGGGTCGACGTCGGGCGTGCTCCTGCTGCGGAGCTTTCGGCAATTCCGTCGTTGTTGCGGGCCATCGACAGGTAGATCACCGTCAGTGCAGACAACCAGAGAGGCCAATCCTCCCGGACTGGGATCGGCAGGCGCCCGGATACTTGAAGAGCGCACGCCACGTCGCTGCTCACTCTTTCTTCTTCCGCCGGCCATGGCACGCAAGGTGAGGATCTCGGAGCAGAGTCTCATCTCGCCGACGTCGTTCGTCGCGAGCCAGAGTCACTGCAACCTCTGCACCAAGAAACTGCACTTCTTCTACTACAAGCACCACTGCCGCGTGGTACTATGCGCGCTGCTGGCCGTGTAGACCTTGCTTGTCTCACATTGCCCTTAGTGCGGCAAGATCGTGTGTGGCAAGTGCAAGGAGCTAGCGCTCGTCGAGCTCCCCGGCGACAAGATCGCCGACGTCAAGGTCTGCGCGTCCTGCATCGCTCAAGTCGGCACGCAGGCGACGTCCATCTCGACCGAGTCCGTGTCGTCGGGCGGGTCGGGCGGATCGGCGCCGCGCCTCTCGTCAAGTCGATACGTGAGCGCCAGCGTGCGCGTGCCTCGGCTGAGCGACCTTCCCGAACTGCACGGTACCGACTGCTGCTTTGTGTGCGCCCGCGTCTTTAGCACCCACCACCCGAAACACCAATGCCGACAGGTACCGATGACGCCTCGTGCGACGGCGACTCATATATCGCGTTGCAGTGCCGCAAGGGCGTCTGCTACGGCTGCCGCATGAACGCCAACGACCCGCTCTTCATCGAGCTCGGACTACCCTTTCTCATGGCGTGCTGGACGTGTGTCGCTGCGAGCGACGCGATCCAGCTACAGAGCACCGATCACTTTTCCAGCCCGTATAAGACTTTACTCGCAGGCGCTTGAATGATCCACGATGGTGTCCTTAGGCTCGCGCCGGCCGAGGCGACGCGGCTCGAGGCACTCTACGACCTGCATATCCTCGACTCTGGTCCGGACGCAGCCTTCGACATCCTCTGCGACCTCGCGTCGCAAGAGTTCAACTGCCCGATCGCGGTCGTCTCCTTTATGGACGTCAATCGCCAGTGGTTCAAGGCGCAGATGGGGCTCACCGACACGGAGGTGCCGCGTGCGTTCTCACTGTGTGAGAAGGCGCTCAAATCCACGGAAGCCATCGCCGAGTGGGACATTCGCCTCGACGCCGAGCTCGCAGTGCACCCACTCGTGCAAGGCGGCCCGCGCCTCCGGTTCTACGCTGGCGCGCCGCTCTTGACACCGTCCGGCCAAGCAGTTGGTACCATTTTCGTGCTCGACAAGGTCGTCCACGAGCCACAGAGTCTCGGGCGGCTCGAGGAGCTCGCCGCGATCGCCATGAAGCTCACGCTGGCGGGCCAGACCTTTTAGCACCGGCTTGCTACTACCTGTCGATTGAATCGAGTGTCTTCTTGTGCGATAATCATGTTATATTAGATAACGTAGACGGGAAACACTATCCACTACCATACTGTCCTAAAGACAAAGCTGCTAGCCATACCGGTGAATGCGGGTCGTGATCGTGACGCGGCAGATCGGGCACAGCGTGAGATGACTCGCGCACTGCCCGCACGTCTCGTGCCCGCACTGAAACACCATGTCCTTCTTCTTGTCTTCGCAAATCGGGCACAGCGACGCTTCGTGCAGCGCCCGCATGCTCTCGACAAGGCGCGCGTCCGCTAGCGACGGCGTGGGCACTGCGCCCCGGAGCGGCGATGCACACACTTCGCAGGCGTTTGCACTGGTTGCGTTCAAGTACGTGCACACGGGACAGGCCACTTGGCTGCCACGCAGCACCGGGGCCGACGATGGAGCCGTCGGTACGTTCGCTGGAATCGATTTGGCCGAGGCCACGGGGTA